ACACCCTTTTGATTCATAGACGAGACGGACCGCCGGTGCAAAAGATAAGATCAAACTTCTGGGCGAGCATGGCCTTGTTCGCGTCAATGCCACCAGCCACGTAGCGCACGACGTTTGGATCCATGTACTTGTCGAGAAGGTACGCGAGCGCAGCCGCCACGTGGTCGCTCGACCCTTCCGCCGGCAGGCGCAGGACGGCACAGTTGCCGGCGCTGATGCAGCCCACGAGCGGCAGCAAGATAAGCTGAACCGGGTAGTTCCACGTGCCCATGATGCAGCAGACGCCAAGCGGGTCGCTGTGCACGTACGACGAGCCCGGGATATTGACGAGGTTCGTGCCCACACGCTTGGGCGCCGCCCAGTCGTCGACGTAGTCCAAGTGTTCTTGGATCTCGTTGAGAAGTACAGACGTCTCCATCACAAAGAGCTCGGTTGCATGCTTGTGCAGGTCCTTCCACACGGCGGCTTGGAGCAGCTCGGCGCCTTCGGTCGCCAAGAGGCGCAGCTGGCGGAGCTGGGCCTTGCGCGCCGCGGTCGACTGGAGCACGCCTGCGCGGAAGGACGCGCGGAGGTCGGCGGCGTGGCCGGCGATGGCCTCGGCGGGCGTCGGCAGCAGCAACGCAAGGTCGCCCGCCTTGGCCAGCGGCGTCTTGAGGTCACTCATGCTCTGGTACATGCGTCGCAATTCGGAAAATGTTTCTTCGACGAAAGCGTTGGACGTTCGCACCTCTGATTGGCTAATAAGTTCAATACAAATGCCAAGTGACAGGGAAAGTGCGTAAACACTACGCATACACGGATGATGCCGGCTCCGTCGTGAACTCATCAGCAGCAAAGAGGACTAGTCACTCGACTAGTAGTCGCTCCTAGTCGTCGTCTAGTTGATGGCTTCTGACCGGCTTGCACATGACGAGAGACTTCACAAGCACAACACGATGACATACTCTATGGAAGTATATGCGATCAATCTCGCCTTCTCGATGCAGATTCCGGTGCTGACGCCAAGGCGACAATGATCTCTGGTACACCAGGCAGGAAGCTTGATCGCTACAGTTTGTTGGCCCTTCTTGGAGGCAGCTCTGGACGCCTGGTTTCCGAAGCCCAGGCTCCTTTTGATGGTGTCCGAGGGTGATTGTTGGCGATATCCCTTGATGTACGGCGAGGAATGATCACTGGAAGCAAGGGCGCTGGCGACAGTGGATTGCACCATGGAGCTCTTTGCACTTAGCAACCTGCAAGTAATCCCTTCAAGACGCGATGCTGGACCAGATCGAAGGCGGTTCAGTGTTCGAGACGTTGAAGGTCGCTTCAATATTGAATTGAGTTGCTCGCTGTGGGGCAATCTCAAAGAGATGGTGGCTCATATTCAATACATTCGTAAAAGCTTCGTATCATTTCGTGGATAAGGAATACATGCATTCCATACAAGGAACGAAATCGGCGGCCTCCTGGCAACGGCGTGTGCTCCCTTCCCTCGTCGCTCTTGCTCATGCCAGCTCAATGGTCAGCGTTCGCGAAGTTTTGGTGAGAATTTGTCGCGACCTCCGAGAATACTCTCGTTGCTATTAGTGGTACGGTTTGCCTCTCCAGCCGAGTCGTTGCGTCAGCTGTAGTCACCTTGGACACTGGTACTGTCAATGATGATGGTGATTGAGCGCACTCCTCGTTCAGCTGCAGCCATCCACCCAGCCACTCATCTACAGTCGCTCAACCTCAACACAGGATCCCTTTGAATCGAATGGCATCTCCTCTCAACGTCAAGGCAAGCTTAACGCATAGCAGCCCTCCTTGCCCGAGTGTGGCTACTAGTTCAAGTCACATGGGCCACCGAAAGCAAGTCGTCGACCATCAACCCGCCTCTACGGGATACCTCGTTTCTACGCCGATCTCCGACCACGACCACTACCAAGTCGATCGAATAGAAAGCTATGGAGTGCGCTTAAGCTCATCAAGATGCTCCAGATTCCAGCGCCAGCTTGAGCTGCTGGCGATTGTTCTGTGGACACGGACCAATCAGCGCGCGACCCGGCCCCATCCTCCACGAGTATTCCCTTACAAAAGTACCAAACCCAGATTCACGCTGCAGACACGTACAAGGATTGCGCGATCAAACATACGGAATAAGCGAATTTGTGGTTGAAGCCAGCAACCGTTTTGGCAATCTTTCCAAATATACGCAGTTGAAGATTCGCCACGGCGAGGATGCAGAAGGACGCGCTCTCGACGCGCTTCCTCGCGGGCGCGATCGCGTCGTCGACGGCCGAGATGGCGACGCTGCCCGTCGACATCACCAAGGTCCGCCTCCAAGCCCAAGGTATGGCGGCGCACCAGAGCGTCCAGTACACGGGGATGGCCGACGCCATGACCAAGATCGCGCGACTTGAGGGCCCGTCCGCGCTCTGGAAAGGCGCTCAGCCAGCCGTCGCGCGGCAAATCGCCTACTCTAGCATGTGCATGGTGCTCTACGAGCCGTTCCGCGACGCCATCATGCACGCGAGCCAGCCCAAGCATGGCGGCCAGAGCGGCCACACGACCATGTCATTTGCGCAAAAGCTCATGGCCGGTGGGCTTGCCGGTGCGATTAGCATCAGCATTGCCAACCCGTGCGTTCTCTCGACCATATCACGCGAGATCCGCCACTGACCGCCTACTAGCGTCGACGTCATCAAGGTGCGCATGCAAGCCGACCGGTCGGGGACTCTGTACAAAGGTCTTCGGGACGCTGTCGGCAAGATTCACGGTGCCGAGGGCTGGCGCGGCTTTCTGAACGTTGGCAATGGCTCGTGTCGTGTCCTTTGTACGACATGTCGATACTAGGGTCTGGGTCCCAATGTCACTCGCGGCTTCATCGTCAACGCTGCCGAGCTTGGCGTCTACGACCAATGGTATACGCTCGCTCGCTGTACGCTCCTTGGAAACGCAAGTCGTAGCAAAACGACATTGATTTCGCTGGGTCTGGTCAAGGACGGCGGGATCGGTGCGACGTTTGGGTCGAGCCTTGTCGCGGGCCTCGCGGGAGCGCTGGCGTCCAACCCGTACGGGTGGCTCTTCTCTCGATACATTCTCACATTTGGGTTAGTGTCGACGTGGTCAAGACGCGGCTTATGACGCAGCCTTCGGGAACCAACGCCTTGTACTCGAGTGCGCATCATTGCGCGTTCAAGACGTTCTCGGACGAAGGCTTGAGTGCGTTCTACAAGGGATTTCTGCCCAACTGGATGCGCAAGGCGCCGTGGTGCGTCGTCTTCTTTGTGACGTACGAGCACGTCAAGGGCTCGCTCGTTGCTGCGCCGACTGTGTCGGCACCGGCGGTCGTCGGCGCCTCGGTCGTCGTCGCGTCCTCTCAAGAGTAGCCAGCCCAGGCATTGTTTCTTTTCATTTTCCAAAGTATCCTGCATCAGCTCCTTTCTTATTGCATGACAATATTATCCATCGGGAGTTGGCTATCATGCGACATGTGCCGACACTACCCGAACCACGGTCCTCTTGGTGCTCCACGTGTCGCGTCTCGAATGAAGTATCGAGAATGTATCAATGTATATACTGTTCACGCCACTGGCTACGCAGCCGTATGTACACGCGCCAAGGACGCTTACTCGACGGGCACTTGGTTTGTGGACCAGAACGCGAGGTCCTTCATGTACCCGAAGAAGGTCTCGTTGGCCGAGTCGCCATGCAGGAGGAGCGAGTTGTCGTCGCCTTCGCCGACCCAGTAGGCGAATTTCGGCCCGAGATCGATCACATCGAGGGGCTCGCCGTTGCAAAAGACTTGGAACTCCTTTCCGCGGGCTTGCACCGCAAAGTGCACCCACGTATGGCGCTGCAGCGTGAGGCGCTCGCCACGCAGCTCGATCGGGTAGGCTGTTTTCTGGTGGTTGAGCACGAGCTCGACGTGCATCTCGGCGGTGATGACAAAGCCAAACCAGCGCCAGCCCTTCCCGAGGCACCACACCCAGCCTTGGCCAAACGGACAGATGCTCGCGGCGACGACAAAGTTGGTCTTGGACATCTCGGTCGTATACGCGCCGGCGCACGTCACTTCGGGCCGCGTCTCCTGTGCGCCATAGTAGTCGCCATCGAGGAAGAGACCTGCGTGCGGCTCCAAGTAGCTCGTTGACGGTGCTAGCAGCGTACGTCCCGAGACGCGATCGACCAAGTCGGTCTCGAACGGGTAGTCGCAGAGCGCTTTCAGGCCAGCAATCAGCTCCTTGCGCTTGGCGAGGAAGGCGTCGGGCACGGGCGGCGCCGGGCCTGCCTCGTGCACATCGGTTGACGAGACGAGCAAGAGGTGGCGGAGACCACCGCGAAAGAGACGTGCCTTGTGTGCCGGGTCGTACAAGTAGAAGGCCCCTTCGGCCATCGGGTTTGTGAGGTGCGCGTAATGAAACTTCGCCGGCAGCGCAATGTCGTCCAAGCGCTCCGAGTTGACGACGACTTGCACCACGTTGGCACGTACGTCGACGCGAATCGCCAACCGAAGCCAAGCGTCGGTCGGGACTGTGACCGGCTCGTTGGTCTTGCAGACGGGAAAGCTGTCGGCGCCGCCGTTGAAAGCAACCTGGAGGCCCATGGCGCGCGTGAGCTCCAACGCAAACCACGTCTTGTAGTGCCCGCCCGCAAGGACGTACCCGGGCCCTTGGATCCAAAGCCGAACACTCACAACAAATTTGTGCTTATTGAGCTTGCCGCCAACGGCGCCGAGCGAGAGAAGCTCCGGACGCTCTTGGAGCTCGGCGAGGTAGCTCCCGGCCAAAATGAGACCGTTCTCGATGCCAACGCAGCTCTTTGGCAGCTCCATCACATGGTCGGCGGATCGGTTGCTTGTGTCGTTGGTGAACGGGTAGTCGTAGAGCGTCGCCCATGTCTCGGCGCCTTGGAGCTGCGACACTAGCTCTTGAAACGCTGCGTCGAGCGGGCCCTCTTCGACCAGCGTAGGCACGGGCGAGTACACGATCGGGGTCTCCTTTGCATCGGCGTGCATGCTCACGGACGACGCTGTCCGCGTGCTCTCGTTCTTCTCGTCCGCACTGGTGACGGTCAATGCAAAGCGCTCCGCCAGCGGAATCCCGATCGTTCGGCGAACGCGCGCCAGAATATCGTCTTGGCGCATAGCAATCTCGTCGACGTCGCTGCTCGTATAGTCGATGAACGCTGCGTCATTGAAGACGGCCCCCACGTCGCCCGTCCAATTCGCCGTGTGCTTGAGCGCCGGCGCCGGGTCGACGAGGATCGCAATCACGGACTTCTTTTGCTTGAGGGCGGCGTTGAACTCGCGCTGGCACTGGCCCCGAGTGCCGCTGCCGCCCACGCTGTCCATGTAGCCCTGCGACACGAGCACGAGGACGCAGCGGGCATTCGCGAGGCCAGCGTCGCGCCCCTCGTCCGCCTACGTTGGCTGCTGAGAAAGAATCGAGATACGACCAACTACCCCGGACGCACTCCATGTCGTGAGGCCGCGGTCGCGCAGCTTCTTGCATATCGCCGCGGCTACGGACGCGTCGTCGATCGCGTGCGAGACAAAGACGTCCGAGATCGTGTGGAAGAGCAGCTGGAGCTTTTCGTGCGAGATGCAATTGTCGGTGGCCGATTGGCGCCACAGCGCGTCGTCAAAGAGGTCGCCGCAGAGCGCTTGGCACTGCGCCTTGTCGTACACGGCCGGCGCGATGCTTGCCGCCGCGCCCATGATCTCAAAATACTGCTTCGCCAACGACCCACGGTTATTCCAAAACGACGCAACCGTTTGCAGTTCAATCAAAATGGAGGAAACCACAAAACCATCTTGGTTCTGGAAGTCTTGGCACTAGTTTGATAGCAAATACATTTGGTAGCGAGAAACATATTGCATGTAATAACTCCTCAACAACCACGAGAGGCAGGCACGACGCGCCAGCACCTTGTCCCGCGGATCGCGCTCCTGCCTCCGCCGGCCTAGATCAAGATCAATACTACCAGCGCCGACACAACGAAGAACGTCCGACAATTTTATTTAGCGTAGATTTATGAGATTTACGTATCTATTTTAATAGACGACCCACTTCAACAACGACCACGAGAGGTATGTGTGCGCTCGTTTTCGCAGTCTCGGTACTCGTACGTGTTTGGGCTGGTGAATTCCCAACGTACTAAGCTGATTGGATCTTTTTGAGCATAAAACTGACTAGAAAAGACGTCATGGCGCTTGATTTGCACATGGACCATCGTGTCCTGTGCACTGTGGTTCACCGTCAGGGTCCGCGCCTCTTCGTTGTTCGACGCAAAGATTGGAATACTGTTGTTTGATTGGCCCTTTAAGAGCGGCTTTTCGACCAATTAAATTGGGATGTTGTCGGCCACGCCCTCACCGACACCTCGCTTGCCTTCGCCAGACCCATGCGATACAGTCCATTATTGCTGATGCAAAAGGCGAATGGCGTCGGCGTCGTCGTTGGCATGGCCCGTCCTTGTCCTCGGCCAAAAACCAGAGAAATCTGCGGTTGAGGTCTCTGGCGTTCTCGGCGAGCGATCCTTTGACGGGCTGCTGCGAACGCTCCGAGTAAAGTCCTATCCCTCGCTCCATTCGGATGCATCAAGCTGTATTGCTGGAGCAATCACCAAGGGCGAGGTCGTTGGCCAAGGGCGTTATCGATGCCCGAGGTTGGATCCTGAGTTGCACTGTATCCGGATATTGTATCCGGTCGACCGCCCTGTAATTTTTCCATGGAACAGAAGCCGACCAGTGCGATGGGAGACGAGCGCGATCCGCCAGCCGCCGATGGACAGCCGCCGCTTGGGCACATGCGCATGGCACCGGAGGTGGATGGAACGCTCGGCGCCGATGCTATTTTGTCGGCCAAGGTGACCGAGGTCTCGGAAGAGACGACGGCGACGACACCCGTGGCCCAAGCCAGCGACGAGGACGACGACGATGACGACACGGACTTTGCCAAGTGGAACCGCGATGAGATCCAGATGGAGCTTGCTGACTTGGACGAGTCCGGCGAGCGCATTGAGCGCGTCGCCAACCTCTTCTTGATGTACAACCAGACGGACCACGACCACGTCTCGGCGCTCTGTGCAACGTGGCTGCGCGAGATGAAGGCGGCCGACACGCACGACCGCATCCCGTTCTTGTACGTCGCGAACCACGTCATTTTCAAGACCAAGACAAGCAAGTCGAGCCCGTCCACGCTCTTTGCCGAGACCTTTCGCCCGCTCTTGCCCGAGGCCGTCTCACTCGTGTGCACGTCGCCCGCCGACCGCGACACGGTCGTGCGCATCCTCAAGCTCTGGGCCGAGCAGCAGCTGTACCCGATGGACGACATTCGCGGGCTCTGGAAGGAGACGGGTGAGCCGCTGCCGCCGTCGTGGTCCGAGACCCAAGCCGCGACGACCGCATCGTCCATGGAAAACACGTTTGCGACCATGGACGTCGAGCCGGATCTGCCCATGGGCCTCAAGGCGCGCGCAGCGCACCCGCTCGTGGACCTCTTGAAGCGCATCGACCACGCCAAGCACATTGTGCACCACCTTGAACCCAAGATCCAAGCCAACCATCAATATGTGCTCCAGTCCGCGTCCTCGAACGTCTACGAGAAGGCGGCCGATCTCCTCACGCAAGAACGCCATCCGGCGTCGCTGCAGGCCAAGGTGGAAGCCTGCATGCAGATGATCGTCATCCGCAACGTACGCTGCGCTCCATCGCGCCATGCTCATGCGTCATGTCTGCTTGTAGAAGTACGTCAAGGAGCTCCTCGACCTCCAAAAGCTCGTGCATGTGACCGCAGCCAAGCTGCTTGAAGACCAGGTACATGCATGGCGCGTTCGCTCGACGCCGAGCTCATGCCGCATGTAGAAACAAGCGATGGCCAAGGTCGACACGAAATTCGAGGTACCCACCCGTTATGGAACAAGGGGCGATGATGACCTCGTGCAACGATGTGCTCTAGCAATGCGACACGATCGACATGGGTCTTGTCGACCTCGACGACCATCGTCGCACGTACGCGGACGAGGTGGACTGCCAAAATGACGAATCCCTTCTGACCTGCGATTGGTGTAGTGGGCAGGCGAAGAGACGCGGGCGCGGGAGCGGAAGCGGAAGCGCGACCACGAGATGCAGACGATGGAAGAAGAGATCACGCGCAAGCAGCAAGAAGCCATGGCCGAGAACGCTGCGCGTACGCTCGAGCTCGAGGAGGAAGTGCGGACGCGGCTGCTGGCGACGCAGAAGGAGACAATCACAAAGCAGCTCAAGGTCGAGAAGGCCAAGGACCAAGAATACGTGTGGCACCCGTACGTGGTCTACCGACGCTGTCTCGCCAGCTCATGGAATCCCACGATTAGGGTGCTCCGCGAGCTTGTGCCCGTGCCCAGCATGAGCAACATTGGCGAAGAGTGGCGGGACCACTAGTCCGTCGACCACGTTGACGACTCGCTATCTATCCAAACACGACCTTACCCTTCACTGCTATTGCATCCTATCTGCGTGCCAGTGGGATTACCGAAGGTCGTGTCGCCGCTTGGTGCATAGACCTGCCGACGTGGCTACTCGTACACGCAGTAGCAGCCTTTAGCCTCGTGCACATGGCCGGCGTCTTGCAGGAGTCCCATGAGTATCGCCATGGCGCATGGCTTGTCGCCGGCAAGCTGCTGGCAGCGACACGTCATGGTCTCGCATCCATCCGCTGCCATCGCTGCGCTGCCACCTGCCACCTGCCGAGGCAGATCTCAAATATTTGGGTGTGGTACGTCCGGATAATGGAAAGCTTGGATATTGTATGTGTATACAAAGATAGAGTACAAGAAGTGCAGCCGTCGAAGCACCATGTGGCATGTAACCGGACAGCTTTCATTGCTCTCTTCGCAGAACGCAGGCGTATCTCCCGCGACCGACGGCTCATGGACTACGGGACGTCGAACGGTACTAGCGCATGGACGGCCAGCATGGCCTCATGGCGCCGCATTAGGCTTCTTCTCATTTGCATCGGAGCTCGCGAAGCAGCTCACGCAGGATGCCATCGAGCTCTCGGCGACTGCGATGGAGCTCTCGGCGTCGGCGGTCGAAACAGCCAAGCACATTGCACACGAGTCGTCCGTGGCCGTCGAGAAGGCGACGCTGCTAGCCCAAGAGGTACATCTGCGGGCATAGCTGTCAGCGCGGTACCGATCGACGGCTAGGCGCTTGCCGAGCACTTTCCGGACGAAGCGCCGGTGGACGCGACCAGCGACGTCGCACCGGATGATCTCGTGACGCTGCTACCATGGATCAACGAGGTGGGCAGGCGCCATGCATCGTACATTTGCTCATGTGATGGATGGTAGGACGGTAGCGTCAACGAGGACGTCCAAGACGACGTGCTCGAGATCAGTTGGGACTTGAGCAACTTCAATGTGCTCACGCCCGACAAGCTCGCGCCGATTTTCGACATTGACGTACGCCGCCTCTCGTCTGCCTCTGTTGCTCATGCAGGTGCGTAGCGGTACCTCGTGGTCGCGCCGCAGCTGCTCGCATTTGATGCGCACCTTCGGCAGGTACGCACCAAGTCGCCCATCGTGTCCTCATCGTGGCATGCTCTAGCGCCATTTCGAGTCGGCGCGCAAGATCCCAGAAGACGTTTTTTGGGGCAACTACTTTTACATGTGCCACGTCGCGCGCCTGCGCCATGGCCTCTCGCCCTACGTCGCAGCTTCGGGGCTCCAACAACTGCCCGAATCGCCGCTCTCGTCCACGGCGTCCGAGTCGCTCGTGTCGCTGGACAGGTCGTTCTCGGACTTTGCGCTCGATTCGCCCGACGCCGGGCGACCGACGTCCGTGTCGATGCCGGAGCTTCTGGACTCGGATCTGTCGCCGCCGACTCTCGACGAGACGCCGACCAAGCGCAAAATGGGTCTGCCCTCGAAGCTCAAGCGCAGCATGTCGTCGTGCAAGGAGCGCCTCGCAGCCACAGACGTGCACAAGTACATGGACAAGGTCGCGAGATTTCGCGCCAAGCATCCGACATCCAACCAGACGACCCACGACGATGACGATGACGCGCCACCGGATGCGCCGACGTCGCGCTTCCAGCGCTGGTCGCAGACCTCTCGGGACCTCAAGTCGTCCTTACGGCGTCACAGCGTCACGTCGACGACGTCATATCTAAAGACGCGGGCGTCCTTACCGGCGTCCGTGTCGTCGGCAGTGCAGAAGCTGCCACGCTGGGTACCCGGCCGCGGTCTCCGGAGCAAAAGCCTGTCAGTCTCGGAGATGCAGCATTTGCGGGACATCCAGGCGCGGCTGTACGCCTCGGACGCGCCGATTCTCGAGTCGCCGCCGCCGCTGAGCGACGAAGTGTAAGCAAGTCTGCACCCATTTATAACAAAGGGCTAGGGTCCATTACATTAAGAGACAAACGAAGCTACATGCAGCGCAATAGATAAGAGAGATACGACGTGTAGCTAGCCGGCGAGGATCTCAGCGTGCTCGTGGAGGCGCATGCTTCGCATCCAGCCCGACACACTCGGAATCAGCTCGGGAATGACCACTGTGATCGTCGGGCCGCCGCCGTACCAGAGACAGTAGAGCTTCCAGCTGTCCTTGTCAATGAGCCTAGCACAATATTCTCAATCTCAATCGCAAATACGACAAGTGCAGTACCGAAAGTCTTGCTTCAGTTGCAGGTCGCGACGAAGCTCGAGGTGTGTGCCCGTCGGACTGTCTTCGACGAGCATCATGTTGCTGATGACACCAGGCAGACTTGCGTCCATCGGGCTCGGTGACGTCACGAATTCCTATATCGTTTGTTGAGACGAGAGTGACGGACGGTGCGTCATGACGTACGAGCCACGTTTGGACCCATTGGGCTGAGATGACAAACCATGTCTCGCCACGCCCTGGGTACCGGTGCGCAAAGCGCTTGAGGAGCTTGAGTTCGCGCGCGGGGTCGTGGTCCTCCATGAACGAGCTCGTCGATTGGAGGCTCGAGAGCATTGGGATGTGGCTCGCCGACCGCAGCATCGGGATGTGGTTCGGGTTAAAGTCATCTTCAAACGACATGCTCGTGGGCCGGCACTCGCTCGTCGTCATTTGCGACAGCGTGCGCGACCCAGCAAGGACCGCCGACGCTGACGAGGGCACACGCTGCGCTGGCTCGAGCTGCGGCGTCACAAACTCACCGGGCGTGTCGGAGGCCACGCGGATCGCGCCGAGCGGGCGGTTGCCCCACCCACGCTTCTCCATCTCGGGCGTTGGCTCGAGATCGTACCATTCGTTGTCTGCTGGGCGCTACAACAACAGGCCATGAGCCATCGTGCCATGGAACGAATATGGACGCACGAGCTTCATGTCGAGGAGGTCGTCCGGCGACAAGACGACGTCGCCAAGATCGAGGATCTTCATGCCAAACTTGCCCGAGTGCTTGACCGAGAAGACGAGGCCGCCGATGTCATCGAGCGCGACCACGCCAAAGTCGATGCGCAGGTGCCACATCGGGTTCAAGGTCGCGCGAATGGCCTTGGTCTTGTGCTTGACGCGGCTGCGCCCGTCCTTCTCGATGAGGAAGGCCTCGCAGAAGACGTTGTTGTTGCTGCTGAGGCCGTCGATTGGCAGCAGGTTACGGCAGCCCTTGAGGAGGATCGCCACGCGCGTCGTCTTGTCCCCGCCCATGCCGGTTGACGTCGTCGTCGCCGAGTGAAAAGACAGCTGCACCGGTCGTCCCACACTGAAGGTTTGTATGGCGACAACAAGCTACTTGGTGTTTGTATACATGTGTACTATGTGAAAAACGCGTGAAACGATGCGCGATCTTTAACGTGGCTACAAGCACGCAACGTTGCAGCGAGTGCGACTCGCGCACGACAGCCGACGCGCGCTAATGCTCTCACCGTTGCTGTCGCTGGCTTTGAAAATGCAGGGCTCGAAAACAACGTGAGCCAAGGACTGTCGTCTCGCTACCTCTTGAAGGTCGTCCATGTCGGTGCGGGAGAAGGTTGCGTGCGAATGGCGGAACCTGTGTGAAATGAAGATACCCACTTGGTTGATGACAATCCGACAGCGCGCGTCGTGATGACAACGCTCGTCGAAACTACAGTACGTCGACACTGGCTACTGCCATCTCCACGATGGCAAAGACGAAGAAGATATCGAACGCTTGACGCAAGGCAGAAGGTTTAGCATGTCGCCAAGCGACGTCGCAGTCCATGAGCTTGCAATTGGGGTTTGTCGAGGATGGACCGTTGAGTTCACTGGAGCAGTACGACGGCGCTGTCAACAACGGTCAAGGCAGAGAGGAGCAGACTACCCAACGACATAGGCACATGTTATTGCTCGTTTTTCCGAGAAACGATGGCCCGTCAGAGGCGATGGCGTGCGACCACGGAGGGCTTGTCGTTGTGGCCACTTTGAATTTGCCATTAGCCATGAAGAAGACGCCATCGACGCCCCAGTTTTGCCTCGCGCTGCCCCACTTGGCGTTTCGGTCGATGCCCAAGCACGGCGGCTACCGCATCATGCTGACCAAGACCGAGATGAAAGGGGCCTTTGAGCTTTCGCTCGAGTCGTTGCGCACTATGAAGCATTGGTGCGAGCCACGTACACCGATCGTATTGGTTAACCTACCTTGCAGGACGTGCGCAATTGCAAACACCCAATCGGTGTGTGGCGACGAGACGCAGCTCCCACCCGCGATGCTCTTTGACCTTTTGCGCGTACAATGTACGCCTTTGATGGTGCTGGTAGACTCTTGTCTGTAGACGGCGCTCGAAGGTCGCAACGAGCAGCTCAAGCGACGCGAGACGCTGGGCGATCGCTTGTCGAAGTTCTTTGGAGAAGCCATGACGCGCGATAGAACAATGGACGTGGACCTATTGCCTGGTGACAGCGGCGCCGTCGTGCTCACGCTCACGATTCCTCTCTCGCCCGTGTGGTCGACTGTCGCCCGCTTTCGGTGCGAAGCAAAGGCGTTGGACAGCCTCGACGCACTGCGCCGCAAGGTCGAGCACCTCGGAGAGGATGTCGAGACCATCGCGGCCAAGGTGAACCTGCATAACAGCATCATTTTTCTTGCTGTCCTCCTTGCGTTCGTTACGCTCTTCAAGCTCATGTACATAACCTTTTAGGGCCGACTAAGATCTGAAACGCAATATGGTGATTTTTGATGGTGATTTTTGATTGCCACGATCTGCCAGTTGAATAATTTAATTTAGATTATGACGTGGCGCGCTCACGTGGTCGCATCGAGTATCCTGTTGCATGGGGATGATCGGGTTTGCAGTTGGATCTCCGGATGGCGCTGCAAGAAGCCGCGCCAGAACCCTTGGCTGGGTCGTGCTTGCGCACACGCTTCGAACGGGTTGGCTCGACCACGTCGACAGAGCAGCGTCATCATTTCTTCGGCAGCCTCGTGCTTTGTCAAGCGCCGCGTTTCCTGCTTTTGAATCAAGTGCTGCGCCACGAGCTCTTCTTCAAAGCGCGACAACTTTCGGTGGGCACCCGGATTGCGATACCGCAGTGACGGCGACTGCATGTGCTGATGTACGGTTCCGTGCGGAATCGAGTTGAGGGGCAGCTGGTGCACGCGCTCGATGGCGCGTGCGGCTTGGCGGCAGCCGACGCCATGCAACGCCGCGTACCGAACTGCCGCTTGAAGCATCTCTTTTGTGTACAAGGGCGATTCAGATGCCATGGCGGCGCCGACGGCGCGCGCACGAGTCGAGAGGGTGCTCGTGCTCTGGGCGTGGGCGCGGTGCCAGCGCACGAGCAAGAGGAGCTTGGCGCGATCAAGCTCGAAGTGCGTCGCGACGTCTGCGATCGCTCGGTGTTCGCGCACAAAGAGGGCGTGGGCAGCCGCGTACACGGGTGGTAGCGTGCATGGCAGACACCTCCACTGCCGCTGCTGGACCGGGAACGCGAGGTCGATGCACGCACGCAGCGCGTACACGCAGCTGCACTGAAGGCACGTTGTGAAGCGTCCCATGCGCTATCCACCAGTGATGGCACAGTATCCGGACATCCTTCGTCCCTTCCGTAGGCCATCACCAACGGCTAATATCACGCAACGATATTCGCAACGTACTTCGAGTCTGTTCAATGCGACGTGCTTATTGCCCAGTACTTTTGCAAGCATGCACAAATACACATGGGTTTGTTGGACGCTGGGGTGCTGATCATGTTGAGAGCATGTTTGTCCGCAGCTTGCGCCAGAGGGCGGTCAAATGTTGCGTGCAAGTAGCCATGTCGCCTCTCGCTTACGCTGCGCGTTTCGACCAATCAGGCACGCGTCGTGTGACCTTTGACGGGACTATTGGCCAATCGAACGCGAGGTCAATCTTCTGTCCGGATAAATTGCGGGAGATGATTTGCGACCCCTTTCTCGGTGTCATTTTCATTTCTTACCACGTGCTTCCGATGGTCGAGTTGGTCCTGGCAGGCAAGCGCGAGTTCGTGGACGCAGCGCGGGCGACAGCGCTCCTCGCGCCCTTCGAGGCCTCGTCGAGCTTCTACCGCATCTCTCTCCGCGACAAGAGCTACTCGCTGGACGCCGCCAAGGTGCTCGCGACCTTCCTCAAGACCATTCCGGACGGCCTCCGCGTGGCCGACTTGGCCGACATGATTGCTGGCCGCCCCGAAGACGAGGCTCTTGAAGTACTCGAGACTGTCTGCCACGCGCTGCACGGCCACCAGCTCGTCGAGATTGACCTTAGCGACAACGCGCTCGGCGAAAAGGGCATCCGCCGCTGCTTTGGCGTCCTCGAGCGTCAGCAGCACCTCGAGCGTCTGTACCTCTGCAACAACGGCCTCTCGGCCGAATCGGCGCAGGTCGTCGCGGACGTCCTTCTCTTCCGCGGCAAGGACGCGCCGTCGACGCTCAAGACGTTCCATTTCTACAACAACATGAGCGGCGACGGCGGTGCCAAGGCGCTCGCGACCCTCCTGCCGGCGTGCCAGCACCTCGAGGACCTCCGCTTCTCGACGACGCGCGCGCAGCGTGAGGGCTGCCGCGTCTTTGCCGCCGCGCTTGGCTCGCTCCGGAACCTCAAGCGCGTGGATCTGAGCGACAACACGTTTGGCGCCGAAGGGGCCATCGTGCTCGCCAAGGGCCTCGGTCTCCAGTCGCAGCTTGAAGTGCTCAACCTCCGCGACGCTTCGATTGGCGACGACGGTTTGATTGCGATCTCGGAGGCGCTCATCACCAACAAGGTGGCCGGCATCCGCATCCTCGACGTCTCGGGCAACGACCTCACGGAAGCCTCGATGGCCGCACTTGCCCGCCTCGTCCAGGCCCTTCCGCAGCTCGAAGAGCTCCGCATCGAAGAGAACGAAATCACTTCGTCGGGTGCGCAGCTCCTCGCTCGTGTCCTCCAGAAGAAGACGGTCGCCAAGCACCTCCGCGTCTTCCAGTCCAACACGAACGAACTTTGCAGCGTCGGTGGCTGGCACTTGGCCAAGGCGCTCGCCCACAAGGCCCAGTTGACGCGCGTCGAACTCGATGGCAACATGTTCTCGGACGACGCGCTTACCAAGATCGAAGCGCAATTCAACACTGGGATCCTTGTTGAAATTGAAGACAACATGGACGACGAGAACGAGGCGGACGAACTTCTTGACGACGACCTCGACTGGTCGGACGACGAGACCGACTCGGAACCCGACGCTGGTGTCGACGCTGCGACGTCGTCGCTCGCCGCGACGAGCATCTCGACCGGTATGTCTCTATATCGATTGCCTCAGATCTTATCGCATATACCTAGATGCCAAGCTCGTCTTTGAAGCCAAGCGCGAGGTCGTCAACGCGGATCGCGCCCACGAGCTCCTCGCGCCGTACGCTGGCCAAACTCACTTTCACACGATCTCGCTCCGCGGCAAGAGCTACACGATTGATGGCGCGCATGTTATGGCCGCGTTCCTCTCCAAGGTCCAAGGTCTTCAGGTCGCCGACCTCGCCGATATCATCGCCGGTCGCCCCGAAGACGAAGCGCTCCTTGTCCTCTCGGCGATCTGCGAGTCGCTCAAGGGCCACGTCCTCGACACGATCGACCTCAGCGACAACGCGCTGGGCGAGAAGGGCGTCCGCGCGTGCTTTGCGATTTTGATTCCGCAGCCCAAGCTCCAGCACCTCCTTTTCGAGAACAACGGCATCTCGGCGGCCGCCGCGGCCGTCATCGCCAACGAAGTCGTGCTGCAGACGCCTGTCTCGACGCTCAAGACGTTCTCGTTCTTCAACAACATGAGCGGCCACGACGGGTGCCTCGCGATTGCCAAGATGCTGCCCGGGTGCCCGCACCTGACGACGTTCCGCTATGCGAGCGCGCGCGCGGGCTTGGACGCGAGCCAGGAGCTCGCCCGCTCGATTGCCGCCAACCTCTCGCAGCTCGAGTCGCTCGATCTGAGCGACTGCTCGTTTGACGACGATGGCGTGAAGGCGCTCACGGCCGCCCTCCGCAAGCAGACAAAGCTCCGCGTGCTCAAGCTCCGCGACGCGTCGCTCGGCCCGGACGGCGCGGTCGCTGTGGTGCGCGCACTCGACCATGTGCGTCTGACGTCGCTCGACCTCTCGGGCAACGAGTTGGAGGACGAAGGCATGAGTAACCTCGCGAATGGCCCGCACTCGCTGGAGGCCCAGAGCGACCTGGTCGTGCTGCGCCTCGACGAGAATGAGTGCACGAGCAAGGGCCTCGCGGTGTTTGCGGATGAGATTCGCGCGTCGCTGACAAAACTCGAAGAGCTCTCGCTCTGTGGCAACGAAATCACGGCCAGCGGCGCGATTTCGCTCGTCAAGACGGGCCTCGCGACCAAGTCGCACCTCAAGCGCTTGCACTTGGACGCCAACATGATTTCGTCGGCCGGGCTCACCAAGCTCAACGACCTTCTTGCGAGCGTCGGGAAGGTCCACGTGCTGGGTCCGATGGACGAGAACGACGACGAGGCCGAGTCGAGCGACGACGACGACGACGACAACTAGAGAGATCCCTATAACACGAATGTAATTACCCTTTTTCTATCAAGACATTTCCTTGACTAGGAATTAGCTCCGACTCACTAGGAATTCGCTGCCAAGTACTAGGAAATAGCGACTTTGTCGGACTCAATTACTTTTTGGAAAACCGACAAGATGAACCGGTACGAGATCCTCGACCGGCTCGGCGATGGCGCGTACGGCGAGGTGCTGAAAGCGCGGAGCCTCAAGACGAACGAGGTCGTTGCCATCAAGCGGCTCAAGACGCTCTTCCCGACGTGGGAGGAGTGTCTCCAGCTGCGCGAGCTCAAGTCGCTCAAGGTGCTCCGGCACGACAACATCATCCAGCTCAAGGAGGTCATTCGCGACAAGGCGCAGCTCTACTTTGTGTTCGAGTACATGGACACGAGCCTCTTTAGCTGGATGCGCGGCCACGGACCGGCGACCAACGAAGCCCACGTGCGCAACATCATGGGCCAGCTCTTCGCCGGCCTAGCGTACATGCACAAGCACGGCTTCTTCCACCGCGACATCAAGCCCGAGAACTGCCTCCTCGCGTCCGATAAGACGACGCTCAAGATCGCGGACCTCGGGCAGGCGCGCGAGATCCGGTCCCGCCCGCCGTTCACCGACTACGTCTCGACACGCTGGTACCGCAGCCCCGAGCTGCTCCTGCGTGCGTCGACGTACAACTCGCCGATCGACCTCTGGGCGTGCGGCTGCATCATGGCCGAGCTCTATCTGGGCAAGCCGCTCTTTGCAGGCTCGACGGAAGCGGACCAAATGTGTCGCATCTGCTCGATCTTGGGGACGCCGACAAAGGAGAGCTGGCCCGAAGGCGTCAGCATGGTCGCGCACATGCAGTTCAAGTACCGTCTTCGACCAACTCGACGTGCGAAATAAGGGCTACGTAGGTTTCCAAAATGCAACGCCGTGCCCCTCAAGCAGCTCATTCCGAACGCGAGCCCGGCCGCGATCCAGCTCTTGGTCGACTTGCTCCAGTACGACTCGGGGCGCCGGCCCACGGCGGCCCAAGCGCTCCAGTACCGCTTCTTTAGCCCAGTCACAACGCGCGCCGAGGCCCCGAGAGAGGTCAAGGTGCCGTCGCCCGAGAAGCCAGAAAAGCCCGAAATGAAGCGCCGGTTCTGGGAACCCAAGATCGACGACGAGTGGAAGTACATTCCGCAGCCGGAGAAGGCCCATAGCAAGCGCGAAGTCTCGGTGCCGACAACGACGACCGACAATGACGAGGACGATGGCATCGTCACCGACACGATGCTCCAGGACCTTCTCGACGAAGTGCTCTGCTAAGACGACCGTATGCTGCATATGCCAGTCGTTGGAGACGAGAGTGCCATGAAGAGGTGTAGTACATTCTAGTCGAGTTGCTTGTAGTTTTCGATCATCCATCGCAGCGACGACGCGAGCGTCTTGATGTCGACCTTGTGAAGGGCGCTAGCTCCAGGTTGATATACTGATACTTGATACCAAGGAGCGTACCTGAGCGGCACGACGCCAAGGTCAGTCGCCTTGCGGAGTCGCTCGAGCTGCTCGCCGGCCCCCGGCGCGTCCATCTTGTTGGCTACGATCAGCGACGGCCGCGACGTAATGTTGGGTGCATATAGCTCGAGCTCGTTTTGCAAATGGTGCAAGTCCGAGAGCGGGTCGCGGCCTTCCGTGCCCGCCGTGTCGAGCACATAGAGCAAGATCTAGAAGAGTAATCGCTAGAGTGATCTTGTTGAGAGGAGAGTGTGTACCTTGGTGCGCTCAATGTGACGCAAAAAGTCATGGCCCAGCCCCACGTTCTTGTGGGCGCCTTCGATGAGGCCCGGGAGATCCGCGACGCTAAAGCGGAACGTATCGGGAAACTCGACGATGCCCACAAACGGGTGCAGCGTCGTGAACGGGTACGGCGCGACCTCGGGCGTCGCGCGCGAGAGCGACCGAAGCAGCGTCGACTTGCCCGCGTTCGGGTACCCGACGAGGCCAATGTCGGCGATCGTCTTGAGCTCGAGCTCGAGGTACTGCGACGTGCCGGGCTTCCCGAGCACCTTGCCTTCCGGCTACCGCATGCGAACCATGAGCGGCTTGCAACGAAGAAGAGGAAACGCACCATGGTCTTGCGAAGACCGCCATATTGGGTCGTCTTGCCCGTGAGAATGCGACTGCCGAGACCGGGCTTGCCGCCGACGGCCACCGTGTAGTTCGTGCCCGGCGTGTCGAGGTCCACGAGTGTTTCCTTGCGGTCGACAATCTCATAGTCGTCCAAGTCGTCGTTCCAGCGCTCGATCTGGCATGGTTGTCACGACATGTTCAGTTGGATGGGACGTACCCGCTCGACCGTCTTGACGATGGTACCCGGTGGCACGGGAACGATGATGTCCTTACCACGACGCCCCGCGCGGTCGTTGGCTACGTGCATGTGAGACGACGCAAGAGACGCACAGGAGACGCGTACCCATGCCGTTCCAGCCATCGCCGCCGTTAAAGTGGTGCGTGGGCTTGTACAGGTTCTGAAGACGGGCGTCGACGCGCAAGATGACGTCGCCACCACCGCCGCCGTGGCCGCCGTTCGGGCGCTTCATGCCCGCGCCTTCGCCTACGAGTACAGGATGCATGAGCACGTTGTCTCGCCCATTTAGGATGCATCGTACTCACGAAGCTCGTGCAGCCGTTGCCGCCGTGGCCACCCTTGACGCGCAGGCGGATGCGGTCAATGAACTTGCGCTTCGAGTGCTTGCTCCGGCGAATGCTCACCTTGGCCTTGACCTGCTCTTTGACGTTCTTGTTGCCGATGCTGCCAGGCTCCTGCAGCATCGCATCGTCGTCGTCGTCAAAGTCCATCTCGTCGAGGTCGAGGTCGTCAAAGTCGATGCCATCGTCGTCGTCATAGTCCTCATCGTCATCCTCATCCTCCTCTTCGTCGCCATCGCCATGATGGGCAGGGCCCTTGGAGAACGGGCGGAGGAGGCGGGCGCGGGGCCGAAGCACCCGCGGGGCCCAAGCAAGCGCGAACCGATTCAGCATCTTGATCGATTGGAGCAGAAATCGAATCCTTTCGGTGGCAAATGCTGAAAACCCACGTTTCACACATATCTGCGGAATAAACCACGGTGGTTTTCACATGCATTTCCCGCCAGGTTGCATAATTTTGCACTCGGCCGATGACCACGCACGCGTACCAGTACTACGTCCTCGCTGTGACCGGCCAAGCGGCGCTGCCGCCGACCGCCGAGACCTCGACGCCTGCAGCCGCGGCCTCGAGCCCTGCACCAGCGGCGACCGACGGCGTCCCGCGCATGAAGCTCCGCGATTTGACGTGGGCCAACAAGGCAACGTTCAATGCACTCATGGAGAAGCACTCGTTCATCGTGCTCACCGACATTGGGAAGCTCAAGGACATGTATCTGGATCTCCGGAGCGAGATGCAAGCGTTCTTTGAGCGCGAGGATGCGGCGAAAGATGCTTGTACGTCGTCGTACATCTACCGCAACGAGACGAAGACGCCCATGTGGTACGCTGGCTACGAGCGATCGCGCGTCCGCGAGTGCTTTCGCGTGCACACGGGCGACATGTCGCGGCTTCTGTGGCCATCGCCGGCGTTCGAGTCGACGTGGCTTGCGATGGTCGACCTATGACACGCTACTTGGTTTTGACAGTTTTGGCTATAGATTCAAAAGTGTCAAGCCATTTGCGACCAGAGTCTCTCGCTGACGCTCGGGTACCGCGTCCAGCGCAAGGACGAAGGCCAAGATCTCTCTGTTTGCTACGGCTTGCACTACCCCAACAAGGAAGGGACCGGCCAGTCGGACGGCGAAAACGTCTTTGAGCACGTCGACCCCAGCCTCTTTGTGATCGAGCCGGTCACAGACGTGCGTGGCCTCGATGTGTTTGACCAAGCGTCGCAGCGCTGGCTCTGCGCCGAAGACGTCTGCGTGCCGCACGAGGAGCTCGTGCTCTTCTGTGGGAAGGCGCTCGCCCGCGCCACCCAGGACCGCGTGCCCGGGACGCTCCACCGCGTCACCCGCTACGAGTCGACGATGAACGTTCCGCGCTACTGCGTCATTTACGAGCAAAAGTACGCCAACTTCTTTCCATAAGCAACTTGAGCAATGATGAAGGACCTGTTGTCCAGCTTGTCAAAGTCGACGTCGCTTCTCTCGACTCGCAAACAACGACGCAAGGCTCGGACATGCGTCCACCCGACGTCAACTTCAGCGGCCTCGCCCTGCACCACGCTTGCTGGCCATGCTCAACTTTGCGAGTGAAGACGATCAAGTTTGGGGGCCTTTGCTCACATCGATGTTCGTTCGATTCATCCCAACACAAAGTATCAAGTCAACACAAAGTATCAAGTCTCTACTGCTATAACTGTAGGGACTTGACACTATGTGTTGACATGTTGAAGGTTACATAGCTTTGCGCCACGGACCTGGGCTGGTCCTCCAATATACCAACGCGGTTATGTTGTATCCTGTGCTGCTCGTACATCCCATTTCTTATTTGCTGATAATAGCTCGTCCGTCCTGAAGAATGAACGCTTCCTTGCTCGCCAACACCACATGCAAGGCCAAGTAGTCGGGTTAGGGTACACTTAGGGTTGCGGCGTGATCGTCGAGACAAAGCCGTTGGTGGCGCCAAAGTACTTTTTGTTGGCTTCGCGCACGCGGTCCGCGGCGGCCGACGGGTTCATGAGCTCAATGCCCTGGACCGGCGTGAACGCGAGGCTCGAGGCGAGGCCCGACGTGTGCTTGTTGGTGTACGTGGCGGCCTTGAGCTTGAGCTTCGTCTGCTTCTGGGCCTTCTTGATGACGCGGAGCGTGCCGCTGCCTTCGGCGCCGAGCCGTCCGGACGTGATCCCCATCGCATTGTCACCATACTCGTCGTTGGCAGCGCCAAAGTTTTGCCGGTTGACTTCGCGCCGGACGTCGGTCATCTGCGTGCGCTCCTTCATCTTGCGGTAGCGCTTCCCGCCACGCTTTCGCCGCGGCTTTTCGTCCGGGCGCGGCAGCGCCTTCTTGGTCTTTGCCTTGTTGGGCGCCTGCCACTTTTCAAACTTGTCGAGCAGGTCGACGTAAAACTGCTGGCCGCAGCTCGACGTGCGGTGCGGCTGGCTGTCGACGCGCGCGGCGAGCGCAACTTTGCCAGCGACTACGCGGTTTGCCTTCTTGCGGAGGTCGGGCGGGAGCGTCTGGATGAGCTCGCACCCAAAGAGGATACCCGTGTGGCGCAGCGTCGAGATGCTCGAAAAGCCGGCGAGCACACGCTTTTGCTGGCCGAGCACTTGGATGTTGCAGGACGGAATGCGGCTGAGCTCGTCAATGCCACCCGCGATACCAATGAGCTGCGCGGTGATGCGCGTGCCGATGAGCGCCGAGAGGTTGGGCGCTAAAAAGTGCATGCGGCTCTCGACAAACTGGAGGATCTTGGCCTTGTCGCTGTCGAGTGATATGATCTCGTTGCACGTGTCATGCAGCATCTGCAGGTCCTCGGGCGAGAGAAGGACGCCTTTGCCGGACGACCCCGTGAGCTGGATGCTCATGACGGTCGCGCTCGGCACGAGGTCGGTGATGTCGACGAGCGTCATGTCCGTCTCGTTCGCAATGCGCGACGCGACGCGTGCGTAGTCCAAGGGCGCAGGCACGAGCGTCTCGAGGCCCGGGAACTTCTTGCCATACAGCTCAATGAGGAAGCGATGGACGACGATGATCTCGTCGTCGATGCGCACCATGAGGTCGTTGGACGCGACAATGAGCTGGTACTCGGCGCCGTCGAGCGCGTGCGTGGCCTGCGACGTGCCCTGGACCAAGTACGCGTCCACAGACTTGATATGCTCGCCGTACGAAGCCTTCTTGCGCAGCTGGGCCACGGCGGCGAGGCCTTGGCCCGAGTTGGCGGCCGCGCGCAGGATCGCGTCGACGTCGGCCTCCTTCTTCGCGGTTTCAGCTGCATCCGCGCCGTCATCGCCCTCGACGCCCATGTCGTCGTCGTCATGGTGGTCGCTCTCGCTACTGCTGCCACTGAGCTCGTCGAGATCTTCGAGGAACGAATCGGCCAGCGAGCTCATCGTCCACGCCACTGTTTGTTTGGTTTGTAAAAAAGAGGCCCCCCCCCGGGGCCAGCCCAAATTTCATTTCGGCACATGCCGAATTGACGTGGCAAGACGAGACGCAAGAGCATCTTGTGATCGCACCGACAGGATCCAGCAAACTCGACCAACAAATAGCACGAGAAGGACGATGGCAAGCGTACGTACACTCATATTCGGTTAACAACAGCGCAGTCTCACCACCGTAGTCGACCAGCAACAACGAGAACGCGCCTGTCGGACACCTGCCGAGGTTCTATGAGGCGTGAGAGCTGCTCGAGGCTTCTGGTGGACAACGTTAGTGGCTATCTCTGTGGCCCACCTGGCTTCGTGTACGGTCGGTGCTGCTTGCCAAGCCCACGCCTGGACGTCTGCCGTCATACTATCTGACAGACAGTGCAGTCATCGTGATACGTAGTGACGTCTCGGAGGTGTCAAGACCAAAGCCCTTGAGGGCGGCGTCTCGGCGATGCAAACGCTTTCGAGGACTGCCATCGACCCAACACGAGGGGCTCTTCCCAGGCACCAACAAGCAAATACACACGAACGCTTTTGCTTAGATGGTGGCAGGATCGTCGCGGCGACGGAGCTCGTAGAGTTGTATCTTTGCTTCAGTGTGGCAGGCGTCTAAAAGCGGCGACGAGAGGCGGGCGACCATGAAGGTCGGGGCACAGGAGGCCCAGAAGGCCCCGAGGTCGCGCCGCCGCTGCTCAAAGCAGATGAGGATGCGCGTCGCTGGCGAAGCGAGCGCGCGGAGTGTCTCTTGAAGCGCGTCAAAGTACATGTCGTTGTACACGACGTCGGCTGCGACAACGTAGTCGCACGCGCGGTTTGCGACGGCCTTGAGGCCCGCGCCGTGTCGCCCCCACACGAGCTCGACCGCTTGAATCGTATCGCACTGGGTCGTGTTGGTAGCAATCGCAGCATTCGTGTATGGCAGGACGTCACTCATGTCGGTAGCGACGACGTCAGCGCCAAGGCGCGCTGCGATGATGCCTAGGTCACGTTGGTGGGCAAAACGGAGTCGCTGACGACGACGTACTTGGCAGGGCGGTGCCCGCGCCGAGCTCGACCAGGCGCTTGCCTTTCATCGCGCTAGAAGCAATGCATGAGTCGGCGTCGCTAGAGCGCTGCGTACATCGAACCAAGCGTATCGAGGTAGTGGCTCAGGACGACGCCCGCATCCCAGACCTATGGCATGTGAGCTGCCGTAGCCTGTCATCGCCCTGACGTACCGTGCCACCGACATGCGCAATGTCCTGGAGGATGACGACGCTGCCCGCGGCTGCAAAGTGAAAGCGTCGCTCGCGCGCGTACGTCAGGCTCGGATCGAGGGTGCTCAGTTCGTGCAGTGCTGGCATCGCCGGATCTTGACGTCGATTAGGATATGTCCTTGTTTTTGCGCTGTTAGCTTCTCGCGGTGGCAGATGCCATTTTTAAAACCGGCAACGGCGGGTGAATAACAGCTATTATTTATTATATTATTTACCCCTGCTTGGGGACTGGTCATGCGTGCGCATATGTGTCTTGCCGTGGTATACGATGTTCGCATGCATGGTACCGCCACAAAAGCTCGCTGGTTTACGCTCTCTATCAGGTGGTACCATCCGCCCCTGTACGACGAGCGAGCCGAAGCGCTTGGTTCCGATGCCGAATTTAAGAGGTTCTGTTTGTCCTCGATTGCAAGGGCACATGATGGCTCGACGCTGACTTCAACACGGCAATAGCACCTATGCGTCCTCCATTGAATCCGCGATGCTTCACCAGGTAGCACCCCAGACCGTCATGGCGTGGGAGGGGGGAAGGTAATGATGACCAAGGTACGATGTCGAATTTGGGACGATGATGATGCCGAATTTAATCGAATCTGATTCCAGGACATTTCCTTCTTCTGGCGACAGAACAATCCGAGAAACCCTTTGACTGCAGCATGCGGGACCTCGGCGGCTTCCCATGCGCGGCCGCCTCCGTCTTGGACGTCTCGCCCGACCTATGGGCCTGCGCGCTAGAAGACAACATGCAGGTGCTTCATGGACCGCAGCAGGAGCATATCGTTCTCACGCCATCGGCGGACGATCTCGATGGGCTCATGCTCGTGGCATCGGCGCCGACCGCCTCCGTCGCCCGCTTTAGCCGCCTCAAGTCGTCGGCCGGTACTTATGACGTAGCCCTTGGGTTTGATAATGGCTTTGTCCGCGTCTTTGGGCAGTCGGGTGTCGAGCTCTTCGCGCTCCATTGCCATCCTGCGCCGATCCTGCGCCTTGAATGGACCCATCGGCACAGCACCGCCAAGGAGCTTTGGGTTCTCTACGACGACAAGACGCTTGCGATCATCGAGTGGGAGTCGGACCCGACGCCAAAGCGCTCCTGGCGCAAGTACGCGCTGCATGGTCAGACCGAGATCCTCGCCGTGCTGCCATGCACCGAGACGCGGCCGTCGCTCTTCCAAGTGCATGCACGCGTCGGCCTCCAGAACGCGCTTGCTGTCGGGTGCGACCCCATCATTGGGTTTTACCACGCCGGCAACGACGCGTCATCGATCTTGCACATTGCCCACATTGCGTCGGCCGTGGCCACGCGGGCGGCAGGCGCGGTCTGGTCGCTCGCCAAGAGCTGGGGCTGGTCGGCCGAGAAGACGCCATCGAGTGCCAATGACGTCGCACCGACACCGCTCGACGTTGCGTCCGAGCTCGGGCTCCCCAACACGCTGCGGCAAAAGGCGCGCGCCGCCGTCCTCTCTCCCCACGGCCGCCTCGCGCTCGTGCCCGACTCGCTCGGTCGCATCCTGCTTCTCGACACGTCAACCATGCTGCTCGTGCGGCTCTGGAAAGGGTCAGTCCCACTTTGAAACGCAGACTCCGTACCTTGACGTAGGTACCGCGATGCGCAGGTGGGCTGGATGACAATGGACGCCAAGTCGGACGTGCCAGGGCTCTACATGGTCTTCTACTCGGCGCGACGGGGCTTTGTCGAAGTGTGGCGCGCCCGACACGGCCCGCGCGTGCTCTGTGTGCCCGTGGGTGTGCACGCCAAGCTGCAGCTGTGCACGCTCGCGACCTCGCCCACGCACGCGTCGTGCGTACTCGTCCTCGAGACCGAGCCTGGCACGTCGCGCGTCCAGGCCGTCGACTTGGACGCGGCGAGCAAGATGGCGATTCTCAAATACTTTAGCATGGTCGGTAGCATCTTCTTCGACTCGATGGCACAGAGTATGGACGTAGGATCTCCGGCAAGAAGAGGTGTTTCATCTGCACCAACTGCTCGACAGTCTCCACGCGCTTCGAGAGGTCCCGGCGCCAGTCCCACGCGAGACAACGTCGGGGATCCTCGCCCAGATCCCGCAGCTCACGACCGGTGCCGGCATTGAAGCGGTTGTGGACGCGTTGCATGCACCGACGATGGTGCATCTTGGTGGCGACTTTCACAGCGATGCGCTTGATGCCCTCGTGTCGGTACGCGTCACTTGACGTGTCGCATAGCCCAACGATTGTAGGTGGCGCGCACAGTGGTGCTCGGCGCCGACCCGTCCTTGGAGCAGCTGCGCGCGGTCTTCCTCCTCGAATGGCAGCAGCACATTCTCCAGGCGTACGTGCAGCTGCGCGACGAGGCAACCGCCAAACGATCGGCGCCGTCCCTCTTTGACGAAGACCCGGTGCGGACGACCCTCGAACAGTGGCAGACGGTCCTCGCACGCGCCCGAACGTCGACGCCGTCGCCGCTTCCGACATCCGATCCCCCGGTGCTCTCGTGTCTTGCGTTTCTCGGCTGCTTCGCACCGCCGCTGCGACCCACGAGCGCGACGCCCGAGACCACGCGCAGTCTGTACCTGCTGCTGCAGCGCAAATTTCGTGGCGAACTGAGCTTTGGCGACTGCCTCGACCAGATGCACATGCTCGTGGCGCGTCCTCTGCTCGTGGCCGCCAACGTGACGGCGAACCGCAACGCCTGGCTCACGTTTTGCTTTGGCCCGCTCGAGACGACAGTCTTTGCTGTCACGGTACGGTCTACGCGCTCCAATCCCGTTGATAGAGTTTACCAATAGAACGTTGTGGCCATTCACGCGGCGCTGCGCCTCAGCACGAGCGACGTGGCGCTGTACACGCAGATGTTTCTCGACTGGTTCTTTCGTCTGCCGGTGGATCAAGTCCTCGCGATGACGGGCACGACCGCGTCGTCGCCGCTGCAGCGCTGGCTCGAGCCTTGGATCCACGCCAGCTCGTACCCGCACGTGCTCGAGGACAGCGATGCGTTTACACTGCCCGGTGCGCGTCTCCCAGATGGCGAGCGACGACTTAGCCGACTCGTAGAGCTCTCCCCGCCGCTGCGCAGTGTGTTTGACGCGTGTCGCAAGAGCGACAAGCTTGTGCATGTCTACGTGCTCACCAACCACTTGGACGTCGGGACACGGGCGCACGCCCATGCGCTGCAAGAGGCGACGCTCGGGCAGATTAGCGTCCTCGGCGCGGGCCTGCGCTGGCGCGTCTTGCAGCGCTGCCTTCATAAAGTCCTGTACCTCACGTGCCTCTTGCGGCTTCCCGGAAAGCTCTCGATCGTACATTGCCGCCTTTGTTTGGGTTGACGTTGACACATTGACGTAGGACGCTGTCGAGGGGGTCGACGAACTGCTGCGCGCGATCGCCATCTGTCAGCTCCAACAAGCGCCCGACGTACGAGCATGCCATGTTGGACCGAGGTCGCATCGTGCTTGTAGGTGGTTGACGCGCCTCTCGTGCGTTACGACAGCGGCGAAGAGTGGATGGCAGTATGGCTGGCGCAGCTCGAGGCCGCGTCGTCGCCGCGCCTCGTTGCATCGGTGCTTCAGAGCTTCCGCCAGCTGCAGCACGCCGACTCCCTGGCGTGCTGCCGGGCCACCGTGCTCTTTTCGGCCTGGAACACGGACCGGTCTCAAATGTCGTACCTGGAGCTCGCACTCGACGAGGTCGACGCAGTGACTACGCTGTCGACCAAGGTCGCACTCGTGGCGCACGTCTGGGAAACGTACGTCCGGACGCACGTGGCGTCCATCTTGGCGTATTGGGTTGAAGTGGCATCGGGCCGGAGCGTCTCCAAGGGCCTGCAACCTTCGATTGCGCGCCAGTTTCTCCACCTTGTCCGGCAGCTCTTGGATCTCGTGGCAGTCGACAAGCCCACCGCACCACGTACTTGCTAGTTGCCAACAAAATGTGATTGCATTAGCCTCTAGGGGAGCTCGATGAGGACGACGAGACGCTGTTGACGCCGCAACTCGTCGAGCCGATTGCATGGACGGGCGCCGACACGGACGTGTTGAGCCTCTTTGGCACCGCGTGGCCGCCGCGGTACACGCATGCGACGCTCGCGCAAAGCTTGTCGCGCATCGAGAATGTGCCCACGAGCAGCGTCACGCTGCATGGCCAGTTGCTTTCGGTGCTGGACGCGTTCTCGGCGGTGCCCGACGCTGCACTGCCGCTGCAAAAGCTCTTTGCTGCACCTCAAGTGCTCTGTGCACCCGACGGCCTCACGACGCCACCGCCGATCGATGCCGCCGACGCCTCGGCCTTGACTGCCGCGCGGTACCAGGTCGGTTACGTCTCGACCCAACTCAGTTCGCTGACGAGGCTTGTAGTTTGTACTGCGGCTGCTGCAGTCGGATGTCGCGGTGGGCTTCAACGTCGCAACGTCGTTCCAGTTGCCGTTGGACGCGATCAAGCAAGACCACGCCGTCTTTTTATATGAGAGCGGCCTCGACAGCCACGCCGAAGAGCTCCTCGGGAAGCTCACGCTGTCGCCCGCCATCTGCAGGCGCCTCGGGTGCATTGCGCGGACGCGCGTCGCGCTTGTCTTGTCACGCATGCGCAGTCGGCCCGAGTACGCGGCTTTGATGACCCGCATGCCGGCGGACGTGTGCACGTGGGTGTGCTCGTCATCGCCGCCGTTCCCGCCAGGTACGACTTCAACTCGAGAGCGACAGGCTTTTCAATTTGCATAGACAACGCGGTCATGGAGCGTGACGCGACGCCGTCGATCACTGCCACGTACTTTTTGCTCACGCAGTGTCTCCAGTGGTTTCCAGCGCCGTCACTGGAGCACACCAAGGCCACGGACATGCTCGGTCTCGTCAAGAGCCTCCTCGACCAGCTCAAGCAGGAGCGGCAGACGACGACTACAAGGATGCGAATCAACAAGTAAAATTGCAATGGTTGAGCATTTTCGTCTGCTTGTACATCGCCTACTGAGCCGAGAGCATGCATTCAGTGAAATCCTTGTGTGATTGGTTGAAAATCCTTATATTTAAACCAATCCCGTGCGGTGCAGGTGCCGTGACCGCTGCGCCAGGTAGCGTCGAGGCCGAGTTGCGTTCGAAAAATGAATGCGCTCAAAGCTTGCACGCTTGTAGAATGGACTTTGGAGAGCATGAAATGCTACTTTGCATCGTCGTGTGAGGTGTACAGCGAGAGTTATGGACCCTCCAATATTTATTTTTGGTACACGCCATGAATAACCATATATTGCCATTTTTAACATCCAGGCATGCCGCAGATCGATCGCCAAACGCGATCCAAAAATGAAATCGCCCATACTTGTCACGATGACAGAGAGCACTTCGGAGAGCACAAAACGCCACCCCGCGTCATCGTGCGAGGCGTACAGCGGGCGCTATGTGTCCTTAAAATATTTTTTATGGCACACACCATTAATAGCCATATATTGCCATTTTTAATTGCTGCGCTGCCCAGCCGATGCGCCTCCATCGCCAAACACGCTCCAACAACGAAATCGCTCGCACTTGGCAGAGCCCTAGGAGGCGCTTTGGGGAGCACAAAGCGCCACCCCGCGTCATCGTGTGAGGTGTACTACCGGACGAATCGGTCACTCTACTAAATATGGCGTGCAACATATATAGCCACAATTGGCCACGTTTTGTGGCATCCTCATCGCACCCTGCTCTTCGCATTGCCGCCACGGGTCTCTGATGCTACTACATACTAGTACTCGAGTACAGATAGTACAATTGGACATCAACCCAAATCCCGAGTTTCGAAAGCATGCATAGACTCTATTTGTATCAGCAAGACAGTCATGGCGACCGACCACAAGCCGAGCTGAAGCACCCTGTATACCAAGGTGGCATGAATGACCCACCGTATTCATGTCGAGCTCGCGCTCGCCATCTCGTACTGCTATGTAGGATAGTGCTCGGTAGGATTTGTACAGCTGTTGCTAATATTAATACCCTACGACAACCATGTAATACCAAGAGCTGCGTGCATTTCGTTTAGTGGATCGAAAACTTTTCAAAAAACTTGTGCGGGCCGTGGGTCCACTCAAAGTCGACGTCGAGGAAGCGCGGGTTGAGCGCGTTGCGACGCACCGACCACATGCCCGCGATCGCGTCGCCGGCCTTGACGTGGAAGGGCTTGCTCAAGTGGAAAAACGTCTGCTGCCAGTGCGTCGGCGTCGCCTCGCACCCGGTCGAGAACCAGAGCGGCTGCGGCAACTTGGTCTCAAACCCAATGTCAAACGAGCTCACAAAGCCGTGGAGAAGCCCGTCCGTCGCGACGCGGAGCGCAAAGGGCTTCTTAAAGTCGAGCGCAGTGAGTGTGACGCTAGGAATGTCGATCGACTCGACGAGGACACGGTCCGTGAGCACATCCTTCGGGTCGACGACCTCGATAAAGGCCTCCTGCGTCACGATGCGGTCGCGGACGGCCGTCATGTCAAAGCCGTACACCGTCTTCCAAAAGCCGAGGCGGTTCGTCGAGTCCGTGACACCTTGCTACATAACCACATGACAACCTGTCCAACATACAAGTGACGTACGAGAAACATGGTGGCTTGGTCCGGGAAGAGGAGGCCGCCCGGCGCGAGCCACTTGTCGCGGGCAAAGAGCACCGTGTCGAGCATCGACTCGTACAAAAGGTTGTAGCCCATCCACTCGGAAATGATGATGTCCACGTGGTCCACGGGCAACTTGACGAGCTCGACCTTGCCGCGGATGATGGAGATAACGTCGCCAAAGCCATTGTCTTTGACGATGCGCTGCGCCGTGACGCCCATGTCGCTGCAGTCGATACCAATCACCTTGGCCGCACCGGCTTGCGCGGCAAACATACTCAGAATGCCCGTACCGCAGCCCACGTCGAGGACGATCTTGCCCGCAAAGAGCGACTTGTTGTTCAAGATTGCGTCGCGGTAGCTGTCCGTGCGCACCTACATTGCCCATATAGCGTCCATACGATACACAAAAGGGCGTCCATACCTTGTCGGTGATCATTTCCTTGTGGATGCCGACTTGCGAGTACGAGTCAAAGTAGTACGTATCGTTGTCCTGCTCCTTCGCCTCGACCTTGACGCCCTCGTCGTCATCTGCAAGCGCGCGCACGATCGTGCTGTACGTGGCCAACTGCTCCTTGAGACGGTCGACCTCGCTCTGGAGCGCGGCGTTCTGCGCCTCCATCGACGGCGCGGCCGGCGCCTTGACCTCGACTCGAACGTCGTTGTCGTCGTCGCTGTCGTCGTCGTCGTTGTCGAGGTCCATGACACGGCAGAGCATCGGGTCTTCAGGAATGACCGGAATGAGCAGTTCTTCGCCGGCCAAGGCGTCGGCGCCGCGGGCCTGCAGCGCAGCATTGGCGCTGGCCGCATCGTGCACGCGCGCAAAGTTGATGAGGCGGACCATGCCGTAAAAGTCGAGCGACAGCGCCGACGCGTGCGCGCGAAAGTCAAAGCCGTGGGCCGTGGCCGCGTGGCTCAGGATGGCTTGCAGCTGGTTGTGACCAAAGTCGCAGAAGAAGCACTTCATGGCCTCGTCGTCCTCTTCCCAGTCCTCCCACGTCTCGGGCTCGGCCTCGTCGACGCAGACGCCGTCGTCGTCCGTCACATGCAGCTTCGTCTCGAGCATCGCCTCCATGTTGCTTTTTCAGTTGTGACGATCGAATGGCCTTGGGCGTTGACCAATCATCGCGCCGCATGGAAATCGCCTGGTTTTGATTGGCTATCGGATAGAAAGATCTGCATTCCTCGGGTGGACGTCGCGGGCTGCGAGCGACCGTCGACAGAGGCGACACCCAATGCAATAAGATCTTGGATCGTCGACTCGATCGACTATACTTCTCCGTGGGTTATGTGCCTAGTACATGCACAGTTCTATGGCCCCGAAAAAACTAAAAACTAGTTTCGTAATATCGAGTCGATCGATCGAAGCTGCATCTGCAAGCAAAGCGACTCGCCGACTCGGACTCTTTGTGTAGTACTTTAGTCGAGTTGTAGGGGTCTTAGGCCATGGGCGCGCGTGCGAAGCTGGTGTTGGTGCTTCGCGGACTCGTTTCAAACCAGGCACGGTCGCCCCCGTCGATCGTGATTTCGTTGTCGTCGTTGTCGTCGACGTTGCCGCTGCCAAAGGCGCCGTACAGAGCCTTCTCGAGGGTCGACTGGTAGTGCACATCGCCATTCGTCTCGTCACGGAGGACGCTCGCAATGATCATGTCAAAGTTGCGCTTGTAGTTCTTGAGCATATGGCGCGCGGGCTTGCGCCGCACGTCAACAATCTATCGCGACTCAGCATGCATAGGATCCCAAGTGCGCGCGTACGAGGTTCTTCTCGGCAAACGTCGGGCGAATGAGAAAGTCGCCGTTCATGCGGCCGTCGAGCACGACTTCGGTGCCCACGTGCTTGTAGAATTTCTTCCGGCGGCTCCAGCACTCGGGCTGGAGGCTCTGCGGCAGTCCGCAAATGATGTCGCCTTCGTTCACGACGCGGAACCCCAAAGGCACCTAACCGGTAGCAAGTATAGCATCGACGAGCCGCTAACCGAACGCACCGCGCGGTTGAACGATTGTGCAAAGTGGTGGCAGCCGACGCGCGGCGAGCCGTAGTTGTACATGATGACGCGCGCATGGAAGTGCGTGCGCAAGTCGAGGGCCGCGATCGTCGCGAGGGCGCCACCGAGTGAATGGCCTGCTCGATCCGAGTAGCATCAACAATCGTCAACGTTCCATGGCGTACCGGTGGTGTATACTTGGACGTGGTGCTCCGGGGCAAGGCCCTGGAGCCGATACTCGCTGCAGAGCGACCGCAGCGTCGCATGCACGCGGTCGCGGATCGAGTTGTACGCGTGGACAAACCCCCGGTGTACATACCCCGGCTTTGCGCCGTCGTCGACTACAGCCAACACATCAGGTTCCAACACACTCATCGAGTCCATATGTACCCGGCCACGGGTGCGGGTCCAATGCTATCTCGAGGTCGGTCTTGACGTTCGTCTTGGACGCGGTGCCCCGGAAGGCAAACACGATCTTGGCGTCGCCTTGCAGCACCAAGCAGTGTGTGTCCGTGCCGGCGTCGTGCAGGTACGCGACCTCGTGCATGCCGTCCCGGGCCAACGCTTCTTGGTTGCAGTAGGCCGACGGATGCAAATACTCGAGCGGATTTTCATTCTCGTCGACACTTGCTTCGTCCCGCAAGCTCAGCGTCGACCTGTAGTAGGCGAGGCGCGATGCGTTGAAGAGCCGACACGCTGTCTCGAGGCAGAAGATATGGTGCGGCGTCGAGAGCGGTTTGCACCGGAATGCGTCGGCGCGGGGAAGCCCTCGCCCGCTCTTGGTCGATGACGCACTTGTGGTCGGTGTCGTCATCGCCGGCGGCGTCGTCGGCGTCATCGGCGACAGCTCCTGGGGCGTGTGGATAAACTGCCGCTTCTCGCGAATGACGTAGCCTCGCGGAACGTCGCCCGCCGTCGCCGCGTACCGCGTCGGCGGGTAGAACGCCACGACGGCGATGTACACGAGACCCGTAAACGTACACTCGGTCATGACGCTCGTCTGCCGCACGAACGTGGGTTTGTACGCCGAGACGACGGCGTACGCGCTGTAAAAGATGACGTTGATGAGCAAGAGCGCGAGGAGTGCATACGCCATCATCGACATGAAGCGGAACGCGAGCGACTGGTACCGCGTCTCCGAGTACCGCTTCTTCTGGAGGTGCGCCGAGACGTTGAAGCAGACGCTCACGAGCAGCGCGACGCCAAGCACACACAAGCCCGTGTCGGCGGTGGCAATCACAAGGTCGATATTGGTCGTGGGCCCAAAATGCGACGATGTGGCGACGACGAGAGCGAGCCGCGCGCCGAGCACGAGCAGCACAAGCACGCACTTGACGATGATGAAGCGCGTGCCAAGGAAGGCGATCGCGGCGCCGTTCTGGAACGACCGCGGGTTGGTCTTGCGGTAGCTGTCGATGATCGTGAGGAGCGCGCCGAGGGCCAACGTGTACACCACCGTCTCCCAAATGCTGCGAAAGACGATGTACGCATTCGGAACAGCGCCGAGCCACGGTAACGTCGCGAGCACCGAGATCGGGTTGGTTTGGACGCCGAGGGCGACCAAGATGAGCGCAAAGAGCTTGCGCTCCAAGCTCAAATGCTTGACAAACCAGTGGCCGAGCGATAGCTTGGCGGACGAAGCCGGGTGCATGCGGTTGTGGTGCCGCCGAAGGCTGTAGAGGTAGTGCCAAAGCAGCCCGAGCGTGCCAAAGCCCAGAATCGCCTTCGTCGCGAGCCCGGCGGTCTCGTAGCCGTTGAGCATGGCTTCGAGCAAAACGTCAAAGGTATCGAGTGACGCCGACTCTGCGATCGACAGCGAGACGCGGTACCGCTTTTGCCGCGCGTCAAAGAGCGACGCGCCATACTTCTTCATGAAGACGCCAACCAAAGGAATGTCGGCGCAGTGCTTGTCGTCGCAGGTCGTGAGGAGCTCGTTGCTGTAGTTGGTGACAAGGTCGTCGTTGGCCGTGACGCTCAGCGTGTACCGACCGAGGCGGTGGACACCAGGACCGAGGCGCGTTGCCGTCGCCATGGAGAGCTGCAGGCTGAGCCGAACGACGTCCGGCGTCTTGGGCAATGACGGATGGTAGACATCAATGACGTGCGACCCAATGGTGGGCGTCTGCCACGTGGCGTCCGGACACGGCGTCTTGTCCAGCGCCGAGCAAAGAGCGCGGGTGCTCGACGCGTTGCGCGCGAGCTGGACGCTAAAGGGAATAAAGTGGGCTTGGGCTAGCACGATGATGATGTTGATCAAGACCAAGAGGCCTGCGAGGCACAGCAAGAGCCGGAGCACGTCTACATCACGCGATGAGCACATATGTCCAACGCTCGATCCGGATGCTACGCTTGGGCATCGTCTCCAGGTAGATTTGCGGATGGACGTTGATGACGACCGCGCGGTGCGTTCGTGCTTGCAGCGTCATCTACCCAACTGCATGAGCGGTGTTGACATGCTAGCGCAACGACAAGGACAACCTGTGTCACATCAATGTAGCTCTCGATGGAGTTTTCGACTTTGCCGCGCGGCGGGAGCGGCGTACCGGGCGAAAGCCCGACGGACGACCGCCGCGCCGGGCTGGATTCGTCGCCCATGACGTAGTCGGCATCCCGAGACGTCTCGCGGGCCGTCTCGGCGGCCGTTGTAGTCGGCGGCACCGTGAAGAGGCCCATCTGGGCTTGCGCGCGGATGAGTGCCGAGACGGCGCTGCCGCCAGCGTTGTACACCTGGGTACCGGCGTTGCGGACGTTCTCGAGGAAGTGGCCACCGAGGTCGTGGACGTGCGTCGTGTGCAAGAGGACGCGCTCGAGGAGGTGCTCGTGCTGGATCTGGTCGACGAGTTGGTTGTCGGCGTCGTCGACGTCGGCGACGTGGTGGTCCGTATCGAGCGTCTCGTTGGCCGACTTGAACGACTGGACATGATAAATAAACACGAGCACAGGACAGCCAAAGATGAGGCACATGCCCACAAGGTTGAGGAGCTGTCCGAGCACTACATTATCGACAGCATGATATCGACAAGAAGGTGATGCGCATTTCGTACGCGAGAGGCGGCAACGGCCCAAGCAAAGCGACGTGGTGCCAGGCATGCATTGGTACGAGTCGTCGCACTGGGCCACGTAGGCCATGCAGTGGCACTGGTTCACGCTGCAGCCGGGCTCGGCGCTGTCGGTGAGCAAGCTTCCGCCGCACACCGATGGCGACCACGGCTAAGAAGAAGAAGTCATGAAATACACCGCTTAGGCATGTAGCTGCGCACCGCAGTCGACGCGGCGACGACGGCGACCGTGAGCAGCAGCAGGCGCATCGTGTGTGACATCGGCGACGTTGGACAAGCCAGCACAAACACCCAGCTTGATGACCGAGAAATGGCCAATCACATGCCGAGAATCCAATGTTCAAAACAAAAATATGACCTGCGATGTTGTATGGATTTGCCTGTCTTTTTTATTTTATAATGACAAAAATAGTGTGGGATATCCAGGCGCCTTGGGCACGACTCATCGACGGGCACAGACATGGCCTTGCCGGCGATCAAGCGTCAATCCCTCTCTATAATGCGTATACATAGAGTACAAGACAGCAAACGATGTATATGGGACGTTGAATCGTACGCGTGGGCTGTAGCGAGAGCTGATCATACACTATTTAGTATTATTTCCGGATACCTGTACGGGATGGCGCCTGTCCGGTCGGAAACGTGGAAGGCAGCGATGAGCGCAAGTCAGGACACGGGCGCCGGTCGGGCCGTGCGCTTCGCCTTCACGGACGAGATCATCAATCCCGAGGGCGCAGAAGGCAGGTCCCATCAAGACGAAGAAGAGAACCAGGCGCCGCCCTCGGGCAACGCGCCGCCAGAGTCGGGGTACGTCTTGAGCCTGCTGCGGTCGAATGCTCATGCCATGGTGCAGGAACGGTCTGCTTGGCCTCAAGGTGCGCAACTTTGGCCCGTTCGTCATTGCGCAAAAGTACGAGCTCATGGACGGCACGGGCAGCGCCGTGTGGCAGGCGGCCGAGGCCATGCTGCAGATCATGACGATGCCGCAGTACCAAGGCATGCTGCACAACCGCAAGGTACACATGCGATCCTGCCAGTTGCATGCGTCAAGAGCTAGCATGAATAGGTGCTTGAGCTGGGCGCGGGCACGGGGGTCAATGCGCTGGCGGCGGCCATGTGGAGTGGCCACGTCGTTGCAACGGACGGCGACCTCGACTCGGTGTCGCTCATCGAAGAAAATGTCAAGCAAAATCAGCTCCACCTGCCGCGGTCGCCAACGTATGTCAATGTTCCAAGCTCAAGTCATGCGTAGGCCCATTACGGTGCGACATCTCGAGTGGGGCAACCAGGCGCAGATCAAGGGACTCAAGCACGAGTTTGGTCTCTTCGACGTCATCCTTGGCAGCGACGTGCTCTTCAACGCCATCGAGGGTCCTCTCCTCGTCACCGTCTACGAGCTCTGCGGCGTGCATGGCATTGTGATCCTCACGCACACGCCTCGCGAGACGGCCCGGGAAAACGCGATCCTGCAGAGCTTCACGCGCTACTTCAACATGACGCAGGTAGTCGCCTCCTCCAAGTTTTTCATCGATGACGCAGGCATTTCCTAGTCCATGGTCACTGGCACCAACGTTATTTGTACTATCTTATCGCGCAAGGTCACGACCTACTATTAAGGCAACTAATCATTTTCCGTTCTATTTAGTTTTTGGTTTTGATACGGAGTTTAAGGTGTGACATTCCAGGGTGCGAAGAGCAAACACTGTGGCACGACAGTGCTAGCTCTGCTGTCGCCTCGTCGTCCTTCCACCACGTTTAAGAGTGAACAGACGCAGTACATGGTGGCGTCTACGACCGATTCGGTCGAGATGTGGCTTCTTGGGTTGTAACATCCTTCACTTTTGGCGAGCTCGCGCCGAGTATAGGAGCGTGGGAAGGGATCAATAGGGAAATGGATCGGTACGCAAGGACGAGTGTGACTCGAAAGAAAGCGGTACCTGCGATCTACGCCCGGTTGTGTGGTGGTATCCCGGTGAGCAATCTCGCGCCGCCAGCGTTCCAGCACAACCACCAGGCGATCGCCTTGTCGGTCGCAAGCACGCTACCAGCTGGGCTTCAGGCTTTAACGATCTGCCATGCACCCTTGAACGAGAGCGCTACCGACAACTCGGTACGACCCAGCATGCTTCACCAATGTTCACTCGCCACGCCAAACCACCTCGTGGGCTAACCACCCTTTTTCAAGATCGAGCGCAAGAAAAGGCTTCTATCCGAAGTCGTCTGTGTCACTGCGACCACGTCGTGATAAAACTTGTGGGTTGTACAGCTGTGCACCCGACTCTCTGGCCTCGTCAGTGAATCCAGGGCCAACTCGTTTCTAGCTCGTCAGTGCTGCAAATATTCGCGCCATCGAGCACGACGTCAAGCACGTGCAATAAGAAGCCACACTTTTCGTATAGCCATGAGCCTCACAGTCAGCAACGGGTCGCCATTGATGCGCGCCGCAACCTCGAAGGACACGAGCCTCTTGGACGCCTCGTTCCTCGCTGCCATTGACGACGCTGTACGGTTTGAGCCCAAGCTCCCTGCCTCGGCACTGGAGCGCGCGCTCGACCACGACACGAGCTGCAACTGCGCAGAGCACCGTCGTCACCACTACCGAGGCGACGACGCCACGTCACTGGACGAAACCAAGCGGCAGCGACGCCAGCGCGCGATCGAGAAGCGCAACCAAAAGCGACACATCACGCCGCAGCGGCCCGCCCTTCGCGCACCGACTGTCCTCGTCGACACTCGAAACAACCGCCTCGCATCCGCCAAGTACCGAGCGAATTGCCGCGAGCGCACCCACCGCGTCGACGCCACGATCCAAGAGATGCTAGCGCGGTACCCAACGTATGGGATTGACGCGTACGCGCCGACGCAGCTCATCAAGAGCGAGAGGCGACATGACGAGTCGTTGGACGCGTACCGGAAGCGCACGAACCGCGAAGCCGCCGACTTTTCCCGTCAAGAACAGCGGCGCAAACTGCAGTTTTACAAGCTCCAGCTCCAGCTCCTCACGACACGTATCCTCTCGAACGAAGACGACTACTGCTAATGTATTTACTAGAGTCTCGTTTATCATGATAACTCGGCCCTCTTCACACGATGAGGTATATATATATGGAGCAGTGTCCAAGTCGACAACACGATGCAGTGCTAGCCCAAGTCAAATGCGCGGACGAAATCACCGATAGTGATCAAGGGGACAGAACATTTCTTGAAAGTGATGGACAATCATCATCACGCATCTAACTCGATGTCTCCAACTGCCCGAACGTCTGCCCGTACTTCCAGGCTACAATCGTGAGCTACAATCAAGGAATATCCCTACAATGATAACTGTTGTATCCCGGGCGGCTTCATGTTGTGCTACAATTGTAGGGCGATAAAGAGTCCATAAACCCGGTTTTATGTCCAAGCAAGCACAATAATATGGCGCGCCGGCGTGCGCCAAAAGGCATCAACGTCCCGCCGCAGCTTCGCCGCACGTTCGGCGGAGCCCTCCACCGGCCCCAACGGACCGCACCCTTGAAAGATCGCCAACGACCAATCGGATCGCGCGGCTGTCAAGGTGGCGTCCGAATCATTTGCGATCGGCCATGTCGGTTCCGCTGCCAACATCTCCGCACGACGACTGCCCGACGCTTACGGCGAGCCGCGTTGCGCTTGCGAAACTGCACCGATCTCGTCTCGGCTCGACGACGGACCGGAGCAGCACGATTCGCTGGCCTACTGACCTCCACTCGGGCGTGAGCCCGAGCTTTGACCGGCGCCGGCCGTCCGACGCGATCGTGTCGCCCTTCTTGAGCGCCGCACGCTGCGGAAGCGCGTCAGATGTCGCCAAGTACCTTGAGATTCAAAACGCCGATGAGTGGAGTGCGGTCGACCCGACGACGCAGCAGAACGCGTTGCACGTCGCAGTCGCCCACGGCCACTTACACATCGCGAAGCGTCTCTGTAGCCACCCGTATGGCGCCCGCTGGCTTGCGGCGACCGACGTCCAGCTCAACACGCCGCTGCATGTAGCTGCAAGTACGTCGCGTCGCTTGACGCAGCTGCTACTTGACGCCGGTGCCGGAGTGAACGCGCTCAACCAAGCGTGCGAGACACCATTGAGCATGCACATTGCGAGCACGTCCAAGGACGACCCGGGCCTTGCCGAGCGCTTGCTGCAGCACGGCGCCGACGCCAACGCCGTCATTCGCGGCGAGTCACTTCTGCACGTGGCCGTCGACCGCGGCCTGCTCAACATTGCGTGTCGCCTCGTGCGCTTTGGCGGTCGCCTCGACACAAAGGACGGGCACGGGCGCATGGTGTTTGACAAGGTCAACGCCAAAGGCAGCCGCAAGCTCTTTGCGTACATTCCGTCGCCATTGCCGTGGGTCCCCGACGACGCCCGCGACCACTGCATGGAGTGCATTCGTCGCTTCAGCAAGCTACTCGTGCGCCGCCACCACTGCCGCCACTGCGGTCGACTGTGCTGCGCGTCGTGTGCGAGTGCCTTTGTGCTCATTGAAGGCTCGCCGCTCCAACACAAGCCCCAGCGCGTGTGCGACCCGTGTTTTGGTGTTCTGAAAGGGTACTACGAGGCCGACGAAGAGGCCAACGTCGTCCGCTCCTCGCGGGCCAGCCTTGTGTATAACCAGCTCGTCGATCGCTCCTCGTCTTTGGCCGCCGCGCGGTGAGAGTCGTCGCTGACCTTTCTTTAATCCGACATTGTTTTCTTGCACATGGGCTTGTATCGTGCAGCTTGGAGACCGATCCGCCACGTTGGGCTTGGCAATGAAGACACGACGGCGCAAGAGACTGCGGTAGAATATCTACATGCATTGCGCCTTATTCAAGGTAGTTTTAGCCAAAGCCGCCAAACGTAATTTGGGTCATGGCGACCGTCGGCTTGTTCTTGAGACTGTCGAGACGCTCGCGGTACGCCATGCCGTACTGGACGCTGTCGCGGCGCGGGGCCGGCGCGGCGTTTTGGGACAGTGGGCGCACGGGCACGGCCACGTCCAAGTGCTTGCTCGAGTGCCCCATCATGAGGCGCGCGGCGGCGGCGACCTGGGCCGGGCCCGGCATCGCCAATGGTTTCTTTTCCTTGAGCTCGAGGTGGTGCAGTTTGTCCGTGCCCGTGTAGCCAAAGCAGTCGCGGCCGAGCTCCTTCTTGCTTCCGCCTTTGAGGATCGGCGGGAGCTTCGTGCCTTCGTCGCCCTTGCGGTGGAGCGGCGCCGTGAGTCGCAGCAGTTGATCGTGGATGTTGCTCTGGCACGCTTCGAGCATCGTCTTGTAAATTGCGTTTTTCGCTGTTGCGATCGGTGGCGGGTACAACCGTACAAAGTCGACGAGCTCTTCGCCGTCCCACTGGGGTGCATAGTCGAAGACGCCTTTCGTGTACTTGGCCGTCAAGCTTTTGTGGAGCTCGTCTTGATTATGCTCAAACTTTTGTACAATGAGGGGAATGTCCTTGCACTTTTCCAGGTTCATGTCTGTGTAGAACGCGAAAAGGGCTTTTGTGAGGTCATCGTGGGACAAGGGTGGCGGTGACGACGCGGGCGTCGCATTCGTCTCGGGGCCGTCGCCGTCTTGGTTGTTGTCGCCATCATCGAGCGCTCTCTCGCCGCCGTAAAGGCGCTGTTGGAGGTGTTTGGCCTGCGAACTCTCGTAATTCGCCTTGTCGTCGCCCGAAATTTGCATAATGTCGAGCGTTTGGTTGAGGAGGCGCTCCTTGATGTTCCAGTCGAGCGGCGAGTCGCAATGAAAGCTCGGCAAATGGTTGACCTCGAGCAGCCACGGCTTGAGGTGGTCGTCGACGAGCACGTCCATGCCAAGGACGGCAAAGCTCGACGATGCGACGTTCGGGGGGTCGTCGACGCGCTTTGGAAACTTTGCAAATGTGCTATGGTACTCGTGCGCGATCGTCGGCTGGACGGCGAGGATCGACTTGAGGCAGATGTCCCCGATGCCTTCCCAGAGCGCGTCGACTTTGGCGCTGTCGTGCGTCTCGCCGAGCCACGAGAGGAACCAGCGCAGCGACCGCTTGCTGCCTTGGCCATCGACGGCCTCGTGCTTGTTCTTTTCAAAGTTGTTGGAGCGCTTATTGATCGCATAGTTGGTGAGGTGCATGAACTTTTGCTCCATATTGGCCGCATTCGGCGCCGTGTAGTCGGCCGTGCACATGCGCACGAGACCGTCCTGGAAGAGGTACACGCGCAGCGGCGAGATGGACGAGACGAGCACGTAGATCCGCAAGTCAAACTTCTTGCCGCCAATGAGGAGTGGCGACGGCAAGTAGCGCTGGGCGACAAATATGTCGGTCTTGTTGACGTCCTTGAGCTGCTTGGTGAGGAAGACGCCGCGGCCTTGGCACGAGTGGTCGGGCTTGATGATGAAAGCGCGTGACGACGTGCCGTCCGCATTAAACTGCTGCGAGAACTCCGTGTAATCGAACGGCAGGATCCACGTCTTGGGGCAAAAATCGTACTCGGACGGGAAGAGCTTGGTCATGCGCTGGAAGTTGCGCGCGAGCTTCGACTTGCGCGCCAAGTTGGACATGCCAGGAAAGTGGTTGACCTTCTGGAACGGCTGCATGTGCTTGAACGTATTGAGGAAGTCGGGCACGTCGATCCAGTGGACGTTGCAGCTCGCAATGCCCGCCTTGTCGTCTTCGTCGCTGATCATCTTCCACCCGCGGTCCTTTGCGATCTTCTTGATGACCTCGTACTTGGCCAGCGTCATGTTGATCTTGATCCGGCGCGGCTTCTTCGCCCGCTTCTCGGCCATCCTCGCGAATGTTTCAGTGGCCTAAATTTAGGCTCCGAGCGTCTCCTTCGTTTCATCCGAGTCAAAGAGACAAGATGGCGGCGCGACGACGAGCGCGGTGGCCGCCAGAGATCGTCGATCTCATGGACAGTACCTCAAACACTAATATATCTCGTGACCCTTACTGCGCTATCAACTACGATCGTACTAGAGTATCTCGATCACTAAACGAGTCATAATTGTAGGAGGACCGATCACGAGGGTTGAGTGGGTCCGTAGGTCGTCCATTCCGCTAGCAAAGGCAGCTCAACCTCGCGATACGATACCAACGCAAAGCACGTCAAAGTCCTCCATACGTTCCAAGATGTGGCAAAAAGGAATCTCGCCGTCGTCGCCTGCGTCGTCGTCGTCTTGAGCGCTGGAGGTTGCGAGGGTAGGAGGTGGCCACTGCATAGCATCCAGGCTTTATGCAGCGAAGACTTCCAGCTTTGTCTGTAGCTGAAGCACTACTGCTGTTGATAGCATGGGGTCATGGAATCTCGTCCGGTGCATGATCGACGTCTCCACGCTAACGTGGATGGGTCGACGCTGTTTTCAATTGGGACTTTGCCGATTGTCGTTGCGTGAGATTCGGATTTTGTGGGGTGCGGGACTGGCGCGCAATACATTGGGGGGCGCGTAGAATTCGGCAAAGTCCGAATTGAACGGCGTATAAATAAATTGCGGTAAACCACACAACCCAATTTGTCTCTCCTTTGCATGCAAGGAGGCGATCGCCGCTGAGCTCGGTCCGTTCTCGTCGCAGTTGATCCAAGCAGTAGCAGACCATGGCATCTCCCGCCGAGCCCATCAAGTCCTTGTCCGACAGCGGCAGCAACAGCTCGTCCGACGGCAGCGACAGCGACAGCTCGTCGTCCAGCGACTCGTCGTCGTCGTCCGAGTCGGAAGCCGAGGACAACGCGTCCGAAGCCGCGCCATCGGCCGCGCGCGCCGTGCCTGACGCCAAGCCCGTCATGAGCTCGTCGCCGGAAGCCGCCATGCCCAACCGGAACGCGATCCGAAAGGCCGTGGCGGACAAGGAAGAGTTCATGCCCCTCGGCACGCGCAAGCGCGATCGCCGGTCTATTGAAGAGATTCAGCGCGATATTAGCAAGAAGAAGGGCAAGGCGTCGACCTTTTCGTCCATCGCCAAGGAGCCCAGCAGCGACGCCCGCCCGCATGCGGTTCGGCGTACGGTCTCGCCGGCGCTGCAGCCCATCGCCGAGGCGGGGCCGATTCCGCTGCCGACGGCCGATCTCAAGGCCAAAGTCAAACCCAACTCGGCACGTGCGCGCTTGACACAGAAGCTGGCCGGTCGTGGAGGCGGCGGCCGCGGCGCGGCCAAGTCCGCGCCCAAGGCGGCCAAGACCACGAGCGCCGTCTCGATTGTCACCAACATTAGCCGGCCTTCGAAAAGCACGACGGCAGTGACAGCCTTCAGTGCACCTGGGGGATCGCCGCTGCCCGATGCCGATCCGGCCGACCTCCTCGCCGGTACGTACGACGTCAATAGCGTCGTCGGACTCACGCGATGCTAGATGCGCGAACGAACCCGAAGATTGTCCGCACGATCCACAAGGCGCTGCAGCGGTACGGCGACCTCACGGACGCGCCTGGCTGCAACGAAGATCAGAGCTCGTTCGGCGACGAGCTGCGGCAGCCCAACTACATTGTGCGAGCCAAGCTCTGCAACAGTCTCAAGCTGCCCGACGACATTATCCAAACGGTCACGAACGAACTCGTCGGGCTTTGCCACGCGAATCTCGCAGAGGAGACTGTCAAGTTTGGCGACGTCGACATCAAACCCGCCGCGCTCATCGAGCGTCTCCAAGAGAACCTCAAGCTCCGCGTGGCGGTCCAGCGCGCCCTCAAAAAGTCGGGCAACCCGAGCCAAGGGTAGCCTATTCCCTCTCGACCCGATCTCAGATTCTGACTAGCGCCTATGGGCTTGCGACCTCACGCCGGGACCTTGTCGATCTTGGCATTGAGCAAATGCCCGTGTGGGGCTACGTGGAGAAGGAGTGCGACTGGTGCCCGGCCAAGGACCGTGCGCTGCTCCTTGGCGTGTACATCCACGGCGTCGGGTACTGGGAAGACATCCTCGGGGATGCCAAGCTCGCGTTTGAGAAGCATCGCGTGCTCACAGGCACACGCCTCAAGGGCCGCGCCGAAGACCTCTTGCGCAAGCTGCCGTCGCCATCTGGCAAGCCGCTGTCGACGCCGTCGACGTCCGACTCGATCCGTCGCGAGCACGTGGCCCAGCAGCCAACGCCGTCGTTTGGCGGCAAGCAACTCCGCGTGCTGCCGCCGGCGCCGGTCGAGAGCGAAGAGGAGGGCGAGATCTCGGCGGACGAGACGAGTGGCGCCAACACGGTCATGCCGCGCTACGGCGGCAAGAACATTCGCATCATGCCGCCCCAAAAGCCCATGAAAGTCCTTCTGACGTCCGAGCAGCTCGTCACCAAGTGGGACCCGAAAGCGCTTCTCAAAGACGTCAAGTTGACGCTCAAGAAGGTCCAAAAAATCTCATCGTGGGGCGAAGACCACAGCGACGACGTGCTCGTTGAAAAAGTGAGCAAGTACCTCGTCGAGATTGGCGGTGTCATCGACAGCCTCGTGTGTCGCGAAGACGACTTGGCGATGGACGAGCTCGCGACGTGCCTCTGGGAGTACGCGGCGACGTTCACGCCGTTTTCCGCGCTGCACTTTGAGCGCCTCTACGACGACATGGTCGCCGACGCCGCCAGCCTCCGCGCCTAACGCACCCGACAGCAGCGCGTTGCATCTCGAAAAGATAAATTATTATAAAATACCAATGTCGCCTACGCACGGCGCGGCCGCTTGGCATCTGGCGCCGACGGCGTCTCGGCCGGGCGGCGGCGCGACGCACCGACCGCGGGCCAATTCAAAAACGCGTCGACCGCAAAGGCGGCAAATGGACCGTGGACACCGCAGTGGTTGAGGACGCGCTCGAGGGCCGTCGCCGTCGGCGTTGTTGCATCCACGAGCAACGAGCGCAGGTCTGTCACAAACTGGCGCGCCATGTGCCCGAGAAAGTCGACCACCGTGTCCATAAACGCGACGGCCGACGCGTGCGTATGCGACGTGGTGACCGTCGTCGCACGAATGCAGAGGTGGATGAGCTCCGGGATGAACGGCGAGACTCGCTCGACGAGCTCCGAGAGCACGTTCGTGCGGAAGACGGGCGACGGGAACCGCGGGCCGCGCCCGACCGCATCCCGAAGTGCGTTGATAAAGCGAGTCGACCACTCACGGTTGCTGCCCGGCGCCATCGGCGGCATCTCGGGGCCTTCCAACATGCGCGCACCAATGCGGCGGAGGATGGCTTGAAGGCTCGCGCGCTGGCCGCTCAAAAGGCCGTAGAGCTCGTACGCCGGCACCTCGACCATGAGAAACTGCGCAAAGCCCTCAAAGTCCCACTGCGGCGACGTTGGTGGCGCAGCGACAGCAGCAGGAGGGGCGGCAGCGGCCTCTTGCGGGGCCGCGGTCGGAGTCGGCTGGAGCATCGGGATGACTTGCCAAATCGGAATTGTTGCTTCAAATTCGAAATGGTCGTGGTCGGCGCCTTCGGGGAGGCTCTCGCGAAGCTGCTGAAGGAGCCCGGCCGGTAGCGGGATCTGCGCCTGCACAATGCTCGGGCCGTTGTTGCTACCATTGGCATCGCCCGTGGCGGCCGAACCGCCGCCGAGTTGGTTCATCATGATCGAGTACAGCTGCGACATGCGCTGCGCCCGCGTCTCGTCGGTCGGCGCGTTCTCGTTTGGCGGTGCCGGCGCTTCGGGAGCGCTGGGCTGGTCGGCCGACGTTGGGTTGAAGGCGTCCGTGCTGTGGAAGCGCAGAAAGAGGCGACGGCTCATGAGCGCAAGCAGCTTGCAGAGATCGCCAAACGCTTGGAGCGTCTCGATCGCACGCACGAACGGCACCACCAACGGGCCTTGAGCCGCGCGGTCCTCACGGAGCGCATGAAGCTGCTGCAACGTGGTCGGGATGTGCGCCAGTTGCGGCTGGAAGCGCTGGAGCAGCGCCACGTACGAAGCAAGTTGGTCTCGAAGCGTCTCAAAGTCGGCGTCGTTCAGCGCCGGCATGTTCGTGGCGTCGGTCACGCTCGTCGGAAAGGCGGTTTCTACAGCACGATCGTACCCTGCGCTCAGATGGGACGAGCACAAGTACCTGCGTTGTCCAAGTACTGCGAGATCGTACGCAGCGTGCTTTCGAGGCGGCTGGCGCGGGAGCGGTTGCTCGATGCACGTCGGACGACCCGCTCGAGGGTTGAAGCACTCGCAGGGCGCCCGCGCGCCCGCGGGGCTTCTTGCGGGGCATGCGCCGGTTCCTGTTGTGGCACCTCGCCGTTCTCGTCCTGCAGTCCTTGCACTGTGCTCATGATGTTGGAGAGGATCGACTGCAAGAAGGGCATGCCCCGCTGGCCCTCCGGAAGCGTGATCGTTGCACCCATGAGCACGCGGTTCATCGGCAAACCACCAGTGTTTGCCGATGGGTTGAGCAACGACGGGTCCGGCTCGTCGTTCGTCGACGAGGTGCTGCTTGCGGTCGGCGATGGCGTCGGTGCACGCTGTGGTGCTTGCTCGGGCGTGGCCGATGCTTGGTCTGCGTCCAAAGGCCGGATCACGAGGTGCAACGTGTGTCCATCTTCAAGCGCATAGAACGCCAGATCGCGCTCGTTTTTGAGGACCTTCCCACGGAAGATGAGGCGCTGGCGGTCCGAGACGACGCCTGTCTCGTCCTCAATCTTGCGCTTGAGCTGTGGCACGGACGACGACGCGAGGAGGTTCACGCGGTAGACCCGGTGGTCGAGGGTCTTGACGTTGAGGTCGATGCTGCCGGCGGTTGACGCCGATGCATGTCCCTCTACCTGGGGTCCTTCGCCAGCATCTTCATGCGTCGTCAATCGGTCGTTCATGCTGCGCTCGTCGTCCTGCTCTTGCTGTCTTCCCCGGTGCAAGCGGAAAGAAAATCTCGGACCGACGGCGACGCGCTTTTTTAATGCAAAACAATATATGGAGGTTTGTATCCACTCCGTGTGATTTTATTCCGAGCGACTGGATGAGGGCGTTTTATTACAAATGTTTATGTTACATACGTCAACCAAGACAATGCCCACGAATTCGTTTTTATTGCAGCCCGGTCCACTGCCGGGATCTTTCTCGCATGGTGATCGTACTTGAGCACGCTTCCAGAAGCCATCGAGCACCCGCGATTAGTTACTTGGTCATGTACTAACTAGTACATACTCTCTCGATCCGGCTAACTCCAAGTCTCTCATTGTCCCAAGCTTCAGCAAGCCGGTCTTGTGTGCTGGATGCGCAAGCCTTGGAAGCGAGACCGACCCGTCATGGTCCAGGCATTTGTGAAGGTCAAGTACCATATCTAGACGCCCTTGAGTGCTGTCAGGGCAAGATGGCATCTTGACGGCGGTGCGATGCATCGACCGAGGCAGGAGAGACTGTGCATGAGCTTGGAGATGACATCATGCATTGTCTAGCACGTTTGGCATGGCGATGACAACAGACTCGCTCGATTTCCCTGACTCGAGATGAAGGTAGTAGACAATTTGGCTTGAGGCAAATCTCGTGTTGGCCAATCAAACAGCATAGAATGTAGAATGCGATTTGACCAATCCACAGCACGTATTTCGTGTGCACGGCCGTTCATTGGTGCAGCCTAAAATTCGAACGCGTTCACGTCCTTTCCACTACACTCAGCGCTGAGCTTTCCTGAGCCATCAAGCAGCTCATTCCGCTCAGTGTGTGGTCTGAACGAGCGATGCAGTCATTGTTTGTGGTGACGTGTTCCGCCCTATCACATGCACGATCTGCGCGGCGAGTGGCCAACAGGCGGTGGCAAGTGGCACATGCCGATTTTTAGTTGTGAGCGGTAGAGCAGCGGTAGAGGCCAACGCGATGCTCCGAACGTTCTATGGGCGCGCGACGCTGTCGGCCGACTGGAGCGGCGAGTACGAGGAAAAGTCAGCGGGCTGGTTCGAGCTCTTCCTCGACCTCATCATGGTTGCGGCCTGCTCCAACGTTGCCGAAGGCCTCAAGGAAGACGTTAGCGTCCATGGCCTCCTCCTCTTGGGTGCGATGAGCCTCGTGTACGTCTCGGTCTGGCACATGTACACGCTCTTCAACGCGCGGTATAGCGAGACATCGTTGCTGCACTATCTCTTCCTGTACGTGCTTCTCGTGGGCCTTGGCACGATGGTGCTCTCGTCCACACCGTCGCCGACCTTTACAGTTGGCCTCATCGTCTTGCGCTCGTCGATTGTGCTCATGAAGCTCTCGGTCTACGGCTGCCTCCCGCGCGCGCGCTCCAAGCTCCGTGTCGATATTGTCCTGCAGCTGCTCTCGATCGCACTCTTGCTTGCGAGCTTGTACCTACCGCCGTCGTTCACATTACCGGCGTACTTTCTTGGCTTTGTGCTCGAGTGGGTCATGCAGTTTGCCTCCGCGATCTGGCTCAGCTTTCGCACCGTGCACGTCCCCCTCAACATTGACCACATGAACGAGCGCGAGGGCTGCCTCGTCATGGTCACGCTCGGCGAGTCGGTCGTGAGCGCGGTCATCAACAGCCGCGACCTCGAGCTCACGCCGCGCTTTTACGTCGCGATGCAGCTCTCGCTCTTTGTGATCTTGTCGCTTGCGATCTACTACTTTTCGCTGCAGCCGCCGCGCGAGCTCCACGCACTGCGCCGGTCGTACGTCACCGGCTTTGTGTTTACGTACGTCCACTTTGCCCTAGTGCCGACCTTGCTCGTCGTTGGCGTTGGCACCAAGCTCGTGTCGGCGGCCGTCTTGGCGAACGCGCTCTTGGCGCCAACGTCCGTATGGCTCTTCTTTGGCGCGATTTCGGCGGCGATGGCACTCATGCTTGTGCTGCGTGTGCTGCACTTTGGTGGCCGCCAGCCGGAAGCCACCGACCCGCCGTGCGTCAAGCGCATCAAGTATGCGTGGTGGGGCATCTTTGTCGCATGGCCCTTTCTGCTCTTGGTATGCGCGTACGTCTTGACGTGGCAAGGACCCGTGGACCCTATTACTGCGCTCAGCGTCGCGGTCGCATGCGTTGTTGTGTGGCTCGTGAGTGAGACTGCCATCATGCACCTCCTCGCGGCCACGGGCTACGGCAACATCGACCATCTTCTCGCCGAGAACGGCCCGCTGCTGTCCAAGCAGGACTCGACGCTCTAGTACAACATGGTCCATGCTAGTACGTTGCTTGGCGTTGGAACTCACTACGCATGTCGTCCGCAAGTCGATCCCGCCCCACCGGGTCATTGTCATTTCAAGCATAAAGCGTGATGTCAAGCAATGCCTTGTTGCTGACCAGGTCGTTGGTCCACAAGCAACGCAAGTTGTCATGGGAGAATGGCACAGTGATTTTTTACTGTCGGCTGGATTCCAGAAGCCGTGGTCTATCCGTCGAGTCATTTGGTGTCGTCGGTGGAGATGACTACCTCAAACAATATCTTACAGCATTTGTAGCCGGCGGGGCCGTGTCAATGATCAACTGGGAGCTTTCATTGCGAGATCCCCATCCGGTAGACGCGAATCGACGCTGTCGACAAGTGGCTCATCTAGTTTACACTCTTCATTTTCAATGGCACAAGAGCCTCGTGAGCAGTATGCAGCCTTGCAGCGCTCCTTCCGTTGCACTGGTGAAAAACTTCAACGTACCATCGCATTACGACTACGACGCACAACGACACTGGTGATATCAACACGTGCGTGGCGCTCGGAAGCGCGCTGGCTTTCTTGCTCCAAGATCAAGAAAGGACACCACCAGGAGCAACGCGTAGCAACTCCCAAGTCTTTTTGTCTTACACGACCTAGTCAAGTGCTTTCTGTGGGCAGAAACGACTTCGACGTACGGGCGGTGGTCCTTCACGAATCCGTCTACCATACTTTTGTATCGAGGAGATCCACAATCTCCTCGCACTTGGCGTTGACATAGTCTTTCGAGAGCGCAAAGACGGACGACGACAACGTGAGGCGGTAGCCGTACGCGCGTCGCCCGGTGTCGCTCACATATTCGTCAATCTTGAGACACGAAACCTCGACCTGCGGCCCAAAGACCGTGTCCAAAACGGGCGCCAACTTGGCGTCCGAGAACCCGTCGTTGATCCAGAAGCTAATGTCGCGCGACCACGTGAGCGGAAAGCACGAGCTGTGGCCGATCGTGTCGCGGCAAAACACGTGCGTGAGCCCGGCGTGCGTCCGGAAGGCCTTTTCTTGGAGGCGGTGGCCGACGCTGTTGTAGCCGAGCTGGAAGAGCGCGTCGACGGGCGCTTCGTGGACGTCGTAGAGGAGAAAGCTGGCGCTCGCAGCGCACTGCGCGACCTGCCACGTGTCCCCAAAGGCGCGGACAATGGTCTCAGCCGGCGTGCCGCCTTGGCCCGCGCAGAGGGTGACCCAGATTTGACCGTGCGGAGCGAGCACGTGATGGCAGCTCTGGAAGAACTGCGTGAGGAGCTGTCGGTGCTTGTTGATCTTGTTGCGCTTGTTGCCGCCCTCGGCGTAGTGCGGAAAGTTGAACACGATGCGGTCAAATGGCTCGGGACCCAGCAAGTCTCCATACGTTTCGAGCTTGGTCGCGTTAAAGTCGTGAAGCACTGAAATGTTGTGGTCGCGGATCTCGGCCAGCTTGGCGGCCGAGCCAGGGTACATGCGCGCGAGCTCGTCCGCCGTGTCGAGCGACGTGGCGATGATGCGCAAGCGAGGCAGCGGTCGGCGCTGGCGCTCGGCGTGTAGGTGCCGGGCCAAAGCGCATGTGTAGGAGAAGTTGCCGTCGCCGACAATGAGCACGGACGCTGGCGCATTACCGACGAGGACGCCGAGGTCCGTGAGGTCGCCGACTCCTGCGCGCATGCTACGGCCAATTGGAATGTATCCAATCACAGTGCGCGAATCCAGTCGACATGGACCAATCAGCGTTGCCTATCATCTGCCAGGAAGACAAGCTTGTGGAAAACTCAAGCAGCATCGATCGTGTGCTTGGACCAGCGATGCTCGTCCAAGCAAGCACTAGAGCTGCTCATGGGCTTTCTGAAGCCTTTTGTTTGGGTGTTGGTGTACGCACGTACGCGGCAGGGACAATCGGCGGTACAGCCCATTGTCTTAGTTGATTCCCTTGCTCACGACTCAAAACGCAACGATCCACACGGTTTTGCCACGTATTAATACACTCAAACCTTAGTTCATTACGTTGCGCGACGAGTTGACCCGAAGCACGAGCGGTGAGAGCTCCGGGGTTCGAAGTCCTGTCGTTTCACTGAGCACGGCAAGATAATTCATGATCGCAGTTTCCGAGAAGATCCAAAAGAGGACACAGGCCGCGGCCGCGCCCAACGCGATGAGCGGGTCGACACCGCGCGGGGCCATCACCATGAGCACTTGGCCACTTGCAAGCGGGAGAAGCGGCCAGCCCACCATGAGAGCCCACCAGCCACGGATGATGCGCTTCACATTGGGCCGGTCTGTTGTAGCAGGCTGTGCGCCCCAGTAGTGCAGTCCGCGCAACAGAAAGATCCACACCATGCAGAGCGCCATGGCGCCAAATAGCAGCCACACAACCGCCACATCGAGCTTCTCATTGCGCAAGACCGCTTCCGCGATGAACTTCATGCTGACGCCCAGCGCCAGAATCGTCGGGAGCAACAGCACGTGGAGAAGCGTAAACAACGACGCGCGCCGCACCGACTGGTGGACCGCGTGCATCGTCCGCGGCGGCTTGACCGCAAAATAAAAGAGCGCGAGGGCAAAGTTGACGAGCATCGAGAGCAGCATCATGACGTAGAAGCGGTTTGGAAGCGGCGACGACACGTGGCGGCTGTTGATGACGGCACTCACGACCGCTTCGCCGAGCGCAACGAGCACCAGCGAGCCTTCGCGGTCGTTCATGTGCTCGACGTTGACCGGGATGCCGTCGCCGGGCGCGACACACCAGTGGCGCATGCGGCTCACGTAGAGCACGACAATCTCGAGCACAAGGACGACCATATACGCGTTGCTACTGCACATCGGACGGGCAATCGCGAGCAGTAGAACGGCACAGCTGCACGCGAGGATCGTCATGTCGACGCGGAGACGGTCCCGCGACGCAGGCAGCACGCGGTAGACTGCCGCATTCATCGCAAGCAGCGCAATGCGCACGAAGAGAAGACCGATCGAAAAGTGCCAACCGGGTTCGCTCGCAAGCACCATGGTGCCGAGACCGCCGAGGAGGATGAAGAGCATCGCGTAGTGGGCAAGCGACGACTCGCTAAAGCGCCCATGGAAGTGCGCGTACCAGTGCCAGCTCGTGACGTACAAGCTCGTCATGAGCGTGAACGAGATGAAGCCGTTGAGCGTGAACTCGTCTTTGAGCTTCTCGGCCACGTTGGCGCAGGCGGCGACGAGCACAAGGTCCAAGAAGAGCTCGAACCACTCGGAGGATTTCTCTTCGTACTCGCCGCTCCAGTCAGCCGAGAGGCGCGGACGGCTGCGGAACGTGCGCAACTCCATCGTGGAATTGTACTTCTGCGCCACTCACCCCGCCGCGCCAATGAGATACCGCGAGGCAGCGCCGTGTCGCAGGCCATTTGGCATACGTGGCAGCACCTGGCGCCAGTACGTTGGTCGGCGCTATCATCCAACGCCCGTTCCGTACCAAGGTACCTATGGATCAAGTTAGTGCAGAACAAGGTAAAACGGGTTAACTGTCGCGACTCTAGTAGTCACGCTACTCCTGAGCACAACGGTTGCGTGCATCACCTCCAGAAGTAGCAAGCACAAAAAATAACTGCGAGTTCAAAGATCAAGGTTGTCGCCTCGACGAACCTCAAAGCAGCTAGGGCCACTTCTGAGCCTCGGTCGCGAGGCGCTCAAACTCCTCCAGCCTCGCTTGAAAGATGAGCTTGGCGTCGGGTAGATCCGGGAAATCGTCTGGGGTCAACGTGGCGATAATCTCGCAAAGCTTCGTGTAGCGGTAGAGACCATAGACCCCTTCGTCCAGAGCGTGAGCGTTGGCGTGTTTCGACGACTTTTTGCTCTTCGTCGACTTGCGTGTCTTCCCCGCGCTCGCCTTCGACTCACTTTGCTGCAAGGCGATCTTAAACTCACAGTATCGAGCGGTAAAGCTGCCGAGCTCGGCGAGATCGCGCTTGAGCACGAGCGCCGCCAATCCGTCGCGCAATTCCTTCGCGTCTTTCAAAACGATTGCCATCTCCGCACTACGAACTTAGCGTCCTTCTTGAAGCTCGCCATGAGCTCGTTGTGGCGTCTTTGATGTTCCTGAAAGTACGCCTTGGTGTCCATGAGCTTGTCGTACGAAATGTTGAAGGTCGCTGTGACGCCCGGATCGTCACTGAACGAGCTGACGACGCTGAGGATCTTCGGGGTCCATGGGAGTCCCAACTCGTCTTGGAGCACGAGGGGCCAGTCGATCGGGTCGCTGTAGTGGAAGTAAAAGCGGTCTGGCGCTTCTGGTGCTAGCTTGTTCCAGGCGATCACGAGCGCGAGCGGGCGAGAGCTGGGAATCGAGAAGAAGCGGCGCGGGAGAAGCGACTGGTGCAGCGAAGCCCGGCGAAGAGCTGAGAGGACACTCATGATGGAATGGTCTCGAGATTGAATGTCAACTGACACTTGAGAAACCTCTCGCAATGCAATTTCTTGTTTCGACACGCCAACGGGTAATAACATCAGCCCAATTCTCCAGCTTCCCGACCTGCACGTGTACGTGTAAAGCCACCAGAACTTGTTGATCGTAGACGACCATTGCAGTTCTGCTGTTGTTGACTTGTGAACATACTAGTATAAGCTATGGTGCTCCTACCCTCCTATCTCGCACTTCTTGGTCATTTCTGACGCTACAGGCCGTGGCGACCAGAAGACGAATGAATCGAATTGCGTCCTTCTTTGGGTTGCCGTCCTCGCCTTTGCTCAATTGGAGTGCGTGAGAAGTTTCTTCGGCTTGATTTGAGGTGAAAAGAACCGCTTACCGAGGTAAGGCGAGATAGAAGAACACAGAGACTCGATGCAGACAGGTCCTTGACATCCACGTACACTGGAGGAGCTCGCACTCATGTGCCGCGCGCCGCCCATGTTGCGCTGGGACAAGCATCCGCAGTCCAGACATGGCAAGTTGTTGGGCCACTTCTCAACGGCGTCATTTTGCGCCTACCAACTTGGAATGTTAAACGTGCCTTTGCAGAGGACGCATGTGCGTTGTACACAGCTGTCCACTGCTCGTGATGGAGCTTGTGCTTACTCGTACCGGTAGGAGTTCAGTTGTGGGTCGATGACGTGGCGTCCGGCTTTCGAAGCCTCTAAATGAGCTTGAGCGAGACCCTCAATTGCCGTTGATGGTCGATGACGCAGGAGTGCAGCCAACTCGTTGATTGTGACGAGGTGTCGACGGTCCTTTTCGGGAAATGAGCGAAAGCTGGGTACCATATACTAGTATCTCAGACTTGGCGCCTATATTCCCCGCAGCCATGATGCTTGCGTCGTAGATTTTAGATTTTACATGCAATATTCTATACAGATATAAAGTAAATTTGACTAAATTTGAACTTATAATATAAAAGAATGCATTTTTACGGCAGAGCTAAACGGCAATCCGAATCGGGCATCGACTCTGAGTCAGCCACCTGAGTAGTTGGGTGCGACTGGGATTGGCTCGGCGCGTGGCCTGTCTATCACACTTCAAGACTCGTTCACTTCCAAAGATTCCACGCGCATGCAACGTCGCAGCTGGTCCTTTGTGCCCGCGTTGGCGCTGGCGATGCGAGCGGCGGCTGCGAACACCACCAGCCCTCTCCCGACAACGTCGCCATTGACGCCCACAACAGCGCCTCCAGCACCAACTAGTAGCGCAATACCAGCGTCCACAGACAAGACTGCCGCGCCGACCATCATAGCGCCGACCGCAACTGTGACCGTCGTGTCGGGTACGCCCCTTAGCTCCACTTGTGCAGTGACACACCACGCGGTGTAGACCCCAATGCAACGCTCAACACAACGCTGACCTTTACGCTCGGTGCTATCTGCGGCATCCTCCTCGTCGTCATCGTCCTTTTCTTCGTCAAGCGCAAGCGCGAGCGCCGTCAAGGGACGCTTGGCCGTGACGCCCACCAACTCTCGCCAAGTTTTCTCTCGGTCGAAACTCCGCTGCCAGCGCGATCGTCATATAAATCAACCGTCTCGACACCCAAGGTCGCCGTGCTGGGGCCCAGCGCCGACGAATTCGACATGGACGTCGCTGCGCAATTCGAGGCGCACCCGCGAGACTTGGACCTCCATGAGATGGACAGCCCGTATATGTCGGACTCGTCAAGTGGGAGGCGGAGCTCGTCCGACCTCGGGTCCATGGACTCGACGCGTTTCGAAGAAATGGTGCGCATGAAAATCAACCTCTTTTAAGCCATTATGCGTCTATTTAATATAATGTCACGTTGATCATTCGCCGTTCACTTGATACCTCACTTGATACTGTTCTCTTGAGACCGATCTCGAGTCGTGTGCTGGGAACGTACTGCATACAACAAGGGTACATTCGATGCAAGCGACAGCGCTGGAATCACTCGACAGACGAGGCTACTCCGACTTATCGATGGCGCGTGGTTGTTTGATGTATAACCTCCAACAATATTGTCTATCAAATGAGAGCCAGCGATCCCGCAAACCTGGACGTGTATCGGTTCGTGTGGCATGTGCCGAAAATAATTTTATTGGTCGATCGGCCAGCACGATCGGTGATTGGACAAAATGCGCTGCGTTGCACGTTCGACCGCCATGGCGCGCTTCAGCGGCCGCATCTACGACTTTGTCGCGTGGGAGGCGACGCTGATGGCGACGCTCGCCACGCGCCAGCGCAACGTCGAGGTCGTCTTTGCGCAGAAAGGGCTTGCGGCGCCCGCAGTCTCGTACATTGAGCTGCTCACGACGCTCGAGCCGCCGCCGTCCCGCGTGCAGTCGGTTCTGATCACCGACCTGCGCAAGACGTTGTTCGCGAGCTTGCCGTCGTCGTTTGTAACCGAGTGCCTCTCCAAGTCGATGCCTATCCACGAGTTGTGGGCGGCCGTCGTTGACGAGTACCATCCGTCGTCGCACGCGCCCATGGAGCGACTCCTCGCCGACTTGTTTGACGAGGTGTTTGACGCAAACTTTGACTGCATCCACGAGCTCATCCAGCGCATGCACAATATCGTCATGAGCGTCAACGACTACACACGGCGCACGCGCGGCCGCGCGCTCCTCACGGACGCCCTCGTGCTCGAGCGATTGCTGCTTGCACTGCCAAAGGCCTGCGCCGACCTTGTGCCGCCCGGCCCCGTCAATCTTGACGCGTTTGGACAGCGGCTCGTTGAAAAATGTGGGCACATGCCCCGCAGCGACATCATGGTGTCGTACGAAGGCGACCCGCCGCTGGCCCAGCAAGGTATCCCGACCCGCGACCGCCTCTTTCAAGACGTAGCTCCACCGACACAGGCGTCGCTCCCGACCAAGCGCAAGCGCCCTCGCCAGTCGCTCGACTCAGACGTCGCATCAAAAAAAGTGCGCTGTCTCTAGCGATCGCCTTGTATGGGCTACGTGGTAATGGTGTCGTTGTATGTCAATCGATGGGACGCGTTCGCGATCACGAATTTGTCGAGGGTGGGAATGGCGCCGTCCTTGCGACCGACCGGTGGTACTGCGTGCAGATGCGTTCGGTGGGCGTGCAGTCCAGGTCGCTGGTTACTAGTACGTGCCATGTATAGTGGAGGCGCAAGGACAACTCAGCAGCGTTTGGCCAGTACGAGCCAGCACGATCGCTGTAGTGAGCCCGCGCTGTCATCGACTGACGCGCCGACATCCAGGCGTAGAAGCCCACGGTAGAAGCCTGCGGCTTGCGGGGCGTGGCACCAAGCCCATTACTGCCGCCATGATATACGCTTTTCTTGAGTTTGAGCCCGCGGCATACAAACATCAACACAATTTTTCCAGTGCGATGCAAATCAAGACGCGAATTGAGCAAATCAGGCGTCCAAAAGGACTTGGAACCAGACCCACGCGCTCGGCAGGACAGAGCGGGCAGTCATTTTGGATCGCGCCGGCAAGATGGCAAAGCTCCTCCGACTGCTAGCGGTCTGCACCGCGCTGGTTGCCGGCCAAGGCAACAGCACGGAGCCACCCTCGCTCGTGCCCGACCCGACCGAAATGACACCGACGCCGACGACTTTGCTGCTCAGTGCGACGACGTCGGTGCCGGCGACGACGACTCCGCCGCTGAAACCAGCCATGACTACGGCGCCGACGGCAACAGAGCCCGTTGCCACCGCGACCCCACGACCGACGACGATGGTCCCGACTACCCTAGCCCCAAAGCCGGAGACTACTCAACCCGACCGTGCGGACACCGTGGCCCCGACGCTTGAACCCAACACGTCGGCGCCAACGGCTACGATTCGTACGTCGAACAACACGACTATTCCGGCTCCCCCGCCCAAGCCAACGATGAGCGCCCTTCTGCGGACAGCGTTGCCGACGACAGCAACCACGACCCTTTCCATCTCTGGTACCTCGCCTCCTCACCTTGCAGTCCCATCTCATTGAATGGCTTCCTAGACGACGCCGCATCTGGGCTCAGTGCCAGCGTCTTATGGCCGCTTGCATGCGGTATCGTGGGATGCGCCGTCGCGATCGCCTTTCTGTTCTCGATGCGGCGGTCGAATCGCGAAAAGCCAGCGTCGCCGTCACCCGTCGCGTCGCCCGACTCGTCAGCCTGCTCCTTCTTTAGCTCGCGCAACGGACCGAGCGATCTTGGTATCACAAACGAGTTGCTCCGCAGCACCAACCCGATCTTTGATTTGATGGACTCGATGACGACCGACCCGGTGTTTGAGACGCTCACCGCGTCGGCGTACTCGCTGAGCCCATCGCTTGCAGGTGGCACCAGCGTCTCTACGACGCACTCGACCTTGCTCAACAGCAGCTACTCGGAAGACATCTATTGCAGCGTGCTCTCGGACCGGCTGCTCTTGACCGGAGGTCCGTCCGAGCTCTCGGAAGAACACGAGACTCCATCCCAGCTTGGCGACGACGACCATTCGTCGCTTCACGATGACGACGACGATGAGGCGGATGAAGATGGGCGCAGCAGCACGATCGAAGTGCTACACTCGGGCTACGGCGTCGACATGGCAGCGCTCCAAGAAACCTCGTCCCTGAGCCCGTACATGGACACGACGCGCTTCCAGGCCATGCTCGACACGCCCGTGTACCTTGGCCAGAACGACGTCTGACCTCTTTTTAGTACTAGTTCTTAACGTTATGTATTCGTCCTGTTGTCTGTTCCATGCATACTTTACACAAAATGCCATGCTGATGGGACGAAAATGATGTCTGGTTATGAGCTAGGTGTTGATTTGACTCGTAGAAAGATAGCGAGGGGCTGCTGTCGTCAGTACAGTAGGGAGCCTCTTATCTACGAAGGGTGATTTTGGGAGCAAAGGGTAATTTATCGCAAAACGCATGGTTTCGGCCCATATTTTTTTGAAAAACGATTGCATATTTTTATTGTGTAATATGTCTCTAAATCTGAAAGATCTCCATGTCGACGATCGTGACGATTTCTGCTTCCAGTGCGGTATCATCGAAGTCTCGGATGAAATCCTCGACAACGGAAAGCTCATGACCAATAGTCGTCGTGGGCATGATGCACCTGGCGGTAAAGACAAAATGGTGTCCGTGCGCGAAAGGATTCATCTCGCGCCCAAAATGCGCGCCAAATTTGAAACTCCAGCGCTTTTAAATTTGGGCCAATCCTTTTTTTATTACGCAATATTTTGTTTCGACAGCGACATGCCGCAGGGGCGAGATGTATCGATACAGGGGTCGTGGATAAGAGGTTCCCTACTGTACTGCGAAAGGGTCATCGTTAGATATATGTAATAATTGAGCTATTACGGAATGGCTGGACGCAGCAGTTCTGCTCGTTGGATATGGCGGTGCATGGTGTCGGCAACAAAGATGTTGGTCGCAACCATGCTCGTGGTGCAATGCTACGCCACGGAATACTGATAGCATGTCTGAAAGCTCTGGACGACCGTAGACTACTGTAGCTATCCTGACGCGTGACATGGACAATACCGTTCGTGTAGTGGAATCAGACAGTATGTGTAGGTAGCAGTATCCTCGTTCTAGCCAGGACACGGCTCTGGATACGCCGCGGGTCAATGATTCCGGCCATTACTGCTTGGGTCCAGGTCATCGCCCACGGCGTTGTCGACACCGACGGAGGAGATTGGAACGGCATGCGGAGAAGCAGTCTCTCGCATTGCAGCCTAGATGCTCTCGGCGAGAGCTGCTGACCCAGCGCGACACCAGGACGTTGCGCGGAAGATACCGCGCGCTGCCGCGTCTTCTCGGCTACCACGAGGCGCCAGGCTTCAGCAGCAGTAATGCACGGCGTCGAGGCCGTCCGAAGCCACTGCACGCTGCCACGTACAGGCCCGCGATACCGCCCACGCTGAAACTGTCCTCTCACATTTCGAACTACCACTTGGTTTTCAAACTCCGTATTCGAAGTTCGCAACCTGTGTCAGATTTGCTGTAAATAGTGTACGAATGGAATCCGGGATGGTTTCCTGCCAGGCGCCGTGGCTTGACTTGGTGAAGACGCTGTTGAATGGTACCTACCAAATACGGAGATCAACTTGTGTCATGGCTTTGATCCTGTAATGCACAGGCCGTACGCGTCCTCAAGACTGGAGGACTTGAAATAGTATGATATCGAAGTTCGAAGTTAAAACGCGTGGCATTTTCGAAGCCCTTGGCGCGTTCTTTGCGTAGCCGGTTCGGTGGCCGTCCCAATGGCAAAGTCGCTGGCATTCCACGTCTCGCTGGCTAGTACTGAGTACGTCATGTTGCTCAAGAGATCATGGGCATTGTGCCTTCTCATCACACTCGTCGCGGTCGTTGCCGACGCCCAGCGCGATGCGACGCCCGTAGTTGTGCTTGGCATTCCGACGCACCTCGAGGGATTTGGTGCAAACGACAACAACAATAGCTCCTCCAAGCCGTCCATCAACGATACGAATGCTCCCACGACGGCTCCACCAAGCCCTTCGCCGAGCCCCGCACCCCCAAGTCCTGCACCGCCGAGCCCGACGCCGCCACCACCAAGCCCGTCACCGCCACCTCCGTCGCCGGCTCCGACGCAGGCTCCCACACCGGCTCCGACCCCGGCTCCAGCACCACCGAGTCCATCACCTCCCACACCGACTCCGCCTCCGCCAACGCCAGCTCCGTCACCGCCTCCACCGAGTCCGACCCAGGCGCCACCGAGTCCGTCGTCAGCACGCCCAAGCCCACCCCCGCCCACGACGGCACCAACGCAAGCTCCGTCACCTAACCCTTCGCCAGCTCACCCGTCGGCGTCTCCAAGTGTCTCGCCGAGCCCGTCACCGAGCTCGTCTCCAGCTCCGTCTAGCTCCACCAGTAGCCCCACGGATGCACCGACTGACGCGCCGAGTCCTAGTTCGTCGGACGCACCGAGTACGAGCCCGACACCGACGTCTACCGACTCGCGCTCGGGACCCTCGTCATCTCCAGTTGCGTCTCCGGTGGCTTCGAGCAAGACAATGAAGCCTTCGAATGCGATGCCGGACGCCAACGCCGTGAACCAGCAGTCGGGCAACGACGGCGGCAACGTGTCGAACATTCTCATCATCGTCTCGGCCGTCGTTGGTATCGTTGCGATCCTCGGTGTCTTTGCGTTTTACGTCCACAAGAAGCGCCTCCAGCGCCTCACCGAAGACAAGTCGCCGCGGAGCTACCCGAGCTCGCCCGCGATGCAGACGATCCGCCACATCCCGCACAACCCGTACCCTGCGCCGCAGCAGTCGTTTGCGCCACCGCCGCCACCGCCCTCCTCCTTGCCGATCCGCGACGACTCGGAAGTGCATCTTGGCCACTCGGTCAACACGGAGCAACTCATGGAGAGCATGGACGACGGCTACTCGCTGAGCTCGTTCGGCGGGTCGTCGCACTATGGCCAAAGCAGCGGCAACTACAGCATCAGCAGCTCGTTTTGCATGGACTCTGGTCGCTTCCAAGACATGGTCCAATCGAAGGTCCACGTCGTGTAGAAGTTGTGTCTATTTAAGAACCCATCTACGTACTACTACTAAGTTTGTTGTTCTTTTAAAGTCTACGTGTTGCTACTGCGCTTCGAATACTGTTGTCGTTCAAGTGGTCGAGCTGCTTCCAGCCAAACTACGGTTCGTACCGCCAAATGGGGGTATGACCTTTGCAGCATCCAGGTACGTAGCGCTCGCTCCGTAGCGACCGCCTTGGTGGGCAATGTAAAGGGTGGCCACGTTGCGGAAGGCCGCTGTTGCCTGTCGCCACGTTGCGCCATGCAGCGCACCTTTCGATTCGAGCGACTTGTTCGTGGTACGATGCTCTCGTACGCTCACCCTTGCCAAGCAATACCAGTGCGAGTACATGTCCTTGATGGCTAGTCGGTCGCCTCCTTCAGTATATTGCTGCCTACTAGAGTCGATTAGGCGCTCGAGACGTCTAGTCTCGATGTCTCGAGCTCGCGCTGGCATTGCGTGCCGGCTACTCGCACCCTGTAGCCATACGTGCAATTACAATTGGGTGCCCGAGGTACACTTGCAAGAAGGTTCTCACAGCCTCGAGGCGCTGGGCGCCTCTCGTTACCAACCTACAAATATGACTACGACTACGAATACAAACTAACTAAAATGCAGCGTCCATGACGTCCTGCAAGGTGTCGATAGCCCACAACGAAGAGCGCGACGTTGCACCGTACCGCGTACTGTACTCGGCGACCTACAGCGTATTTCTGCCACGACTGACGCCACGGTGGCGGCGAGGTCATCCCAAGTGGCGCGCGACTGGCCCGGACCTACTCTAGTGCACTCTCGAGCCAGATGACCGCATCTTCCGCGAACGCCGAGATGCAGGCAAAGGCCACGTTGACGGCAACACATCGAACGACACGGAACCAGCCCGCCAAGCATCGTCCAGTCGGTCGCTTATATTACAGCAGAAGCCTCTGGAGGTGCCTCTACGGTACGCCTCCCACGTATCGTTGGCCGCGTCATCGCACACAAATGAGAATGACAACCGTGCGGACGTGAGGCGACCACGGTCCTGAAACAGCTGGTGCGAGACGCACCGTTCTTTTCGGGCCAAGCTCGTGCAGACAGGCGGTGCAAGCCAGAGCCTGTGCAATGCCAGCGGCGTTCCGTCGCACAAGCTGGTGACGTGCCACTCACCTTCTTGCGGTCCATGCGGCGCGTCCTCCTGCTCGCGCACGTCGCTGTCGCAATGGCACGACGACCTCCCATGCTCGGCGTCGCGATCTCGCTCCCGCCTGCCAACGTCACGACGCTATGGCCGCCGATCGATGTCACGATCCTCTTCCCGCCCAATGCCACAACGCTCGCCCCGAACGCATCGACGATCGCTCCGACGCCCGTCATCACCGCACCACCGAATGCCACGACACCAACTCCGACGTTCGCACCCAACACGTCGACACCGCCCCCGACACCCCGCCCGACGACAGTCCGTCCAACAACGCCACGACCGTCAACGCGACGCCCGACTGTTCTTCCATCGCCGCCACCAGCGCCGACAACAACACCACCGGTACCCACGCCAACGTCCACGCCCGTGCCAACGAAAACACCGGCGCCCACGACGACGGTGATGCCTACGACGACGCCGATCCCATCGACGACGGTGCTCTCGCCGAGTGCGACGACACGCCCTTTCTCGCCGCCGCCGCCGGCATCATCGTCGGAAGCGCTACCAACCATTGGTCCCTCCACGCCCACGCCATCGGCGTCCATCTCCAACCAAGCGAGTACGTATCTTCTGTTGCTACGCTCGCCCGCCGCTGACCGCCTGCCTCCGTGTAGATTCCAATAGCTGGACACAGAGCGCTATGTTCATCTCGTCCATGGTCGTTGCTGGCCTCGTATGTCTCGTCTTCGTCGTCATCGCCGTCACGCGCCGCCGGAGCGAGCCGCCGCCCCCGCCACCGCGGCCCCACATGGGTCCCCGGTACCTCCTGCCCCAAGGCCCCGACGACGTCGTGCTTGCGACTGCCACGTTTGGCGCCGACGCCTCCATGCACCGGCGGCTTCTCCTCGCACTGCACGTCGAGTCGCCCACGGTCCTCGACACTGGCGCCGAGTCGCAGAGCCCGGGCTCCGAGATCTTTGCGACCGGCGACTGGGACGCCTACGTCCAGCGCACGCAAGCCGAGCATATTATTTAACAAATGCGAATACGTTTTTTATTCGGTCGCCCGCTGTCGCTTGAGGTGCTCGACGAGCCGCGCCCGCAGCGCCTCTCGGGGCGCCACGTCATGTTCGTCGTCGTCCTGGGTCCCTGCGTCGACATCGCTCTTCGCTTCGTCGTCGGCATCGTCGTCCTCGTCGGCCATGGCTTGGTCGACGTCGTCGTCGTTGTTGGCGTCTCCTTGCAGCTTGCGCTTGAGCGAGACACTGGTCGTGAGGCCAAGGTGCCCCGCCTTCTCCTTGGCGAGCGTCTCCTTGAGCGAGGCGAGGCAGTCCGTGTACCGGGGCACGAGCGTCTGCATGTGCTCCATATCGACGGGATACACGGGCAGCGGCGCCTTCTCGGCCTTGGCCAGCATGCGCGCAAGGCCCTTCGTCTGGCCCTTCTTGACCAGCGTTACGGCGCGGCCCGCGCGCCCAGCACGCGCCGTACGACCAACGCGGTGGATGTACGTCTTGATGTAGGGCGGAACGTCATAGTTGACGACGTTCTCGACGTGCGCAATGTCCATACCACGCGCCATCGCATCCGAGCACACGACGATCTTGATGGTGCCACGGTGGCATGCTTGCACGAGCTGCGACCGCTGCTTTTGGTTGAGCGTACTCGAGTACTCGCGGACACCTAGACGCCATGAGATCTTATCGTTCTTGTCATAACGTACTCTCGGGGTTGGTCGCATACAGCTGGAGGAGGCGGCAGAGACGATGCGTGGCGTTGATCGACGACGTAAAGATGATCGTGAGCTGGTCGCCAAAGCTGTGGAGGAGCTCGAGCAGCACGAGCGGCTTCTCGGCGGCCTCGCACTCGACCATGCCTTCCTCGAGGTTGGCGGGCGTCGCAAAGAGGTTGACCTTCGAGTCGGACGCGACATTGAGCTCCTCGTTGACCGTGACGAGCTCGGCGTGGGGCATGCCAATGGCCGCGAGCTTGCGCGGGTTGCGCGTCAACGTCGCCGAGAGTAGAATGCGGATGAGCGGGATGCGGATGCGGTGCGGGTTCTTGCCGTCCGGCCGGCGAATCGTCGCCGGGTGCAGCGCCGTGCCTCGGTTCAAGTCTACGAAAAGAGATGGGAAATGGAATCGAGGTTGCGATTGTACTCTCGAGCGACGACTCGGTGACGTAGATGCTGTTGTACAGCTTTGTGATCCAGTCCTGGTACGACTGGTTCAAAAGGCGATCGGCTTCGTCGACGACGACAAACTGCACGTGCTGCAGTGTAAAGCCCGGTGTTTGCTCGAGGTGGTCCACGAGACGCCCGGGCGTCGCGACGAGAATGTCGACGAGGCTGTTGCCCTTCGCATCGGTGAGCGTTCGCTGCTCGGCGGTAAAGTTGGACTGGCCCATGGCCACGCCGACGGTCAAAGGCGTGCCCAGCACGAGGCCATCGAGCACCTTCTTGACCTGCACGACGAGATCGCGACTGGGCACGATCACGACCGCGCGGAGCCGGCGAAAGACGCGGTTGACCAAGCGCTGTACGATTGGAAGACAGTAGACCATCGTCTTGCCGCTGCCCGTCGGCGCGTTGATGCAGAGGTCTTTGGTGTAGCCCGTGGCGAGGATCTTGGGGATCGTAATGTGCTGGATCGGGAAGAACGAGTGGATGCCCGTGGCCTCGAGGTTCTTGCAGAGAGTCGGGTCCAGGTCGAGGCCATACTCGGTTTTGGACCAGTGCATCTCGGCGGTCGTCGTCGCAGTCGTCGTCGCCATCGGCCCGAGCCAAGCTGGAATACAAAGCTGCACGATTGGTCCTGGGCCATCCGGACAACCTCCGGATACGAAACGTTTAGCGCGCTTTTTGGTGACGTCAAACTCATTCTCGTACCTTGCTCCAGTGCACACACTATGACAGCTACAGCACCCTGACGCCCGCCAGAGCACTAGTATAGATCTCAGCTGATAGTCATAGCTCTGGTCCCTACGACGCAGCCATTTCTGCAGTGAGAGGCATCAAGGCGATGTGAAGTGGCTGCGACACGGCTACAGGTTAAAGGGTTTAACCTCTCTTGCTGGAAGGACTCGATCTTTTTGGACAGTGCGACGAGGATGCTGGAAGCAGCGTCGTGGCCGACGTGGGCGAGCTACCCATGCATAGGCCTTGGCGCTGCACTGGCCTGCGTGCACGTGGTGAGCGCTTGGCGGCAGCAATCGGTGGCGGACGCCAGGCCACCGGGCTTTGCCGCCTTCCAGCGTGAGTACCTCGGTGTGCACGGCCTCGTCATGTTCGCCGACTGGCTGCAGGGTCCCAACATGTACACGCTCTACCAAGTACGATTTATCAGCATGGATGTGGTGCCAAGTGGCGTGGTAGAGCTATGGCATGGACGTCGGGAAGCTCTTCATGCTCGGCTTCCTCTCGTCCGCGGTCGCAAGCAGTTTTGTCGGGCGCTACGTCGACCTCTATGGCCGCAAGCGCGCGTGCTTGGTCTACGTGGCCCTCGAGGTATATCATCCTCTCTCCATTTGTAGCGGCGTCTTAAGCAACCTGCAGCTTGTCATCAATGCGCTCGAGCACGTTCCGCACTTCGGTCTTCTCGCGCTCGGTCGCGTGCTAGGCGGTCTCTCGACCGCGCTCCTCTTCTCGGCCTTTGAGAGCTGGATGGTCACCGAGCACCGCAAGCGCCGTACTACGCTTCCTTCCCAACGCAAACTGTCGTCAAATTTGCGTAGACTTCCCCGAGCGGCTGCTGAGCTCGACCTTTGCGCTCGCGTCCGAGATCAGCGGCCTCGTCGCCATCGTCGCCGGCCTCGTCGCGCAAGTCGCCGCCGATATGTTTGGCGACATTGCGCCCTTCCAGGTCGCGCTCGTAGTTACGTTTCTCGCTGGCCTTTGCATTCGTCGGTGGCCCGAGAACGTCGACGCGCCGACGACGTCATCGAGTTCGGTCGCGTTGGCGTCGATCCCGAGCGTCGTCACGGCCGACATGCTGCGGATTGGCCTCGCTGCAAGCTTGTACGAAGGTGCCATGTACAACTTTGGTACGTTGATGCGAGATGACTGTCAACGATAAGCATGGGTGTTCTTAGTCTTTCTCTGGGTCCCGTCGCTACAAGCGATCACGTCGACCTTGCCCACGGGGCTGGTCTTTGCGAGCTTCATGCTCTGCATCGCCCTCGGCGGGAAGCTGTTTGCAGTGGCGCAGGACATGCAGCTCCACGCAGTCCTTGTCGCTACGATGCTCGCTCTCATTTCAAGTGCTTGCTTGGCCACGCCTGCAGTACGACCGATTCGCTGGACGCAGGACCTCATCTTTGCGGTCGTAGGTCACGTCCGAGCTCCCGCCCGTCTTTGCTGCGTTTCTCCTCTTTGAGGTTGTGAGGATTCTGTGAGCGGGGTGTCTGAACGCTAGTAGGTCTGCGTCGGCGCGTTCTTTCCGTGCTCGGCGACGCTGCGCGCGCAGTACTTTGGCGATGCGCGCCTCAGTACCGTCCTCTCGCTCTTTCGACTCCCGACAAATGTCCTCGTCATCGTTGGCACTGCGCTCGCCGAGACGACGCCCGACACGACGATCTTTGCAGCCTGCAGCGGCGTCCTCGCCGTCGCGGGCTATTGCGTCAGCCGCGTCCAGGTCGTCCAGCCCAAGGTCGAATAAAAACGGGGTTTCACGGATTTACAGCGCTGTCGATGTCTCGGACGATCCATTCTTCTTCTTGAAGTAGAGCACCATGAGCACCAAGAGCACCTGCAAGAGCGGTTAGTCGAGCGCGAGGATGGCAGGATCCGGATGGTACCATGGCGACGAGGGCGGCGCAGGCATACATCTTGACGTTTTGCAGCCAGAGCGCGCGCCGCAGATCCCGACTCGACTTGGCAAACGCGTCAGCCGACGAGCTACGCATCATCGCATGAGAAGATAGCGGGGAAGAGAGCATCGTCCTACTTGAGCGACTCGGACTTGTCGACGAGGAGCTCGATCTTGTCGCCGCGCTCGAGGACCTTGCCAATGTTGGCCTGCATCGACTCTTTGACGTTGTCGAGGTCCTTTCGCAGCGCGTCGAGCTTCTGCATGCCACCCTTGGACGACATCATCTCCATGTTGGTCTTGAGCATCGGCGCAAAGTCGCGCTGCATGTCGAGCTTGAGTTTGGTCATCTTGCCGCGGATGCCAAACTGCTCTTCGAATTGGACCTTGATGTGCTTGAGGAAGGCCGTGACCGCGGCCTTGCCCACGGACGCGTCGGCGACGCAAATGTAGGCGATCTCGTCGTCGACGAGGTAGCTGTACGTCTTGCCGTCGCAGTCGATCGCGTCCATCTCGAGCTCGCGCTTCTCAAAGTTGAGCTTCTTCGCGAGCTGCTCGGCGATCTCCTTGACCTTCTTGGTGCCCGATGGTGGCGGTCCGCCCGCGAGGTACTCGCACTCGGCGAGCGCGCAGTGCTTGTTGGCGACAACGCAGTACGAAATCGGCATGGTCGCCCAAATTAGTTTTTTTCTTCGACTAAAAGACACGCCGCACGTGGACGCATCCGGATACACGCCTCTGACGGCCATAACGTTGAACCATTCAGCACAGTTGTCGTTGCGACTAAACGACTAGGCATATCAACTAAACCCAGCGACAGTGCTTCCTTGTCCATGTCTGTCTGTGCAAGGTCCTTGTCACTTGCACTGCAAGCTTGCTCCTACGTTAGTCGATCGATGCCCTACCGGTATAGTCTACGTGCGCTCTGCTAGTAGGAACTACTCTAGTTGCTACCATGACAGTCGGAGTGTTGCCCGGAAGAGACGCGTTGACCTGTTTGTTGAAGAATGCAAGAACGCCAGCAACTTGCTGAGGAGGCTCCAGGAAGAACGAGGCAGACGCTGCATCGTTCTATCGACGCCGGTGCTAGTTCCTGGCGTCGAGTTAGCTGTTTTTTTAGTCTGTTAGTTTGTACTGAGTTAGTCGCGACAGTGCAGTGGGGTTGTCGTAGCTGTTGTCGTCGACGGCGTCGCGGGTGATCGCAGGCGAGGATCGGTGCAGCTGCTCGTCTGCGTTTCTTGCTCACGCTAAGTGTCGGACGATAATATCATCCGACACTGGCATGCTTTGAATCAGAAAGTGGTGCTCTCTCCGGGACATGAACCCGGATCTACCTGGTGGTAAACCAGTGTCTAAACCGCTAGACTAAAAGAAGTCGACAAGAACACCCCTTCTTGACTCTTTGCAAGGGAATTCCCCAGATGCTTGGAGCATGCCATGTTGAATAAAACGCATGTATAAAACCTATTTAACCATTTCAGTCGACGTTTCCACCGCTGGCGTGAAATGGGCCGATCGCAACTGCAGTACCGGCGCGGCCGCGGTCGCGGGGTAGGGCCGGCGGGCCGTGGCGAGCGCGTACCCGCGCACCTGCGCAACCTCGAGAGCAATGCATACCGCTTCCAGGAGGACGAGGCCGTCGACGAGAATGAACTCGAGGACGACGTCGACGAGCCGCCGCCGACGGGGAAGCAGGACTTGCGCTACAATCCCGACATCCAGCACATGCCGGCGTCGACCAGCACGGGCGGCATCGGCTACTTTCAGTCCAAGACCGAGCGCGAGTGGGAGGCCGACCTCGAGGCCATGAAGCCCAACGACGTTTCGCTGGTACGGGCGTATTTCAGCGCTTGCCTGGCCTCATGCACATGTCTAGGACTTCAAGGTCATTGGCGACCATCTCCAGACGCTACCGCCCGCAACGCGCTACGACATTGACCCCAAGTACTGCGTACGTCTTTGCGATGCGACCATCTCCCTACTTGACGACCTCGCAGATCGATCTAGTCTTTGAAGCGCCGGAGAGTCCCGTGAAATCCACACTGCCGCCGACACCGACACCAACGCCTGTCATAGCGGTCCCTACTGCGCCCGTCGTCGTTACCCCAGTGGTCAAGCCCGCGGCAGCCAAACCGGCCGTCGTGGCCAAGGCGACACCGCCCCCTGCGCCCGTGGTGCCCAAGCCGGCGCCACCTCCAGCGCACGCGGCTCTGGACGACGAGCTCGACGAGCTGCTCAACATGTAATGCAATCGTGGACAATAAGGAATCATTCCATTTGTTGACATCGACTAAGTCTCTAATCCTAAGGTACCAATACGCGGTGGTGGGCTTTCTTCATACGTGGTCGTGTGTGGGTGCTGGTGCAACTTATAATGACGTCGACGCGACGGCGTTGACGACGTCAAGGAGCTTGGCCGGCTCGCGGATCTTGGGGGCGACGACCGCGAGGAGCTTAGCGACGTCGACAAAGCGCACTTCTTCCGTGACTTTGTCGCCGTTGAAGGTCATGTGCGAGACCATGTAGAACGGGAACATCTCGTTGTTGTAGTGGGGCGCGAGCTGGTGGAAGGGCGACGAGAGCACGATCGAGGACGGCGCGTTCGGGCGCAGCGACGCCTCAATGTCCCACTTGACCATGGCCTTCTCGTGGCCCTGCCACTCGACCGAGAAGTTCTTGATCTTGTAGTTGGAGAAGACGCTGGCCGAGATGCGCTTGTTCTCGACGATCGAGTCGATGTTGGTGAGCTTCTCGCCCGTGACACCGTCCATGATGGTGGCGTTCGGCGTCCACACGCTCTTGGCCGAAGCCTCAAACGACATCATGCCTTCGTTGATGATGGCCTGGATGAGCTGCAGCGTGTTGGTCTGCTTGGCGCGGAGCTCCATGAGCGCCTCTTCCGTCATTGCCTTGTTGATGGGGCTACCGTCGCCCCGGCGCATGATCTTGGTCTTGAGGTCGCTGTTCTCCTTCTCGAGCTCGTTGTTGCGGTCTTCGAGAAAGTTCAGACGATCTTGCTTGCGCTTGCGGCACTTGCGGACGCGCTCGCGGTTCTTCATGCGGCGGCGCGCGTCGAGCTCGTCTTGCTTCTCCATTGCGTCCGAGCCGCGCGGCGAGTGCATGCCACCCGACCCGTTCGAGACACCGGAGGCGTTGCCCATCGACTGCGGCGGGCCGCCATTGTGGTGGTGCATCATCTGGCCCGGGTGCTGCGGCCCCCCATGGCCACCTTGGTTCCGGTTCAGATACTCGTACATGAGCGGGTGCATCATGTCCGCGTTCATGTGCGGATCTGGTTTCATAGAGGGTTGGTGGCCGTCCATCTGCAAGTAGGATTGCATACCACTGCCGTGGGGTGGGCCAGGGTACCGGCCGCCTGCCTTGGGCATGCCCTGGCCTTTCGGTGAGTACGACATGTGGCCACCCATGCCCATGCTCGCGCGCGGCGAGAGCGGGAAGCCGCCATGCTGGCGCGACATGTAATCGCGGGGCGTAAAGCCCGTGCGCGGCGTGAAGCCTGTCCGGGGCGTGAGGCCGGTCGTGAAGCGCGGCGTGAGGCCCGTCTTGAAGACGCCGAGCGGGCCGCAAAAGTCGCGGAGGTCGTCCATGCCGAGGTTGCGGGGCGAGAGGCTGAGCGGCTTGTTGCTGTCGTTCATGCTACCACGTCGATTGATACACGGCGGCGCAGTAATGATGCAATACCTCGAGTACGAGTCAACGTGTGTTCGTGACTGTGGAAATTGGCGAATGACGAAGTAACTCGTAACAGACTCTGTGAGTGCTTCTCGACACTGACTTACACACGCTATGGCGCCGACGAGCGCACTTGATTGGTCAGCGCGCGACGGGCGCAGCTGTTGCTAACCTCTTTCATACAAACCTCAAGACGTTTGGGAGAGGCCAGATCGACCCAGTTCGACCGCGGGGTGCGTTTTAATTAGATAATTCGATTTTATTATCTGGTCTTATGGTCTTATCTGCGTTCTTAGTCTGGTAGCGCGCGATGTCTTCGATCGCGTCTTGTATTGCTCGAGACCAGGTGAGCGTGTGCGAGTGACCAAGGTGGGCGACTGAGATGCGAGCGCGGTGGTCTGTACTGTATGTGCCCGTCGTGCGAGTAATTGGCGCGAATCAGAGAGCACGCCACGCGGCGAGATCTGGGTTTGTTTGATTCACGACCGAATCGTTCCGAAGCCAGTGGATACAAAGCCCAAGGCAAAGATGGCTTCGGCGAGAGTGTTTTAAACAAACCCACTGGGTGGCGACTGGGACAAGCGAACGTTGAACCTGGGACAGCACGCGCAGCTGCGCCGATGCAAGACTCGGTGGACGGGGGGCCGAGGCGCAAATGAGCGTGGTGAATTGAAGCGCAAAAGGCGCGCTGGAGACCGTACGATCCGCCCCGCGTCATTACGCGCCGTTTCTAACGAGACGCATTCCGGGATGTAATTTCGTTACCATGGTGGCATCCCGGTACGCATGCATGCACGAGCCACGAGGCAATCTTGAAACGCGATCCAAACAGACAACATTCTTGTCCGCCACGCGTCCTCGGTTCGGGCCAGCGCGCCGCCGACCAGCCATAAAAAACACGCGCCACTTGGCGAAGAGAACGTGCAGAGACTTGCTTGCAGTGCCGCCTCTGCGTACTGTACGTCCTACAGTACGCCGCGCCAAAGATGCACGACGTTTGCGAGTGCACGACGTTGTCCACGATCGGACGTGCTCCAGACTTGCCCGGACCCGGGGCACCGTGCCCCGGCGTGCCCTTCGAGATGATGGCGCGTCACCCCGCTGACGACGCTAGACATGCAATAGTATATGCAAGATGCCGTGCGCGCTTGCGTCAACAACGCGGCGGGGCGACATCCGCCGATCGTGCTCCTGATTGGCGGACATTAGCCAATCAAATTTTGTGTCTCACGAGCCATGCGATCTCCCAGAAAGGCGACTTGGTCATCATCTGGTTGCCGCTTTGCGCCAATCACATCGCGTATTGGATATACAAACGATGCGGATTGGCTACTTTAAAAAAGCAATCGGGACCGTTTAGTGCACCCGCTCAAAGTCACAATCGATGCAACCATGCTGCGACGTAACCTCAGCGCGAAGGAGACGCTCGTCTTGCCACCGCAGTATTCGGGTCGGCTCTTCAAGTCGTCGTTCTTGACGGTTGCGTCCGTGGTTACGGCGGCGCAGTACGAGCTCTGGGCGTGCTGTGGCCTCACGCTCCTCGTGTTCCTAACGTCGGTCAACTACTGGCGCCACCCCGTGCACGGGTGGCGGCGCAACCTCGACATGCTCGCAGTGTTTTGTGGCATGAGCTACCACTTGTACACCGCGCGCTTCGTGCCGTCGGGGCACCACCAGCTCGTGTACTATGGCTTGGCGCTTCAGATTTTCGTGTGCTACTTCAAAGCGCGCTCGAGCCATGACAAGGACGCCGCGTCCAAGTGGCACATGACGATGCACCTTGTCGGCAACATTGCCAACTGCCTCCTCTACATGGTCATTTAACATAACAATTTCAACACAAGATATATATTTGAAAGTACGATAGGCATAATTGTATTCAGTGTTTCTCAAGAAGTTGGCGCACGATACTCTCCGAGATGGGCCTCGCCCATGGCACGCCCCGCCGTCGCCAAGAGAGCTACCATATCCGCGTCACTATACGCTTTCGTGTACGTCTCTAATGCGACGCGAAAGCACAACGACTTGCGTCGCGTCGTCGGGCAAGTGTACTCGTCGACACAGCGCACGCCACGCACCTCGATGGCCCCGCGCCAAATGCGTTGCAGCAGCTCGTGCAGTGCGTCGCCGTGCTTAGCCGACGACCAGTCGCTATTTTGTGTCCAAAAACTCATGTCCCGCGTCCACTGCAGTGGGAACGCGGCGCGGACATCGTCTTGATCGTCGCGGCAAAAGATATGGACGAGGCTGCCGTTGGTGTAGAAGCCCTTGGCGCCGAGGCGGTAGCCGGCGCTTTCGTAGCCTAGCAACTGGAGGTCGCGGATAGGAAACGGTTCAACAGCCGTCAACAGCAGTTGCGCGCTCGCCGCGCACTGCGCGACTTGCCACGTATCCCCAGGCTTGCGCTGGACCGTCTCGGCTGGCGTGCCACCTTGGCCGGCACAGAGGGCGACCCAGATTTGCCCACGAGGGGAGAGGACGCTTGCGGCACTTTGAAAGAACTGCGTCAATAGCTTTCGGTGCTCGCTGATCTTGTTGTGCCGGCCACCGTCGGCGGCATACGAGTGCGGGAAGTTGAAGACGATGCGGTCAAATGGCCCGGGCAAGTCACCATAGCGCTCCAACTGCGTCGCATCAATTCCGTGGCGCACGGCGTGGGGCAAGGACATCGCTGCAATGTTGGCCGGCGCGGTCGGGTACATGGCTGTGAGTGCATCTCTCGTGTCGAAGGACGTGGCGAGGATCGTGGCGGTCGTTGCGCGGGACAGCGCCCGCGCGTAGGAAAAGTTGCCGTCGCCGACGACGAGAACGCGCAGAGGAGCGTCCACGTGGCCGAGCGTGAGAAGCGCTTGCGACGAGCTTTGACGCGCCGACGCACGGGGATAGCAGCGCGCGCTTGGGCGGATCGTCCGCAGCATTTTTGTCGCGTCTCGTGTCCTGTCCTGACCAATTACTTGGCGCCAGCAGCGATATGAACTTGATTTCTCACGAGTGTCTGCCCACCAGACAATCCACCACGAGTGTCTTCTGGTCTTGACGACTCGTTGAATAGGGCTTGGTGAGCACCGCTCCGAGCACGACATCAACAGCTCACCTTTGCTAGTGTACTCGTACACGTGGCAAGTACGGCTCCCCTCGGTGTTGCAAGCTCCTTGGCTGGGCGCATGCCGTCGACGTGTTGATGATATCGGTACATTTTGTCGCTGGACAGATAGCGATAATGCGGCAACTCATCACTGATGCACAAGTGTCATAGCTGGCTGCGACAAAGGAGCTCGAGAGTTCACGGATGCCATTCGTCATCCACGTCGTCCAAGCAATTCGCATGCTTCGAGCACCGACAGCAACCACCGACACGACCCCGTGCCGTTGATTGCGGTTTTGCAGCTATCTGCGATCGCACATGGCGGCACCCAACACTGTGACACTAACGTCGGCGAAATGCTGGCCTCGGTCTTGGCCTCGATCGTCCATCGTGGTACTTTCAACAGAATTGATGCTCTCAAATGGAGCAATACATACATACACTGGTCAATGACAGCTCGATATCACTCGTCTGCAACTCGTGGGAAAGCGCAGGTTGCTCACGAGCACTGTTGACGCAGGACGACGGGTCCGTCATGGGCCGTTCGGTGGGTGCGCGCCGCCCTTGACAAACTCGAACGGCCGACAAAGCGACCATGTGCAACAGGATGTAATTAAATATGACGCGCGCTGTATACGAGCGGTGAGGTAATTCAATTTCGCATGTCAAAAAGGCGCGCAAGTAGAGACGCATCCATTTGCGATTTTGCGATTTTTGACCGACATGGGAAGCCACAACTACAGCAGCGCCGAGTACGAGTACCTCGTGACACAGCCGCAGTACTCGTCCCGACTGCTCAAGTCGTCGTGCTTGACGGCGCTCTCGGCCTTCTCGGCCGCCAAGAAGGACCTCTGGAGCTGCTCGCTTGTCGCGACGCTCGTGCTGCTCACGTCCATCAACTACTGGCGCCACCCGACGATGGGCTGGCGACGCAACATGGACATGGTGGCCGTCGCGGGCGGCCTCGTATACCACATGTACCTCTCGCTCTCTTGCGAAGTGCAGTTTTACCAGTACCTCTACTACGCGCTCATGGCCAAGTCGGTCTTTTGCTACTTCAAATCGATCACGTGCCCGAACAAGAGCATCTCGTACCTCTGGCACATTGGCATGCATGCGGTCGGGAACCTTGGGACGCTCGCACTCTACGTCGGCCTCGCGCGCAGCTTGGAAGGGTAGCGACGTTGTCTTGTCTGCCAGTTTGCGTCCGTCGCGTCCACCTATTAACTAAGTATTATTTCGTCCTCCTCAACTCTGTGTATTCTCGTCGTGCTTGGCCTTCTTGGAGGTTGGGCAGATCCGAATCAAGGAGCTTCAACATCAACAGCTGCAGAAACCTCGCTTCCGCGACTGCAAGTCGCCACCGCCGCCTCGTCGTCACAACGTGATGAAATGGACAGTCCATGGGCCTGTCCTCTTCCGGAGACAGCCAAAATCAACGCCCTCCTGACACAAGAAGGTCCCTTCTTATACTACCAAGGCCATTACTTTACGGCGCTGACACTTGTACACAAAGAGAGCGGCGTCAACCACCGACCCGAATGGTATCGATACGACGCTCTTCTTTCTCAATGCAACGTGTTCGTACGCTCTGTCTAGAGGAGCTACTACTATGTGGTCCAAGTCTCTTCACCGTGGGGTGGTGCACTGTGCATAACCAATGACGGGTCTATTCGCTTGTCTTCACGTGTATGTCAAGGCTGTGGGGTCACAAATTATACAATTATTATTTAGTCTTCTAGTGGGCAAACTGGCGCTTGTCGTCCTTGGCGCGCTTCCCGTACGGGTTTTCCGCGCTAAACGCATGGCCGCTCTTGCTGTACTTGTCTTCGCGCTTGCGCTTGCCTTCCTTGCCGTTCGTCTTGACGGGCAGCGTCACCTTGGGCGGGACCGTGAGGCCAAACGACTTGGCGACCGCCGGCAAATCGAGGGTGCCGACGTCAAAGATGTTCTTGAGGCCGTGCGACGCGTACGCGAGGAGGTAGCTGCGGTACGCTTCCTTTGCGCTCTTGTGCAAATAGTACGTCTTCTCGACGAGCTTCATGAGCTGGTTCTCGACGTTCGCCACCTTCTTGGTCGGGAAGTCGTACTCGGAGAGCGCGACCTTGGCCGCCTTGAGGTACTTGAGAAACCCGAGCTCTTCCGGGAGCAGCATGAGCAGCGCCTTGCCGGCACCCGTTGCACCGCGCGCCGTACGACCGACACGGTGGATGTACTCCTTCGGATCATCCGGCGGGTCATACTGGATGATCCAATCGACCGCCGGGATGTCGAGACCACGCGCCGCCACGTCCGTGCAGAGCAGGATACCGCTTTTCGCCGAGCAAAACTGAAAGAAGGTCGTCGTGCGCTTGTTCTGCTTCTGCTTGCCGTGGATGTCGAGCACAGGCACGTCAATGTAGTTGAGGAGCTCGCCGTAAAACTTGACGGCGTTGCAGCTCGAGAAGAAGACCATGACCTTCTTGTTGAGGTTCTTCTTCAAAAAGGTAAAGAGGAGCAAAAACCGCTTGTCGCTCGGCGTGACCACATAGCCCTGCTCGAGCGTCTGCACGGTCGCCTCGGCGTTCTCGACGTCGTCGACGCCAACGTACACGGGCGTACCCTGGATCGACACCTTGATGAGGTCCTCGACCTTCTTGGTCTGCGTCGCCGAAAAGAGCATCGTCTGGCGCGTCTTGGGGATGCACTTGATGATCTGGCGCATCTCCTCTTCGAAACCAATCGAGAGAATACGGTCGGCTTCGTCGATGACGAAGATCTGGAGGTTGTGGAAGATGAAGCCCTTGGTGTTCTGGAGGTGATCGAGAAGACGACCGGGCGTCGCGATGAGGATGTTGACGCCCTTTACGAGGCGCTCGGCCTCGGCGCGGCGGTTGGCACCGCCCATGACAATGCCGTGCGTCTGCGTGTGGTACTTGGTGATCTCCTTGACGACGCCGTAGATCTGGAGCGCAAGCTCGCGCGTCGGCGAGATGACGATGCAACCAGTGCCCTTGCGCGCAGTAAACTTGACCTTGTAGAGCAGCTCGATCGACGGGATCAAGAACGAGAGCGTCTTGCCCGAGCCCGTCTTGGCGGCGCCGAGCAAGTCGCTGCCAGCGAGAAGCGGGCGGATCGACTTGGACTGAATCTTGGTGAGCTTGACGAAGTTCATCTCCTTGAGCACGCGCTGCGTCGGCTCCGAGAGCGGCAGCGACTCGAAGGTCTCATCCGAGAAGTAGACGCTGCTATCCGTGCGGGCCACGGGCGCGGCCGCGAGCGCGCCGACGTCCTCCTCGTGGTCGCTCATGCTGATGCAAGATGAGGTTGCCTCGAAGATTGGCTGCCACTGGTTGGTCAAGAGACGACCAATACGAATGGCGAGCAACGCGTGAACCCGATCAAGTGCGCTTTTGAAACACGATTTGTTTTTTAATACTCCACTCTGTACGTTATTATTTTAAAAGGAGTCGTGAGATGCGTACTTTATCGGGCGTGTCTATTTTTAAACACTCCTTTTGGTAGGGCCCTCGAGGGGGTCGATACATTTCTTGCTGGGTAACGAAGGCGAACATCAGTAGGTACTATGCAGTCCCTGGAAGCGAGCTTGTAAGATAAAGCAATGCGTTGGTGTAGAAGGACCTTGCTGGTACGTGCATGACGTGCGGAATACGCTACTGGGTGGCTCAACGCATCCATAAGGGTCCTTCTAGAAGGTCTGTCATCTAATGTGGGATAGGGGTCCCAAGAAAACAGGTGGCAGCAGCTCGTGCAAGCATGAATGGAGTGCGTCCACGCATCTCAAGTCGCAAACCCCACCACTTTTGTTGGTGTTGAAACGACGTACAATCACATATCAGATAGAAGACTTTTGAGCGCCCTCGTATGGCAATGCCGTTGCGTCCGACAAGGTGTACTAGTCGTCTTGTGTGCTGAAGCATGCGAGAAGACGAGCATCCGTAGGTCAAGTGTGGGTGAGGTAAACGTGCCTTTGCAGTGACCTCAACCGCAAGCGGAGTCGATGGGAGCCGAGTCTGCGTTGAGCAGCGTTGTATTCGGGCGTGAGAGAGTACGCAGGTGAGCAAGATTGGCGTATTGGTCGCGATGGGTGACTCGTGCACTGAAAATGATGTGGTGACCGCGTCGTAGTGGAAGCGACGAGCGTATGAGAGAGTCACATGGACACCCAGCTTACGTGAACGAACAAACCAGACACGGCGTGTAAACCGTGGTAGTTTTTGTTTGCATTAAAGCATTTTGCGACGGAAAGCAGGACTTGAAACAGAGTTTGATTTTGTCATGCACAGTAAGAAATAGATTAAGCGAATAAGATAGGTCTATCTACGGCTTGGCCGTATAGCACCACGCCCGGCCAAACTTGTACTGCAGCTCGTACCGCTCCAGATCGATATCTTCGTGCTTGGCCGAGAACTCGCGACCGTGTTCATCGGTGACCATGACGCAGTGCCACGGCGTAGTCGGGATCGACCCGTTGGAGCTCTGAAGCTGCGGGATGAGGGCGACACCGTACTTGGGGCCCGCGTTGTCGTAGGCGTGGATCGAGAGGCGGATCGCGTCCGGATAGCAGTCGTCGACGAGCGTCGAGAAGGCCATGTTGCGCTGGATCATGAGCTTGGCGGCGGCCCCCGCAGCCTTATCGATGGCCGACTTGGACATGCCGACCCACTTGTGCGCGAGGTCCTTGGTGAGGAAGCGACGGAAGCCGCGGTACGTGGCAAGGACGCCCGCGTCGTCCTTTAGAAGCTTCTTCATGTCGATCTTGTCGCAGTTGTAGCGCTCGAGAAGCTCCTGGTTGGGGTCTTCGGTGGTGGTGTAGTTCTCGAGTCGGTCAAACTTGATGTGCGTATGCTGCGCCGCGACCGCCATGGCCTCGAGCTCGGCGATGTAGGCGTCCATGGCGTCTGTCGAGACGCCAATGATGTCGTTGAAGATGCGACCGTCGCTGAAGATGACCATCTGAGCGCCAGGCGTGTACACAGCCTCGATCTCGCGGCAAAGCGTCTCGAGGCGTTGCATCGCAAGCTCTTCACCGCGGTCCGGCAGCACGCCGAGCGTCTTTTCGGCTGTGTTGGGCGACTTGAAGGGAAAGGCCGGGATCACAAACGTGAGGGGCTGCTTGGCGTCGATCGCACGCATGACAGCCGCTTCGACCTTGAAGCGACCTTCGGCATCAAACCGATCACCGGGAATCTTGTGGAGCATCGGGAGAAGGGCAGCGAGGACGGCGGTAACAATGTCGTCGGGCGATGTGGACTTGGTGACCGGTGCGCTCTCCAGCGCAGCGCGCTGCGGGTACTGGCTCGGGAGGTAGCGGCTCCAATAGTCGAGCAAGAGCGCAAGGAACGAGAAAGGCGACTTGGTCGTGGGGACCGGCTGCGAGTCGTTCGCACAAAGCGTCGCAAACGGCGCCGTGCACTCGGGCATGCGTTCGATATCGGTGCTGTAGCAAACCATGGCGACTGTGTGAGGCAAATTGAAAAGTGAGCTTCGAGTCTCAACTCCAACAGCACTACCATGTCCAACGCCAAAGTTTGGATTGCCTTTGCATACAAAGATACAAATATAGGCGGTATGAAAGCATCCAGCAGATCCGACTGATACGAATGGCTCTTGGGTGACGAACGGGTGACGGCAACGAGAGGACTTCACCAGATCGACGCCCAGCTTCTTTGTCGCTGGCTGTTTGCGGAATATACATGGCCTAGCTCACAAACGTCCCACCTTTGAATCCAGGACTGCTTTCGTGATCGTCTTCCTTTCCCCAATACTGTACACGCTGTAAACCTCGCAAAATGACTACACAACGTCGTAATTTCACACGAGGCAGTGGGATGCTCGCGATCTTGGACGTCGTCGTAAGCAGCTGCAGCGCCTCCGTATCAGGACTAAGTCGTATTTGTAGTCGCTACGGCCTCAACACGACGGCCAAGATACTGTCAAGCCCGATGGACGATGTCAACACTCACTATCGAAACAAGTCAAAGTCGCAAGAGTTGGCACTGCAGGAAAACGTATGGCCGCCACATGGGCGAGTGGTACGCGCGCGGGGTGCGTAGACCCAATCAAAACGCTCGAAACCGTGACGCGGCAACAGGTGTCTTTGAAAACATTTACTTCCGCTGACTTCCGCTGCGGTTCCTGCGACAGCCATATACATTATTGTAGCTCGGTGGTACCAGTACGCAAATATATGTAGCTGCGTGCATGCGAGATGTGCGGTGCGACGAAGTGCGTGGCATTGACGCCTTGAACGCAGACACTTTGCCTTGCCGGACACGGCTCGGGTGCGAACTTCGTCGCACATCCGATGCCGTCAACGGAAATCACGACGCCAACGAAGCGGTTCATAGAAAGGAGCTTGCAATGGTCGTACGTAGCTGAGTAAACCTGCAATACCGGTCGTAGCGTCAAACAACCCATGGTAGCTGCGGTTGTGAGCGGCATTACGTTGCCGGTAGCCTTGCTATTACTTGGTCGCACTACACGATCCGCGCACGTTTGATAAAGAAAGAATCGACAGCCGAGATTGCGCCTCGAAACACGGTGCTGATTCGCGGGCGGTACTCAGTAGCACTCCGTACCGTGATCAAGGGGTAGGTCTCAACACAGGTGCTGTATGCGCAAAGACAAGCGTTACTCAGATGGTTCCCAACCACTTGTGGTGTGATCACAATCGCTCGAAGCTCCATCGCAAGTCGCTACTCCACGTGTCGTCCGCCTACATTCGATAGCTTCTATTCTTTGTCAGCTACAGCCATGTATGGGAAAAATATGTAGGGAATACTTCTGTGCAGTACTGTGCATAACCAGACCCTAATCGAAAACAGATGGCAGATAGGGTGGACACCGAGCGTATTATTCCGCGGCGCAATCGGACTTCGGTTGTGTGCGACACGCGCATCTCTGACATTTCCGTGATCAGAGGTTCGAAAAACCGACATTCGCGCCCAAAAGATCCATACTCGATTGTCATTTTTCAATTTGCTCTTTTTCCAGCAGCGAGCTCGTGTCGTCCTCTCTCAACGACCCCGCCCGCCCACCACATTTTCCAACAAACCCAACTTCTCTATCCACAGTACACGAACAAATATGGTGCAATCGACCATGGACCGCATCATTGACGCGCTGCGCCCGCTCCTCAACATCAAGCCCGAGGACAAGTTTGAGACCGACGGCCGCGCGTTCCTGAGCAAGCTCATTGCGCGCGCGATCGAGAAGGACGAACCGATCTCGCTCGTTCTCCCCGGCTTCCCTTGCAAGTCGCCCAACACGGAGACCGAAGTGCTCGGGAAGCTCCCGGACCGCGGCGAAGAGATCGGCCTCGCGCGCTTGGAGGCGGCGTGCGTCGCGATCGAAAAGGTCTACCCCCGCGGCGCGCGCGCCAAGATCTTTAGCGACGGCCGCGTCTTCAGCCAAGTGCTCGGCGTCACGGACGACGACGTACTCGCGTACAAGGCGGCGCTCGTGCAGCTTCTGGCGTCGACCACGCACACGCACTTGGAGTTTGACAGCCTCGACAACCACACGAAGACGTCAGTCAACCAAATCGCCGAGGTCAAGGCCCGGTACGGCGTCGACGCCCTCGACTTGGACGACGTTTTGGCCACGAACGCGGGCTTGCGCAACACGTACAACACGTTTCACTCGTTCATCGGGCGCGACCTCCTCGCCACGTACGCGCACTTGGACGCGGCTGCGAAAGCAAACGCGATCACATCGGCCGCGCGCGAGATGATTCGGCGCAACATTGCGTTCTCAAGCCTCGTCAACGACGTCTTTGGCGATGCGATTCGGCTCTCAATCCACGCGTTTGACAACGCAGGTCCCAAGTTTGGTGTGCACTTGATCCCGCAGCTTGAAGCGTCCGAGACGGCGCCGACGACGCCGTGGCACTGCGTCATTGTGCAGCGCATGGACGGCACCGAATTCGCATGCAAGCACGAAGACGTCGACAAGACAAAGTACGAAGTCGTCACCAAGTTTGGCCGTCCGTGGTTCTACCGCGAAGTGCCCGACCTTTCGCCCGAGTGGGCGCGCCTCGCGATTGCCGTGCAGCCGTGGCGCCAGGGCGTGACGCTGATCGCGTCGTCACCTGTCTCGATCACGGCGCTGCCCAAGATTGCGCTTCGCGCGCTCGCGACCAAGTACAGCGTCGTGCTCCTCCGCGGCTTCCGCACCGACGAAAACCAAGACATGCTCGCGTCGCACATTGGCGAGATCCTCATGTGGCCCACGGGCAGCACGCTCGAGCTCAAGCAAGACGGCGCCTCCGGCCTCGCGTCGCGGTCGCACGAACCCATGGCATTCCACTACGACGGCATGTTCAAGCGCATTCCCGACAGCGACATCCTCGGCGATGTGCCCTTGTACCAGTTCTTCCAGTGCTTTGCGCCGTACCCGGTTCGTGATTCGCCGTTCGGTCGCACCATGTTTGTCGACACGCGCCGGCTCCTCGCGGCCTTGCCGTCGGAAGACGTCGCGCGTCTTCGGACGCTCAAGATGACGGCGACGACGGCGGCCAACGTCATGTACGGTTCGGCGACGCTGACGCATTTCATGGACCTCGTGTGCCAGCACCCGGTCGACGGCCAGGAGATCCTCCGCTTCCACGAGCCATGGGACGCCGACAAGACCAACCTCCAGCCGACGCACATTGCGATTCGCAGCAAGAAGGCGGCTGCGACCGACGCCGAGCACGCTGCCGAGCAGGCGTGGGTCTTTGAGACGCTCGTGCCGCTTCTCTACAGCGACGACTTCAAGTACGCGCACGAGTGGCAAGCCGGCGACTACGTGCTCTCGGACAACTATGCGCAGCTGCACAGCCGGACGCCCGTGCCGCAAAAGGGCCGCGAGATCGCCCGTATCCACGTCAACTAAGTTTCTACTGTATACTAACCATGCCTTAACGTCAAACCCAACTATCTGAATGAAGTTTACTCAAGTACACCCCAGGACCGTTGAGCAGACCCACTTTTCTCTCGTTCTTCTAGACCTGCCATACGAGCTGGACCAACGATATCTCTGGTGAAATTGAGACCACACCAGAACCCTAACCCCACGCATGGCACGTGGTGGAGGTCTTGACCAAGCAGTTGTACAGTGGTAGTATCTATTCAAGCTCGTTGTTTGTCGTAGCTTTCTCGTCGGCGACTGGCTTGGGCTTTTTCGAGGCGCGTTCAAAGAGCTGCCCGGACGCAAGGAGGCGGAGGCGCTTGAGGTGAAAGCGGTGGCCTTTCGAGCGCAAGTGTTCGTTCCACTGCACTTGTCCGACAAACTCGCGCCCGCCGCACTCTGTGCACATATACTTGGTTTTCGGCCCCTTCTTCTCGCTCACGCCGTCGGTCTCTTGACACGTCGCCTGCGTCATAATGGGCAAACCACGAAGGAACGACGTGGCAATCTCGATTGCAGGAGCTGCGACCACCGATGGCCACGCGTCGACCACGGACGTGTCGAAGCGATACACCGGCACGTTCCGGGGCACGAACCGGTTCTTGATCCATGTCACTTGGCGCTTGGCGTACTGGCGCGTGCCAACCTTGAGCTCGTCGATGCAATTCGCGAGGACCGAGTGCAGCGCATCATCGTCGACGCCTTGGGCTTTTGCCGTCAAGTACACCTCAAATTCCTTGAAGCCAATCGCTTGCGTGATGCCTTTGAGTCCCATCGGAACTGGTGACGCAGCCACGTGGTCGCGGATCTCGGTCATCAACCCTTCGATCTCGGGCACGAGACCGTCGACCACCATCTTGTCAACCCTAATCTTCCATCACGCTTACGAAGACAAATCAGATGGCATACCGCTTGTCGAGACGGGCGTTCAGGACCGGGCGGTCGCAGTCGACCCAGAAGGCACACGCGTCAAAGAGCTTTTCTTCCGCCTTTTGCTCAGCAATCCAGTCGCTGTGCCGCTTGCCGGTTTGGTAGAACACCTCGAGGCTGCGCTGCACCTAATATTGCGATGAGACGCGAGCTCGGGAGGATAGCGAGGGACAACGGCCTACCCGGCGAACGTCTTTTGAGTGCAAACCGTTGGCCATGACCGGGTCGACTTCTTGGAGCTTGCGGTAGACCTCTTCGGGCGACGACGGTAGCGGCACAGGACTGGCCTAATGCAATGAGCGTCTGAGAGATCGTTGCTCAAATGCCATCGTATTGAAGGTACGTCGCCGTTGGAGCCAGGCACGTCTTCGAGGAGCTGGCCGTTCCAGAGCAGCGACTGCGTGTAGTACATGGTACCGCCGACGATGACCGGCACCTTGCCGCGCGCAATGATATCTTGAATCTAACGCGAGTCGTTGACGTTGATGAAATAAGGGCTAGATCATACCGTGCGCATGGCGAGGGCCTTGTACTGGATGACCGTGCACTCTTCGACGGGGTCGATGCAGCTCAAGAGGTGGTGCGGCACGCCGTCCATCTCCTCCTGTGTCACCTTGGCCGTTGCCACGTCCAGACCTCGGTACATCTACGATGCCACTGCATAAGTCGTACGCGAGCGGACGACGGCGCACCTGCATCGCGTCCGAGTTGACGATCTCGCCATTGAGCGCCTTGGCGAGGTCAATCGATAGCTTCGTCTTGCCTGCGCCCGTCGTCCCGACGACGACGAGGATCTTGCTCAATGCTTCCTTGACGCTCATGCTGCGTTATCCCTCCAACCGCCTCGGCGTGGATTGTCAGAAGGCCATTGGCTGAAAACACCCTTTCCGTCACATGCCATTGGCTGAAAATGTTGGTTGCCTGTCGGATTGGTGCAAAAGAAGCGCTGATGAGCAATAGCAAGCCGCGCAAGCCCAAGGTCGTATACATGGCCGGTCGCATGGCGCTCATCTGCTAGCGCGTAGAACCCCGAGGCGCCGACAAGGCATCTCTATGTGGCCAACTGCACGGTCGGCGGCGACCACGGCGTTGGCGAAGGTGCTATCCTCTCCTGCTTTGGAGCCTACGGCACACTCTGCGACCTCGTCTCGGAGGACGCCAAGGTACGCACCCGCATGCTGCCAGGCCTCGCAGGCAACTTGTATGGTGCAGGGCTACCTCTTGGTGACGTTTGCGACGGTCGAGGCAGCGGTCGCAGCGCGCTCTGCACTGCAAGGCACGTCGCCAGCTGTGCTTGGCGGCCGGAAGCTCTTTGTGCAGTTTGCCGCCGAAGCACCGCCCGCTGACGCTGGATCATCAGGATCATCGCTCTCCTGTCCGTCCACAACCGCGCAAGTCGTGGTGCCCGGGCTCTCGATCATCGACGACTTCATCTCGGCGGACGAAGAAGCGTCGCTCCTCAATACCATCGATGGGAGGGCCTGGGAAGACAGCATCCAGCGTCGCGTCCAGCACTACGGCTATGCGTTTCGGTACGATACACGCGACGTAGACGCCTCGGCGCCGCTCGGGCCACTGCCGCCCTTTTGCGCCGAGACGGCCGCGAATATGCATCGTCTCCGTCCGGACTTGCAGCTCCCAGATCAAATCACGATCAACGAGTACCTCCCGGGCCAAGGCATTGCGCCTCACGTCGACACCGCCGACGTCTTTACCGAGTACATTGCGTCGCTCTCGCTGGGCAGCGACATCGTCATGGACTTTCGCCTTGCCTCGGACCCATCGATTGTCAAGCACGTTGTGTTGAAGCGCGGGTCGCTCGTCCTCATGGTGGGCGAGGCGCGTTACCTCTGGAAGCATGGGATAGCATATCGCAAGCACGATCTCATTAACGGGTCTGTCGCCGCCCGGACGCGGCGCGTGTCGCTGACGTTGCGCAAGGTACAGTCGTCGACTTGGTGCATTTTCGCTCGACAATTTTGGATTCCGGTAGATTCTGGTCGAGCGCGATTTCAGCCGCGTGCAGCAAACTAGCGTGCAGCGACCGTCGGATCTGGAGAAGGAGCACGTGCACGGCGTGTACGACAGCATCGCGTCGCACTTCAGCCATACGCGGCACCACCCGTGGCCGCTCGTCACCGACTTTCTAAACCGACTGCCCGACGGTGCGCTTGTCGCCGACATTGGTACGCATTCCAAGGCCTAACTTTGCTGAGTGTGACGCAGGCTGCGGCAACGGCAAGTACCTTGGCGTGAACCCAAATCTGATGATGATCGGGTCGGACCGCAGCATGCCGCTGCTCAGCGTGTGCTCGGAGCGGTGCATTTTCCGTTGATAGAAACTTGAAACATATCTTGGTAACGACGTAGGACCCACGACGTCTTTGGCAGCGACGGGCTCAGCGTGCCGCTCCGGACAGGGGCATTTGACGCAGCGATTTGCATTGCTGTGCTCCACCACATGTCGACGATCGAGCACCGCTTGCAGATTTTGCGGTATTTTTGTGATTTTTGTGATTTTGACGTCTAAAATGGCGACTAGGGAGCTCGCGCGGCTCGTGCGCGTCGGCGGTGAGGTCTACGTGGTCGCATGGGCGTTCGAACAAGACGCGCTCTCGAAGCGACAGTTTGCGAGTCAGGACGTCATGGTCGAGTGGAAGCTGCAGCAAAAGTACATTGATCCAAACGAGCCGCTGCCCGCCCATGTGCAGCTCGACGATGCAAAAAAGTGGGCTGTCTACAAGCGCTACTGCCACGTGTACCGCGACTTGGAGCTCGAGCTCCTCGTGCGCCAAGTGCCCGGCCTCGTCGTCACCAACGTCGAGATGATGCGCTCGAATTGGTGCCTGACGATCCAGCGCGTCTAGTTGCACGTCAATGCTGTTCTACTACTTGATACCAACTTGAAACTTTTCCGGCGCACTACCTAGTATGTATGGAAGCTACTAAAGTACTCCGAGTCCACCCCATTGACGTAGTAGGAGGCTAGGGACAGAATATAGAAGGCTAGGGACCGATGTGACTATGGAATAAAACCAAGAGTTAAACGCGTGGGGCTCAACCAACGTGGGTTTAACGTCGCGCTACGGACGGTCTTCAGGCTTGCTGCCACGTCATGCGAGGTGCCGGTGTGGGACGTGTGTCATTGACACTGGACAGAATCCGCACCTGGATCTGAAATTAGGTGCGCTTTTCTCGGACTTGTCCGGATAACGACAGTTTCGAGCTGCCGACTCCACAAGCAAGGAGCGGACGACGAAGCATGTCGAGCCTCGACGACATCTTTGGCGACTGCAGCGACCTCCTCGGCAGCTCGTCGACGAACGCGGCCCCGACCTCGACCTACTCCCTCGACGAGCTCGGCCTCGATGAGCTCGGCCTCGGCGACGTCAAGGCAACAGCGCCGGACGCGCTGTCGCCGACGACGGCCGCGATCACGTCTGACCCGTCCGACTTTCTCTCGTGGCTCGACGCCAAGCCGACGTCGCCCGAGTCGGGCGTGCCCAAGTTCGATGGTCCGTCCTCCGACTCGTTCTCGTTCGATAGCCCACTGGCAGTTCCTTCCAAGGCAGCGGCCGATACCGACGCCACCTTCTCCTTGGACGACGAGCCGGAAGCGCCGGCGCCCGTTGTCCCCGTCTCGGATGCGACCATCGTTGCCAAAACGGATGCGGACTTCTCGTCGCCGCCGCCGGCCCCCGCCGTGACTGTGAAGCAGCCGACGCCGCCGGCCTCGGTTGCACCCGAGGCGTCCAGCACAAGCTCGGGCAACCCGTTCTTGATCCCTGCGCCTACAGCGACAGCGACAAGCTCCAAGCCGCCGACGCCAGCGCACTCGCAGCCAAAAGCCGAGTCAAAGCAGCCGACACCAACGTCATCGTTCTCTGGCATCCCGCCGTCGCCCGCTGCCCCCGAAGGCAAGCCGCCAACGCCACCACAGTCCAACAAGGCGGCTCCTCCACCGATTGAAACCAACACGGGGTCGCGCCACACGTCGTTCGAGGTCTTTACAAGTCCTGTGGGTATGTGCACGGTCGCCTTGAAGCCATGCCTTATCGCTCTCGGCCTTGTCATAGGTGCCTCGTCCGTCTCGGCCTACTCGAGCCAAGATGGCGCCAAGGTCCCTGCGAACGGTACATGATCCTCTCTACCAATTCTCCTGCATCCTCCATCCTATCCGTCTAGATGAACTGCGTGCTCATTACCGATCGCTCAACAAGATCCCTGTCGAGGAGCGCTTGCAAGCGTGGGGCACCCTTCTCGAGGTAGCCACCTTCGGCACTCTACCGGCGCTCACGCCCCTGCTCCTAGGCACCGCCGCTCGAGACCAAGACGGTCGCGCTCGGTGCGTCCGAACTCATTCGTCGCGACGCGCAGGCCGTGTGCTCGCTCCTCTTTGCAGACGCAGCGTTCTGCAAGGGCCTCGAGAAGGACGGCGTGTCGCCCGACTCGGCGCGGCTCTCGCTCACCGACCACGTCGAGGCGCTCATCTTGAACGAGTGCGAGAAGCACGCGATCGCCTATACGCCTGGCCTCGCAATGGCATTTGCGCCGCTCATTGTTCTCGGCGGCGCCGACCCGCTGCGCCACGACCTCTTTGGCATCATGGACATGGTCACGCTGCGCCTCTTCCCGCATCTGCTGTCGCACGTGCCGCTGTCGCACGTGGCGCTGGCGCGGCGGCCGCTCCTCAAGTTGCTGCTCTTGTACCATGACCCGACGATTGCGTTGCACCTCGACCACACGTATCCATCGTGGTCGGAGCCGGGGTTGGTGCCCGACCAATGGCTTGCGTCCCTCCTCGAGGGCCACGACCACACGACGGCGATCGACTTGGACGTGGCGTCGCGCGTCTGGGACTGCGTCGTCGTGAACGCAAGCTCGACGTATCCGTCGATCGTCATGGTGTTTGTGCTCCTGAGTGCGATCCTCGGCTCCAAGAAGCGCCTCTTGAGCTTGACCAACGGGCCGAACTTGCGCAGCTGCATGGTGCAGCTGTTTGTCGAGACATTGAGTCGCCACACGACGCTGCTCCAGAACGTCCACGAGCTCATCGAGAAGACGCCGTTTTCGTTCTGCACCAAGCTCTGCGACGCGGGCATGGGCGTGACGGCAGCGGACGAGACGAAGAGCGCGTCGTTCACGCGCACAAACTCGAGCTCGTCGGTGACGAGCCCCAAGCCGCCGCGCACGAGCAGCAAGGAGCAGCTCGAGGTCCAGAGCAAGACGACAGTGACACCGACCAACAGCAGCAGCAGCAAATTCTCGCTGACGCAGCTGTCATCGATCAACACCAAGCTCATGGCGCAAGCGTCGCAGCTCAAGTCGAGCATCACGGGCAAGAGCGAAGAGGGTTCGCGCAGCGACAGCTTCCACCTCGAGACGCCGTCGACGTACTTTTGCATGACGATCTCGGTCTGTGAAGTGATTCCGTCCGTCTTTCGCGGCTTCAAATCCGCGTGCACGGAAAAGGTACACGTCACGACACTATATGTATTGAAAGATTGATATTTGGGCCTAGATTCGGTACTTTATCATCGACTGCCGACCGCACGATTACCTTGCGCACGGCCAGATCCCGACGTCGTTTCACTTCAACTCGGAGTCGCTCATGGACCCGTCGGCGTTTGATGCAGTCATGGCGACGCTCCAGCCGATGAAGAGCTCGGTGCACATCTGCATCATGGGCCACGGTCACTCGCGCTACGCGAGCAGCATGGTCAAGGACCTCAACCTCTCCAAGAGCGACGTGGCCGACATGGTGGCCAAGGACGCGGCCCAGGTCAACGACGCCGTCATGTTCCTCACCAAGCGCGGGTTTCCGTACGTGAGCATCATCGACGTACGAGGCTTTTTGTGCGTATACACCTCTTATAGAGTGCTAGGGCGGGTACGCGTCGGCGCACCGGTATTTGGCCAAGTCACGCCTCTTCTCGCTCTCGGACCTGTGCGACCACGACGCAGCGTCGTGCACGCTGTGCCAGCAGTGGCAGACGCTGCAGGCCAAAGGGCGGAGCGCGTCGTCGGCGTCACTGCTCTCGGACGAAGAGAACGAGCATATTCAGCGCAGCGAAGGCGGCGTGTGCCTCGGTCGGTTTGGGCCGGATGGTCGCGCGCGCACCAAGTCGACGACGCCGTCCGACAGCGTGACGTCCCCGTCGTCCTCGTCGTACTTTTCATCGATGACAAGCGCGCTCAAGGACAGCGGGAAGACGCTGACGGCCGTGAGTGGCAAGACCCTCAACGCCGTGCCGGGCTCGTCGCTCATGTCGGGAGCCTTCAAGGACAGTAAGAACTGGATGATGAAGAAAAAAGAGTCGATGGACCTCGGCGGCAAGCTCTCGGACGCCAAGGCGCATCTGCACTTGAACGAGCTCAACATGCCGAGCATGAACTCGATGCGGTCGGTCGTGGACGCGGCGGTGAAGCGCGACTCGGCCTTGAACCCGGTCACGTACGTCAAGAAGGCAGCGACGTCGATCGCAGCGACGATCGGGCCCCTTGAAGCATCGGCGACCATGAGCAACGCCCCGACGTCGCCGCCCGTAATGATTTCGCCGAGCAGCAAGAAGCCTGCGCCATCGACCGCGACGGAAGCCGTCTTTTCGATTGACGACGACGAGGACGAAGAGGCCGATGACTTTGTGGGCGCGGCGGACGGCGGGGATGACGAAGGCGATGGCAGCGTGGCGATCGTCGAGCATGTCATCGAGAAGGGCGGCGTGAGCGGTTTGAAGAAGGGCATGCAGCTGCGTATGCACCAGTTGCTGCCGCTGGTGTCGTCGCCGCTCTTTTCATGCTACAAGAAGAAGGTCAAAGGCGGCGCGACCGCGATGGTGCCGCGGCACGTGGTGCTCGCCGAGGACCACATTCTCGTGCTCCGACCCGACAAGGTCTACGAAGGCGTCACGAGCGTCCGCAGCTGCCACCCTCTGAGCCACATTGCGCGCATGACGTGCATGAAGAAGAATGCGCTCATGGTCACGCTCTATTACAAGGTCGACGACCAGACTCAAAAGCAAAACTCGTACGAAGTGCAGCAGCGCGACGCGTTCATCAAGGTCGTCCGGACGTCCATGGAAGCCCTCGCGGCGCAAGCGTCCAGCGACGACAACTAGGCCGCTTGCGTCGACGTACTAGCCTTCTTACTCGTTCGAAATGCATTCGCCTTGGTCTTGGATCGGTGGGTACTGGTCGTCTTGGGTCGAGGTTGATGTTGTTGTTGCATGGCGGCCAAGGCCGCAGCGTCTTCGGCGAGCAGCTTCTCGATGAGGGCGAGCGTCTGGACGTCCTCGAGCTTGACGTTCTCCTCTTGACAGAGGCCCCACGAGTTTTCTTTGAGGTTCCACGTTTGCGTCACTTCGACAACTTGCGAGCTCTACGTACAATATAGATATAAGATTGCTCGGACATTGGGAGTACCTGGATGGCCGTGAGCGACGGCACGGCGACAGGCGCTGGTACTGCCCCCCACATGGGCGACTGCTGCTTGGGCGCCGGTTTTTTGGGTCCTTTGGTCTTTACAAAGGCCTCGAGCGCAAACGTCGGGCCGCTCTTGGCGGCGGGAGTACTCGGTGCATTGATAGGTCGATGCTGTGGTGGGCTGTTCCACACGGGAGCCACGACGGCCTTGGGCATCGGAGGCGGCGCCGGCGTCGACAACAAGAACGTATCGAGTGGCACAAACTTGGTTTTGGTCTTCTTGGCCTTTGGCTCTGTCTTGCGAGCTTCTTTTGTTGGCTTGCGAGCCGCCATCTCTGTCGGGTGATGGGCTTTGGACGCCTTTTCTCTTGGTGACTCTCGCTTGCCCTTGAGCGTTGGCACCGGATCCACAATGACAACCTCGGGCGACGGGGCATAGGCCACTGGCCTCGTATCGACGACGTCCGGGATCTCGGAGGCATCCGCGACGGTGATCTCTGGCGACGCGACGGGTGGTGGTGGCGGAGGCGTCGCCCGGACCTTCTCCAAGTGGCGCTCCAGTATGTCGATCTCGTCGAGAATGAACGGCTTGCGGGCCAACTTTTCCGCTTGGGCGTCGGTCCAGGTAGCCAGTTTCTCGAGGTCGTCGATCTGTCGCAGCCGCTTGCCGAGCGTACGGAGACGCTTCTCGACTTCATGCGGTGCCATGGTCGCGCCTGGCATGCGCATCGACTTGCTTGGCGCGCGCGGTGTCAAGGCGTCGGCTGCACTCGCCCTCGGCGCGGTCTCTTCGTCGAGGTAAATGGGAAACTCTTCGAGGTCCTTGGCCATGTCGAGCACTGCGTCAAAGTTGCGCCGCGCAAACTCGTTGCAGACGCTCACGAGCGCCGTGGCGTAAATCGCGTCGGCGTGGTTGTACGTCTTGACAACCGTCTCGAGCGAGAGCTGGGCCGCGAGCGACTGTTCACAGAGCGACGCCAGTGTCGGCAGCTCCTCGTTTGCCGGTGGCACCAGTTGCGGGCGGTCGGGCGCCACAAGAACCACCGTGTGCTGGGGCCCGGCGGCGACGGCGGACGCGCGCTTGAGCCTTGGCACGCGCTTCGGCACGGGCTGCCAGTTGCGGCCTTCGTGACCTACACCGTCCATTGAGTGCTGAACGAAGAGACGCGCGCAGATTTGACCGAGAGAGCCGCAGCCCCACGTGTACACATCGCCGGTCGCCAATACGACGGCGCAGTGCTCTTTGGCGGCACAGACGCTCACCGCGCGGTGGGCGAGTTGGACGTAGTTGATGCTCGGGGTTTGGACGCCGGGGCCATGGCCCCACGTGTAGACATTGCCGGCCGTGCTGAGACCGATCGAGTGTTGCGCCGCGCACGAGATGTCGGCGATGCTGATCGCGTGCTGCTGGCAGCGCGGGACCCAGAGGTTGTGGTGGTGCTGCCGGAGCCGGCTCTCCTTGGCGACGTGCCGCAGCAAGACTTGGGACGGAAAGTAGGCGTTGTAGCCCCACTGCCACACTTGGCCTTGCACAATCGCGGACGTTTCCTTCTCGACGTTGAGGACGACGCACGTGTGGTTGCACGACACGGCCACCTGCGCACAAACTTCAGACAACTTGTCGTCATGACGCGACGTAGTAGGACCTTGACGGCGGCAACGTGCGTGACGTCGCCGAGCACCGCCGAGTGCGCATGATTGGGCAATAGCGCGTCGACGCGCTTGGGCGACGAAAAGCCTTGATCGGTCCCAAACCCGTCCTATCAATGTATCAATACGACCGTCCCATCACAGATTTGCACCTTGCGGCCGAGCTGCCCTTTCTTGTTGCTGCCCCACGTAAACACATGACCCGACTCGGTGAGGGCGACCGAGTGGACGGACGACGCGGCGATATCGACGACGACGACGCCTTTGAAGGCATCGATGCGCTTGGGCGAGAGCCGACTCGCGGCCGACGTGAGTTTCAGCGGGAACCCGAGCTACGCAGCGGTCACGAATGCAGACAAGTTGTCAATTTACCTGGCCAAAGCTGTTGGAGCCCCACGAAAAGAGCTACACAACGCTCGCATGAGGCCATACGAACGTAGTGGTCGCAGTGTCGACTTGGCCGCCGGTGGTGAGCGCGAGCGAGTGGTTTTCGCCGGCAGCCACCTTGAGCACGGCGCGCTGCGGAAAATGCACGGGCACTGGGTGGATGCAGCTACCAAGACACTGTAACATCCAGTGGAATGACACTGGAAGCTTACTTGAACTCGGTGCCGGTGCCGAGCCGACCGCCTTTTCCAAACCCCCACGAGAAGCAGTCGCCGGACGACGAGACGACCAGCGTGTGGTAGCGCGCGGCGGCGACCTGGACAATGTCCGTCTGCGGTGGCAACTTGACCCGGCGTGGCATCACTTGCTCGTCGCCGTGCGGCAGGTGGTACCCGAGCTACGACGCGCTGTGATGCGACGACGGCGCGTCACATACGAGGTACCTGGAAGTCGACTTTGCCAAATGTGTAGATTTCACCACCCCGCGCAGAAGCCAACTGATGCGGGTACGTCGCGCTGAGCTTGGTCGAGAGGAGGTCCATGGGCGCTAGGCCATCGTGATCGACGACCGCGCTGCTTTCTTCGACCGTCAAGTGCGCGCCGGCGTTGAGCAAGAGCAAGGAGGCTAGCGTAGAGCATAAACACACGCTACGAACGTGATGGCATCGCAGTACTGTTGATGTGGTCGTGGAGGAGGCTCCGATGCAATGGCGTGTAGCCCGACTCCTATGCGGCACGATGCGGCGATCGAAGCAATGGCCTCGCAGGCATACCTTGTCGTGCAGATGCGGACTACCGCCGTGGCGCAGCAAGAGGCTCAGGAGGTCGTCGTACCCGCGCGAGGCTACGGTCATCGCAGTGAGCGTCGAACGGCGTGGCCGGCCGTACCCGCGAGGTGCAGCGCGGTCTCACCGAGCGAGTTGCGCTCGTTCGCTGCGACGCCATCGCGAAGGAGACGCTCAACGGTTGCATAGTCGTTGGCGACCGTCGCCGCCCAGATGTTGACGTCCGACTTCGTCGCCGGTCTCGCTGCGTCGACCATCGTAGCTCGCGATTCGAACACTGAAGTCTTTCGAAGCATCAAATATCCCACAGCATGGACCCAGTATGGGCACGAATCTAAGCCGAGGATCATAACAACCTGCGGTATATTGAATCTTAGAGGTATATAATCCTTTCTGAGATATTGGGTTTCGAATTTTCTATTTATCTAATCTTGAGAGTATGCGTTGTCACAGTATTGAGCAGGGCAGCCCAGCCGCGAGCTAACGACGGCGCGACCAAGCCCATCGCCATGCGCACCCTCTACAAGAAGCGGTCCTAGTACCTCTCTGTGATCTCCGCCAGCAACGAGCTCGCGTAGAGCGTGCAAGTGAGGTGAAGCGCATGGCGTCGAGATGGCGCCAAGCCGGTGGATTTTCCCATCCGTATCCGGAAAGCCGGATACCGTGCCACCTGCGTTTCATCGAAACGGCGCTTGGCGAGGTCGGCAGCGAGGTGCGACGACCACGCCCATCGAGCCGGTTGCTACGAGGAGGACGACGACCATGGACGATGTCCAGTACTCATTCGCCGCCAAGCCGCGGCCAGTGCAGACAACGCGGTCCAAGTACCGCGAGAAGAAGCCGAGCAAGTACATGCCACCATGCTGCCATGCTACCTCGTGCCAATACGGTATGGCTTGTGTAGCACGGTCTTCAACATCATGAACGACCCGCGCGTCGCACGTGGCAGCGTGTACGCCGCTGCCGTACGTACTCGCTCGTCGCGTACTTGGAAGTACTCATGCGTCCATGCTTTTTTGCCCACAGAACTCGATCCATCTCAAGCGTGACGCAGCGCCGCCGGCGCCAATGGCCCCTACGCCGACCATGCCTGTCAAGAAGAACTCGATCTACGAGCCACCAACATCCCTCAACACTTGTACGTTCATGACAACACGCCTGCACGCGCCCACGCGCAGCGTAGACATTCCGGTCGACTTGACCGCCTTCTTGGTCGAGCAGACGCCAACGATCGAGAGCTTGGACGTGCAGACGCAGACCGACGCCTTTCTCCGCAACGACAAGCACAAGAAGCCGTTTGCGCTCAAGAAGACAGGCATCGACACCTCGACCGAGGTGCCGTCGTTCATCGACTCCATTTGCCTCACCTCGACCATGTTCAGATTCTCGAAGAAGACGGCCTCTTCAACTTTGACGCCGAGGTCCAGCCGCTCCTCAATGTCCTCGTCAACAAGACGCTGCAGCAAGCGCGGGCCGAGGTCGAGCGCGAAACCGAGCTCCACCACATCTCTCTCTACCTCGTACCCATCGCGCATCCCACACAGCGCATTTCAATCGACAATGGGTAGAGCGACTTGCACGTCAAGAAGCGGGTCGAAGCCGACGGCGTCGCCAAGCTCGTCGAGGCGGCGGTCGCAGCGCAGGAAGCCAAAGAGCGAGAGACAGCAGATCGCGCCCAGCGCCTCGCCGAAATGGACATTCTCCAGCAAAAGGTCGCGGCGCTCAAGGTCGGACACCGGCTTCTTGACGACGCGATCGAGACGGCCGACGCGCAGCTGCGCAAGAACGGCGTCTTCTACGACCCGCTAAAGCGCCTCGTCGAAACAGGCTTCATGAAATGGATGTACACGCAGGCCGACGCCGCCGTCGACGCGCACCTTGTCGCACACGCGCTCCTCCACGGTCAATGGAATGCTGCTGCGGGATCCTCATGGGCGAGTAGACCTTCTCGACCACAGTCTCCGCAAGCAGCGAATACTCGCAACGCTCGCGCGGTTGCCGACAACTGGCGACGGTCGCCTCGTGCTGGACGCGCGCCACGTGGATCTGTGGGTGGTGCCAGCGATTGGACCGATTGCATATTTGCCCAGCCACACCTTTGCCACGATCGAAGCAAGTATCGAGGTGCTGTGGTCGTGGCTGTATCCTATCGAGAGGCTCAGTGCAAAGTAGGCATGGCTGCAAGGCAACGCGTCGACGGCCGAGGTGCCGCGACCCGACGGCGGGTACCTCCAAGCCCTCTTTCCGTAGCCGCCGTGTACAGACGCAGGATGTCCCATAGACTAAACATACCTCGTAGTATCAACCCAGATCTTATCGTAAATTGGGTCGTATAAGATTTCAGCGTTTACGCTTGACAGAGGGACCGGAACCCGCCAAAGCCATGCACAACCACGCCGCGGAGACCGAGGACGCCCATGACGGCGCCACTCACGGCGATCACAGCGGCGACCATAAAGAGGACAAAGGCCGTCTTGCGGTACTTCTTGATGAGGTAGCTCAGCCCGAGTTGGCCCACAACGCCGCCAGCAAAGCCGACGACGCCATACCAGAGCGCACGCTCGATCGGCAGCATCCCGAGCACGATAAACTATTGCATACACGCTTCTATGTGTCTGAACGCGGATACGATCGGTACCTGCAGCGTCGTGGCCGACGATGTAAAGAGAATCATGGTCGACGACGAGGCCGACGCGACTTGCGGGTGCAGCCCAATTTCGAGCAAGAGCGGTCCCTTGACCATGCCGCCGCCGATGCCGAGGAGCCCGGCGGCGACGCCTGCGACGGTGCACAGCGCCGGGTACAGCACGGTGGTCCGCTTCGTCCACACAATGTCGCCTTCGACGTACTTGTAGCCAAACGCCTGCAGCGCTTCGTGGCGTGCGGCGATCTTGAGGCCAAAGATGGCCGTGACGCCGACAAAGAATGGCAGGGAGAGCGTCGTGAGCAGCCAGTACGCGGCGCTACGATGGACATGTCATCATGACATCTCCGATTCTGACCGAGATTACCTGCCGCAATCGAGACCAATGACGCTGGGCGCGCCATGACCGCCCTTGAGCATCGAGAAGAGGAGAAGACCAAACCATGCGAAGAAGAGGATCGTGAGGTCGCCCCACGGCACAAACTTCCGAAAAGCGAGTAAGCTCGAGAGCGAGAGATGGGCTTTCTTGGTCGTCGTTGCGCGTCCGAGGAGTGACGCGTGGTCGTCATCGTACGCGTCGTTGATCGTGTCGTCGTCGTCGGACGAGGCCGTGGTTGCCTCGTCGGCTTCCTGGAGGTTGATTGTGATCGAGTGGTCTTTGATCGACAAGGCAACAGCTGTGGCCTCAGCTTCGAGCGCCTTGAGTGCCTTGAGCGCACGCCATTTGCGAGCAGCGACAACGACGGCGGCGCCAAAGCGGCGCGCTGCGACCAACGACTGCCAATGAGCAACGACCGATGCCAGAAGCGCCTTCTCTTTGGCAGCTTCCGCCCTCCAAACGGACTTGCCTTTCGTGATCATGCGCAGACTCGTGCTGGAGAGAAGCCATACGAGGAGGACCGTGATGAGCCACTCGGGACACATTTTGTTCATATGCACGCCGATGATCGTGCCCGCGAGGGTCATGGGCTCCATCATCACGACGACTTCGTAGTCGATGAGTTGTCTAACGCAGCAACATACGACGCTTGTATCGACAAACGCATCTGTACCGGTCGGGGTCGAGCGGGTGCGTCTTGCGTGAGTTCAACAACATGCTCGCAATCGCGCTGCCAAATATTGTGGCCTTGGAGAGCGGAATCGCGTCGTGGGACGTCATCCCCAGGACGATGATGTAGAGTGGCACGAGGAGACCGCCGCCGCCAAGCCCGCCGCCTAGTGCACGGCTCTATAATGGCAACGAGAGGCCACGATGACCTACCGGACGAGACGATGACGCAGAGGAAGGCGCCAATTGTGCCATAGATGTCGGTAGCCTGCAGCGGGAAGAGGCCTTGCTCGACACAGGCATGTTCGACACAGCCAAAGCGATGGCCTAGCGCCTGGCACTCGTCGTCGACGTCGCACGACTGATCCAAGCGCTGCAAAAGCTGGCGGCCGTGGGCACCGTCGCTCGCGCCGCTGGCGTAGAACGCAAGCGATAGATAGAGCGCAATGGAAAGCACGCTGCGGCGCCACGTCATGGCCGCCGGAATGAAGTCCTTGGCGCGGCGCGGGGTCATGGTCGTCCGCAGCACCCTCCGCATGCGCTGCAGGGCCAGCGCCGTCCGCATCATCGTCCTGGCTCGTCCGTGTGCGAATGGACCTGCTGCATCAAATGCCACTGTGGACCAATCAGCGCGCGCCATTCTCGAATAAAATCTTTCTTTAAAAATAGTTTGGTGTTTATATGCCTACGTATTAAAATTGAGCTATCAGACCTCGAATACTAAGCCCGAAGGGTTGCGGGACGAGGGCCAATCCGCGCGCCGCGTCGCGTCGACGTCGATGGCAAAGCTGCATTTTCGAAGCGCTGGCCGAGCGCTGCGTTCTTATGGCATGGACGCTGCCCATATCGTTGGCCACGAGAAGAGGAAGAAGGAAGAAGATCTTGGCCAAGGATGTCGACGTGGAGCTCTTGGTCCCACTCTTGTCGGACGACGATTCGACAACAGTGTGCAACGGCAAACACGTTAGACGCTAGATTCGCTAGTACTACGTAGCAGGCATAATAGACGACCCAATTAACGTAGCAGGCACGGAGACCGTGATGTACCGACCGTGACCGTGATATGCAATTGTAGCAGGTGGCTCGCGGGGGGGCGCTCGACACGCCCCGTAAGCCTCGCTTGAAGCCAGGCAGATACTGGCTAAGCCACCTTTGTCTCCAACCTTACAAAAACGTGAATGGGTTGCAGAACTTGCCAAGATTTGGCCGTGCAGCAAATCAATCGGTCGCGAGGCTCGCCAAGCGTAGGGGTCGGCCACACAGGCCGTCGTGGTCCTAGTTCCGTGAGGGAAACAAGGCTGGTACGATACGGAAGGACACGGAGCGTAGAGTCAAACGGGCGCTGTGATGCAGCCTACCGTAAGTGCTGCCAACGCAAAATCATTCTCATGTGGAATGTCGCGACGTGCGTAGAAGCACAACAGTGTTGCAAGATTAGTTAGTATGCTCCGTTGGGTACTAGCACCGCGCATACGGTTCTGTCACTAGCCTCGAGGGGTCTGCGTGGACGCTCTTGCTGAAACAGAACTCTGCTGCCGTCTTGATCTATACCACTAGTCTTCGCCCCGCTCGGAACATCCTGCGGTCCCTCACTCCTTCAATGTGTTGTTCTATGGTCCTCGCACTGCTGGTAGATACTACAAGCACACCATGGCGGTGCCCGTCGAGGCTCAAGATGCGTCTAGGACACGAGGGAATCATATCATCCGGATGCAGGAGCTTATATGCGGATAGATCCACCAACACAAATCTTTGACATGGCGTGGTGGCCGGCGGCGGTCGTGGTCACTCTGACGGCCTTGTGGCTTCAGATGCACCTCTACGCCCAGCACCCGCACCCAGGCCAAACGCTCTGTGACGCACGAAAGGTCGGGCTCGTGATCGTCGGCCATGGCGTCGTACCTCGCAGCCTCGTGGCGGCGATCGCAGCGCACGAAGCCGACCGGCGCATCGACTTTTGCGGCGGCTATCTCTACGTCGTGGCCGTCGGCGACTCCAAGACGGGCGGCTTTCTCCAGCAGCCAACGGGCTTTTCATGGAGCCAGGCGCAGACGTTATCGACCAACGGCTTTGAGGCGGCGTCGCTCGAAGACGACGACGAGACCAGCGACGTTGGCCACGCAACCAGCTTGAGCGACGTCGTCATGACGATGCTTGCCTTTGGCGCTTGCGATCGATACATTGTCGTCGACTGCGCTGGACACGGCAGCCACTGGAAAGACCTCGTCTTGGCGCGGAAGGCGGGCTTTGGCCTTGTCCTTGCCAATCGACACCACTTGGCCGGCGCCTACAACGAGACGTACGCGCGTCTCGTCTTTGACCGTCCGCCAAAGCGCAGTCGTCTGGTGTCGTACGAAGCTACAGTTGGGAGCGGAATCCCAATCCTCCCGACGCTCAACCGTGTCAAGGCGACCGGTGACGACATCCACGGCGTCGAGTGTCGCTTCAGCGACGCCATCGCCTTCATCATGGACGCGTTGCACCGGTACGTCATCGCCCACACTCTACAGCGTACTCACGGTACGCAATGGCGTAGCGGAAGCCCGTTCAGCGAGGCCGTGGTGTCGGCTTATGAAAATGGGCTCACGGAAGCCGACCCGCGCGACGACCTCTCGGTGCGACTTGCTTTGCTTGTTGTGAACGCTCACCGCGCATAGGGCCGCGTCGCAGCACGCAAGATGCTCATCCTCGCGCGCGAGCTTGGCCACACGACCAACATGGCGTCGGTGTTTGTCCAAGATTTGACGCCACCCAGCATGCAAAACCTATCGCTCTCAGCGTTCTTTGCTGGCTTGCCACAGCTCGACGCGGGTATCTGTCGTACCCAGGACATACTTGAATGTCCTTAGTCTTGGCGCGGTCTAATGTATAAGGTAGCCTTCGAAGCGCAGCTCAACGACTCGAGAGCGGCAAATAGCGTCCTCATGTACACGGGGCGCCTGGATGCGGCCGGCACCATCCACGTCGGGCTCGAGCTCTACGATCGCCGGTCGAGCTTTCACCGCTTGCAATGTCGGACGGACCAGTTGTTACGTCGGCAAGCTCATGGGTGTTTAGGGACCGAGAGCTTGTTTGCCGTGACGACCGAGTGGTTCCCTGAGGCAATTGTGCTCAAGGGCGCGGGCGCTGGTACGAACGGCACGGTCGCGTCGCTCATGGCCGACATTGCAAAGCTCAGCTGCGTGCTCTTCACCGCGTGCGACCTAACGAGCTAAGCTCCAAGTACTCACTTGCTACTCGTATCTGTTTGGAGTCGTCTTTGTGCTGCAATGACCATGCTGTCGCAGTCTCCAGTGTCTCCAGACTCGCTAGCCGGGCCGTGCCTGCACAGGCGGTGGGCTTTTGTACCTCTAGTTACTTGTGGCTTTGACGTCGCTTTATAATGTTGAGGCGGTTTGTCTCTGGCTCTTTCTCACGGTCGTCGCTCGGCGCTCAGTACTTCCACGGCCGCCGTCACCCGCACGTTGGTGCCTTGGCGACGAGCTCTCGGACTGTGGAGCTCGCTTTGGAATTCTGGTTACACGAAGAGCGTGCGATCGTCCCACTTGGCAACCAAATGCAAAGGCACGCCAATGACAAATAGCAAGCAAACGGAGAGCTTCTGGTTTGTGCAAAGCCGTGTGCTGGCTGGATCCTCGTATCGCTCTTGGCGTGCGGTTGATCCATGTGGGTTCACTGGGACATTAGGTCGGTGCAGGCAATATCTCGCGGTGTTTCTGCGTAGCGTGTGTAGTCGGTTGTTCAGTGGAAATGCTTGCGCAGGGTGAAGTCAAAGTTGCGATCTTCCGTGACTAGAATTCGGATACACCGTGTATTATCCGGATGTCCGAGATATCCACCGATTTCATTTTTGGGCTTGGCGGCGATGGCGGCGCCGAGTAGCGACAGCGTGCAAAAGGCCTTTGGGCTCTTTGACGACGACAGCAGCGACGACGAGTACGGCGAGCACGAGGCAACGACCACGACGAGCACGGAGGTCCACCTGCAGTTCACACCCGACCCGGCGACGGCGGCGCCGATGGTCGTGACGCCGTCGCAGTACACGCCGTCGCTCTGGGCGCATATGGCACCCGACTTTATGGGCCCGATGGAGTTTCGCGACAACTCGGTCGAGTTTGGCGGTGGCCGCGGCTACTATGCGGCGTGCGACATTCCTGCGGGCACGCTCTTGCTGCGCGAACGCGCGTACGTGCAGTGGCCCGACGTCGACGACCGCGACGCGTTGCTTGTGGCGACCGTCGACCAGATTCTGCGCTGCGACGACGCCGACGAGATTGCTGCCAACATGGCGCCATTGCACCCCGTGCGCTTGACCGACTTGCCGTCGCCGCTCTTGAGCGCGGCCCACGCCCAGTACACGAACCCGCTCCAGTCCGTGCTGAGCAACCACAAGCGCAGCGGTGAGTTTGACAAGTGGCTTCAAGTGATCCTTGGCATGCAGTGCAATGCGTTCACGAGCGGCGTCTTCCTCCACACAGCCATGTTCAACCATGACTGCAACCCGAACTGCGTCAAGTTTACGCCCCTCACGTCGCTCGGCGTCTCGGAAGTCCGCGCCGCGCGCTTCATTCCCAAAGGCGACCAGCTCATGATCTCGTACATTTACCCACGCGAGCAAAGCCGCGGTCGGCGGCAGGCGCAGCTCCAAAAGCAGTTTGGCTTTGGGTGCCAGTGCGCACTCTGCGGGCGCGGCGACGCCTTCTCGGCCGCGCCGCCGACCGCCGATACGGCCGAGACGTCGCTGGAGGACGTGGAGAAGGCGGCGGCGACGCTCGAAGACCTCTTTGCCGACAACCCGTCCGTGAACGCCGGCACGGTGCTGCACGCGGCGCTCGAGACGCTCTCGGACGCCTTGGAGCTCGTCGCGCACGACCACATTGTGCTCATGCGCATCCACAAGCTCGTGGCCGACACGTGCGACTCGCTCCTCAAGCGCAAAACAACGTCATCGATCGAAGACATTGCGATCCTCTTTCTCCGGTCGTCCTACGAGCTCCACGAGCTGCAAAAGATGTTTTTGGACAAGGACCACATCGACCTCGCGCGTACGCTCAACGACATTAGCCAAGGGATCCGCCTTCTGCTGAGCTACAACCCGAACGTGCTCCTCGCCGAATTCCCCGAGTGGCCGACGTTCCGCGACGCGTCGCTCGTCGAGAGCCAATATACAAAGGAGTACAAGCGAATCAAAAAGCTCTACGAAGACTAAGAAGAATGAAATCGAGCATCTGTACAGAGCGCTATGCACATTCTCAACCTCGTCGCGCGGGCTCTTGCAGTCGACATGGCTCGCAAGCAACCACCATCGAGCTTGGTGGCTCCTCGGTGCCAACGCGGGGTATCGGTGCGATGGTGTAATCGAATGGGACGCCACATACAAGTAGGACGGGCCAGCTGGCAGCAACAACTCTCGAAGCTCTTGCGAAGAGGAAGGAGGCGGCGATGTGCTAACAAGCTATAAGACTTGACAACTTAGTCCGAAGTCGGGACTCTGGGGTATTTGATGCGTGTCAAATGCGGTGGCTCTCGACATAACAAACATCCGCGAGTCTTGTAGAGTCTCGGGTTGATAGGTCCGTTTGTATAACTATAAATCTGGAGAACTCGATAGCTACTACTAGTATTCCTTGCTGGGGGCTAACGTGCAGACGCTGTGCAGTCGACGCAACAATGCTCACTGCTACGTGATTGGCCAAAAAGAAAGATTTCGGCCAATCCACGGGGCGGCGTGAAAAAAGTCGAATCCTGCGATGGCAGCCAACATGATACGGAAGCAAGTCCTCGTGCTCTCGACGGGGCAGCACGTCGGGAAGACGACGACGTGTCTCGGGCTCGTGGCCCACCTCCAGGACAAGTTCGCCGGCAGCGGCCGCCACGTCGCCTACTGCAAGCCCGTCGGTCAGCAGCACGTGCCCGTCGGCGGCGGCCTCCGCGTCGACAAGGACTCGTTCTTGTTCAAGGAACACTTTGGCCTGATCCACGACTACAAGGACATGTCGCCCGTCATCTTCCCCGACGGCTTCACGCGCGACTACATCGACGGCAAGGTCACGCTGCGCGAACTCAAGGGCGCCATCACGTCGGCCCACACCAACCTCGTCAAGAGCAGCGACTTTATCGTCTTTGAGGGCACGGGCCACACGGGCGTCGGCTCGATTTGTGACCTCAACAACGCCCAAGTCGCAGGTATGGTTGCCTTCACGTAGCATCGATGCATGAACATGCGGTGCAGAGGAGCTCGAGATGGACGCGATCTGCATCGCCCTCGGCGGCCTCGGCTCGTCGTTTGACCAGCTCGCGCTCAACCGCGAGATGCTCATCAAACACGGGATCAAGCTCAAGGTACATAATCGCCAAGGATCATGCAGTTGAGGACCTCGTGTAGGGCGTCATCGTCAACAAGGTCGACCCGCAGAAAATGGACATGGTCCAGGTACGATGACCTGCCTTCCTGCGCCAAACAGCTCCCCTTGCTTAGGACTACTTTTCGCGGGCACTGAAGCGCTGGGACGTGCCTCTCATCGGCTGCATTCCCCAAGTACCCTTGAGTGCGTTCGCTGCGTGGCTGACGCTGTATCATCCCTTAGCTCGATGACCTTTGCCACCCGTCGATCTCGGACTTTAGCAAGCTTCTCAAGTGCGATCTCGTCTCCGGTACGTCGACTGCGGATGCATGGCTTGATGCAGTCGTGCAGGCAAGGAGGCCAAGCTGCGCTACTTCGCCAACGTCCGTCTCGCGTTGGCGCCGGTCGACGAGCGCAACGTCTTCAAGCCTGTGCAGAGCCAGCTCGTCATTACGGTATCCCTTTTTCCTAGTTGCAAATCGTGTGCATTGGCTTGGCCCCATAGCACAGCGGCCGTATGGACGTGATTGATGCGATGCTGCACAACCAAGAAGAGTTTCGCGAGCGGGGCGAGAACCTCCACCCGGGCCTCATCATGACGGGGTGGGATCCGCCGAGCCCGAGCGTAGGCCCTTCTTTCGTATATCGTATTCGATGTATGACGATGGGTAGCTGGTTGCGCGCCTCGAGCAAGGCAATATCCCGTGCATTTACGTGCCCCCGACGACGTGCGACAGCTACACGCTCACGGCGCGCATCGCGGGCTTCACGGCCAAGCTCAACCGGTACGACCTCAAGCGACTCAACCTCGCGTCGGCCCACGTCCGCAAGCACGTCAACTTTGACCTCTTTGACGTCTGAGCGAGTGACGGTGACACTCGTGATGACAACAATATGACGGCTTCTGTGGTGTCGACCTCGTTCAGTTACTAGATTCGGTGGTGGAATGTACAAGCCAACTATGTTCTTAGCATGTACAGGAGAGACGCACGATCTGGCAGGCATTTTGGGTTCCTGGGAGCTCTGTCTGCATCCCCACTCTGCAGTGTCTGGAGCCGCCAAACCGAGGCTGGTCATGACGTCATAGCGTCACTATGACAGAGCTTGCGGGTCCTGCGGTTGCTTCGAGCGCACTCCTGCTGTTTGACACCGCAGTGACCTCCCTACCTCACTGCCGGTCGAGCTCTGTTGCTCTCACTCACTGCTGTTCAGTCGCTGATCGAGAAGACAGTCGATGCCCATGACGGCGGCACATCGTAAGCATATAAAGAATGACCAAAGGAATCCTGTTGAAGCGAATGCATCAATAGCCCACGGATGGACGAGTCGGTCGTCTCTCGCCGGCATGCTTCCAAAGTCGGTAGCGCGTCTAGTGCTTAGGTCGGGAGCGACATCTTCTTGCCATGGTACTTGCTACAGAGACATATCGTGAGCATGGCTCGATCCTCGCACATGGGTCGATACCTGATGGCGTAGTAGTAGAAAAAGTCGACGTAGAGGCCCGTTTGCACAATGCCAGCAATAAACATGAGCCAGATCGTGTGGTACTGGGACTCGGTCGCGGCGCGGTAGATCCAGTTGAGGAGGTAGAAGCCGCGGTACATGCCGAGGAGCACGACGTAGTTGGAGGTCAAGTTTTCGACTTCGCCGTGGCGCTGGAGCAAGATGAGCTGCGGCACGATCGCGACGGCCTCGAGGTAGATGGAGAACGTCCAGAGAATCTCGAGCACTTCGAAGCGCTCGTTGAAGATGATGGCGAGGATCGCGCAGGGCAAGACTGCGAATTTCCAGTGCAAGAACGAGTCGAGCGACTTGTCGTACGACGACTTGAACGGCTCCTTGTAGCGGATGAGGTACACGATCGCGCCCGTGAGCGTGAGGTAGAGCAGCTTCATGGTCGTGTTGTACAGGCTCACATAGTGCGTAAAGAGGTCGAGGTACCGCGTGACGCACACGAGGAAGAAGAGCTCCTGCGACTTGAGCGAGATGCCCGAGGCCGACCGCCCGGCCTGCAGGCGCAGCAGCATGACCACGAAGCTGGCCACATGCGTGATGTCTCCGAGCATGCGGATGATGTTCATGCTTCCAGCGGTCCTCGAAAATGCAAAGTCGCCGCAAGCGAATCTCTGCTGACGTGTGCGGCGCGCAGTGGCTCATTCTTTTCCTAACCGTTAATTTTTATTTGCTTTTCTTTAATGAATTTACACACAAACCGTTAAAAGCGCGCAAAATGCAATATTAATATAATGCAAATACAAAAGACGCCAGTGCAATAAAAAAGATCCAGTCGTTTCTGGTGCGATGGTTTGCAAACGGATAACCGCCGGTTCGCGATTGTAACCGGTTTTGTAAAAGCGAATTCGAAATGTAATTACTGTAGGTTTGTATGGAGCCGGCACGAGCGTTTTAAAATAATGCAAGGCCGGACACAGAACCCAGTATCCGGCGCGGTCCCAAGCCGCCCGAGGTTGCACCCGAACCCGCTACGATCTTGGGCAGGCGTGCCACGTGCCACGGCCGACGAGCGATGTCCATGGCCGCCGGTAGCTGCGAAGAAGAGGCCGTGCGCAGTGTCGTATGCGACGCTGGTGGGCGCAGCTGCGAGCGACGGCTACATGCACCTGTGCGGGATGAGTTATGCGTTGGCAGGCCCACTGCCTTGCGCAATCGTCGCTCCAGAGTCCGCTTTGCCCAGCTGTCGCCAGCGGTGGGCCGCCATGGTGGGCATCGTGCATGGGCTCGAGGTGGCCACGCATGACGTGCGAGCGCAGGACGACGCTTGGGGCCAGTCGACTCGACGGCCGGGTCGCTGTCGCAGACCGTACAGGCGCGGTTGATGCGTGATTTGTATGGGACCGTACATTGCTAATGTACGAAGCCGTACCGTACGTTTCGGGCTGTGGTCATGGGGCCAGGATGAATTCCGAAAAATCCTCTCGACGGCGCCGCCTCCGCCATGGACGACTCGGACGACGAGACCGGGGCGGCCTATTTCCTCCCCGGTGGGATCGCCGACGACGGGCCTCCGCGTCGCGTCGTCGACAAGACGCCTGCGCACTCGTTCCGCGCGCGTCCGGCCGCGACCTTTGGCAACATCCAGCCCATGCGGCCGCAAAACCTGCACGCTGGCTACCGCATGCCCGAGCCGTCCAACTCGCTTCTATCGGGCCTTGGCGGCGAGGCCATGCCTGTACAGAACCGCGAGCGCGGTATCCCGTTCAGCGGCTTTGGCTACGGCGGTAGTGGGCCCATTGGCATGGGCTCGATCGGTGTCATTGGCTCGGCGTCGACGCAATCGCCGTCGTTTGGTCGCCCGACCGGTCCATCGTATTTGAGTCATGCGCCTAGCATGATCGCCTCGCCCGTGGCCAATCCTGCGCCCCTCCGTGCGCCACCAGGACTTGCCGGCCCGGCCCAAGGGGCGCCGACCCTTGAGCGACACCGATCCGACACGCAGCCTTTCGGCGGTTTCATGTCGCACATGCGGAGCCCGACCGCCGTGCCATCGCCGCTGCACTCGACGCCGCATGTGGCCATGTACCGCAGCGACAGCAACACGTCCAACTCGGACCTGGCCGAGCTCAACACCACGTCGGTCGTCGTCTCACACTCGGTCGCAACGGTGGATCCCAAGAACGTAGCGGCGTCTCCGCAGCTGTTTGGGCCTCGCCGCGTCCGTCCCGAAGGTCGCGCCAGTGATGAACCCCTCGAGACTCCTGTCAAGAAGCCTCTCGCTCGCACGACAGATCGCAAGCCGCCGACCAAAGACATTGTGCCGCCGTCGCTGCGCGCGACCGTCGACTCGCCATCGTCAGCGTCGTCCGGCTCCTCCAAGGAATCAAGCTCGCCGCCGCCGCAGCATCCTAGCCGCCCGCCGGCGCTGCCCGCCGCCTCGACGCCACGTGCCAAGCAACAGCGCTCGCCGCTTCGCAAGGCTCCAGTCCAAGAAGCCCCGACAACGAGCGTCGCTCCCAAGGCGACCAAGCCTGAGCGTCCAGTGACGCGTCAGCCACCGCGCGTCACGACCCAACCGCGCCCGACGATCGCGGCCCCCGAGCCCGCGCCGATTAGCACAACGCGCCGTGCCACGCAGCGCGAAAGGGTGGGCAAGGACGCCAAGCCATTGGTGGTGGTGCCATCAACGCCGCCACGGGCCAAACCATCGACGCGGGACACCGTTGTCATGAGCCCTCAGGCCCGACAGGAAAAGAAGCCGGCGCCCCAGACGCCGGTTCGAGCGACTGCCCCGGCGCCGAGCACCCCAAAGCGTGCACCGTCGACGCCTGTGCGCGCGACCACGCCCAAGGTCGCGACGCCGGTCAAGGTCGTCGAACCTCAAGTCGACGAGGACGACGATGTGGTGAGCGAGACGGCGACGCCGGACGAAGCGGTCGTTCCTGCTGACGAGAGCAACGAAGAAAGCTGCGAAGACGAGAGCCAAGTGCCGACGACCGACGACGACCTCGACACCCGCGCGCGCACCGTCTCCGACGACATGCACGCGACCAAGCCAACGCCCGAGTCGGAGGAAGAGTCCAAGCCGGCCAAAGCCCGCGCCAAGGAGCACGCCAAGCGGGCCGAGAAGCTACGCAAAGAGCAGTCGCGCAAGGAGCGCAAGCTACAGCAAGCGAAAAAGCGAGACGTCGACGAGCCGGGCGTCGTCGCGCCACCAGACGACTTGGCCGACTATGCGCACTCACCGTCGGTCAAAGTGTACCTCCAGGGCCTCTGTGTAACGTACCTTCGCTGGCTCGCAGCGCTCGTGCTGCATGTGCAAGCGATCGCGTCCGTGGCGCTCAGCGTGTGCATGCTTCTGGGTCTCCATCTGGCGTCGTACGCGCTGTCGTTCCACCGGCTCGCGCTGCGCGGTCTGCTCGTGAACCGCAACATTGGCTCGTGCTTTGCGTTCCTGTACCTCTTCCCGCTCCTCGTCCAGTACGTGATTCCGTGGGCGCCGCCGTGGGCGCCGGTCTGCCTCTGGTATGCGTTCCTCGTGCAGCTCTTCTGCACGCAGGGCTCGACGGCCATGGTCGCAACGTTCCGGATTCTCTTGCCGCTCGTCTTCCTCGTCGAAGGCGTCTCGCACCACAGCTTCCTCCTCGACCTCAACGGCGCCGAATTGCTCCTCATCTCGTTCATCCTCTCGGCGCTCAAGACGGGCAACATGTGCAGCCCCGTCTTCTTCCTCTCGCTCTCCGTGCAGGTACGCTCCGACGCCAACGACACGAGATGCGCATGCTCCTACTAGTGTCTCTCTGCGGTCTTTCTCGGGTCGGAGCTCTTTGTACAGTGGGGCCAGCTCGCGATCGCGCTCTATTCGCTCAACGCCATGTCGTCCTTGCACCAAGACTGGGTACTATCTGCTTTGAGTACGTGATGCGTTCTGACACTTGCCTAGTCGCTGCTCGAAGGCGGCGAAGAGAGCGGCCATCGCCACTTTATCGGCGAGTACCACCAACCGGCGACCGGGCCGCTCGGTGCATCGATCCAGAAAACCAAGCGGCTCGACCGGCGGTCGCTGGCAAGCGTCGTGAAGGGCCGCAACAAGGCGCGCGGCAACTCGTCCTTGTAGATACACGGCCGTCGCCTGCCTATCCTGCTCTCCATATACATACATCTTCCCGTGCACTTGTATGACATGATGTTTCGTGTTGCAGCAGCATGGGCTCAGCGGTAGGAGCGCATGAAGCAGTAAGGACGCTACGCTAAAAGCCTGCGTTCGGGTCGGCGAGGTACTCGATCTCGGCGGGCGTGCTCTCGCGGCCAAGCACCTTGTTGCGGTGCGGGTACCGGCCGTAGGCGTCAATGATCTTTTTGTGGTCGACCTCGTACTTGGCAAACTGCGTGAGCATGCCCTTGAGCTGCGGGTCGTCGGTGCGCGTGGCGAGGGGCGGGAAGAGCTCGGCGGCGCGCGCATGGACCGCCGTCTCCTCGCTGTGCATGAGCGGCATGAGGAAGAACGCTTGCTCCAAGACGTGGCGCGACAGAAAGTCGGGTTCGCTATGCGCGAGCGTCTCGAGCACAAAGGTCGACGCGAGCGCGTCGGAGGCGAACGCGCGCTTGTCGTCGCGGTAGAGGTTGCGCGTGAACTGGTCGAGGCAGAGCACGGTGGCGACCTTGACAGAGAACGGGTTGGCGTGCAGCAGCGGCAGCAGCGCCGACGCGCTCGTCGTGCCAAGGTCGTGGACGAGGTCGCCGAACGACGCAGCGACCGACGCGTCAAACTCGGCGTTTCTGGCAAACCAGACTGCGCTTCGGATCTCCAATGTGGTTGGGTACGTCGCCCCAAACCAGAACTTTAGAATCGCATCGGCCTTGGCGCAGAGGGCGCTGTTGACGCGGCTTGCCATCCTGAGCTGGTGGTGAATTTGCACTTCTGTGTGGTCAGCAAAAGGCGACGCAAACGGATCGCCAAATGGATAGATAAATGGATAGATATATGGATAGATGGATCCGACGACGACTCCCGTCAACGCGGCGAGCCGCCCATAGAACCTTGCGATTTCGGTGCAAACATCGTCGAGACGATGCGCATGGCGTCCGTCAACTGGAGATCGTGCGAGCTGGCGACAGAGATATCAAAGAACCGAATGGCGTGTCGTACTTGTCCAAGGAAATACGAAACATGATGCCTTGGCCCTTTGTGCGCCTTGCGGACTGGAGTTGTCGAGCCCTAGCATCATCGGTGTCGGTCGAGCATCCGAAACCGCGGTTGCCATTTTGCACTCGCATGGCAGCGCTCCATACGAGCGTGCTAGCCGATACGGCGCTGGCGTCGCGCGTCTTTGCATATCAGAGAGGCGTCTACGAGAACGTGCGGCAGGCCTTCTTGCCGTCGAGCGCCTCGTGATCTGGGCGACGACGCGTGCGACTGGACCTTCCGCGACGCGTTCGCGCATGGCACCGAGTGATCCTTCGGCGAATACGACGCGGTCTTGTACGCGAGCGACTACGTACTGCACATGCAAAGAAAATACGACCGGTTACCGCTGCACGTGGCCATCTAAGCTTACCACGGCTTCCAGTCTCTCACCGACCGCATCTTGCGGTGCCGGCCGGACCTCGCTTCGGAAGACGCGAGCCTTTTGGCCTTGAGTCGCAACCACGTCGATCTCGCCGAATGGCTCTTGGAGAAGCGCTCGGCGATGCCGGAGCTTCGTCGACGCGTGAACATACTCGTACAGGATGTTCCGTCCAACCGTGACCAGCACACTGTGTTCAGCCGCCTCTTCCAGAGCGAAGACCCGCGCGCGATGCCGCTGCTCCTGCGCTTCAACCCGCACCCGAGCTCATGGACGCAGAACGAACTTTCGATTGCGGTCAAGTGTGGGCGGCTCGAGATCCTCACCTTTGCGATTCAGCACTTAGCATGGATTGCCATTTCTGAAGAGGCATAGGACATTGTTGACTTCTTGCTCTTGCACCGTGACGAAGGCGCATCGGCCGACGACTTGACATGCTCACAAGTCGACTGTCTCGCAAGCACAAGCGCTCGGTCTAAGATTTAAACCTAAACTTATCAACACGGTCGACGACAGGTGCAGCCAACTTGTTCTACCATACCTTACAACTGTGAGACGAGCACAGCATTTCGCTGCCAACTTGGGTGGCAACCATCCACGGGTCGTCCACGGAGCTGACCGTGCGCTATACTTGCGACGCAGCAAGTAAGGACACACAACTTGATCGCATTTTTTGCATCTGGGATGGTCTTGACACCGTCAATCCTGTTACGGTGAAACCACTGGAGCCAGGGGTAGGGTCTCGAGCACAAGCGGCATTAGTGGCTTTCCTAAATCTCAGCAAACGGTCCCCTGACGGTCGTGATATCTTCTTTTCATTGTTGGACGATGTACTCCTCTAGTGCTACTGTGTTTTTTCACAGGGAAAATGTTTTCGACAGCATCATTACTTGCAATTCTCTTTCCCTAGCCAGTATGCGCCATGAGCAGGTGGCCACTCCGGCATCCAGGAGGCGCCAAGAACCACTTCGTTTCGAACAACAGTTGAGCCTCGATATTTGTCATGTTGTAGCATCGCTACGAGGCAAACTCAATCATGCTGGTATTTGCCAACATTGCATTTCAACGCCCACCGTGCACTGCAGCGCGCCACGTCATAACTCTAAAAATAGATTTTTCTGAGTTGGCCATGGAGCTTGATGGGACTCGGTACGCTCGCTTCAACAAGCGCATGGCGCACCTGGCGCCGCTCAAGCCCGAGGTGCACAGTAGCACGACCACCACATGCAGCCTCTTCTCATCGCAATGATATAGGTGTACACGGTCGAAATCTACGAGAACCAGCGTCGCAAGGGTTATGCATGGCACCGCAAGCACTTGAGCTTTTCCACGGACCCACCGCCGTTCTCGCTGCACGATGGACGCCCGAGTCTCGCGCGGTTTCCGAAAGACCTTGCCGCGCCCAGCGGGTTTCGGTGGCTCGATACGTGGAAGCCGTGCACGGCTGGGGTCCCCTGCGATGCAAATGGGTGGGTCTTTGGCCCTTCGTTTGACGATTTGGAAGGACCAGCGACCAGTGGCCGGGCACGAGACGCAGACGTCGTCCGTCGCCGTCGCTGGGCGCGCGTCCTCGTCGCCCACCTCGTGCCGTTCAAGTGGAAGGACAACCGGCTCGGTACACCCGTCGTCACTCTTGGATCTAACGCGAGCGACAGGTCTCACCTTACACGAAGCTGTCGCGAGCGACGATGTGCGTACCGTGTCAATAGCAGACTCGACAGCCATGAGTCCGCGCCTGGATCTTGTTCCTGTGGGCGGCAACGATGTACCGACTGTCTTGCACGTCCCGAAAGCCGACCTCGGGCTCTGCGCCACCGTCAGCCGCGGCGACGTCGTCTTGCGCATCGACGGTCGCCCCGTCTTTGGCCTTACGCACGTCGACGTGCTGGCGCAGCTCGAGGCCGCATCGACACTGACGCTGGCGGCGACGACCCGGAAGGTGCACATCCTCGCGTGCAACCGCAGTGCGACGACGGCCGGCCTCGCGCCAAACCACCAGCTCGTCGGGCTCAACGAGCGGTCGCTGCACCGCGTGCGCCTGCTCGATGTTGAGATCCTACTGCGCATGGCGCCCAAGCACTCGTGCGTCCTCTACTTCCAGGCGGCGACGGCGCTGCCGCCGGACTTTGTTCATGTAGCCCCCGGCATTGTCGGTCTCGAGACCATCTCCAAGCTCGGCGACGTGAGCTGCCACCAGCGCGGCGTCTGGACCCGTCTCGTCCCCTCGAGCGTCTCGTCCTTGTTTGCGTCGTCTGGCTAGCAGTTAATGGAGAAAAGGTGCATACACTTTCTACACTCAGGTGCAACACTTTCTACACTCGGAGGTCAGAGGAAGCGTCCAGTATGGACGACTGTCATGATGTTGTATGTGCGCACTGGAGCAAACGCACGAGGAACGCACTGAAGTGTGTGGGTCGACTGAATGCGACTGCGCGTTAATCACTAAGCGCATCCTCGCTGCTCTCAACGTCGCTCTCCATCGGGTCGTCCTCGTCTTCGGACGCTTCGTCCAGAATGAAGCGACTTCGGCGCGCCGGCGCTCGCGGCAGCGCCTTCCTCGCCTTGGGCTTCCAATGCGGCAAGTCATCGTCTTCTGACTCGCCCGCGACACTGTCCTCTTCTTCGTCGTCGTCCTCGTCATCCTCGTCATCCTCGTCCTCTTGATCCGCCTCGTTGGCGGCCGTCGTCGTGGGTCGTCGCTTGGTACCCAAGGTACGCGTTGTTCGCTTCTTGGCGATGCGGGCCTCCATGTCCTCGAGCGCATCGTCGCTCTCGTGGCTGCTGTGGTCGTACTCGATCGTCTCGTCGTCGACGCAGAGGTCGTCGAGGTTGCCGTCCGCGTTCGTGTCTTCCATGTCGAGTCGCGACGGAAACTCGAGCTTGGTCAAGAGCGGGAACGCCGCACTCACACTCGCCTCGGGGTCGCCCTCGAGGTCGTCAAACACAGGACTCAGCAAAATGCGCTGGACGAGGTCCCGCACCGCGTCGAGCGCCCAGTGCGTTGTGAGCCCGCGCAGAACGCGGCAGCACTCGTCGACCGTCCGGAGGCTCTCAATGATGCCGTGCGCAAAGCCAAAAATTTCGTCGCGGGACATGGTTGCCACGTCAAGGAGGTTGACGAACGCCGTCAAGACGCTGTCGTCTTGGATCTTGAGCACGTCGTTCTCCAAGCACGCGCTGAGCTTGGCGCTGAGCGCGCTCGGCGTCGACGACCCCGTCCGAAGAAGGCTCACAATCTGGTGCCCGTGCAGCGGAATGTTGAGCCCTTCGAGAAAGTCGGCGCACACAAACTCGGGGCAGTGCTTTTGCAAAAACTTGGTCGTCGACTTGCGCTTGAAATGGAACGGCGCGCAAAAGAGGCGCACGAGCCGCCCCATCTCAACGAGGTCCCAGCCTTCGACCGCCGCCGCGTCAATGATGGACGCGTAGATACCGGCCGTGCCTGCCGGGAGCTCGGTTGCGACGACGGGCATGGGCACCGGTCGGGCTTGGAGCCGCTTCATGGCCTTGGCAGCTTCTTCCAGTGTGCTTGGCTTGGGTACGTCGTCCGACGTAGTCGAAGTCTTCTTGACTGGTTTTGGAGCAGCGGGCTTGGCCGTTGCGGGCTTGGTCGTCTTCACAGGCGTTGCTTTGGCAATCGTCGTCTTGGCCTTTGCGGTCGTCGGCGCTTTTCGAGCTTTGGCGTCGGTAAGATCGACGACCTGCTCGTGCGCGGGCTTGACGCACGGTGGCATCGTCGGCGTTGAGAGCGAAGCAAACTCGGTCTCCGAATCTGATGCGTCGCTGTACACAGGCCTTGTCAATCGCTTGGTAGACACAGTCGCAGCTTTAGTAGGCACGGGCGCAGCTTTAGTAGGCACGGGCGCAGTTTTAGTAGGCACGGGCGCAGTTTTAGTAGGCACGGGCGCAGCGTTGGACCGTTGTGCAGCAGTCGCAGTCTTGGCCGGTGTCGTCCGTGTGGGAAGCGCTGGCGGCGGTCCGATATCGTCCGAATCCGAGTCGGAAGGTGCGGCAGCCGGCGCGCGTGGAGCATGCTTTCGAACGCTTGGCTCGTCATCGCTCGACGAGTCGCTGGGTAAAATGTCCCATGCATTGGCTTTAGCAGGCGCGGGCTTCGCGTTCGTCTTGACTGCGGCAACTGGTGCGGGCTTGAGCTTGGTCGGCGCTGGTGTTGGCGTCGGCTTGGGCAGCGTTGATGCTGGTGTCGATGAGGACTTTGGCGTCGTGCTCGCTTGCAGAACAGCCTTGGCCATCTTCTTCGCTTTCTTCTTTTGCGCTCTGGACATTGGCTTCGATGCGACGGCGGCCACAAGCGTTGGCACAGCAAGCACGGGCTTGGCCACCGCCGCCATAGGTCTCGTTGTCGGTGCAGGCGCGGTCACGACGGTCGGCTTGGTCACAGCTGCTTTCGTAGCCGGCGTCACAATGGCGTTGGTCTTCTTGGGTGCTGAAGCAATGGCCGCTGTCGATGCTTCGGTGCGCTTGCGCTTGGGTTTTCGCGCGAGGAGCACGGGCATATCTTCATCGGCCGTTGCCGACCGAGCCGAGGTCGGCGGCGCTTGCCGCAGGGCTTGGATCTTGGCCTGCAGGTTCGCAGCGAAGACCTCCTTGGCGTTCATCTGCTCTTCCACGCTCGACGTGGCCTTGTTCCGCATGCCTGAAGCGGTGCGTTCAAGATCGGCTGCGTTTTGGCTCGCGCAAAACCAACCAAACAGCGCTCGCGGTGCGTTTCGCGGTTATAACGTGTTACAACAAGCATTTAACACAGCCCTCGCCAATCTAACGCATCGCATTGTTGGCTAGTTGCACACAAATTTAGCCGTACGCCAAGCAGGAACAGTGTCATTGTGGAGCACGCACTAGCGACTGCATATCTTACAGCACGCTCTCTATTTTCTGCAGGCAATGAACCATCTAACTCGCGTCTTGATGCGAGCTTGATAGATCGATCGCGGTAGGGAGCCGGCTAAAGTTGCGTGCGTCTAATCTATCAGAATGTATGTGAAATCCTGTCGGCGGCGTTTCGCAACTGATGTTCCGGCCTCGTGTGGCGTCTTTGTCGTTCACTTCGAGGGCGTAGACTTGATTAAAGTATACACATCTGGCGTCACGACTTGTCGGCTTCTCACGGCCGTGCTCCCGTCCACGCGCGTCGGACCGATGGGCCTGCGTCGGACGGATGGGCAGCTCTGTCGGGTGCACGCGGGCAAGCGCCAAGGGCGGACGGATGGGGCCCTGTACATCGCGCAATCTTGCACTAAGCAATGGCTATAAGACTACCTGGTACAGTCGCCCTGAAGAACGAAGAGGAGAAGAAGTGCTAAATGATATGGGATTGCATTCATGGTACAGAGGCGGCAGGCGTACGTCGTATCGTCGTCGAATAAATAGAGACTAGCTAGCGACGGTAGGCGTCTCACAGCGAGAAGATTGAGTTGCTGTTGCTGCGCTGTGCCTGCTGCTGCATCTGGTTGCGCTCTTCGAGGAGCGTGCGCACGAGCGCCTTGGTGTCGAGGAGCTCCGAGTGCAGCGTCTGGACAAACGACGAGAGTTCGCGAATGGTCGAGCGCAGCTCGGCGTCGGTCGTCGGCTCGGCCGGGAGCTTGGCCTCGACCTTCTTGACGCGGCGGCGGCGCTTGATCGTGAGCAGCTGATCCGACTTGCCGCGCACAAAGTGCGGGTGGCGGAACTCGTACACGACAACGTTATTGGCAAAGTACTTCATCTTGCGAAAGCCGTACGAGTTGAGCTGGCGCGCAAAGCTCTCAAATTTGATGGGCTTGAAGTACATTGGGATGATGTTCTTCTCAAACGCCGCGTTGTCAAAGATTGCAAACGACGTGCCATTGTTGGTCCACGCCGCAATCGACTCGGGCGACTGCTCGAGCATCGTGTAGAGCTTCTCCATGTACTTGGTCGTGCGCTCGAGGTACTCGGGCGCGCGGCTGCTCTCGTCCGACGGCGCCGGCGACGCCACGTCCGGCTTGATAAAGTCCTCCAAGAACAATTCGGTTTCGTTCGAGTCGTCGGACGCAAAGCCCGAGGTGTAGTCGAGGAGGCCTTCCATGAGGAACGCCGAGAGCTCGGCCGGGTGGAGGTCAGCGGGCATCGTGTGTGCGGCGGACGAGAAAACTGAAAATGAGATTCGAGTTGAGCTGCTGGACCTGACGCCAGCGTTTGTTTCAAGCGCCGCCATGTCGGAACGCCAGCAATTTGGGCGGAACGTACTTTTTATCACATCGGATGGAAAAAAGTATACAAAACCCAAGCTAATTTAAAAACGAGAGGTGCGGAAGGTCGAGCCTGGCGTTTGGATGAGAACCAGGTGGCCAATTTTTATTTAAAGGAATAAAAATACGCTCGGCATTTTAAAGGCGTCGTCCACACTCCGACGCGAGTTCGGATACAAAGGTCAAATGAAGCGGACCACGTGGTAGGTCGTACCCATTAAAAACACAGGGTGGCACCCAGCTGGGAATTAAAAACGCACCACGTGGTATTTAATTAAGTGGCCACCAACCGGAACCAGTGGACCATTTCACAAATGCATGTCCACGGTATTGTATTTTTCCGATTTATTTCTATAACAATCGTATTTTAATGCGCTTGGCATACAAATGCTAGCTGTAGAATAAAAATAGAGGCAATGTTTTAATGCGAGTACGCTGTAAAATAGAAACAATGCCGAAATTTTTAAACTTCAAGGTCCTGCTCCAATTCCTGGCGTTCCGCTGTGCAAGAAGCCATGGGTGCAAGCCGGAACGTGAACCACTTGCGATCCAATCATCGTCCGTGCCCAATCACGACCGAGCACGATTGTACGTCGGAGCAACCCCCGCGTTTACAAAAGAGCGTGTACCTTCTCCCGACGCGCTGGATCGACGCCCGTCCTACGACTACTACTAGCTACTACTAGGTGTCGTGACGGCGCTCTGTGCCGGCACGGTGGCTAAGTCGGAGTGGTCGTGCTCGCATTTCGCAGAGAACGCGCCTGCGTGTCGCCGCAAGGGCTTGGTGAGTAGCCAACTGGTGAAAAAACCGGCCTCGTGAGCCGTGGCTTTAGCCCGCGTCAAGGTACGTCGCTCACCTTTCACGCACTTTGTCTGCCGCTGTTTTTGTCCACTACCTTCCGCATCTTGTTGCTCAGTCGATAGCGATATACGCTTCCCCCTCGTATACACGATGTACACGTGTCGACTTGACATTTCATCCATGCGACCCAGTCGCTTCCAGGCGTTCACTGCGTGAATGGATGGACAAGAGGCGGGACGAGCGTCGACGACGTTGGCGATCGCGCGCGAGGTGAACATTGATGCTGCGACTTCAACTTTTTATGTCCCTACGAAAGGCCACGACGGGCGTGATACTGAAGCACTGGACAGCAGGTATTTTAGAACTGCAGAGGCCGGAACTTGGCGACGACGACCCTTCGAGAAGTGCTTGGAGTAGTCGTCTGCGAGTAGTGTATTCGTGCAAAGCTGGTGTAATAGCTTCCCATCCACGCTCGTCACGTGGCGCATGCGGTCGGTACCGTGCCTGCTCATTGATGTTCCGGCCTTGCAACGACCAGATTATTGCCGACACGTGGCCCAATCGCACGCAACCCATAGTACTATACAGTGTACAGCAGCTGGCCAGATCGGATTCGACCGAATCGTCTTGGTTCAAGTATGCGATTTTTCAGCAGCCAACTGACCTTTTCCACATCGCAGCTCGAATCTTGAAGCGAAGGTGGAAGCTTCCCATCCCACGCACGGGATCCCGCCACTGTGAGAGATTGCAGCAGCTTGCCTGGAGCCAGTGCCGCGGGGTACTCCCTCAAACCACCACCGCAACCAAAATATCAAAAAGATGGATTTTCGAAGTGCGATCTTCGAGGGGCACGCCAATGCTGCGAACGTTGCTGCGCAGCCCGCGCCTGAGCGCCGACTGGACCGGCCACTACGAGCACAAGGCCATCGCATGGGTCGAGCTAGTCCTCGATGGTACGATGATGGCAGCCTCGTACGCGATTGCGACGCGACTCGAGGCGGCGACCGCGCTGCCCGATGTCGTCGAGCCGCTTGTGCTCTTTGGCCTCTTTGTCTCGCTATGGCAGCTGCACACGCACTTCCACGCGCGCTTTGCCGAGACGTCCTTCCTGCATTACCTGCTCTTGTACTTTGTCGTCGCCGGCGTCGCCTCCATGGTGCTCTCGCCCACTGTCGGCGCTGCTTTTGGGTATGGCCTCCTGCTATCGCATCTCGCGACGCTCGCCATGTACATCAACGCCTTCGCCATGCTGTCGGAGACGCGATCGCGGCTCTGGCCCGACCTCTGTCTCTTGAGCGCCAGCAGCATCGTGATCGGGCTCAGCCTCGCGGTGCCTTGCATTGCGTTTGCCTGCTACGTGGGCGCGCTTTGCCTCGAAACCATTGTACAGTTCCTGTGGGCGATCAAGCGCTATTGCGTCCCGCGCGTGCCGCTCACGATCGCGATCCCCGTCTCAATCGAGTACATTGCCGAGCGCCACGGCACGTACGTCGTCGTCGTGCTCCTCCAGGCGACGCTCGGCGTGCTCTTCACCACTGCGGCGCCGCCGCCGACGCAAGCCGTGCACTCGAGCCTCCACCTCTCACTTCTGCTCGTGTTTACGATGGCCATGTTCTACTTTGCAGTCCAGCCGCCGCGCGAACTCCATGCGATGCGGCGGTCGGTGGCCCACGGCGTCTTATTTGTCGCGGTCCACTACGCGCTGCTGCCGACGCTGCTCGTGGTAGGTGTCGCCGCCAAGCTCGCAATGACAGCGGTCGCCAACCAGCGTGCACTGCCGCCGCACGGGCTCTGGCTCCTCTTTGGCAGTATCTCGGCAACGATGTTGGCGATGCTGCTGCTCCGACTCGCTCATTATGGCGGCCGGAAGCCACTCGACTCGGACGCGGCCAAAGTACGGTGCATCAAAGCCTACTGGTGGGTGCCGATCGGCCTCTCATCGCTGCTGCCGCTGGCCATTGCGTGCGTCCTGCAGGTCATATCCTATGAGGGCGTGGACCCGATGCTGGCGCTGGGTGTCGCGGCGGCGTTGCTCTTGCTCTGGGTCATTGCCGAGACGCTCGTCATGCACAGGCTCGTCGGCCGCGCCTTCCAGGCGACTGCCAAGACAGGCGAAACCGAACCGCTGCTCGTCGAGCGGTCACCGCGCAAGCGTGGGCGCACGAGCAGCTTCTTTACGGACGACGACTAGACAAGTCAAGCGTTCGTCGTCGTACCGTGTCACATAACTAGTAACTCGTCGTAGCCGCAGTACTAGGTGCATCCTGCCACAGTGAGTACCACGTGCGTGGTTGCTGCAGAGCTTCCACGAGGTGTTGCGCAAGATCGGGTGGCAACGGTCCTCGCAGAATGGACGAACCTGGTGCTCGCATAGATGCCTGTCACGCCCATGACGATCGACCCCGCAACACGGTAGAGCCCCACCCATAGGTGTCGGTGGCTCAGATACACCGAACGCCAGCCCACGACGACGATCGGCGATAGCCCCTTTTGCGCGTCCTCTCTGCTGTGCACATTTTCCTGGTCGAATGGCCGTGCAAACATAAAGACACGACGATGGGCTCTTGGCAATAAACACTTCATAATCTTTTCTTCACAACGTCACGCTGCTGTCGTCAAAGTCTCGCGCAAAGTACTCGGCGACCTCGTCGATGCTCGGGCGCTGCGACGGGCGGACGTTCCAGCACCGTCTTAGGAGCGCGACGCCTTCGACCGAGGTGTGCGCCTCGAGCGTCGCGACCTCAAACGGCGCCGGCATGCTAGTGCCATCAGTCGCGGCGCGGAGCAAGCGCATGTCGCCACCGAGGAAGCCTTCGGCCGCGTACAGCGCGTCGAACGGCCGCGTGCGCGTGAGGATCTCGGCGCAGAGCACACCGAGCGCGTACATGTCGGCGGCGCGGCGATCAAGGTTGGCGTCGCGGCGCAGGACCTCCGGAGCCGCGTACGGTGCGAGGCCGAGGCCGAGCGACGGGCCAGGGTACTTTTTGAAGACGTACGTGGGCGCCATGAGTGCCGCGGCGTCGAGCTTGCAGCGGTGCGCGCTGTTGACGAGGACGCGGAGAGGGTCGACGACGCCGGCGTACCCCCGCGGCGTCTGCGTCTGCAGATACCACACGCCTTGGGTCACATCGTCGCACATCTGAAGTCGTGTGCTGCGCGGGAGCTCCACGGTCTGCTTCTGAAGCACGCTGCGGACGCTCAACTCGTCCATGTACTCGGTCGCGATCGCCAGTCGCATCTGAAACTTGGTGAGCGAGATGCCGATCACGCGCGTGATCGCGTCGCACGAGAGGTCGGCGATCTCGCGGAAGGCGGCAACAAACTTGGCGCGGTCGTCGTGGGTCGCGTCGGCGTAAGATAGCCCCGTGAGCGCCACGGTGCTGGACCCGAGCTTGCACGTAAACGTCTGGCCATAGACCGGCGTGATCGCAACGCCTTCAAGCGACTCGAGCCAGTACGGCGCGAGCTCGGGCCGCGCCTTGAGCTTGAGCAACAGCGTCGGCTTGCGCGGCGCCTCAATGTCGCTACTACTCGGCGGCTCGACGACCACAGCCGAGAGAGCGGGCGCTTCCGGGGTCGCTGGCGGCTCGCTGTAATACGAAGAAAACTCGGGATCCTTGGACGCTTGCTGCGTGCGTTTGCGGCGGAGCCAAAAGTAGACCAGGACTAGCCCGAGCACGACGACGCCGGCGAGCACCAAGCCCACGATGAGACCCGTGGAGGCGCCTGCGTCCGAGGCGCCGGACGGGACCACCATCGACGCACTGGGTTGCGGCGCCTTGGCGTCGTTGCTGTCCGTTGGTTTTTTGGTCGGTGCCAGGGTCGGTGGCGGCGCCGTCGTCAAGCAGTTGGTCGGAGTCGTAGGGCTATAGAGATGCGCAGATTAGTTTGGTGCTTTGGCGTAGACGCCGTCGTACACGTTGTTGACGTTGAGCCGTGTTGAGCAGTCGGCCGTGATGGAGAGCGCCGAGAGGTTCCGGCCCGCGCCGTCGATGATCGAGAGCCGCGGGTCCACATTTAGAAAGGTGCTGCACCCCACTCCTTAGACGATCATGTAGATATAGAGAGATAACGTACAGCGCAGGCACCGACTCAAAGGCCGAGAGGCTCACCGAGATCGGACCAAATGTCGCCGTGTTCATGATGGTCCTTCAGACACATGAGGCAAGCGTTGCAGAGAACCAACGACGTACATGGTGGTCGGTTGCACCAAGGACGCAGCTTTGAAGCCGGTCGAGACGCCATCAAAGATGCTAGAACCCATAAGACGTCCATCGATCAAGCCAATCTCTCGAGCCCTACACGTTGGCGATCGGGGCTTTGAGCAGCTTGGCGGTGAAGCGCGGCAAGAAGATGGACGACAAGCTCGTGCCCGGGTTGACCAAGTGGCTAATCAAGCGACCGTGAGATAAGAAGCTAGCGCATAGACGTACAATGTCACATTCGTCACGGGCTTGACAGCGGTGGTGAACGCGCTAAGCGATGTGCCGCAGACCTCGACGGGCTCGATGTCCTCGACGCGCAGCGCGCCAGGCGAGTAGTACCATGCGAGATGGAGGTTGATGTCCATATAGCACGAGCTCGGCGTCGTCGCCGCTGCGCCGGTCGTGCTGTCGTCGCCGTTGTTCATTTTTCGTGCAGGAAGAATGAGCTTGATCGCGCCTCGCGACGGCCAGCGCCAGCTGGCGTTTCGCCGTTTTTGATTGGCCATGCATTTGATAGCCAGTCAATGATTGGCCAAAAAGGCAAGTTCAAGCTTTGGCCATTGCGGCATTGCCACTCTTCTCTGTCGCGAGTCAGCGTCGCACCGCTGGTGTGAGGCCACCAGGTGTGCGCGTGGAAGGTATTGTCCAGGACGTGTATGCGGAGCTATCACTGCGAAGGATACTCGTCCTTGGATCTGGCATCAGCGGCCACGACAGCGCGAACCACGTCACCACGGAACAACCCCACAACAGCGAATCATCCAAAGCAAAGGGTACCAGAACTTTCCCGTCGCATTTGTTGAATGTGAAATGTGAAATGTGAAATGTGGATGGATGTGCTCGAACGACTAGAACCAAGTGTGGTGAGGCTTCGGGATTAGCACACGTAGAGCTTGCACTGGACGAGTTGCCAAAATTGGGCGCCGGTCGTCGAGTTCAAATCAAATTGCGAGTGGAGCGCGAGCGGCGCAAACCAGATCTGGTGCCACGCTTCGATCGTCCAGTTCGAGTCCACGTGCATGCGAAAGCTATTGGATTGGACGGCGCTTAGCAGCACCGACGCCGTCGGCATGCCCACGAGCGACCACGCCCCCGTCACCGAGAGTCTCGTGACGCGATCCATCGGCAACGTCACTGCCTCAAACGTCACATGACCAAACGGCGTCCTCTGCGGGTCCGAAATGACAATGACGGTGGGCCCGACGATGCGAATCGTCCCTGCATTGACATACATGACGTCATCAATGCACCAGCGAGCCTACCTGGAAGCAGCGAGAGCGCGGGCACGGTCGCGTTGAGGCGGAAGCTGCCGTCGCTGGCCGAGAGCACCTCGACCGTCACGTTGGCTCCCGAGCTCGACGGCGATGGAGACAGCGGGTTGCGAATGACCGCATCAAACTGGTCTTGGAGCGTATGCGGAAGAGAGAGCGTGTAGACGCCGCTGAGTGGTAGCTCCGAGTACCAGATCGAGCCCCAGAACCGGATTGTCCACCTCGTTGCAATGTGCAGCGCCAGTTGCCGCTCGGGAAACATCGTTGCGAGCACCTCGGACGACGGCGTGGCGATAACCGAAAGGTTAAAGTCGACCGAGATGTTGGCCGGTGCGTTCACTGCAAAGGTCACGGGGCTCATGGTGACCGTCGCCCACGTCTTGCCGCGCTTGTCGGCAATGACGTAGGTCGAGATACCGACGAGCTCGACGGTGCCTACGCAATGTCGTCATCCTGGTACTAGTATGCGGAAGGACCCACCGCCGATCGAGAGGAGTGCCGGCAGTGTCGTGCGCACGCGAAAGTCGGCGGTGCCGTCGCTGGGCCGAACGACGCCCGTGGTATCATTGCTGCTTTCGCTCGTGAGCGGATGGGCCATGGCGCTCGCGAAGCGGGCTTGAATCATGTGCGGCACAACGACGTAGACGAGCACAAGGCCGATACTCATTAGCGCCAGCACGAGCAGCACGACGACGTGCAGGAGAATACAGCCGCGCTTCGAGAGGCGCCGGCCGCAGTAGCGCTTGGTGTTTGCGGTCTCGGTCGGCGGTGCGATGTACCACTGAACAAGCTTCATCCAGCGCGATGGCGCAACGGCGTTGCCCTCGCCGCTCTTGACGGATGCCACGTCGTCCAAATGGTGCGCGTCCATCGCTTTCAGAAAAATATGATCTTATGGCGACACAATATTTTCACCGACCAGATTTTGGGACCGACGTTGTTTTATTATATCGTGGCCGTTGCCAACGTCGCAAAATGACGTGGCGCGCCGACATGAAACTATTTCATATTGGGCACTTGGCCGGTGAAGTCCTCGCAGTGCAAGGACTTTGGCCCCTGGTACAGCTGGCAGCTCTGTATTGACTCTACTACAGGATCATGGTGGCATCTATCCGAGAACCTCAAGAACACAAGTACTTCCATGCAAAGCTCATTCGTTTATGACAAGAGGCTCGTGATCGCGCTCCAGATGGTCGCGCCCAGGAGCGAGTTGATGTCGACGTCGGCTTGGAGAGGCAGACGCGCGTACCACACGCGCCCGTAGAGCGACGCCGTCACCTCCGTTGAGACGCGCATTGTGACGTTTTGACCCAACAGCGCCTGCGCCACTACGATCGCGCTCGGGAAGCGATAGACCTTGAGCTGTCCATTGAGCGACAGTGACGCGGGCGCGTACAGCGGCAGTGCGATCGGGTCCAAGAAGCTGACGTTGGCCCAGCCCGCGTTTGTCGAGTCGGCGACCGTAAAGACAAGCGGCGGCGCGATCGTGATCGTACCGGGCAGCGTCGAGAGCGGCGCAATCGTCGTTGTGACGCGAAAGTTGTTGGCGCCGTTGGCCTCAAAGGCGACGGTCGTCTTGGCGGTTGCGGCGGACGTGGGAGCAAACGCCGACGCAAACATCGCGTTGAACGAATTAACTGTGCGCACCGTGTGCACGCCACGCAGCGCGAGATCCCGGTACCACACAAAGCCCCAAAGTCGGATCGTCCAGGACGTATTGACGGTCGTCGCGAGCTCTTTTGACGTGGCAAAAGCCGCCAGCAAAGTCGGGGACGGGGTGTCATAGACCAGAAGGCGCGCCGAGAACGTCACCGTCGCGTCGTGGTTGATCGGAAACGAGACCGCGTCGGCGACCGTGATGGTGGCCCAGCCTTTGCCCGAGGCGTCCGAGAGCGCGAGCGTGAACGGCCCGTCGATCGTCGCTGTACCCGGCAGAAAGGTCGCCGCCGCAATCGTCGTCGTCACGTTGAACTCGCCGTTCGAGTTGTTGGTCACGGCAAAGACGGTTTTGCTCGAGTCTGTCGATCCGGCGAGCGAAGCGGCAAACTTGGTTTGGATGCTGCGCGGCACAACGACGGCAGTGAGGATCGGGATGACGATGAGCAAGATGAGGATGATGGCGACGGTCGCGTGGAGGCAGATGAACGGCCCGCGCTTGAGCCACCCGCCGCAGAAGCGCTTGGGCGCCATCTCGGCGTCGCCGAGGTACCACTGCCGCAGGCCTCGCTGCTGCTTGGCACGCGGCGAACTCGAGAGCATGAAATGGTCGTTCATGGCAAAAGCTGCACTCGCTTGCGATTGGCTGAAACGACGCGCCACGTCCCACGGTTGCATCAACTTGATTGCTAAAGCCAGCGCTAGTGCAATCTCAACCTCGAATCTTGGGCGATCCGTCAGCATTCCAGATCTAAAAGTTCATGGACCTTGGCTGCGAGGCTCGTGAGGCCTGAGACTTGAGTGCTTGGCCGTAGTGTACTGTAGTGTGATCCGCCGAGGTTGATGGCAGCAAGCAATCGACCAAGACGCGAGATAGCCATGGGCGTAGAGGCGACGAGAGGCAAGGACAAAGATTGCAATACGTAAAAGTAGTCTAGTAGGTAGCTCTAGTAGGTCGAGTACATGTAGAGCGACCAAGTGGTGTTACGGCTGCGGGGCAAAATGATGCGTGAGGTTGTTAAAGCACGTTTGCCGGAGCAGCGCAACTTGCTCGGACGACTTGGAACAGTTGACCTACTCCAGTCGATCCATGAACGACTAAGAGCGAAGTAGAAGAGACCGTCGGAATGATCACTTTCGGGTCGAACGCCTTTGTAAACGCGCAGAGTTCGTCAAAACTCGAGTGCTCGCTGTACGGAATGCCGTAAATGACGAGCGCGTCGTTCATTTGCGTGCGCTTGGATGAAATCGACGGCCCCTTCTTGCGCGAGAACGTCCAGCCCGTCGGCTGGAGTGCAATCACCTTGCGGAAGCGGAGTCGGTGTTTGGCAAGGAGCGCGCGCATGCCATCAAAGTTCAAGTGGTTCATGGGCACAACATGCAAGCTACAAAGCTCTTTGTGTGTTGTACAAGACAGACAGAAGATCGTACTTGGTGGTCGACGACTCGGTCGTGAGGCGCCGCTATGTAGGCCATCATACCACGAAAGGACTTGAAGAAGGACGACGTACGAGCGCAGACTCGGGCCACTCAAAGCACGAGAGCAGGGACAGCTTGGCGCGTTCAACAAACACCTTGCAGTCCAAGTGGGCAGCCACCTAGATGCAGTGACGCCTCGGCATCATAATACCAGGAGCGTACGTCCATGAAGAGCCGTTCTTTTCCGATCGAGTAGGACCCGACCAAGAAGAGCGGACGGTCGTTTTGATGCAGGTCGACGAGGCGCTTGGCTTCGGCGATCGCAACCGCCTACGCAGATCGTAGCCATTGTACGTTGGAATAAGAAATGCACCTGCGTCGGGTGGCAGTGCTGTGTGTCGCAGTACGTCGTGTCGAGGTACACGCCGTCCAAGCGCTGGGTTGGGTTTGTGAACGGCGACAAGTAGCTATTGAGCAGCATGCTGGGGTCGTAGCGGAAATCGCCTGCGCACAAACACTCGAGTTTGAACCAACAGCGTCACCGTGCACCTGTATGGAGGAAGGTTTTGCCCGACTGGAACTGAAACAAAATGATCGCGGCCCCCGGGCAGTGGTTGGCGTCAATGAACGTCATCTGCGCCTTGTGGTCTGCCAGCAGATACGGCTGGTGCAGCGGCAACGGGTGCAAGTATTTCCTACGTACGTACCCTAGCTGCAGTATATCGACCTTTGACAATTCGTACTTGTCGACACCGAGGCAGAGCTGTACGAGCCGCGCTGTCGTCGGCGTACAGTAGATGATGCCCGCTGAAAACGACTAACCCACTCACTGTTAGTCGCACGCCAAACATTGAAACATTGACACTTGCACACGTACCCGACCAAGACCACCATAGTGGTCCGAATGAAAGTGCGAGAGAACGTACGTCGTGGAGAGCGACGGGGACGCGTACTGGAACCCGTCCACGAGGATCGAAGTACCTTGGATCTTCTTGTAGTCGGGGCAGCTGTAGCGCGGCTTTGTCCCAAACCCGTTGGCCTTGCGCTTGAGCGCGGGCTTGGCCGTTTTCGCAACAATCGCTGACGTCTGCGCGCCCCGCATGAGCAGATCGAACGCGTTGCTTGCATGCGGCATGGGCGCCTTGGCGCACTTGGCTGCTGGCTTGGGCCGGTTCATCATCAGGTCAAACGCGTTGGTCGGTGGCGGGAGGGACGCAATCGCCGCGTCGATGCGCGCTTCGTCGACGTGCACCTCGGCTTGCAGCAGCGCTTGGAGGCTCACGCCGTACTTTTTCGCACACTGCTTAGTGTGTTGAATGCGCTGTCTCGGCAGCTTGTCGGTGAACGAGACGCCGCACACCTTGCACGTCTCGACGGGCACGTCGGGCGTCGGATCCGCGCCGATGCTGGCAGCCAGCGCCGCCTGGAGCTCTGCGTCGCGCTTGTTGCGCTCAAACTGCTGGATCGCGTCGAGGCATGCGTTGACGTGGTGGATTTGCGCTTCCTCGTTGAAGAACGTGAGGTTCTTGCCACAGGATGGGCATGAAATCTTGGTGTCATACGCGACGTCTGCTTGTAAATCGACAACACAAGAGGATGGCGAAGTCCTTGAAGCGTCGTCTTCGACCCGCTGGGTGGGCGGGCAGTCTTCGAGCTCGTCAATGTCGAGCGGAAGGGTCGTGTCGCTCGACTGGTCGGCCTCGACAGTGGTTGGGATCGGCTCTGTCGCCGGCGAGTCCGCAGCCGAGTCGTTTGCGCCGAGCGATTTCATGGGCTCGGCTTCTGCCACCTTGCATGTTGCGGGCTGCATTGCCTGCATGGGCGATGGACATGGGGCTTCGGGACCCTTCGGAGGCCGTTGCGCCAACGCGATCGCTTCTTCCTTCGCAGCTTCCACGGGCTTGGTCCATGGAGCAGACGCTTCCCGCTTCCTCGTCATCATGTCATCGTCGCTCGTTGCCGGCTGCGGGATCGCCCGCAGCGAGAGAAGGTGGCGCCGGCTCATGCGTCGCCGCTGCAGTGTGAAATCAAGTGTGGTGCAAACGCAATCTGATTGGTGGAAAATAAATGGCGTACTCGCCGTGGATTGGCCAATAATATTGCCTATTTTCCCGCGCAAATCGGTTTGCGATCGCCCCCGCGCTCCGCTGCCATGGCCTCATTCATGCTCCAATTCGATGTGTCGATTTGTCAAATAGGATGCATTGATTTCGTTTTAAGACGAAGCTGCTTCATCGCGTAGGTAGCTCCCACTGCACCGAGCGCCGCCATCAAGACACACGACGGAGCCCCCCGGCGAAAGCCATTGCGCAGGCGTCGGGACGCACAGCAGTACTAGCACGGTAAAGGACCATCTTGGTCACAGTCTTTCCGCAGTTTGGCCATGGCATCCAGGCGCCCAAGTGCTACACCAGCGTCGCACTCGCCCACACTGTTCAGAGCCTGGCATCGCCGACCGACGGCGAGAGCTTTCTCAAGGCCATACCCGAGTTGCCATCATCGCTCGTGGCGCTCCAAGAGCTTTGGGCGGCTGACGCCACACGCGATCTGTGGCCAGTGCTCCGCCTCGATACAGTTCCCGACCGCGCCACTCCGGTTGTGGTTCGTGCCATCGACACCTCCGGCGACCGAGGTGCGCGGGTTCTCATCAGCGCCCAGTGGCCGCACGACTTTACGCTCGTTGTTTTGCGCCCACAAAATCGCATCAGGTGAGCTCGACTACCAGGCCCACGACAATTTGCATATTCGAGAGCTTGGGACTTGCGCTTGTGCACCAACGTGTCTACCTCAGCCAACGAGCTGCCAACGGTGCTGGCACCGCCCTTCCGCGTGTCCAAGCTCATTTTTGTACACATTTTCATCGTGCAGCATCGTTGTGCCGGCGCTGACATCGAGCCACGCTACCCATTTGGGGTTACGGCTTTTGGTCGTCGACCAATCCACGTCTCGTGCGGGCGCTGGCGGCAGCGCGGACGCTAACAAGCTTGGACCTCGACGAAAGCGACGGCATTCTGACCAAATTAATTGTCAACAATACGCCTCTGCGCCGTCTCACAGAGCTCCATGCGTGCTCAGCCATGTACCTTGTCGTGAGCGATGTGGCTCGGTTGCTGGACCTCTCCGCGTTGACGATGCTGAGTCTCTCGGGTTTCGACGATGAAGCCATCGCGTGTCGTTTGGCGGTGCTGCAGTCCCTGCCAGCCCTCGACACGCTCTCCCTCAACCTCGCCACTGGCCCTGTCTTCAACGACCATTTCCCGCTGCTTTATCTGCGCATGGCGATGGCGACCCCGTTCCAAACCTCGTGCCCGCGGTGTCGTCGATGGTGGCGCTCAGGAGGCTTCGATCTCGCAGATGCGTCTGCTCGGTCCGGCCCAGGCGGCCACATGCCCCGAGCTACGCCCATCACGCTCGACAACTGACCTTCTCCGACGACGGCTTTCGGGCGATCCTCGGCTTGACGACGCGCTCGGTTCGCCTCGAATCGATCCAGTGGATCGAGTGTGAACGTAGCCCGACGTCGCACCTCGCCGCCATCAGTCGCTGGCTCCAAAACGGGGTCCGCCGCATTGAGTTTCGCGCCTGCCACTGCAACAGCGAAAAAGTCATGTTGCTGGTATCAGCTCTGCGCTTGCGCCGAGTCGAGTTTGATGGCGTCAACTTTCCGGCACTCGTGGAAGCACTCGCAACATGTACGAATGTCTCGGTCTTGATTAAAACCGATATCGAGGTCGTGAAGGCGACAAGCGTAGCGGCAGCGCATGGTCTCGACCTTGAATTTGTTGACTTCGGCGTTCTGCTGTCGTCTGCGCGCAAATGGCCCGTTCGCGAAATGTGATACTAGGCAGGACCGTAAACCATTCTGGATACCAGGTAACTAATTTGTTGTTGGAACTGAGCGCGGTAAAGAATTGTGAAAAACGTTGAGCGAACCAGCCATTAGTTCACCGCCTCCCGCTTGAATGCAGCGAGGAAGAGCAGCGACATGGCTTGGATCTCGCACATCCTCGAACAAACCATCGACCTTGGGCGACAACAACCAGAGGCCCATACCCAAGAAGCCCTTCGATACCTACCACCGCCATCTTCTTCTTGGACCGCAATGCTCTAGGACGAATGTGTTGAAGTCGGCGGAGTGCGTCGGTGTGGCTGTTCCGGATCCAAATGCAGCCAATCAAACACCGTTACGATACCATTCAGCCAATCGCATCTCCAGTTGTTCAATATCACACTATATACTACATTATATGACTAACAGTATTAGATTGGAAAGCGTCCGGTAACACTGTGGTCATCCGGATGCACTGCGAGAAGATCATTTTCAGATCCTCATCATGCGGGTGGCACGTTCAGCTGCCGTGAGCCTTGTCGCGGTCGTCGCCGCCGTCGCAGATGCAGTCGTCTGGAGCACCGGGAGGTTCCCGCTGCCGGCGCCTCTCTTGCCGCAGGCGTCACCGGCTCGCATTGGCATCGTCGAGACGCTGCCGATCGGGCGCTTTGACCTCGCACCGCTGCCGGGCAGCAAGTCGACAGCAGATGGGCTCGCAGCGCTCTTCGACGCGGCGACGGAGACGATCGACATCCTCGCCATGTACTGGAACCTCGAGGGCGTCGACGACCACAAGATCTACTCGGACGACGAGCTGCAAGCGTTTGGCGCTCGCCATGGCCACGCCGTGTTCGCCGCCTTGCGCCACGCCGTCGAGCGCAACGTCTCGGTTCGCGTCGTCGGCTCCAAGAGTGACCAGTTCCAGCCGACGGAAATCGAGTCGTTTGTCACGAACATCCGCCTCTGGGACGCGGCGCATTGGTACGGAGGCGGCATCATGCACCAGAAGATGGTGCTCGTCGACAAGCAGCACGCGTACTTGGGGAGCGCCAACATGGACTGGAAGTCGCTCGCGCAGGTCATGGAGGTTGGCGTCGTACTGGAGGCTGCGCCAGCAATCGTCGACGACATGCAGCGTCTCTTTGAGCTCTGGTGGGCATGGAGCGACCCCGCCCTCGCCGCTCGCTATACCCCCATCGACGTCTTCTCCGACAAGTTCCAGGTCACGCTTCGCATGCCTCCGTGGGCCAACGACGTACCCGAGGCGTCCCGCGTACCAAGTCCGTTTACCGATGCGAGCATGAGCTCTATCTTCAACAAGGTCCACAATTTGCACTCGGTGCTCAACAACAAGCCATCGGGCGTCTTTCTCTCGGCCTCCCCGGACAGTGCCACGTCCGGGGCTCGAACCCGCGACGAAGACGCGCTTGTTTACACGCTGCAGTCGGCCACGACGTCGGTGAGTCTCAGCGTCATGGACTTTCTGCCGTTTGCCATGTACCCGATTACGACGCACGCGTCCGGTTCGATCTACTGGCCTGCGCTCACCGACGCCATTTTGAGCGTCGTCCTGGCCCGCAACGTCACCGTGCGACTGCTTGTGAGTCACTGGGCACACTCGCGACCTGTCATGGTGACAGCCCTCCAGCAGCTCCAAGCCCAAGCCGATCTGCACCACAAGGTAAATACTTAGCAGTTGAGCGCATAGTTGAGAGACTACCAATGCTATGTTGTGTAGCGAGGACTCGGGCGGGTCGAGATTCGACTGTTTGAGGTGCCGGGGTGGAACGAGACGGTGCCAGCGCCAGGGCGGTTCCCGCCCTTCACCCGTGTGAACCACGCCAAGTTCATTGTCTCGGACACGCGCGTCAACATTGGCACGAGCAACATGGAGTGGGGCTACTTTCACAACACGGCGGGGGCAAGCTTCAACACCAACCACCCGGATGCGATCGCCGCCGTCCAAGCCATTTTTGACCGCAACTGGGCCTCGGCGTACGCCTGTCCCCTTGCGTCATAGCTAGGCGTTATAGTCATGACACTGAGAGCTCCTGTATCACTTGCGCCTCCGAGCCATCGAATAACTTGACGAGCTACGCAAAGACGACTATGAGGCAGACGATAGCGCTGTTCGAGAAGGAGAGTCCAGGGCTGCAAAAGACGTGCGCAGGCTGATCGACCGACATGGTCAAATTGCGCGCATCTTGCAATTATGTACGTTGTTCGTTGTCTAACAGAGTCCAAACGTGCTACTCGTCTTCCTCTTGGCAGCTCAATAATTTATTCAATATATTCCGGATGCAACACCCTACACCAACTTCACTTGAACGAAGAAGACGTATCAGGTATGCTGTGAATGTCTAATTACGCCACAGTGGCTAGGCAGCTAACGCGTGGGCCTGGTTGCAAGCGCGTAGTTAGCAGTAGGGTTGTGGGTTCGTTCAACCTTGCGCGCCGGGGCTATCGAGACGCAGCACTACACGCAGCGGCCATCGCGAGGAGCTTGCCGCGGCTTTTATCGCACTTGGACGACGAGAGGATCGTGGTGTTGGTGCTCGTGGCAAGCGCCTTGATGAGCGGCTCGACGGTCGAAATAGTTGCGTGCGATTATCCAAGAAAGCGACGGCGCATGCAAGGATCGAAGGCTCGATGCAAGCATTCCTACGTGGACGTCGACGAGGTAGCACGCGTCCAAGCTCACAGCGGTGCGAGGACCCAGCGGCGGATGGCGGGACCCAAGCAATTGAAGCGGTTGCTCGCGTCTTCACAGCGCGTCCAGTGCACCCCCCACAAATGTCTCGGCGCTCGCGATCCAGTCAATGATGTGTCGTAGCGAGTCGTCGTAGAAAGTGACGTGGCGCAAGAGCTCGAGGAGCGCGGCCAGCGACGGCGGAAGCATCGATACGGGCAGCGCCTCGAGGAAGGTGCGAACGTCCCGCGGTGACCCATGTACATGACGATGGTCTCCAAGATGGCGCCGACGTCCAGGGCCACGCTGATGCGAGCTCGGTCATGGCAGGTGCGGAAAGCATTGTTTGGATCGCTGTCAACACTGCAACATGTTTTAAACACTATGTTTAAAACATACATTCTAGAACCAGTTGACATGCAATGGGTTTGTTCGGACTCGTTGTGCATCAGCGCCACAAGACCACTGGACTAGTGCGACGCTCACCGTCACAGCCATAGCCGCCCACACACACACTTGCAGCGATGATGGAGGCCTGCAAACCGCCTCGCAGCCGAGGCATGTCGCAAATGATCCTGGGGCTGCCACGTCACGAGTTCCAAACCATTGCATGCCTTCAGTTTGCCTTACGCCTGGTCGTCCTGGCGATGCAAAATCGCTCGCGAGCTGCCCGAGTTGTCGTGGATCGTCAGCAGGGATGGATTCGGCGCGAGGCGCGCCGGGCTCTTTGAGTCGGTGGCAGGGACCGCCTTGACACTGTTGACCAGACCTTGTACGAGCGGCCCAACGTCGGCGTTGGGCGCGCGGAACGCTTGGATTTCCTTGACAATGTCGCTGCACGTTGGGTGGACCATGGTCGCAAAGGCGCGTAGTGCAACGGTCGTGCTCAGCAGCAGCGTGACGACCACCAAGAGCCAGGTGAGCCACACCGCCGGAAGCGACGTCCCAACGTCCATCATGCGCTCCCACGCAAAGCCCGATAAGAAAAACCACTCGGAGCAGAGAACAGCTATAACCCCCCATAGCCCGATCGACGAGATATAGGCGAGTGCGTTCGCCGGTAGAATCGCATGCTGCCACCACACGAGTTTGAGGTTCGCGAGCACGATGACGCTCGTGAGCACGACCATGCCAAGGAGCCACAGCCCCGGCGATGCACCATGCACATCGCTCTTCTCGAGCGCCGCGACCGCGCAGCTCGTGAGGCAAAGGGACTCGAGAAGCGCCGAGCCAATTGCAATGGCAAACCGACCGTGGTTTAGGTGAAAGTGGTTCGGTCCGGCCTTATAGAGAAACGGCAGCTGCAAAACAAGCTCCCGCGGCAAGTCGGCGTCGAGCACCGCAAGAAGCACAATCGGCAACGACGTGAACGCGACGTTGTAGAGCTGGACGCCGACTTCGAGGTACAGTTTCTGACCCGAAAAGCCGGTGAAGAGTGCAAACCAGAATTGCGCCGTGATCAACAGAATGTTCTTGTACAAAATGTACAAGACGAGCTTGGAAATACGTTCGTAGTTGGAGCGACCGTGCACGAGGAGCAGATTCCGCAAATACGAAAACTGGGCGATTGCATAGTCGCTTGCGTTGACGGCTTGGAGTCCTTCTTGGCCCGAAATACCCACGCCGACGTGGGCTTCCTGCAGCATCGGCACGTCGTTGGCGCCATCGCCGATCGCCAACACGCGGCTCGTGGGATCCAAGCGCATGAGGAGGCGCACGAGGCTCGCTTTTTGCGCCGGCGACACGCGACACGCAATCACCGTCGAGCAGCGCTCAGCGACGGCCCCAAACATGTCGGAGCACGCGCCATTCGAGAACACGTGGTCGAGGATCGCGCCCGTGACGATGAGCGCGTGGCCCGTCTCAGCGACGACGGACGGCGCACGGATCGAGATCCGCGACGCTGTCAACGTCCAGCGCGACTTGGACCAGTCCGTGACTGAGGTGGCGCTCGTGGTGCGGCGGCGTCCTGGCGGGGGGCGCGTAGGGCGGGCAATGGTGATGGCGCCCCGGGCCTCGAGCTGCGCTCTGAGTGCCGTGAGCTCGGCCAAAGCAAGCGCCGCCGAGGTTGCACTGGCTTCCGAGACGGCAAGGCACCGCATTTCTGGCAAAATGAGATGCGTCGCGCGGCCAATGTTGATGGCCGTCTCTTCCTTATCGCCTGTGAGCATCCAGAGGTTGATGCCGGCGGCCCGGAGCGCCTGGAGCGTCTCGCCAACGCCATCCTGCAACTTGTCTTCGATCGCCGTCGCACCCAGCAGCTCCAAATCGGCTTCCATCTCGGCGAAGCACTTGTCGATGGCGTTCGGAAGGCCTTTCTGCCGCCGGTCGACATCCGGTAGTGACTGAGCCGCGGCCGCGTACCGCTCGGCCCAGCCAAGGTACCACGCTTCGTCGACGACCTTGTACGCGCAGAGGAGTGTTCGGAGACCTTCGCCTGCATAGTCTTGCACGTGTCGCATCGTGTCGGCGCGCATTGTTACTGCACTCTCGCTGAGAGGACGACGCAAGACGGACGCCACGTTGACGTCGGCGCCTTTGGTGTAGACCACGATCACGTCGTTGGCGATATCCCGCAGCACGATCGACATGCGTCGGCGGTTCGAGTCAAATTCGAGGACGGCGAGGATGTCAAACGTGAGCTCGTTGCCGTGCACCGTGATGCTAATGGTCGTCGGCGACCGCGACGTAAAGACCACGCCGACCGCTTTCGCCCCGAGCACAAGCGCAAGCTCGTCGGACGAGGCAGCCGAGTACGCGCCATCTTCGTCCTGCAGCACCGTATGGCACACGGCCAGCAGGATGAAGAAGCGCCGGCCGTCGGGGCTGTGGGCAATGTTGGTCAGTTCCACGAGCGCGCTTTCATCAAAGGCTGGCGACGACATGGGCACGTGGACCTTGGTCGAGTTGCGCTTGATCGGTTTGGGGCGGTCGCAGCGCGCGCCGCACGCGACGCCCTTGATGCTGCACTTGCGAAATTGCATTATGTTGGACGTCAGCGTGCCGGTCTTGTCGGTCACGAGGTGCGAGATCTGCCCGAGGTCTTCGTTGAGCCCCATCGAGCGCACGGCCGCCGGGGTGTTGCTGCTGGCGTGGTACATGCCGAGGTCCCACTCGATGAACCTCGCTTGCGCAAACTTGGCCGTGCCCATCGAAACATACAGCGAAATCGGCACGAACTGGTACATGAGGAGAAAGTAGTAAAAGAAGGTGACGACCCAGCTCGCGCGCAACTCTGGCCCGAGGTAGTGAGCCGACTGCGCCGAGGATGTCCAGAGCACGCTGGCGGTGGCGGCGCCGGTGCAAAAGACAACGAGGAGGCCGACCAGCGCGAGCACGTACAAGTTGATGCGTCGCTCGAGCGCGCTGCGCTTGGACGGCGTCGGCCGATTGCCCTTGATGCTCTTCGTCTCCATGCCCGCGGTGATGACGAGGCCATAAACACGGGCCGTGCTCTGCAAGGTCGACCCGCGCAGGAGCATGTTGGATGTCGACAAGGCGGCCGGCGTCGTATCGGACGCGTGGACCACATGCAAGACACCTTGAAACGTGTGGATGCTGTGATTTGGTCGCTCGACGGTCGCGTGGCCGCGCAAGGCCGAGAGCGTCGACGGTGTTGTCGCATGCTGCGTCGTCGGCACGGCTTGGCGCTGCTTGAGGTTGGTCTCGCCATCGAGCGACTTGGTTTCGACATAGCACGTGCTACTGCCCACGTCATTGGGGACACTCAGGAGCAAGACGTCGGCTGGGATCGGCTCGTGGTTGCGGATCTCGAGAATGTCGCCGACGCGGATGTCGGCCCAAAGCACTTCGACAAAAGCGCCATGGGCCGCGAGCTTGCGCGTGGCGCGGCCGTTGGCGATGCGGTCGGCGCGGCGGCGCTTGAGATCCTCGAGTATCGCAAAGGTGGCGTCGACGCAGAGGATAAAGGTGAGTGTCGGCAAGGTCGCAGGCACGCCGTTCGTGTTGCTAATGGCGCGGATGCACTGGAGGACGGCGACGAGTAGAAAGTACCCGTTCCCGACCTTCTGGAACGACTCGAAAAGGAAGAGCGGGAGGAAGCTCCAGCTCGAGTACTTGGCCGTGCGCACGTAGTTGGACGCGTGCCCGAGCGCGGCGTTGCGGAGCGCGTCGGCGATGTACACGTGCCGGTACTCGGTTTCGATCGCTGCCATATATCGGTTAGTGCCCGGCTATTTATACTGCGTCAAGCTCTTGTCTTCTTTGGTAAATCTCGTCAACGAGCCAAAATATATCGTTGCAAACAGCGATTGAACCGACAGTCAACAACCACTGGGTAGCCTAGCCCTACGGACACTCCACCGCAAAATGCGTACGTTTGCTAGCTTCGAGTCGAGAGCGACCGAGATGAAGAGCCCACGACAGCGAGCTCCCTTGGCCAACGCCCTCGCATGTGAAACGATAAAGCGATGACAGGAGGCGCCGGCAACCCACGCCACGTTCACCAACATGGGCTGTCTTCGTAAGCGGTTGCGCATGGCCAACGGCTTTAACCTCGGTTCGTATCGCGCGAGAGCCTTCGAGTACTAGCACTGCCGGCCATTGTGGTGCTGTTGCTCAACTTCAGTGTTTTGGCGCCATAGTCGAAGTTTGAATCGAAGTTCGAAGGCGTCGACGCAATCGAATGGCTCGTTCGTCGAGTTTCTTTTCGACCATGTCGTTCGCCCGCGCTGTCCGCTGCATGAACAAGGCCAAGCCGCTGGCCGCCAAGTCGACGTCTGCTGTCTCGATCGCCTCGTCGCGCATCGCGTCCTTGCCTGCGATGGCCCCGTCGACGGCGTCGATGGCGGCCTTCTCGACGGCCCGCGCTGCCCGCGCGACGCCGGCCCACGTCAAGGGCGACCTCGCGACGGTCGCGATCGGTATCGCCGCCGGCCTCGCCGTCCTTGGCGTTGGCAAGATCTGGATCGATGCGTCGGCGTCCGGTGACGTCAGCAAGGAGAACCTTGTCAACTACTTCCTCGAGCTCGCGCACAACATTGAGCACCTTGTTGTACGCACAGCAATAGCTCGATGGCTATACCGCTCATGCGTCGCGTAGGGCCAATTGCCGCAGCTGGCCGAGCAGGTCATTCACCACGCGACGTCGACGGGCCAGCAGATCTCGGAAGAGCAGGTGCACCAGGTCTTGATCGAGCGCCTCGGCCACGCCGTCCAAATGGCCGACCAAGAGCTCTCGAAGAAGTACCGCTTCTCGCAGGAGGGCATTGAGAAGGCAATGGCCGAATTCCAGCACGACGCCGACGTCGTTGCCGCGATCCAGCGCCTCGAACAGGTCATCCAAAACAGGTACGACCCACTCACTTCTGCGTTGCACGAAGCTCACGAGACTGCACTAGCCCGCTCGCGCAGGTGAACGTGTCGGTCCCGGAAGACTTTACGCCCGAGAAGGCCCTCGACGTCATGGCCAAGATCCTCAGCGCGATCGGTCGCGCGATCGAAGAGGCCATTGACGAAGCCAAGGCCAACGGCTTGAAGGACGTCAACGCCGAGAAGGAGATGTGGCAGGAAGCGTACGCATCGTCGTCCGTTGCTCTGTGAACCTCATGAACGTGCCGCGTAGGTACTTGCGCAAGACGCAGCAGTACACGGAAGAGATCCACCAGGAAGTGGGCATTGACGAAGCGGTGCATTCCTACATAGCTCACATCTCCAAGGCTCAGCATCACTTAGGTCATGAACGCGGCCATCAACCAGTTTGCGCAGGACCCGGCGTTTGGTCTCAAGCTCCAGGAGCTCCTTCAGGTGCAGCAGGCCAAGTTCCAGGCGCTTGGCATTTCGCTCCAGGACGTTGTGTAAGCAGCAACATAGAGATATACGCTGCCATGTGCACTCTCGTGTTCCATAACTTGTTATATCACGCCCATTGGCGACTGCTGGTCGTGGAGAGGAGGCCGCCGCTGCCGCTAAACCACTGGTTAAGTAGGCGGATCTGGACGCCGTAGACCACCGCGACCAGCAGCACCTGGATCGACGTGTACCAAAAGATGCGCGACTGGTTGCTCTCGGCCGTCTTGTGGTGTCGCTTGTCGCGCATGAGGTAGTAGTTTTGCTCGTACTTGATAAGGTCAAAGAGCTCCCGGAGGTGCTCGAGCGAGCCCTTGACCGTCTCGACGTGCATTTGCTTGGTCGCGGCTTCCCACTCGTCTTCGTGGCCGAGCTCGTCTTCCTTTGTGAGGCCAAAGTTGGTCGAGAAGTCGACCTTCTTGCCTTCGTACGACGAGTGTTCGTTCCCGAGGCAAAACTTGTACCACCCACCGCGGTGCTCCGTGTCAAAGTTGAACCCATTGTGCTGGACGTCGTTCGAGTTCTCGTTGGGCGGCGTCGTCGTCACGAGCGAGTTGAAGAAGTTCATGTCCGTCTGCTCTTCCGTTGGCGGCATCGCGAACGGGCCGTACGCCGTGAGCCGAATGTCGTACAGCTCCTGGCTCTCGACAACCGCAATGCGCAAGAAGGCCGTGCGCTTCGTCTTGACGTACTCAATGAAGCACTCCTTCGACCGGCCCGGCACGACCACCATCAAGGACGAGACCATGCTCATGGCGAGGAAGAGCCATGCCACCATGCAAGCAGTCCGCGCTGCCATCGTCGTCCACGCCGATAAGTAACTTATCTGAACTGTGGCCCCACACGCGAAAAAACGAACGTCCAGCTGGCACGCCGGATATTATAACAGTCGCATCCGGACAAAACCGATTGAGATGCGATTCTGATTGAGTTTCAGATAAGAAACGAGCTTATGAACAAGGGTGTGCCCTTAATACCTGGCCAGGCGCATGACGTTAAAGACGCCACTGCTTGGAGCTCCATGCAGCGGCGTGGCTGGAGCGCCAGCCTTGTGCGCTTGGCTACGACAAGGAAACGCAGCCATGAATGGTCGAAGAATACGAGCTGCTTCGTTCGGCATGCAGCTCAGACTCGGCGTGGGCAGCTCGTTCTTGACATGGCAAGCTCTGGCCAGCGAACAAGCCGCCGTAGCAGACAGGCGTCTTTGGCCCAAACGAGGGGTTTGAGATTTTAAGTTAGTTTTTTCTAGTCTGCGGTGGAAGGAGTCGGTGGGACGGGCGTTCACGCGATCGCGAGCTGGCTCACCTTGACAATGTGGCGGCCGGGCACGAGCGTCATGCCAAGGAAGCGCTTGGATGGCACCTGCGGCAGCTCGTCGTCGTCTTGGTTGGCGTACCGATATTCGTTGGTCTCGGTCAAAATCAGGTTCTTCTCGTGGTCGAGACAGTGAAAGGAGCCGATGAGGATGCGCCCGTCCGAGATCTCGACGCGCAGCGGCTGGTCGATGAGGCCAAGCACCTCCTGGATGCTCTTGGGGAGGGCCTCCATCTCGGCCGCGACCGCAGCGTGGGCGACGACCTTGCCGTTTGTGGAGAGCATGCTCAAAGCCTTTGTCACGATTTCATTGGCCGACGGCCATTTCAACTGGCTACATGCACGCAACTTACTCACCTCCACGAAAAAGGGCCGGGCCCCGTAGCGCGAGTAGTGCCAAGGGCTTTCACTTGTACACCACACGGCGCTGTCCATCGCTCGTTCGTTGCTGCGCTTGCGTCGGCGGTGCGACCAGTTGCATGAGCGCTGTACGTTGGAAGCTGGTTGAAAATGAGCAAACAATTGACCTTTCTCCCATCACCATAAACGCATTCTCAAGCGCGCTCCAGGAAGCCTCGCGCTACCATGAGCACGGGAATCAAGAGGCCACTGCGGTGTCATCCTAATCGGGTGACACGTGCCAACACGCGCGTGTGAAGGTAGCCCCCGCGAGGTGCAGTGGGCTTTTGTTGCGTGCATTTAGTGCGTCGAGTCGGCAATTATCTGCTTTGATTGGTATACCGAAGGTTTGGGGTTTCGATCTTGGCAGCGATGACGACGACGACGCTCCGGGCCGGCGACGTGCAGAAGATGCTCGAGGCCAACGACAAGATGCTCCAGACGTGGAAGACGCTCCTCGAGGGCCGGCGTACGACGCATGCTGCATCCTCCCGCCTCCGCCTCATGGAGCCTCGTCTTCGTAGCCAGCACGGACAAGACGGCCGAGTACAAGGAATGGCACGTCAAGTGCGTGCGCTACAAGGAGCAGATCTCACGGTCGCTGGAGCGCTTGGCCGCGATGGCCGACGACCAGGTAGGCAATTCCTTCGCACGGACGTCTCATGGCGCGGTAGATTGCCAAGAAGGAGACCGCGCCATCGACGACGACGCCATCCCCACGCCAGAGTCCCCCGCCGACGACCTCGAAGCCAGTCGCGCCGACGCAATCGCCTGTACAAGCGCAGCAGCAGCAGCTTCTTCAGCAACAGCAGCAGGCGCTGGCCAAGCAGCAAGCCGCGCTGCAGCAACAGAAGCTCCAGCAGCAGCAGCAAGCAGCCCTCCAGCAGCAAAAGCAGCAGCAACAGCTCCAAAAACAACAGCAGCAACAACAACAGCAGCTTCAGCAAAAGCAACTGCAGCAGAAACAAGCACAAGCGCAGGCTCAGGCCGTGCAGCAGCAAAAGACGGTGCAGCAGCCCAAGCAAGGCGCGACACCAGCGACGACTCCCATGCAGCTCAACGCGGCCGGTAGACTTGATCCTTCCCTTGATATACCTAGTCCGCCGTGGTGTAGGCTTTACGAACACAGCGGATCTCTCAGCTCTCTTTTCGAATCCGTCGATGGTCATGGCCAACATGAGCTCGCTCAGCGGGTTCCAAATGCCGTCGACGAGCGGCAATGCGACGTCGGAGCTCCTCTTCAACCCGATGGACCCGGTCCACCAAGCACAGCTCAATATGTACAACTTCAACTTGCTCCAGCAGCAAGCCTTCTCCAACGCGCAGCTGTATCCTGGCTCGTTCAACCCAGCAATGAACACGATGATGCAGTACGCCAACGCCGGGTTCATGCTTCCGACGACGACAACGGCCAATGCGACGACGCCGGCCAACGCCACGGCGGCGTCGACCTCATTCACCTTCAACGACCAAGACACAGTCAATAACGTCTTGGACGACTTTCTCTCGCAGCCCGAATAAGTCATGTAAGTACGTAACAAGACCATGCTCTATCTCAGTTGCCTTCGAGGAGCGAGAGGTCGGGCGGGAGCTCTGCGTCGCTGTAGCGCACGTCCTGGAAGAAGACGCGCAAGAGCCGGCACGTGGCGAGGATCCGCAGCTGCACCGTCGACACGTGCTGCGTCCCAAAGGCCTCGAGCACAATGCTCTGCAAGTCCATGCAGAGGTACTGCCAGCCTTTCCCGAGCGCCAAGGGCATTTGGCAGTGGCTTGCGTTTACGCGCGCGAGGCTCCGCGCGTTCGTGATCGTGAGCGTCCGGTACTCGCGCTTGGTGTCGAGGAGCTCGAGCTCGAACGTGAAGAACGCGTCCAGGTTCTTCACAAAGAGCACGAGGTACCGCATGACGTTGCTCGTGTGCAGCACGAGCCGCGTCTCGGGCCCGACCAGCTCCAGCACGGGCTCGTCGACGTCCACGTCGTGGAGAATGCGCACGTCGTTTTCACCACCGAGCTGCAAACACTCGGCCATCGCCACCCGGACGGCCGGGTGCGCGTGCAGGCTCAAGACGCCCTTCTCGCCGACCGGGTCGCGGCACGGAAGGATCGGCTCGATGAGCTTGTGCTCGAACATCTGCGGGTCGTCCGCGTCCTCATCGGGCTCTTCAAACGTCGCCGGCATCTTATGTCAAATGAAACGACGCGTCCGGTAATCAACGAAGCGGCCATGCCACCTCGTCGGCTCTGCACGAAGATGTCGTCCTCTGCGGGTCGTGGCTTCATGGACAAGCCATTTCTGCGTGTTTCATGGAGCTTGGTGCATTAGCGTCGGAGGCCCACAGGCGGTTCGCGGGTTGGTGCTGCTTGAGATTGTAACGTCTTTGGCTCATGCCCTCGGACGCACGTGCGTTCTTCGAGACGCACCGCGCGCTCTTCGAGTACGACACGTACTTTCCTGGACAGGACCCGTGCGCGTCAGCGTCATCCGGGCATTCGTTTGCCCAGCTCTGCGCACCGTCGTCGTCGGTGTCATCGTCCTCCTTTGCAGACGCCATGACGGCGTTGACTGCGTCGGCCGTGCCCACGATCAGGCCGCCGCCACCGACACCAATGGCGACGACCTACTGGACAAAGCCGCTGGTGGTGCAGCTGCCATCGCGACCGGTAGCCCGACCGTACTACGAAGCACGGCCACATTACGTGGGTCCGAGGGAGAGTGCATTTCCGCCGCCGCTGTCGCAGCCACCGGTAGCCGCAGCACTGAAGCCTGCGGTACCAGAGCCGCTTCCACTGCAGCCGACCGCCCCTGTCACTGCGACGCTGCCGCCCATGACGCTCGTCGCCAAGGCGCACGAGTCGTCGTCCAAAGCCAATGGGACGTTGGCGCCAACCAAAGAGCTCTCGCGCCAAGCGTCGGCGACCAGCAATCCTTTGCCGAGGGGGCCACCACTGCTCGACAGCTCGGTGCGCGCCTACACGCGCAAGGTCGACATGGCGCAGAAGATCGAGATGCTCGTGGGCCCCAAATTTGGCCGTGTGTTTGGCCCGAGCAGCAACCTCCCACTGGGCGTGAAGCGGCGGCTTGAGGCGTACGCGAGATTAGACCAGCGCAAAGAGGCCTTGTACCAACTGCTTCTGAGCGAACAGCACGCCCTCGTAGCCCTTCGCCATACTCGATAACACTGATCATACGTTGCTGCGTCATGTGCAGAGCTTGGTGGTCGTGCGCGCTGCCGAGGTGCTCTGTCCAACCATACTAGTTTGAGTCTTCCGCCGCACCTTTTCCGACCACGTCAGCACGGTGTGAGAACGCCTAGCAGGGTCGACTCGACACCATTGACAAAGTCCCGGTACCAAGCTACGTTGAGCTACATGTATGTTAGCTTGGTGGATCCAGCGCCATGCATGTTAGCCACTGGCCAGTGTCGTTAGAAGAGCCTTCGGGTCAACGCCGCAAGCAGCTATGTACTCTGCAGCGCGAGCAGAACAGCGATATCTCTATATTGGCATCCATAGCAGTACTGTGATGAAGCGCGCCGCAACGACCAAGGCGAACGCGCCTGTCGAGTGCCCGATGATACGCCCATCACGTGCAGCGTTTTACAGAGGGCCCCCTACTTTTGTTGAAATGTCTCTTTGGCGTATACTATGTTTTCTATGCAAAAGTGCGCGGGAGAATTTAAATGGTGGACCCGGGACCTATTCTTTCGGGCGCCGTGCTTCACGCGGCCGCTCAGATCGCAATCCGCTAAACACGACTGGCTGGGAGTCGGCCCATGAGCTCGCCACGCGCTGTGTCCAACCGCCGCACGCGCACGGAAGACAGCCTCATGGACGTCTCGCCACCGCGCCCCAAGCGGCCCACGACGGCGATCACCAAGGAGAACGGGTCGCCCGGCAAGGTCTCGCAGCCACGCGAGATGTTTTGCACGCCGTCAATGACCGACACGACGCGCCACGTCAAGTACCCTGGCTGGCTCGAGTCGCCGCAGACGAAGCGCCAGCGGGTGCTGACGCCGACCAAGCCGACGCTGGCCGCGCGCTTCCTGCAGCAACGGAAGAAGACGGTCGTCGTGCGCCATTTCACGCTCAAACTGCACCCGACGAGCGCGTCGGCGCTCTCGCCCGCGCAGCGCGACCTCATGGCGAGCCTTGGCCTCTATGCAATCGAGCTCAACTCGACGCGCACGTCGCTGCGCATCACGCGCACGCTCTTCGCGCCGCTCGCGCCCTCGTTCGACGTCGAGGCGCTCGGGGCCGACCACTGCACGCTCACGTACGACGACCGCGTCGTCATCCTCCGCGACAACAGCCCGAAAGGCATCTTGGTCAACAAGCGGCGGATACCCATGATGCTCGAGACGCATCTGCGCACGGGCGACGTCGTCCAGCTCGTACCCGGCCTCTCGTACGTCCTCTGCAAGCGCGTGTGTGACCGCGACACGAAGCAGCGGTTCGTGCCCAAGCCCAAACGCCAGCTCCACGCCACGCAGTCGTCCATCGTACGCTCACCGCCTGCCTGCTCGTAGCCCACGAGAGTGATTAGGTTGTCTTTGCGGCGTCTCCCTTTGCCGGCATGGACCGCGTGGGCCAGTTCCACCCGATGCCAGTGCGCTCGCCCAAGTACTCTGTCATGTCTAAGGTACTGACGTAGGCACTGCCGATTGAGACGGACTTTCACTTGATCCAAAACTGCATTCACGATGCAGCGGTGCAGTCGGGTACGACCGATACTGGCCGTACTTGGTGCCACCGCTGCGTAGGCCACGTGCCGTCGATTTGCGTCTCGGCCAAGCCCGGCATGCTGGAAGAGCTGCAGTACACGGCGACGCAGCGTTGCCAGGTGCTGCATGTTCTCGGCCGGGGCAGTGCGAGCAGCGTGTACTTTGAGGACAGCCTCTCGCTCGTCCACCCTGTGAGCTACGACGCTCTGCGCCATACGCTCTCCTTTGGCAAAGTGCCACCCTTCCGCCTCGTCGTGCTCTCGTACGACCCGGCCGACGCCCTCGGTATTATTGCGCTCCTCTCATCCTCCTCATTCGCAAGCGCATGCATGACGTAGCGGCCGTCTTTGTGTCAATTGGCGTACCTCATGTGGTTGTGATGCGCGAGTGCTCGCCTGTCGTGCACCGAGCGCTCCTGAGGTCTTTTGCGATACTCTAACGCGGGGATCAACTATATATTTGGGGTATGCGTAGTGGACTCTACCGCGCCCTCGCCAAGCGCAAGAGCGTCGAACAAGCTGTCGCAGCCGCGACGCAAGCGTGTATGGCCGAGTTCGACGAAGGCGCCAACGTACGAGCATCGCTAGTCTCGTACACTATTTTCGTGTAGACAATGGTGCTGTTGCCGTCGACGACGCCCCATACCGAAGTGCTTTTTGCACTCGAGCCCAAGCGCAAGCTGCGGCACCGCGGGATTCCCCGCCCGACGCCGCTCTACGAAAACCTGCCTCCGCTCTGCGACGTACAACAGTGTCTTTTCCCTATAATGCTGATTCGGCGACTAGGGCTTCTGCAACCGCAGCCTCGATCTGTTCAAGGTTAATAACCGAGGTGGCGATGACCCCGTCACCTATTTGGTAGATCACCAAACTCCTCTCGTCCAAGCGACGACTCATTTCCATCACGGGCGAAGCCGGCATTGGTCCGCAAGTCGCTTCTTCTCGCTTCAACTGACATGACTGTGCCAGGGAAATCGGCCGTTGCCAAGGCGCTCGCTCGCCACATTTCGCTGCGGACGTCGTGGGTCGTGGGGCTAACGAGTCCCGTCCGCTACCTCGACGTCCCGACAGTCGTCGCGGCGACACCACCCCAGTCCACGTACGCCATCTTATTGTTTTGAAACAGCGACAGCACATCAATGTGTAGCGTGTGGGCGCACCTGCGGCACACGAGCCAGACGCTCGAAGGCACAGAAAGGTGCGCTTCAACCTTGAGTCTTGTCTCCAATTCTATGACTGCAGTGACTACTCGTGGCCGTCGGTGCTCGTTTTGGACGGCTGCGACGCGCTCGTAGCGACGGAGTCCGACCGCCTCATGTTTCGCGACCTCCTCTGCGACTGGCTCAAGCAGTCGCCCGAGCTGCAAGTCGTCTGCACCGCGCGCAGCATGATCACCAAGGCGTGTCTTATCCCCAAGTACCCCGAATCCAAGTACGCACGATCCCTGTCGTATCAAGTTATCAACCTCGTGGGCGTAGGCACAAGCTGCGGCGACTCGACCCGATCGAATCCGCCGAGCTCATGCTCTTTTGGATCCAGCGCCGCCAAGACCACGTGACCCGGCAGCGCCTCGAGGAGCTCGCGCTCACGGACGAGACGTTTGTCGAGAGCGAGCTGCAGCAGGACTTTGCGCTGCTCTCGCTGCAGCCGTCGTCAAGCCCCCGCCACGTGCGCGAACTGGCCACGCACCCCATCTTGCTGGCGGCCAACGGCAACCCGCAGGCCATTGTGCGCTTGGCCCTCCAGGCGACAACGCCCCCCTAAACCCCACCTGTCAATACTACAAAAGGACAAACGACTTGTTTAAATGTAGGTTAAGTTGATGGGCTGCTGGCTCTCGCGCTGGTTGCGCAAGCGCGAGACTTCGGGAAAGAGACGGTGGCTGCGCCAGAGTGTCTGCAGCAGCGCGTACCGGCTGCGGTCGAGCTTGAGCGGCCGGCCGCGCTGGAGCCCTTGATCTTCCTCGCCGTGCGCGTCCACGTATGGGCACGGAAAATACGCCACCATCGAGCCGCCGAGGAGCACGACGCGGCACTGCTGCAGCATGAGCACGAGGCCAAGGCCGCCACCGCACTCGATTGCGTGGCGCGTGCACTCGCCAATGCTCGGGCCGTGGCGCTGGTGCACGTACGAGCAGCACGACTCACCGCAGCACAGCAGCACGCCGCACACCAGACACAAGCCTGGCTCACGCGGCACGCGGTGGCAGCGCGCGCAAACCTGGTGCACGTGGTGGCTGTACAGCTCGTCGTACTGCGTCGGCAGCGCAATCAGCTGCAGAGGCGTCGCTTGGTCGCGGATGATAAACATATTGGCCACATACGCCTCGCTCATGTGATCGGCGTGCTCGCAGCGGCGCTGCGCGTCTTGGGACGCGGCCCCGAGCTCGGCTTGGCCGGCCTTGCGCGTGACGCACCACTGCCACACGGTCGCAAGCGCCTCCTTCGGGCTCTGAGCTACTTGGCGCAGCGACGGCGCGACCACCGACTCGTCCTTGCCGACGAGGCAGCAGTAGTACAGTTGCATGCGGCGCTCCAGCAACCGGTTGGACGCGCGGATATCGGCCACGGTGGCTGTAAACGACTTCAAGTCGCCGAGCGCTGAGAGCCGAAGCAGCGGTTCGAGCTCGCACATGCGTCGAAGGAGACCGAGCGCGCCCTTGACATGTTCGTCGTCGAGGGTCTTGGCCTCCCACTTGGCGAGCTTGGCCAGCGTCTTCTTGTGTGTCGCGACTTCCACCGTCTTGATCGACGCGGCCGACTGGTGCCGCGTGTTGTGCACGCGCGAGCTCGTCGCGCCGACCGCGTTGCTGTCGTGCAGCGTCGACACATCGTGGTAGAGGCTCACGGCCTTGAGCTTTTCTTGCACGAAAAACGCATCCAGAAAGCGCTGGAGGTAGTCGGCGACGCCAAAGACGGGGACCATCTCGGCGACCGTCGCCGTGTTGGCGGCCACAACGCTCGCGACCACAAACGCCTACGCAAGTGCACATGAGGACATACAGAGTCGACAAAAGCAGCGTACCGTAAACGTATCGGCCACCAACAGTCCGAGGATCGTTCCCCGAATGCACGCGTCAATGCTGCCAATCATCTAAGGCAGCGTCGTGAGATGAAGAGACGACGTGGACAAGAAGCGTACCTTGGTAAACTTGTTGTACTCGCGCTTCGACTCGCGCTCGACGGGGCAGCAGCGCTTGACCGTCTCGTAAATGACTTTCGAATCGGCCGTAAACTGCACCATCGAAAACGACCAGCGCGCAAACTTGGCGACGGCCGAGAGCGACGCGAGCTCCTTCTCGAGCGCGACGGGCCACGCGTCATTCATGATGCCAAACGGTGCGTCGGTTGCGTCCGCCTCGACGTCGAGAAGCGTGGCGGCGATCGTGTAAGCGCAGGCCGACCACAAGAACGGCGCGCCCTTCTCAAAGCTGCCGTGGGGCTCCCAGAGCACCTCTTCAAAGTACCCCTTCCACACGTCAAACACTTCGTCCGACTCTGTCATCGGGTGCGACGACGGCCGAAACCACCGGTGCCACTGGCGCGACGTGTCGTCGACAATGCGGTGCCACGGGGCGAGCGACCGTGATGGTGGCGGCGCCTCGGCCGCGACCACCGGCAGCAAGATGTTGCACAGCGTCTTGCAGAGCGGGCAGAGAAACTGCGTCATGTTGGCGTCGCCGTCCACGGCCTGCATCCCGTCAAACTCTTCGCCCCGCAGCGCCTTCTCGTGCAGCGTGCGAATGTACGTGTCCAAACAGCGCATGTGCACCGTGTGCTGGCACGTCCGCGCAAAGAGCCCACAGGGCACAAACGCAAGCCCCGACGCACTGCTGTTCGCACTCCGCGTGTGGAACCGATACTGGCGCCGGCGCGGCACCGGGATGCGCCGCAGCGCTTGCTGGATGACGCCGCCGAGCGCGTTGGCCACGGGCGCGTCGCCGTCGACGGGCAGATTCGGGCCAAGCGCCGGCGACGCATGGTCGTTGGGGAGCCCTATCGGTGGTCCTTCGCCGCCGCTCTCCATGTCTGACGTCCCCGCGCGCGGGCGACGACCTCCGTCCATGTCGTCCGACTCGCGCATGCCCTCTTCGCCTTCTTCGTCGTCTTCTTCGTCGTCTTCCATGTCCCAAAAGAGGTCGGCAAACGCCATGCGCCGGCCATGGGCCGGGTGGTCGCGCACCGCAAAGAGCGCCGGGCCGTCTTCCGGGTAGCTCACGAGCTTCATGTGCTCAATGAGCGCGCCAATGTCCTTGCGCGCCGCCCTTGCTGATGGCGTCAGCGCATTGTCCGGATGCGGCCGGAACGTACTCGAGAGCACCGTCGACTGGTGCACAAAGCCGACCATGCCCATCTCGTCGGGCTTGGAGCTTTCGTGGCACAAGATGCAGCAGTTTTCGACCTTGGCCTTCTTCTCGTGCTGCGACTCGGGCGACGCGTCCGGACAACTGCGCTTCTTGGCACCGCTCTCGTCTCCCATGGCAACGTCTCCCATCGTCGCCGCCGTGTCCGTTTCCATCTCGTCGTCGGCATCGTCCGCCGCGTCCTCGTCGTCGTCGGCCATCATTTGCGAAAACATGGCCTGTTGCCGGGCCATGGCCGCCATCGCGCGCTGCTTGGCCTGCTCCTTCCGCTCCTGCAGCGAGAGTTCGTTGCTGGCGCCTGCTTTTGCCGCTTCGCACGGCGTCGCTTGCTGCAGCGCGGCCGCGCAGAGCGGACTGTGCGCCTTGATCGCGGTCACGATCCACTCGAGGACTTCGTGCTGCTCCTTGTCGAGCGCATCGGCGTTTTGCTGGCACTTGAGAAAGGTTGGGACGAGCGGCAGCAGCGAGCGCCAAAAGCCGTCGTCCGCCGAGTCGCGCATCGCCATCTGCACCCCAAACACGAGCACGTCGAGCGTCATGGAAACCACCGTCTCCGACACGTTGGTCGCGTCCATCGTCTCGAGCAGCTGCTGCAAGAGCTTCATCGTACTCGGTGTCGTGAGGATATGCGGGACCGAGGCAAACACGGGCAAGGGCGCCGGTGGCAGCACCAGCGGCGGCGCATTCGGCGGCTGCGACGTGCGCCACGACGCACACCGGTCGCGCGCTTGCTCGTGCAGCTCGCGGTTCAAGTGCACGTGGTACGGGTTGCACTGCGCCATAAACTCGGGCAAAAGCTCATACTTGCCGGGCTCCATGCCATTCGGCGGTACAAACGTCGCCAGTTTGCTCAAGACGGGCTCGAGGCGGGCAGCCGAAATGGTCTCTTGCCCGCCGAGTGGCAGCGCCATGTTTTCGCTCAATTCGGAAAACGACGAAAACTTGACCATCAAGTGGTGGAGCAGCTCGTTCGACAAGAAGGCTTCTTCAAACGCCGCGCCCGTCGACGACGGCACGTTGGTTGCCAGCACAATCAGCAGCCGAAGGAGCTCCTCGACCATGTGCATGTTTTGGTCGTCGTCGTACGCGAGCGTGGCGCTTAGCCCTGTTGTCTCGGCCAAGTGGAAAAACGACGCCAAATGGAAGCGGTCCAAGAGCAATTGCAGCATCGGCTCGGGCCCGAGGAGCGCAATGCCCACTTGGAGCAGAAAGAGGTCCGAGTCGCGGTAGTTGACGCAGTACGGCAGCGCAGAGTAGTTGAAGAGCTGTGTAATCATGTTTTCGTCGCCATTCCGGCGCCAGAGGTTGCTCTGAATCTGGCTCGACATGACGAGACACTTGAGGGGCGCGTCTAAGAGCAAGAGCACGTCGTCCGGCGAGAGCGCGTCGAGGCCGACGAGCGCCGTCCAATCCGACACGTCAAAGCGGTCAGCCTTCTGCACGTACAGCACGTGCTTGAGAAAGGCCGCGACAAAGCGATGGAGCGGAATGTGGAGCGAGGCGGCGTCGCGCCACACGCCGTTGGCGTCTTCGAGGCGCAGATTATAGTCCGTGCCGGGTGTGCCGCCGGGCAGCAGCTTGGCGTGGACGACCGTCTGCTCGAGCGTCACGCGCTTGATCTCGGCGACCGACGCCGCCATGAGCTCGGCCAGCGACGTGCCGACCGACGCGACCGCCGTCGCGGTCAAACCTTGCAGAATGAGCGGGAAAAGCGCGTGCATCTTGATGCCGAGGTTGAACGTCGAGAACCAGCTGTCCGACTCGTACTCGACATGGGGCTCATGGCGGCCCCGTCGGATCTGTGCGTCCGAGTTCTACGCACCAACGACGAGATCTAGCACACCGACAACACCCTGCGTATCGTACCTGCAAGAGGCCGAGGCAGTGCAGCCACTGCTGAAAGTGGCCCGAGTGGCAAATGAGATCGGCAGCGGTTCCATTGCCAAGCGCAAATTCGAGGTTGTCGGCCGCGTGCTATCGCTCCATAGTGTTTCTCGTTTGTCAAACGACAAGCTCGTACCTTGTACTTCGAGTGGGAAATCGCGGGGTTGTCGGGCTGAAAGAGCGTGCCCACGACGCCACTTGCGAGCAACACGCGCTTGGTCGACGTTTCGAGCACGGACGCGAGCGCCGAGAGCAAGATGGCCACGATCGAGTTGGCGCCGCCCATGTACGGCACGAGCAGCGACGGTACCGTGAGCAACTGTGTCGCAAAGTCAAAAATGCTGTCGCTCGACGCGCCGAGGCCCTTGAGGTACGAGCTCGTATTGTGCAAATACGACGATACAAACGCGTCCATCATCGTGTGCTTGAGGTGCTGGTTCAAAATGAGCTCGTGGAAGAGTCGGTTGAGCTTCTGCGACGCAGGCTTGTTGAGGAGCGCATAGTTGCGCACGAGCGATGTCAGCGTCGACGTGAGTGCCCGCGGTGGCGGCATCGGGGCCGTGTGTGGCGCCATCTCGGCCAAGTACGTCGCCACGAGCGACTGGTCGTCGAACGGCGGGATCCACGTCGAGAGCGGCGTCTGCATCGGAAACATGGTGCGGAAGAACGCATGCGCCTCGGCGTTGACCGGGTGCGTTCGCAGAAAGCTCTCGAGCGTCTCGTCGAGCGAGAGCGTCGAGACGAGCTGGTCGGGCGAGATGGCGTGACGCGGCGCCGCAATCGCTTGGCTCACGAGCTGCGCGAGGTCGTCCGAGACCTCGCAGAGCTGTCGCAGCCACTCGAGAATGTCGTCGAGGTGCCGCATGTGGTTCGAGTGCCGGACGGGCGCGACGCTGAGCGTGTAGCCCTCCATCGCGTGCACGAGGTGCGTCGCGTACCGGAGCGAGTTGGTCGTCGACACGATCGAGCAGCCTTCGGCGTCCGAGTGGTTTGCAATGCCAATCGCTTTCGACTTGGAGACGTTAAAGTGCGTGCGAATAGCCTTGACCACGTCCTGGAAAGGGTGCACGTCGTCGCTGTGCAGCCGCACGTCGTACTCGGTCGCGGGCGGCGCCGCGTCCCGCTCGGCGCGCGTCTTTGTGTTGCTGGCTTCGCGCGCGTCGTCCGAGTCCTTCCACGACGCCCGGTCATGAGGAGGGATTGTCGCGCAGAGCTCGCGCATGACGGCGGTGATCTCGACCGAGTCTTCGGCCATGACCAAGACGTCGTGGACGTACTGGACGACCGTGTTGATGAGAGGCGATGCCACCTCTTGCATGCCCTTTGGGAGCACGAGGGGTTTCGATTTGGACACGTCGCTGTCGCGGCCCGGGTGCTTGTGGCAAAAACCGTCCTTCGCCCATGCCTCCGTGTCGCCGCAGTCGCAGCATCCGCCGGCCGATGTGCGCTGGAACGAGACGTCGTGGCCGTCGTGGTTGCTGTCGGCAAAGCACGCTTGGCACATGACGCATGTCGAGTCGTGCTGGCAGTCGCGGCAGCTGTACGCCATCTCGTCGGCTTTGAAAATGTACCCGCAGACCTTGCGCTGCTTCTTCGCGGCGAGGCGCGCGAGGATCGGGTTCATGGCCGGCACCTGCTTGATGGTCTTGGGGCGCACAAGGTTTCCCTTACGCAGTGCGCTGAGCGGAATGACCTGTGGTGTCGGCGCCTGCACCTTCTTGAGCTTCCCGCCGGCGTCGACCATGCACGTCAAGAGGATGTCGAGGCCCTTCCGAATGTCTTGGCCGTCGACCTCCCCATTGTCGACCGCGGAGAGGAAGGCCAGCTGCGCGAACTCGGCGACCTCGGTCATCTTGCGCTGCGACTCCGCCATGGCCCCGGCAGGTGGAGAACCAGGAATGGGACCCAGCTTTTGGTTGGTAGATACTTTATAAATTCGCAATAACTCTGATATTCGATATACTGTCCAAATGGATGTCTCGTTCAAGGTAGATCCAAGTTAAGAATAAATTATTCAAGCTAATTCCATTTCCCAATAACCTTTATAAATCGATAGTTAGTATAATTGGATATAGATATTAATATTGGCCTACGCACCCAAAATGAACCTGTCAAACAAGATCACAACGGGACTGTTTTATCGACTACGTCGGTTTCCATCAACTAACTAAACCCACACGAGACCGGTCGCACTGCTCGTCCGGTCGCGCTTGGACGAGAACGAGCTAAAGCGCAGGCGCGGGAAGAGGCTCGTCGCCGAGTCGACCGAGTCGCGGCTGACCGAGCTCCGGCGGGGCGTCTCGGGCGGCGTCGTCTCGGCCGCGAGCGCGTCGATGGACGCGCGGGACTCGATCGCGTGGGACCGCTCGTAGCGCGCTTCGTCGGTCGGAAACGCGAGGTCGACATGGAGAAGCGCCTGTCGTATCCATTGTCATCGTCTCCTCTACGAAGCCGCCAAGTACCTCCATCTTGTAGCTCGAGGCCATGGGATACGGCGTCGACTGGTAGCTCAAGAGGTCTTGGGCCAGCGATCCGAGCAGGCGTAGCCGGTTGAAGTTGACGATCATCTCTTCCTCGTACTTGGGTAGCTCGTGAAGCCCGACGACGTTCTACGATCTCTTCGCACCCGCAGTTCGCTCCATCGAGTCTACCTGGAGATAGAGGCCAATGTAGGGCATGCAGGGCGGCTTGATCGTCTTCATGACGCGGTTCATGTCTCTACCTCGCTCCATCAGCTCGGGAGCATTTCGATCATCTTTACCGCGACCCGTTCTGGGTATACACTTGGTACTTGGCGAGCGTCTCGGCGGTATCGGTACTCAACTAGAGTCGGATCTTAGTCGATCACATAGTCGATTGCGTACGTAGGTCATGGTCCGCTTGAGGCGGAAGACGGCGGTCGACTGCAGCGCGTACAAGATCGCAATGAACGAGTCAAAGTTCTGGAACGTCTCAAAGCACTGCACCGCGACCTAGTGCAATAGTCTCACATGGCAATCAAGCACTAAACAGCGCGACCCGGTACCTCGACAAAGAAGGCGACGACGTCGGCGCGCGCTGGCGGCGACTCTTCCAGCAGCACGTAGTTGATCACGAGCGCCGAGAGCTACGCGCCTTTTGCTCGAGCACCGGGAAGAGGGAGAGGACGTACGTGCTGGAACCAGTGCCGGGCCGCCAAGAACCCCGTGTGACTGCACTTGGGCTGCAGTAGCTGCCGGATCGGGATCTGCGCAAAGACCGCGTGCGACACGAGCGTGCACTGCCGCGCCAAGTCGAGCGCACTTGTCGACATCCTACATGCATTTTCCATGAGCATCGCTCTCGCTTCTTCCAGCGCTACGGGTTGAGGCGGCCGACGCGGGCGCGGGCGCCATCGTAGCTCGGCTTGACGCTGTACATGCCCGTCATGTGGTCGTACAGATCGGCGTACAGCGGCGACGGCGCGCCCGCGCGGTAGTAGCGCTCGAGGCCGTGCACGTAGGTGGCCAGCTGCGCCGACGTTCCGACGACGCCAAGGCAGTCGGTAAACTCGGGCGTCGACGCAAGCCCGGGATGCAAGTACGCAGTGACGGCAAGGAAGAAGAGCGCGCCGCAGTTGGCTACCCATGAATGAGCCTCGTGCGATACCTCCACATCGAAAATGCAATTGTCGTACGGTCGCGCTGGAAGTTGGCGACGCTCCACGCCTTCTTGAGGCCCTTTTGGCTCTGGGCGGTCTTGGCCTTGAGAAGCACGAGCAGCGACGCCATGTCCATGTACGTTGCGCTGTTGAGGACGAACGCAAACATGTCCTGGAGGCGCATCGACTTGTCCGCAATCAAGTACGTGAGCAGATCCTCGAGCCGGCCGCTCTGGAGCTGGAGCTTCCCGTCGGCCAAGGTGTTGAGCGTCACGCCGAGGTGCCGCATGTGTGCGGTCGGCGGCGCGTACTGTACGCCGTGGTCCTTTGGGTGGCGTCGGTACTCGCGCGGGGCGTCCCCAAAGAGGTCGAGAGCGTGGCCGTTGGCGCCGCGCCCAAGCAGGAACTCCATCACGTCCTTGAGACCGACCTCGAGCTGGCTGGCGTAATGCACGAGGCGTCGGCCCCACATGTCGGGTATCTCGAGCACCGACGGCGTCGCCAGCAGCACGAGGCAGTCCAAGAGCACTTGCGACGAGGCGGGGGGTGCTTGTAGTAAGACCGCGGCCGGCGTCATTCCGAGCCGGTTCTGCGTCGAGACGAGCGCACCGCCCGCGAGGAGAAACTGGAGAAGCTTCAAGTGGCCGGCACGCGCTGCGATATGCAGCGGTGTCTCCCGCTGCAGGTTCGCGTGGCGCACGTTGGCGCCGCGCAAGAGGCAGACGTCCACGAGGCTAAGATCGGCGGCCGCCACCGCCTCGCAGAGCGCCGTCGTGCCGTTGGACCACGCCACGGCGTTGAGATCGGCGCCAAGCCCGAGAAGCGTCACGACGCCTTCGGCGTTGCCGCGACCGCACTGCAGCATGAGCGGCGTGTACCCGCGCGGGTCCCGGCAGTCGAGGATGCGCTGTCCGCCGTGTCCAAAGAGTGTTGGCGCGATTTCGGGGATGTGCGACTGGAGGACGTGGAGCGGACTTTGCCCCGACGCGTTGCACACGGTGGGGTTGACTCGGTGCTCTTCGAGGAGCTCGACCACCATGCGTGCTTGGCCGGCGCTAACCGCCGCATGCAGCGGTGTGTCCTGCGACGCCGGGAGCCACGGCAAGCTCGCGAGCAAGAGACTTCGGTCCCACTTGCACACGCGGTGCAGCGCTGCGTCCCCGTGCTCGTCCACAAGTGCTTGGAGACCGGCAATATCGCCACGGGACGCGCAGAGGCAAAAGAGAAACGCGTCAAAGTCCGGAGTTGCCGTCAGCTTGTCATAGTCGGCGTCCGAGACGAACGCCAAGCGCTTGGGCAGAGGCGCGGCGCGGAGGAAGTCGATAATGTCAAAGAGCGTCCACGAGAGCACGAGCGTCTCGTTGATACCGACAAGGACGAGGTCCGACGTGAGCGCAGGACACAAGCTGGCTTGCGAGTGCTTCTTGATGCTTGCGACGCGCGCGCCTCGGTCGCTCACGACAGCGCTGAGCTGGATGCCAATCTCGGGGGTCGAGAACGGCAGTGTGAGCGCCGGGATCGACGTGGCGCCGACCGACCCATCGTAGCGCTGAAGCCACGCGAGCGCGTCGACAAAGTGTCCAAAGTACGTCGAGTCATTCGGGTGCCCGCAACGAGGCAGGTACAACTGGGTCCACTCCAGTAGTTGTGCCAGCACCGCCAGGTCTTCGATCGCCGCGTGCACGAGAACGTATGAGAGTACGCATCGCCGACACTCGGGCGTCGCGTCCGGTGTCGCCCGCAGCGTTTCATCGATCCACGCAATCGTCTCCAAGAGCACCCAGAGCTTATGGGACGGCAGCGAGACCGTGTCGATGGTGCTGAGGCTGTTGATCGCAAACGACCAGTCGTCCGTCGCATCGGTCGGGTTCAAGTGGTGTGGTGGCAAATTCCGGAGCTTCTGGAGATGCATGGGCGACGGGGCATGGGCGTGTCGAAGGACGCCGCTGTAGAAGAGCTCGATGAGCGGCAAAAAGACCTTGTCTTCAACGTAGTAGCGCACCGCGAGCCGCGTGTTGTCGTCGTTGCAAAAGAAGATGGACTGCATGATCTGGTTCTCGAGCTCCGAGATGAAGCGGAGGAGCGACGTGGGCGTCATAGGGTTGTTGCCCGCGACCGTGGTTGTGGCGCGGAGGCGGAAGAGCTCGATTTGACGGTCGATCGTGCTTGCATATGGCTTGCTCGCGAGCTGCGCAGCGACCGACGCCTCGTTTGGCACAAGCGATGTTAGGCTCACGGGCCCTTCCGTGTCGGACGGGCTCAGTGTTCGCACGCGGCGGAGTGCGTGGACCCACTCGTCGGCCTCGACTTTGGTTGTGCAACTGCAGAAAAGCACGTAGTAGCCCTTGACGACTTGGAAACTGTACTTGCGCTTCGTCTGGTACGTGTCGGCGAACTGCACCTTGACGATCCCGTCGTCGAGGCGCAAGCAGCCCTTGACCTTCTTGAGCTTCGGGTTGCGGTAGTAGACGAGCCGTGCGTCCCGATAGAGCACAAACCATCGCGTCTTCCATGTATGCCAGTTGTGACCGCGCTTGACGAGCCAGCCTTCTTTGAGCACGGTGCTCGCGCTCGGTGACACGACGAGGTCGAGCGTGCGGAGGCCTACGTCGATAGCGCCGTACGCCTTGGCGTCGTCGTCGCTGTCGCTGTCGTGGGTCTGGATGAGCAGGAGCGGGTTCGGCGATCGGAGGCTCGAGGCCTCGCTCGGCCTCTTGCTGCTGACGCTATCGTCCTCGTCCTCAAAGCTCCAGAGGTCGCGGAGGAGGCCGCGCCCCGTGCTTCCGACGCAGGCCGACATCTTGGGTTCTGCGCTTGCGCGTCAAAATTTTGGCCACGATGAATCGTATATCATTGGCAGAAATGCTTCTTTTATAAGCCAATCAGACGATTGCACGACCAAGTAACCACCTCGGAGAAAGTTCAAGTTGGCACGATCGCAGCTCATCGTCCCACGAGACAACGCGAGCGCAGGCGGTTATTTGTCATGGCGACGACGACGTCCGCGCCTTATGTATCTTGTACTAGCAGCAAGGACAAGGATCGGTCCTCGGTCCAGCAGAGCTACTATGTGGCGGACCGATGGACCGAAGTCGATTGAACATTCAAGGCAGATGGCGCGAAAATGCGTTGTGAGAAGATACACCACATGCAACGGCATCGTGTGGTCACGTCTCTGTTCTGTGTCGCACGCGTCACCCCAGTACCGCCAAGCACTGAATTGTTTGCGAATGTGGACAGAAGAAGATGGATTGACATGCAGACTAGACTTGGCTTGTCTCGGGCTTGCCCGCGCCATTGTTGTACTCGTCGGGGTAAATTTTGAGCCACGCCGCATGGAGCTTGGCGTAGTGGTCGGGCTGCGTCGCCTGCCACCCCGCAGGGTCTTCGGCCCAGAGAACAAAGATCGTCGAGACGGCGCTCGCCATGAGCGACATAAAGAGGTTGTTGATGACGTAGCCGATGAGGAACCCGAGGACACCGATCATGGCTTCTGGCTTCTTGAGGCCCGAAAAGAGCTGCGGGTCCTCCTTCAAGTCGGCCGAGGCGACTTGGATCGTGAGGAAGCAAGCAAGTGTGCCGACGACGAGGTTGCCGAGGAAGAATACTTTTTGCGTCAAGTCGTCATTGGCAATCGCAGACCAACCTTTCGACGCAAACATCTTGGACACCTACGACCGCGCCATGTGAGATGCTTCCATAAACGACCAAAGGCATACCTTGTGGCCGGCCTTGAGGAAGCTGTAGCCGTGGATCCCAACGTAGGCATACGCAAACCGGTTGAAGGTCTCCATCCACGACTTGATGACGCCAATGAGGCACGCGAGACAGCCCACGATGCACGCAGCGACGCAGTTGCCGGATTGCTGCGCTGCGTACGAGATGCCAGCGAGAACGGTTTGAATCGTCTCCAAAATCGCAACGATGAGCGACCCAAAGCAAATGCTGCCGAGGTTCACGGTGAGCGCGCGGCCCCAGGCGACCACCGTGATCATCGGCACGGCCGCGTTGACCTTCCAGCTCGCGACCGTGCCCGAGACGGTGACCGCCAAAATGTTCTTGATGACCATCGCACCCCAGAAAAAGACGAGGAGGATTGGGATGAGCAAGCCCAGGGCCTGGCCATACTGAACCTTGACGTGGCACGTGGCAAGCGTAGCGTTGTGGGCGCACCCGTCACTCAATGTGATGGCGCCTTGGTGATGCAGCAGCCCAAACGCACCAACAATGCACGTGATTGCCCACGCCAACTGAACGCCGACCATGATGAGCGCGACGACGAGCGTGAATGGAAGTCGAAAGATGGCCTTCCCCGCAATGTGCAAGTGCACAGCCGCAAACTTGACCCGGTGCTACAACCACAACAATAGTTAAGGTGGCACTCCTCATGCATCCCGTACCCGAATGCAGACTGCGTAAAGTAAGATCAAAAGCGCGATAGTGCCAAACACAGCAGCGGGCCACCAGTAGTGAGCGTCACCGCGTTCATGGAGACGCTGTGTCATGTAGACAGCGGCAAAGACGTTGGCGAGAATCATGAAGGCAATCGAGGCCCAAATGATGCACTCCCCCACAAACATCATGGTGAGGATCCAGAGCAGCGAGATGCCGATCGCGATCGCACCCGAGATTCCGCCGTAGTTCAAGATGACCATGAAGCCCGTCGTCTTCTTGGCATCTTGGATCTGCGTCTTGGAAATGTACGTCGCGCCAAAACTCGCTGCAAAGTAGATGGTGACGCCGACGACGATGAGGAAGAGGATGGCAAAAATGATATCCTTGCACGAACGCGAGTACTCGGGTGGCGACGGTTCGTTGATCGCGCCGCTCGTTTTGCTTTTGCTCGTCGCGTCGGCCATCGCTGCTTGATGTTGGGAGCAAGTTGACGAATGCAACTCTTCGATCCTATCGCTAGAAACATCAACACACTGCGCCTTTGGATTTACATGTATGAAGGTTTGTATGGATGGCATCGAACATTGGCTTTTCTTCGATTCGAACCTTGTCGCTACGGTGAAAGCCATGATAGCAATCTTCCAGCACCATGTCATGCGTCGCACATACGAGTTACGATGACGTGTATTAATGCGAGACACTTAAATTCGGCCGAGCATGGCTTGCATAGCGTGCAGATCGCTGGTGTTGAACTTGGTGCTGATCTCTTGCAGCTTGTTGTGCATTTGGCGACCCCGCGTACTGCGGCACGCGTCCGACTTCTTTTGCGCGGGGCGCAGTTGATCTTGCCACTTGATACGAAGCGTCTCGAGGACCGTGTGCTTGAGGTCGAAGCATCCTTGCAGTAGCTCGTCTTCTGCCGTGTCGGACGTGTCCAAGTGGCTGCTCACAGCATCTTGAAGGCCGGCAAGCTGGTCCATCGTGTCGCGATGCCCCTTGAGGGTCACACCAAGGCTCGATTCAATCGCGTCGGTGCTCATGCGAGACTGCAAGTGTTGGACGTGCTTGGACGCTTGCGTTTTCAGCGTCGCGAAGCCGTGGCGACACAGCGCCTCGATCTTGCTCTCACGAAACGCATCTTGCTCGGCGAGCACCGCATCTCCGAGAAGCTTGAGCTGCGAGAGCAAATGACGCTGCGTCTCTTGAGGATCGAGCTTCGAGCGAGGCGGCTCCATGGTCTTGGCGCTTCCGTGCACTTCGTGCTTCCCACAAATAGGCTTCCGCGTCAATGGGACGTTCGGTTTGGGGGATACTAGACCAGCACGTAAGGAACAAGTCTGTTGAAGCGTATCGCAGGTACCCGCAATGACGTGCATGGTCTCCTTGCTTGGGTAGTGACAGCCATCGGGCTCGGGATCGAGCGACATTGAGCTGCTCGTGTCTGACGTTTGCGAGCTCGTCGGAGACTCGGGTGGCACCCAGGCGATGCAGCGTTCTTCAGCATCTTGCGGCTCATCTTCTCCGGAATTGCATTTGTTGCTCGCGCGAAAGTCGTTGGAAAACTGTTGCATGCTCTCAATCAACGTGGTGAGGCTGCTTTTGCCAGTCGTTTCCGAGGCGAGTGAGCGAGTGTTCTTGGCAGAAGCCTACAATTGGCAAGATGCGGCGTAAGGATTGTCAAATATGATCGCAAGATTATTGCCGTCGATCGATGCCCCGTGATAATTCCCTGCTCGCTAGAGTTTCTGTCATATGCTTGACGTTTGTCGTGGCCGTCCAAAGAGACCCCATATTCATGGTTTGGGTGTTGCTCGACGTGCGGCAGCGAGGATTGCTGTGCCTGCTCGTCGCCTTGCGGGTCGTAGCCGTAACGTGATTCCTTGTGGTGGTGAAAACGTCGCTCGGTCGCCCTCTGCCGTCCCAGTCGTGTTGACGATCGAGTGGGTGGGGCTTTGTCAACGGGCTCCGACAATACCTCCTCCTTGATCTGAACGTTGCGGCGTGTTGAGGGTGTAGGCTTCATGGTCTCGATCTTGTTGCTTGCCGACGTCACTTTCTTTTGCGCGGGCGCTTGCTGCTGGGTCTCGGGCTCGACCTTCATGCGCTTGTGGGGCGGGCTTGCCGCCGCCTTTCGTGCTACGACTCGGGTTGCAACCTCGACCATGCCCACCGAGGCACTTGTAAGCTTCTTCACAGAAGGCGCTCGGCGATCGGGGTGGCGCATTGCAGTCAATCCGATGCGATGGTCTGTGGTGGGCTCGACTTGGTCTATCGAGCGCTTGCCTTGCCCCTTCATCGGAGCCATCGGTAACCGCTTCGTCGTCAGCTCGTCGCTGCCTCCGGACGCAATGTACTCAGCCTTGATTTCTCGCGAGCTTTCGGCATTCTGTGATAAAGGTATTGAGTCCAGATCGCGTTGGCGAATACAAGTGTATACCTTCGTTGCCTTCATCACTTTGGACTTGTTCGCGTCCTCCTTGCGGCTTGGCTCGGCGTCTTTCGTCTTCATCTCGTTCTCCTGGGCAGAAGCAAGCGCGTTGTAAAATGCTGATGGGTTCTTCTTCGCCTGGACTTGCCGTCCTTCCTTCAACTGGCCAGGAACGGTGTGACGAGTCGATTTTGGGGGGCCAAATCGCTCACAGAGAGCCTTCTCGAGGTCAGCAAGCGCCTATGACTGAAATGAGCCCATGCGTCGTTCACAGGCCGTGACCTGAGCATTGGCCTCGAAAACGACAGAAACCCCTTTCACGAGACCCCACTCTGCATCGTTCACGTTCGGGATCACGTCAGCGAGCGACAGTGTTGGCTTGACGATCATGGTGATGCCGGACCCAGTGTGCACATGGTAGCCATCAATGTCGTTTGCGTGGAGCTTGAGCAACCCTTGGGCGTCTTCGGCCTTGACCGGAACTTGGAGCTCGACTTCGCAAGTCAAGCCGCCAATGTCGATCCAAGGCGCACTGCTCGCAGTAATCTGTTGTCAGCTGTAAGAACAAAAATTTTGGGTAGGGGCTCGATACCCGTGTTTTCCCGCTGCCCTCAAGCACAATGCTTTGCAAAGCAAATGTCGTCACGACGCCAACCTCGCGGTTGAACTGATTCAAGATGTCGCGAGTGCCTTGTCGAAATTGCTACCATAAAAAGCGTCAGGACGAACTTGCCTTCGTACTCATACTTTGAACCTTTGCAGTAACCTCCGAGATCCACTTGGAGAGAGTTGAAGGAAGCTTTTGCAGTAGGCTCGCCACGAGATCTTGCTCCTTCTTCCCGCTTCCCTTGCGAAGCAAGCGCAAGACGCGGTACACAAACTCGACGAGCAGAGCTTGCAAGTGGAACGACTTCATCTTCGGGATGTTGTACGCGATGTGCAGCATCTTTGGGATGCATGTGGTGCTGGCTTGCATGTCGCTCAACGTCCCTTGCGCATTACTGGAGAAGATGGCCGTGACGACGCTCATCGCTTCCGTGGCCAAGGGGTCGCAGTCCGAGAGCCGACGTTCGATGACCGCCAGCACTTCTTCCACTAACGCCTTTCGAAATTGCGACGGGAAGAGGTCCCACTCGGCCTAGCATCAAATGTTCGCATCAAGCCAAAATGCTGGTTGCTGGCTGACCAAGTCGGCAAGGTTGGTCAAAAAGACCTCGAGCCACCGTCCTTGGTTCACTACATGAGATGCAGATTGATGTTTTTGGTCGCGACTTGCAGAATATACCGTTTTTCAAGGCCTTCAAAACGTCGACGAGTGCCGCTGCAAAGCCAGCCTCGTGCAGTCGCCGCATGCACGTTTCCGAGTCGACAAACGAGAACTTCATGACCCTACCCGTGTGCTAAGTAACCTGCTGCGAGCACATGCGCGCGTACTTGATGAGGTTGATCATCGTCGCATACTTGCGCTTCTTCGTCTCTTGCTGGAGCAGCTGGACTAGCTCATGCGCCGATTCCTCGGCGCCCTGGAGCGTCTTCTTCTTCGCCTTGGCCATCTGCTCGAGGAGGAGCGTGCGCTTCCCGACCGCGAGACCCACGAGGTGGTTGATCGATTGCATCGGCCGGTCGTCCCCTTTGTTGCACCGCGCGTCCAATCTCAAAATGAAGCGGGATGATTTTGCGCGCGAGATCTTTCAAAATCAACTTGGTTTCAGTATGCAAAATTTACCCTACCCCGCTTTGAAAAGGACGGTATGTGATTGGCCATAATCCGATTATTTCAATCTTCCGGATGGCAGGCCCACGGATTGGACAGGGTCGGAGATTATCCGGATCCATCCATTCCACAGCTTTCGTTAGGATGAACACCAGCGCGGACGAGCCCGCGCCAGAGCGCGTGTACCTCAAGCCCAACTGCGAGTTCCGCTTCGAGGTCCAGGGCGCCGACGACGTCCTCATCCGCCTCAAGTCGGGGACCGCCGAGCTCTTTGGCGCCGAGCTGGCCAAGGATAAGGACTACCGCTTCCGCAAGTGCCAATTGGCCATCTTCACGTGGCATGGCTGCGAGCTCCTCGTCACGGGCAAGTGCTCCGTGTCGTACACCTCGGACGAGACGCCAATGGCCTCGATCATCAACATTCATACGCAGCTTGACCGCATGCGCTGCGACGCTTGGAACGTCAAGGGCTGCGGGCCGCGCGTGCTCATCACGGGCCCGACCGACTCGGGCAAGTCGACCGTCACGCGCATCCTCCTCAACTACGCGCTGCGCATGGGCCGCAAGCCGACGTTTGTCGACTTGGACGTGGCGCATGGTCTGCTGAGTGTCCCCGGAACGATTGCGGCGACGCCGCTCGAGACCAACTGCATGAGCGTGGAAGACGACTTTGTCTTGACGGCGCCATTGGCATACTACTTTGGTCACACGACGCTCAAGGACAACTCGGAACTGTACAAGTTTCAAGCGTCGGAGCTGGCCAAGCGCGTGGACCAGCGCCTCGCCAACGACGCCGAAGGTAGCATGTTGCAGCAGGACTTGATTGACACAAATGTGTAGTCAACGCCGCGGGCATGATTGTCAACACGTCGGGCTCGATCGACAATGAAGGCTACCAAGCGCTTGTACACTGCATCCAGGCGTTCCGTATCGACCTCGTCATCGTCCTGGGTCAGGATCGGTTGTTTAGCGAGCTGAGCTCGGCCGTGACGCCATCTACTTCGGTCATCAAGCTGCCACGCTCGGATGGCGTCGTCCAGCGGTACCTTGTTTATCGCATTCATCGTCCTAGCACTTACGAAATGCGTGCGTAGCTCCAACCAGCTTCGGCACCAGCTTCGCATGGACGGCTGCCACGCCTACTTTTACGGCAAGAAGATCCCAAACGCAGCGCCAATGCAGTCGCTCTACGAGTACTCGCCCCACGTCGTCGAGCTGTCGTTTGAAGACATCAACATCTACCGCGTGCACGGTACGCGGCCATATCAAAATGTACATGCTTCCAACACTGGGCTTAGATTTGACCGTCTCGGACGTCATGCTGCCCGTCGGTCAAGTCGACGACTTGCAGCGGCTGCGTGTGCTTCCGGTCGAAAAGACTGTCGACTTGGCGCACTGCATTGCAGCAGTCATCCACAAGTCGAGCATCAAGGACGACGACATTGGCATGGACCCGCAGTCGCTCCTCGCCGCCAGCGCCGCTGGCTTTGTCCAAATGTACTCATGCGTCCTCTTTCCATCGTCGTGGTGTCTCATATACCGTTGTGTAGCAAAGCGGTGAACGTCCAAACGAGCAAAATCACGCTGCTCGTGCCCTGCCACGGCCCGCTTCCGTCCAAGAACCTTGTCGTTGGCTCGCTAAAGTTTATGGAGTAATTTGTCTCCTAATGACCTGATCCTTTCCATTCCATTGATCGCGTCGTGCACCCCACCACGTTGTTGAACCTGGTTCTCGAGATACGAAGCGAATCTACGAATTAAAAATAAAATAAAATAAACAGCAAATAAAAAGGCAGCACTGCGCGATTGACGATGCCAACGGGGCTGCCCAACTACGACCTGGCGACGGGCATCTGCGTCTGCCTCGTAGGCACGACGCTCTCCAACTTTGTACGTCCTACCATTGTCATCGCGTCGTCGACACGCGCCTCCTCTCCAGGGGCTCAACATCCAAAAGTACTCGTTCACGCTCCAGGCGCACCTCGCCGAGGCCGACCGCCGCCCGTACACAGCGCTCTGGCAGTGGTGGGTCGGCATTAGCTGCGTCATCGTTGGCTCGATCGGCGACTTTGCAGCGCTCTCGTTCGCCGCGCAGGTCTCGTCGCCCACTAAGAGTACTGCGCATCACCACGCGGTAGAGCGTCATCATGCCCGTCGGCAGCTTCACGCTCGTCGCCAACATCTTTTTTGCGCACTTTTGGCTCAAGGAAGCACTGACACGGAACGATCTGTATGGCACGATCTTTATCTGCATCGGCGCCATCATCGTCTGCGTCTTTGGCGCGCACGAGAGCACGTCGTATACGCTCGACGAGCTCATTGCGCTCTACAAGCGCTGGGACATGCTCTTCTACGCCATCTTTATCGTGCTCATGATCGCCTTCTTGTATGCGCCTTGCGATAGCGCAGGTTCTCACATGCGTTGGTAGCACGCTCCTCAAGACGAACTCCGAGGCCGCGCTGCACACGCACGGCGCGTCGTCCGAGGCGTACGCGGTCTACCGCAAGTGGCACCCGCTCGCGTACGCCGCCTTGTCCGGTTCCTTCTCCTACATCTCTAGACATCAACGACATTCTCGTCGGCGTAGGCGTCGTCGGCGCGCAGTCGGTCATGTTTGCCAAGTCGACGGGCGAGCTCATCAAGCAAACGTTTGCGGGCGAGAACCAGTTCAACCACGTGCTGTCGTTTGTGATCCTCGCCGCGCTGGCCGTGACGATCACGACGCAGGTCGATTGCTTTGGCTCCGTACAGCAGCCCAATGCAATCATCTTGCTTCGTAGACGCATGTGCTCGCGATGGGGCTCAAGCACTTTGACTCGCTCTACATCGTGCCCGTCTTTACGGTTCGAGCATGAGAGGAGACTTCGAGGCGACTGACGTACGCGTAGTGCTTCTTCATCACGTTTTCCGTGCTGGGCGGCGCCGTGTACTTTGAAGAGTTCAAAAGCTACTCGCTCGCCCAAGGCATTTGCTTTCCCATTGGCGTCCTCGTGACCATCTACGGCATTACGATCCTCGCCAAGCGCGACATGCGCTCCCCGTCCGCAAAAGGATATGCGCTCATCGCGCCGTGAGCGTGCCACGTCATTGCTGGTCAACGAAGGCACTGGAGATCGTATCTGACAAGATATACATTGACACGTATTCCAATTACTGCTTGATGATGACCGTCTTGTTTTCGACATACGGGCGAAGACCGGCCTCGCCGAGCTCGCGGCCGAGACCCGAGTTCTTGAAGCCGCCAAACGGCGCCGCGGCGTCAAAGACGTCGTAGCAGTTGACGTACACGGTGCCGGCGCGGAGACCGTTGGTGAGCTTCATGACGTTGTTGATGTCCTTGGTGACGACGCCGGCGCCGAGGCCGTACTCGGACGCATTCGCGCGTGCAATCACATCGTCGACGTCCTTGAACTTGAGGATGCTCATGACCGGACCAAAGATCTCTTCCTTGGCGATCGTCATGTGGTCCTCGACGTCGGCAAAGACTGTCGGCTCGATGAACCAGCCCTTCTTGCCATGGCGCTTGCCGCCCGTGAGGAGCCGCGCGCCCTCGCGCTTCCCCGTCTCAATGTAGGCGAGGATCTTGCGGAACTGCTCTTCGTTGACCTGCGGTCTACGCATCGAAATGAAAAATAAGAAATGATAGCAAATGCGATCCTACCCTTGGGTCGTCTTGGCGCAGAACGGGTCGCCGACGACGTTCTTGGCGGCCGCGACCGCCGACTTGGCAATGAACTCGTCGTAAATGTCTTCGTGGACAAAGACGCGGCTGCCCGCAATGCAGCATTGACCTAGAGACGTCATGAGCGGACCATCATACCCATGGACGATGGAACGGACCTTGGTTGTGGAAGAGACCGACCTGCGACGCCGCAATTGCGAGGTCAAGGTCGGCGTCGGGCATGATGATGTTGGCCGACTTGCCGCCGAGCTCGAGCGTCACGCGCTTGAGGTTGGACGGGTGCGACTGGCGCATGATCTCAAAGCCGACCTCGGTCGAGCCCGTAAACGCGACCTTGTCGACAAGCGGGTGCTGCGCGAGGTACCGGCCCGTCGTAGCGCCCTCGCCCGGAACGATATTGACAACCCCCTTCGGGAACCCCGCCTCGACGATTAGCTCACCGAGGCGGAGCGCCGTGAGCGGCGTCTGCTCGGCGGGCTTGAGCACACTCGTGCAACCCGTCGCGAGAAGCGGCCCGAGCTTCCACGCCGCCATCAAGATCGGAAAGTTCCACGGAATGATCTGCGCGCAGACACCCACCGGTTCGTCCTTGGTGTAGCAGAAGAACGGCCCGTCGATCGGGATCGTCTTGCCCGTGATCTTGTCGGCCCAGCCCGCGTAGTACCGGATACACTTGATCGCGAGGTCGACGTCGACGCCCTTGGCGACGCTGCACGGCTTGCCGTTGTCGAGTGCTTCGAGCGCCGCGAGCTCGTCCGCGTTGGCCTCGATGAGGTCGGCGAACTTGCGCATGAGATTCGCGCGCTGCGAGCCCGAGAGCTTGCGCCACGGGCCATGGTCAAAGGCGTCACGGGCCGCGTGCACGGCCTTGTCAACGTCGTCGGCGCCAGCAGCGTGGACGCTCGCAATCTTGGCCTCGGTCGCGGGGTTGAACGTGTCGAACGTCTTGCCGGACGTCGCGGGCACGAACTCGCCGTTGATGAGCAGCTGCGTCTGGTGGACGGCGGGCGCATGGTGGGTAAAGCGACGGCGGGCGCCGAGGCTGTGGCGGGCGGCGCGGGCAAAGACGGCGTGCATGGAGCAAAGTCGGTTGCAAAATGAGCTGCCCGACAAAAGACCAAGATCCGGGAAAGGCAATCTGGTCGGCCAACTTCAAGTTCACCCATGGCCCTACAATGACGCCATGTGCCAACACGACGACGGGGAAGGACCTGCAGCTGGTCGTGCGCGCTCCGATTGGCTCGACAAAGGCGTCGGGGGACTTCGGCTGGTACGGCAAGGTGTCAGTTTTCTGTGGCGATCTTTGCTCAGATCACACCTTTGACAAAAGGTCGTCGAGCGACTTCATGCGCAGGCGATCATAGCTGCATGGAAGATCGCGAAGAGTCGATCGACACCATTGGAGGCAACCTTCGACAAAGCGTGAGATCTCAGTGTCGTTGGCAACAAGATGACCGGGACGTGGTGCATTTTGGGGTACTTCTACGTGGTGCTTGGGTAGGTATAAGAGTAAGCAGCGTTCCAGTGCATTTGTGCGAGAGAATTGTGCGAGCGGACATGAGGTGCGAGAAGGAAGCACCCACTTGAGCCTTCGCGTGCGCTGCTGGCCCGAGCCTGAGTTCAACGTACCACTTGGTTGTCGATCTAAGATCTGCTTGGTGGCAATCATGTCGATGACGAAGGACATTGCTCGGAGGGTGCTCGGGCCTGCAGCTGGCGCACGTAGCTTCTCCGCAACGTCGAAGAGGCGCTGCTGCAGGCTTAGTATCGTACCACCTGTGATCGCCGTAGAATGGGCTGTTGCTAGTGCGTGTATTCGCGGTGGGTTCAAGTAATATTATACTACGTAGGACAGAAGACGAACAAGATGTCGTTGAATATGCGTTGATGGGACATCAGGCGGTGGATCATGCGAGACGGTTGTAGCGGTCGTCGGACTGGCGCAGGCGAGCGAAGAGCTTCCAGCCGAGCCACAGCACGATCGTCATCGGTGTCCCCACGACGAGTGCTAGCATGATGCCGTCGATGGCGAGGTTGCCGCATAGCTGGAGGACGCCGACCGCACGCTCATACGCGGCCGCCCAACGCGACTTGCTCGGCGGCGCTACCATTCCCATGCGCAAATGAGCGAGCCGAAACGAGAAAGGAGAAAGACCGACCACGGTCATCGACGACCACGACGCGCGCGTCGGCGTCGTGTTCTTCCAGGTCGACGCTGATTTTGCTGAGGCGCACGGAAGTCGACGTGCGCAGGAGCTTGCTTTCGGCGGCTTCGATCTTCTCGGTGACGTCTTGGACCTGCGTGACAATGGACGCAATCTCCTGGACGTTCGTCGCTTGCTCAAGGAGCTTCTCCAGCGCCGCCCGCGTGAGTCGCAAGGTGGCACTACGCCCCGACGCATCCATGTACTCGGCGCTCGCATCGAAGCGGGTAACGCGCTTGGACGCGACCGTCGTGTTGGGCACCACGTCTGGCACGCCTTCCAGCGCGCGAAGCCTGTCGTGGAAGGCCTCGACGCGCCACGTAAAGTGCCACGTTCGAAGGCGCGCAGGCGGCTCGTGATTCTCGAGGTAAACGTCCTGTGGGCATGGAATCGTCGCGTTGGTTGAGCGCGATACGCAGCGCACATTTGCACTGTACAATCTGTACTCGGAGCGATCCGCCGACTCGGACTCGTCTTCGAGAAAGCCGTGGAGAAGCAAATGCGACTGGATGTGTGCACGCGCCGCGTCCCACGCGCCACTGCCGTGCTTGGCGCGAAGCGTCATGTCGGCGGTCCAAATGAGCATCTCGGACTCGGACGAAGCAGAGGGCGATGCGCTTTGACCCGAGGCCCAAGCCAGAGTGCCAGCCTCATTGGAAATACGGCGAGAGCCGCTCGGGAAGCTGGCACCGCTCGTGAGGCGGACCGGCGAGTCCGTCGTAGTATCGCCAATGCCAATGAGGGTCGTAGTTGGGAGCACGCCGTGCACGCACGAGGCGAGGAAGATGAGCGCAAAGACGCTGGTCGCGATCTTCATAAAGGCGGAGGCCGGTGGCGCTGGACGAGGTGGAGGCGAAGAAGAGGACGGGGTGTCGGTCTCGCCGGTCGTCGTCGAGGAAGGAGAACGTCGCTGCCGCAGGGCCATGAACGCGATCTAGTGGCCAGACGAAAGCCATGCCGGATGGTATCCGGATGGCATACGTGGCGTGCTGATGGGCGATGCAGGCATGTGGATCGTATCCCAGTGGCAATGCATCATAGCATAATGACAAGTCGATTCGCCGATGCCAACTAATGTTTTGCGAGGAGTTGGCTACAGGCCCCACGCCTTCTACCACAGACGGGCCCCAAGGATCGAGCGACGAGCTTCATGCCGTTGTGGAGCGTGAAAAACGTGTGTTTCGCGCGACCTATTTTTCACATCCGGATACGATGTGGTTAACGTTCGACAGACACCGTCGTCTTGTGCCCCGGTGTACAAAATAATTTCCGCCTACCACGCCCGACGTCGATCCTCTGCAATGCAATGTACTCACGCTTGCAGTACACAAGGTGTCGGCTGCGGCTCGTCGTCGCAATGCTTGTCAATCTCGTCTAATTTTTGTACATAGTTCGTATCCAGGCCAGCCCATGTGGGCGTTCTACAGAGATAGACTTTGTCGACATAGGAAAGGACGTGATATGGTGCTAGATCGTGACCGTGGTAGTGTTCGTTGCATGCACAGAGCTTTGTACTAGCACAGTTGCATTCTCTACGCACGAATTCTGCGTCGAATGAGCTGCATAGCGTCGGGCGTTGCGTGTTTCTGGAGGACCAAGAATGTACACCGGTGTACAGTGGAAAGCACCAATCAATGGCCGATTGCGTGGGCCATTTTCCCAAGTCGACCGAAAGCGATGATGTTCCTGCGCCGTGGATCTGCGCCGATGGCGTCGCTTCTTGGCCGCCGGTGGTGCCACGCGTCCAAGCTGCCGAACCACATCAAGTTCCGCCTCATGGACATCGAGTTCACGCAGGTCATGGAGGGCTCCAAGCTCGTCAAGTGGTACAAGCAAGAGGGCCAGAAGGTTGGGCCGGGCGGTCCGCTCTGCGACATTGAGACCCCCGAGCTCATCTTTGGCATGGAGACGGACGACGCGGGCTACCTCGCCAAGATCTGTACGCGGCCCGATGCTGGCGAGGTTGGCTAATGCTGTATCGTAGTTGTCCCCGCCGGCGCCGAGAACGTTCGACCGAACCAGGTCCTCGCCGTGATCGTGCCCAAGGAGGAAGATATTGCGCCGTTCATCCAAGCCCTCGCTGAGAACCCAAGTGAGATTGAAGGTACGCCTCGACGCATGCGTGTATCTCATGAGGTTGATCGGTGTTTGGCTAGAGTACAAGCCGTCGACGCCCGTGGTCGTGGACCCGACAACGATTACGGACGGGTCGGACCTCCTGCGCTTGCTGAGCCAGCTCAACAAGGAAGGCGCGTTCCCGACCGAGAGCGACTACAAGGTTCTGAAATCGCTCGCGCGCAAGAACGACGCCGAGCTCCTCCGCGTCTACAGCGGCAGCTTCCTCGCCGAGAGCGGCGCCGCCTTTGACAAGGAGTTCTTTGTCGAAAACTGCTTGGATCTCGTCGAAGAGCACGCGGCCGACCAAGTTTAATAACGCGAATGGAATCATAAGCTCCATCGAGCGGTTTTGCTGCCTCTCCTCTAGCATCCTTCCCACCCTCATCCTCCTTGCAGCGGTCCGGCGCGGCCATCTTCACGACCAAACGCCATGTCCCCAACGTAGTTGCCGACATGCATACTACCATCATCCATCGTCTCGACGCTTTGCCCGTATGAGCAAGTCGAAAGCAAGACCATGGACAGGATCCATGGTCTTGCTTTCGACTTGCTCATACGGGGCGAGAAGACAGAAGCGGGCCGTCTGCATCCGCATGCAGCGACAATCCGAGGCTAGGAAATGAGGACGGTGGATCGGAAGGCAAAGACGGTCGTCACAGACACATAGAGACGGAACACGGAGGCCGAGTTCATGCCGGCCGCATCGCGACCGAATCATGGTGTATTACAAGGATTGGGTGGCTAGAAAGCAAACGCGCGCCGCTCGAGCGCGTGCCAAAGGACGAGTGTATGTCGCATAACTTAGTTCTTCGGGGCGTTCGAGTTGGGGCCGACCTTCTTGCCGCCGGCGTTGGCGACAACGTTGACGAAGCGGCGGTTGTACTGGATGCGCTTCTTGGCGCGGCCCGCACGCTGCTTCTTCTTGTCCTCGGCCTTGGCGACCTTGGGGGTCTGGTTCTTGACCTTACCGGCACGCGACAGCGAACCGTGCACCTTACCACCACCACGCAGGCGAAGGACGAGGTGGAGCGTCGACTCCTTCTGGATGTTGTAGTCGCTCAACGTGCGGCCATCTTCGAGCTGCTTGCCGGCGAAGATGAGGCGCTGCTGATCCGGCGGGATACCTTCCTTGTCCTGGATCTTCTGCTTGACGTTGTCAATCGAGTCGGACGGCTCGACGTCGAGCGTGATGGTCTTGCCAGTCAAAGTCTTGACGAAAATCTGCATATTGCTTTCTACGTTCTTCGTCCCTTGTAAAAATAACACATCGCCAAAGCCGCTTCCCCAAAGCCGATGCAAGCCAACCAACCCCTGCATATTCTGCACCAGTCAACGATATCCGGATAATCGACCACAGTATCCGGCCACCTACCCCTTCCGCCTCCTGATTGGCCATAATAGCGCCAATCATGCCCCGACGCCGACGCCGACGCCGGCCGCCCCCGCGGAAGGGCCGCCGTACGCACCGCAGCCGTCCACGACAGGCGCTGCATCGAGGACAAGACGTGCACAAGAGAGGTGGCAAGGCGCCATGGGTGCTAACATTCGGCGAAACGACCATTCGACCAAGATAGGGCGGCGCGACGACCGACGACTGCATATGAAGCAGGAATGAGCGATCATGGCGGCGCTTCGCATGGCCACGCCTATAGTGCAGTATGCCATCGTTGCCAAGGAGCTGCTAGAAGCGACGTTCTTGCAGATGCTTGGCGAGAGGGTGGAGGAAGGGCCGCGAGGATAGGGTTCGTTTGGTAGCATGCAGCCCGTGAGCACAATCGAGCAATAGCCATACGTGTGACATGCTTTGGGCTAAGAGCACGGTGTACGACGAGTCGTCTTGGCTCTACCTTGGAGTGCTTTGCATACCGTTTCGTGCAGCAGTTGCAAGCGCGCAATGGACAGCGACGAAGAGGCGGAAGAGATCGCGTCCGACGATGGCGACTTTAGCGTCAAGGACCGTGACGACGATGCGTACAGCGTCGAGTTTGAAGACGACTTTGAAACGCCGTCGCCGCCCAAGGCCAAGGCAGCGCCGAAAGCTCCGCCAGCCAAAGCCCCGCCTGTCAAAGCCCCGCCGCCGCCGAAAAGCGACACGAGCGAGTACGAGAACGACTACGACGATGACTTTGAGAACGACGACGCCAAGTCCGAAGCCGCCAAGTCGGACGCCTATGGTGACGCGTCGTTTGAGAATGACAGCCGCGCGAGCAGTCCGCGACACCACGTCAACCTCTCCGTGCCGACGCGGCCACCGTCACCAACGCACGCATCGCCCGACCCCGTGCTCCTTCTCAAGCAGCAAGCCGCGACGCAGTCGCCTGGAAAACTTCGCATTCTCGAGCGCATCGACGAGGCGCCGCCAATTGTGACCAGTACGAGTACCTCCAACAAGTACATTCGGCAACTCGAAGCGCAGCTGCTCGATGAAAACGAGGTGCTCAAGCACGAACACGCTATGGCGCTGCGTGCGGCAAGCGAGCTCAAGAACGAGCTGCGCTTCACTCAGCAGCGGCACCTCGACGAGAAGCGGCTGCGCCAAGAGAAATTCCAGCTCAAGAAAAAGCGGGCCGACGAGCGCCGGCTTCAGCACGAACTCTTGCTCCAGACGACAAAGAATGCACTCACCGACCTCGAGCTCAAGTACGTGGCGCTCGAGGCGTCGTTCGTCGCCAAGGTACATTTGCCAATTCCCCGCTGCCACACGAGATGCTTGCATGTAGGTCGTCGAGTGCGAAACACTCCAAGCCAAACTCGACAGGACGGAGCGCGATCGACGTACACTGGAAGAGCGCCAGTTGCAGCTCTCCGAGATGTACCAGCATTGTCTCGGGGATCTGCACAGCGGCAACGCCAAGCTCGAAGCTGCTGTTGACGCGCGGCAGGCAACACAGCACAAATACGAGCAAGCGCTATTAGACCACCGGGTGGCAATTCAAGTTGTCGAGCAGCGCTGTGCGATCCAGCTCCAGTGCATGCAGGTGTGCGCTGTGTGCCATCACGCCTACTACCTCATAATGTAGGAGACACTGCAAAAGACGTTGACGGAGCGGGACGTCGAGAAGGTTGCGTTGCCCGAGAACCACCGACTCATCGTCGAGGCCCAGCGCGAGCGCTTCGAGAAGCTCGAGGCTGCGGTGCTGCAAGAAAAAAAGGACCTGGAAGCCGCGTTCCGGCGCGAGCGTGAGCGATATGAAAAGGTTCCTCTACCAACAGCAACAACGAGACGTCGAACGCGATGATGTAGAGCTTGGCGATGGCCAACGAGCTGCGCATCCAGGCCGAAGAGCGCGCCGACACGCGCATCCGAGACGAAGCTATGAAGGTTCAATCATACCAACCGCAGTTTTCCAATTTGTGCCAATAGATTTACAGAGAACGCGACGCGATCGACGAGCAGCGACGGCAGCTTCTGTCTGGCCTCGCGATTCAGAACGCCCGACTCGATGACGAGCGTGGGAAGCTCGAGGCTCTGCGCACGCAACTCGAAGAGAAACGACTCAAGCTCGTACGTCGCATGAGCTTTCAACATATGTGCTGACGATGGACGACGCCATAGGTCCAAGACGAGCTCCATGTCGAAGCGTTGGCCAAGTCCAACAACGCCCGACTCCTCGATCTCACGCGCGACGAAGACATTATCAGTCGCCGCAAGCGTGAGCTCCTCGACCTCAGCGCCACAACGCTCGAGAAATCCAAAAACTATTCGGTGGGTCGCTCCTCATGCATCAAAAGGAAATGCAAGAGCTGTTGCTTGTTAGCAAATCGTACGGGAGCTGGACGAGAAGAAGGTGCTGCTCGAAGAGCTCAAGACCAAGTACGACCAGCTCATGGCATCGACAAAGCAACGCACGACCGACGCCGACCAGAAGCGGGAAGCGCTGGAACGGGAAAAGGCCGCGCTCGACCGGTCGGCGTACCAGTTGCACCAAGACAAGCTCCAGCTTGCTAAACAGCGCCTTGAAGCGCGCCAAATGCTCGATGGGACGCGCAAACTCGATGGTCTCTTGCGGCAACAAGCCGCGTTGAACTACCAGCCACACTTTGCGTATGCGAGTCCGCCGCCGCCAGCGTACTATGCACAGCGCTCACAAATGGCACCGGCACCGTTTGTTATACCGCAGCACACGGACATGCCCCAGCTCGCTCAGTTTCTCGCTACATGGGACGAGTTCAATTCGCGACCTGGCTTTGAAAAGTCACCCGAAGTCGTCTTTGATGCGAGTAGTAGTAGTAACCTAGCCCTCTAAACGTCACATTTCCACGTGACCCACTCCTCGGTGGGGCGAATGCCTGCACTCAGGCACTAAGTACTGACGGTCCTTTTCTTATTGGAGCAGGCGGATGATGACGTTTGCCGTCTCAACTGTCCACCCCCAACGAATGCAGTCAGACCCATTCCAGCGCCGCCAGTCACAAGGGCCTGAGATGATTGCGAACGAAGGCACCAGGACGTAAGAACACATCAAAGTCCCGTGGTCGCCTTGGAGCGTAGCGTGATTTTCGAATGACCATCCCGATCTCGTGCTCCGCTCGGGTGACATTTGGCTCGCGATTCGGATTTACCTTGGGTTGTACGGCGACGGCAACGAGCACTGTAGTCGGCTGTGATAGCCTCTCGAATACGGTGGCCGTTCATGCAGCTCTACCATAGCACCGCGTCGTCCTTCGTTGCCAAGAAAAGCTCGCTCACTTGACGTAGTATCTTGTCTGCCGCGTGCGGTTGCCAGGCACATCAACTCGCACTTTCGTATCTATGCTGCAGGGTGCACGGTAACGACGCGGACGGTATCACTGCTGCTCCGGAAGAGCTCTGGAGCAGCGACGCGTACCTTATGCAGGCGCGCACCTAGAAGCGCAGGCGATAGCACCGCATCGGTCTCGGTGGCTCTTCCCTCCGCTCGTATATCAGACTCAGCCATCGCAGCCCGGTTCCCACAAGTTGAAGTTGATGGCGCGATCTTCGGGCGCGTGTCCCAACACCCCGTACGTTCGACCAATGGCCTCGCGTCGCATCCGGATGATGACGCAATACCCTGGTGGCACGGTCGTCAATCAGAACCGAATTCGATGGGCCGCAACGACCTCCCGCACCCCGTGAGCGACGAAGAGTGGGCGCTGCGCTGCGAGCTCGCGGCCGCGTACCGCCTCTTCCACAAGTTTGGCTGGGACGAAGTCATTTACGGCCATCTAACGTGCCGCGTGCCCAACGGCGCGGACGACGCCGACGTCGAGAACGCGCACTTCCTCATCAACCCGCTCGGCCTCCGGTACGACGAGATTTGCGCCAGCAGCCTCGTGACGATCGACATTAAAGGCAACTACATCAATCGCGGCTCGACGGGCTGGGACATCAACCACGCCGGCTACGTCATCCACTCGTGCATCCACGAGTGCCGCCACGACATGAAGTGCGTCATGCACTGCCACACGATCGAAGGCTCGGCGGTCTCGTCCATGAAGTTTGGCTTGCTCCCGATCTCGCAGCTGAGCCACGTCGCGATGAGCGCCGGCGTCTCGTACCACGACTACGAAGGCCTCGCGGTCTCGGAAGGCGAGAAGCCGCGCCTCAAGGCCGACTTGGGCCCGGACAACAAGCTCTTCATTCTGCGCAACCACGGGCTCCTCACGGGCGGCGCGACGATCGCCGAGGCGTTCTTCTGGATGTACTACGCTGTCCACGCGTGCAAGATCCAGGTCGCCGCGCTCTCGGCGGGCATTGAGAACGTCTCGTATGCGTCCGAGGAGGTCGCCAACCAGTTCAAGGTCGGGCTCCAGACGTTCACCAAGACGGGCGTCGGCGCCGACATGTTCAACGCGCTCAAGCGCGGCTTGCCCAAGGACTATGAAAACTAGTACGCGCCCACCTCTCCCGTGCCATACCTAGTATTGTCTCCGCTCGTTCTTGGCAAAATACATATTCACAGTACTTGTGCAGTCCATTGTTGCAGACAATAATGGTCGCAGTGCATGCAAGATTAGGGTTACTAGTTGGGATAACAAGCTAACTTTAGTGAAACGACCATGGCGGCGCACGGGACGCTGGACGAGAACATCCAGCTCACCCGCGTCTTTCGCACGCTCACGATTGAGATACCGGAGAAGCGGCTCACGAGAAAGCTCCTCGTGGGACCTTGCGTCTATCACGGCCTCTGTTGATCCCATGAGCGTAGAGCCTCGAGGCCAAGATGACCGAGCTGCGCGCCAATGGATCGGACGCCAATGCGCTGGAAATGAAGCGGCTCGACGCCAAGTGGGCAGCGACACAGAGCGAGCGCCAGAAGCTACGGGGTCAATGCGATAGCTCGGAGGATGCGAAGCCCATCGTCATGCATAGAGGTCGCGCAACAAGACTATGCCAGCCTGTTTGCGCGCGCGATTGAGCGCACGGCGCTCTTTGAGGTCTACGAAAAGCTGGGGTACCCCAAAACCATGTCCGAAGTCGAAGATTTGATGTGGGAAGTCAACGACGGCCTCAACGGCGCCATCTCGTGGGACGAGTACGAGCGCAGCTTTGAGCGCTGCAAAGCCGACAAGTCGTGTTTGGAGCCCTCCGACTTGTTCTACTTGACGTGCTTTCTCATGTACGACCGCGACGTCAGCGGCAAGGTACGCTCGTGGCATCATCGAATTGACAAGCAGTTTTGTCCGAGGTGTCGATGGACGATGCGATGCACATTCTGTACACGTCAGCATTCGGACGAAGGATTCTACAAGCTGTTAGGTTTCTCAAGCACGGCAACAACATGGAAGACGAAATGACCGCGCTCTTTGGGAAGAGCCACTCGGACGACTATGTGAGTGCGCTCCCGTTTCGAACGGTGCGATATCCTCGTGCGAGGAGGAGGCAGTGAACGACGCGGTAGTTTGCGGACGCCATTGACAAGCGCCGAAGTGAGATCATCGACCATTCTGGCTTGACGAACCGACTGCCTGGAAAGAAGGGCGCGTGGAAAGGCTACCAACAATAACGCGAAATCGCTGACCATCGACGAGTTGGGTGCATATGCATATCCGTAGTACCAGGATTGAGTACCAAAATGTGTTTGGTGTCGGTCCACGGTGTAAGCGGACAGAATCAATGGCTCGTCGGATCAAGCACTGAAACAAGGTTGAGGTTCATCCAAGCCTAGAGTACAACGAATCTTGGTGTCAATGACGCTGTTTGATTGGCTCGTTGTGTGCCTTGGAAGGGCGCAACGAAAGATCTTCCATGCTTGGATTGGCCAATCCAAAGCGAGCATTTGAACCGCGTTCGATCTTTGGCGGGCAAATCGAACATATTTTACGGCGTCGAAGCTCAGCGCGCGTGAAAGATACGCAGTCGCTCGAATTCTCGATCATGGAGCCGGACTTTCAGGACGTCATGGAGGTCCCGTGGAAGCCCGATCCGTCCTTCTCGTCGTCCACCTCGTCGTCCACCTCGTCGCTGTTTGACGAGCAGCTCAAAGAGCTCGTGATCGAAGTCAACTTGGACACGCTCTTTATGTGTGCCGTCCATGCCTGTCCCAAGAGCTGCAACCAAGATGGCTACTGCGACAACCACGCAGGCATGGCGCCGACTTCCGTGGCCAATGACGATGGGACGACTCTATCAGCAGTCGTCGCGACGAGCTCCGTGACAACGTCCTCCACTACGACGATGCTCTGTCAGCACACCAAGTGCCGACACGCCGCCAAGGTGTTTCAAGAGTACGGCCATTTTTGCAGTCGGCACGCCGTGACGGTGCCGTGCGGCTTTCCGCGCTGTCGCGAGAAGGCCCTCGACGGGTCCTCCATGTGCTGCAAGCACGCCCATCAAGCCAGCTCGATGCGGCGCGAACTCGCCGCGCGGTCCCAAACGGCGCGCACGTGCCGGACCGACGGCTGCTACAAGGTGCGCCAAGGCCGCGGCTACTGCACAGCGCACGAGAAGTTGCTCATCGCGACGGGCCAGCTCGCCATCAAGACGCGCGCCGTCGACATTGCGTTCACCATGTGTTGCTTCCCCGAGTGCACAAAACATGCGCAGCGCAACCGGTTTTGTTGCAAGCACGGAAAAGAGCTCGTACTGCAAGCCAAGTCGGTCGCTGACAAGGGACTGACCAACCAGAGTTACGAAGAGATCCTCGACTTGCTCCAGAAGAAGCTGCGGCGGTGCCAGTATGTGGGATGTGAGAAGAACGCGCGCTACAACCAGTTGTGCACCATGCACTACCATCAACGAAACCGGGCAGCCAGCGAAAGCGATATCGTGGCCGAGGCGATGTGCATCGCGCCGCCGACTTCGACGATGCCCACTGTCTCGCCGGATGGTACCAGGCACGGGCTAGCATCGGCCTTGTAAATAGCATACCCTTGGCTGTTCTCGATAGACAGCGCAACCACTCTCACAGGTATTCTTTGAACTTTGAATGTCCTTGCCACTGTATTGCGTTTCACCAGACAACAGCCTACTCAACCGTCGTCTAAGCTTCTGCATTTAGTGTAGGTCGACCTTCATCGCGGATTCCACCGGCGACGTTGACGCAGAAAGCCGCCATGTTGCTGTCGCGCCACGTTCCGAGACGCCGGATACGAGCGTATCCGGAAGATGCGCGAACGCCATGGTAGCATCTAAAAATAGAAATCCAAATCCACAAAACACAAGATCGCCGTCAGCAGTCGGAAATAGGCCATGAGCCCGCGCCAGGACGTCGACCTCGCGCCGCTGCTCATGAGCGAGGCCGCGCATGCTGTCGCCGTGGACGACGACGATGCAGCAACATCTGCACCGGCGCTCATGGTCTTTGCCTCGCACGTCATGCGGCCGTCGGACGTGTCGATGGTGCAGCTCTACATCGTCGACCATCTTCGCGTTGGTGGCAAGACCAAGTACGTCATTCACGCGCTGCACCTGGGCACGCAGACGCAATGGTCTGTGGCCCAGAGCTACTCGGCCTTTGAGACCCTGCGCGAGCGCCTCTTCAGCTGTGTGCGCTTTACACGCTATCGGTGCCCAGGCTGCGTGAGCTTTGGCCGTATCATTGAGCGCTTTCCGTTTCCGGGCAAGAAGGTCTTCAAGCACTCGGACAAGGTCGTGTACGAGCGGTCGCTTCAGCTCGCTCGCTTCCTCTCCTGCATCATGGCGCACACGTTCACATCCACCCCCAAGTGCCAGATTTGCGGCGGAAAGGCATTCGAGATCGCAAAAGCCTTCTTGCTCGACGGCGCAACCCCGCTCACTGCCGGCGCGACGCTCGACGCGATCGCAGAGTCGCTCGAGCCGCGTCGCTTCTTCCACGAGTATTGTCGGACGGCAAGCAAAATTGAGTGCTATCGAGGCCGCACGATCGTCAAGGTCGTGCAAGTCCAACGCGTGCCGCTCTCGAGCCTGAGTGTGCCCATGTACACCCCACCCATCGCAGCAGCCGACCCAATGACACCGTCGTCCACATCCATGGTGCGCCATCGCCAAGTGGCCGCCGTGTAGGCTGCCAGCGCACGCGTGTAACTACGCTTCCCGTAATACATGCGTGCTTGTTTAATTTGCAAGGGTGATCGCCGCCAACCATTCGATCACCTACTATCAGACGCACGTTCCGTGCTGGCTATCCCGTGAGTCGTGCGTGACTCACCTCGCGCGACGTCGTCGCGATAGCGCCCGTCGTCACTGTCGCGACGAGCCATGGATGGCGTCCCGTGGCCGCGCTCGCCATCCTCGCATCACTTGTCTCGGTGGCAAAGGCGTGGCAAGCTCGGCAGATTCGCTGCAACCGGCCAAGAGAAGTTGCGTCTGCAAATTTGACGCACAAAAGTGCCGTGCTTCAACCCGTACATGTCATACATTGTACATTAATACAACAATAGAATATACACGTACATACTGTACGATGTACGCTATCACATCAAGCGTGCCGATCACTGCCGACAAATATTTCTGGACCGCGGCATCTCCCGCCGAGCGCGCTCGCGCTCAAGAATATTGTATATGACGAGCGTCAAGACGCAACGTTGAGCGCCCTTGTCGAACGATGCCAAGGTAGCGGAAGCATGTCGCGACGAGAGAAGGCCCTGTCCGTTCCACGGTGGCATAGCCCATGGCGTGCGCCCGCTGTAATAATATTACCTCACGCTATCGAACACAGTGGGGTCCGTACTTTTTTTCTCGCCATTTTTTGCGGTCGTTTGCAAGCCACTTGCCGGCGAATCTGGGTTGCATTCGAATTAAAATACAGTATATTAATATTCAATATATTTATCGTGCACGTAACCAGTGGCATTCTTCAATTATTTCCGTGCCCACTCGAGCCGACGCCCTCATGACGACGACGTCCATGAGCATGAGCAGCAGCCAGCGCCTCATGAAGACCAACTCGCGCAGCTCCATGACGGGCTCGCCGCGCTTCTCGTCGCAGACCTCGATGGGGCTCGACGACATGAACATCAAGACGTGGATCCTCAACGCGAGCCCGATCGACAATGTGACCTACTACCGCATCCTCGTGCGGCGAGGTGCTACGTCCGTCATCAAGGAGTCGAAGCGCCGGTACACGGACTTTCTCGAGTTTAAAGAGAGCCTCCTCGACCTCTTTGACACGCTGCCGACGTGCCCACGCTGCGAAAACATTGCCAAAGTCGTCGCCGACTTTGAGTTTCCCAAGAAGCACTACTTTTCGTCCAAGTCCAAGGTCGTCATCAACTACCGCATGCAAGCCTTCCGCAACTTTGTGTCGCTCGTCGTCGGGAAGGTCTTTAACCCGTCGCCCAAATGCCCGACGTGCGGCGGCCAAGTCGTCACGCTCGTCCTCCGCTTCCTTCTCCAGAACGCGACTGTGCTGCCGGAGAACCAAGTCCCGCGCGACTCGGTTTTCGTGCGCGAAAATACCATGACGACGCCGACGTCGACGCGTAGCGACGTTGCGTCCATGAACCCGCGCGGCTTCAACAGCATGCGCCGGTCGGTCTCGGGCCCACCCCCGGTCATGAGCACGGTGCCACAACCCGCCGCGATCCGGTCCGAGCCGGGCTTCAAGGCCACGTCGATCGGCCGCTTCTCGGTGCCCAACGAAGAGTTGGAGGAGCGCTTCTCGTCGCGCGAGTCGTCCATGGCCCGCCCGCAAGCGCCGCCAGCGCCCCAACCCCAGCCGGAATTCCGGTACGACCTGGCATCGTCGAGCAATAGCACGCTCAACCGCCTCTCGTCTGAGCCCGTTTTGCGCCGCCCCGCGGGCAACGATGTGTACTTTGACAGCTTCTTGGCCGACAAGGACGACCCGATGCCCATGAAGCAGTTCCTCCCGGAGGACGTGGCGCCGCACGCCTCCGAGGGACCGGCCCAGCAGCATTCGGCATCGCGCACGAGTGTGAGCTCGAGCGACGACGACGAAGACGATGAAGAAATCGACTTGACGGGCCTCCACTCGAGCGTCGATCCGGTCAAGCCTGCGGCCAAGCCTGCCCCCGCCGCGTGGTCGGGCTGGGACACGACCCTCTAATGTACATGCGTGGTCCCGTACAAACCTTATATTTAATCTACGTCGTCTGTCACGTCTTCCTCGTATCTCGACTGCATGTAGCAAGAGCCGATGCTGTGGCCGCCTTTGTCACCATCGACGGCGCCACTCAGATCTTAGACGGCGAAAGTGATCATATTGCGCGAGGCCGCATCATATGCCACGTACCTGGCCTCTCGCCTTGCATTCCATCCATACTCCATGCAGCGACGGGCATCAGGAGGAAGCCCGTGGATGCCATTGGCCTCGTCGTCGTCGTCCTCATCATCCTCATGACGACCGGCCATCGATTTGCAGTTTGCCGATCGTATCCGGATGCGATCCGGATATGCAGAATCTTCCTGTCTTTGTCAAAGCTCGCTTGAGAAGAAGACGCAGCAAGATGGAGCGCGTGTACTCGGCCGTGTTTGGCGAGCCCAGCGCGCGGACGACGATCCTGCGCAACCACTCGAGCTTCTTCGAGCTGCCATCCTCCGAGCCGCTGACGCTGACGCCGGCCGTGCTCGAGAAGCACAACCACCTGCTCGAGCGCAAGGACGCCAAGGAGCGCGAGGCCAAGGCGCGGCTCGAGCGCCTCGAGTACGAAAAGTCCGAGGTTGCGCAGCTAAAGCGCGCGCTCAAGGCGGCGTTGCGTGCGTTTCTCTATGCGTACGGCGCCAAAGCAGCAACCGCGCTCCTCCTCGCGTCGCGCAAGTGGGGCATGAACACAGCGTCGTACGCCGACGCACTCCGGCTGCTCTCGAAAGCCGACTCGATCCGGTTTGGGCTCTTTGTCGGCACGATGGTCGGCTCGTACCGTGCCGCCGAGGTGGTTGTCAACCACGTACGCGGCGTGCACCACGACGACCGCATCAACAAGGCGATCGCAGGCGCTGTCTGCGGGCTGAGCCTCCTTGTCGACGCACCGTCGCGCCGTCCCGTCATCTCGCTCTACATCTTTATCCGCATGCTCGACATTGTGCTCCGGCACGCCGAAGAGCCCAAGAAATTTCTTCAAAACACGTGCCACGTACCTGTCAAGTACATGACCGAGATCCTCTTTGGCTTGTGCAACGCGCCGATCGTCTATGGCGCGCTCTTCCAGCCCGAGCTGCTGCCCAAGGTATGACGCGCGTCTGTCGACATGCGACATGCAACGACGAACCAGCGATGTTAGGGGTACTACCACTGGATCCTGCAACTCGGCAACATGACGCACGGCGGCGTCGACTACGCTATCCGCCAGCGCTGGCGCAGCGATACAAACGATACCACCGGCGCGCTCATCCCGTTCCGGCCGTGCCAGCCCCACTTTCATTTGTACGCCATTGTGCTCTTTTCGATGATTTGGATCACCGTGTAGAGAGTCGTGCCTCACGCACTCGGTCAAAGACTTGGTCTCGGGTGGCATGGTTCGCGCGTCCAAGGTCTACCTACCCGTGCACGCGATCCCGTTCGTGCTCTTCCGCTCCCAGAAGCTCCAGACCGCGCCGATCGCGTCCGTCTTGCACGTGGCGTATGCCACATTGCGCTCGTCGGCGTTCCTCTCGTCGTACCAAAGCATTGTCAAGCTCGCGATTTGCATTCCGCGCAATATCTGCCATCGCGACTATGGCGTCACAGGCCTCATCGCCGGCAGTCTCTCGGGCCTCAGTCTCTTCTTTGAAGACCCCAAACGCCGGATCGAGCTCATGCTCTACTGCGCTGCCCGGGGTCTCGAGATCATCTGGACCGTCCTGAAGCACAAGCCACTCGTGCGCGCGCTGCGCATCAAACACGCCGAGGTACGTGGTCTCCATGTGGTATCAATGTATCAAGGTATCGGGATCTAGGTGCTCGTGTTTTGTCTCTCGATGGCGTGCATCATGTCGAGTCCGTCGACGCACTTCAAGCCAACGTACTTGCACATTGCGCGATTTCTCTTTGGGCACTCGGTGCTGCGCTAAGGCGATGAATAAGACAACCTAAGAACGTACACTGATGACGCAGTCGCCAAAGTGCAATCTGGACGATTCAAGTCCAAAATAACAAAAAACTGCGGACAATACACATCAAAACGGCTCGGGATTAGGATTCATGGCAAACACGACACGCGACTAGAAAGACAGTTTGTGACCGGACACGTGCGCATTGCTGTGCAGCGAATTGTGGTTGTGGTGCAGCATCGCGACGTTCTCGTTGGTGTTGGGGTTGCCGACGCCGGTCGCCATCGCCGAGGGCACCGCGCACGGCACATCGTACACAAGGCAGAGCTTGCAGCTGCCAACGCTCTTGAGATGCAACGAGCAGACGCTGTGGCCTTTGGCCGCAAACTTGGCGCACTGGTGATGCGTGCACTGCGAGGCCATTTCGTGCTCGACGCACGCGACCTGCGAGAGGCGGCTCTGTGCGCAGTTGTCGTAGCAGCACTGGTTATCCATCGCGTGGAGTCCGCAGAGACCGGGCGACGGCAGCACCTCTTCGCACGCGGCCGCCGTACAAAACGTCGCTTGGCTATGCTCGGCGCAGACTGCAGCGTCGAGCTTGGTGCTGTGCGTGCAGCCGCGGAAGCGACACGCCGCCTTGGGCTTGTAGTAGTCGTTCTTGTCCATGGCGGCGTAAAAGTACGGAGTCTGGGGCCACGACGCGTAGCTCGTCGAGCTCGGCTTGTGGCTACTCGGCTCGTACGACGGCGTGTGCGTCCCGAACGGATGGATCGTCGGTGAAAACGCGTGCACTTGCGTGAGCACGCTGAGGCAGACGTCGCACATGCTCTTGCCGCTCGACGAGACGTCGCGGTTGCAGCCGGCGCTCGCGCAGAGGCGCGTCGACGGTGGCAGCAGCGTCGGGTAGTGCCGGCCGTACTCTTGGACGTTGAAACTCTGGTTGTCATTGTTGACGGCGTGCTGCGTAGGCAGGTAGTCGTAGCCCATGGCGTTGGTGTACCGCGGCGCGTACGTCGGCCGCGCAAACGAGTTGTGCTGCTGGAAGCTCATGGACGTGCTGTGGGGCGGCGGCTTGTGCGTATCGTGGCGGTACTCGATATCCTTCTTGTGGCCATACGACGCCGGCTCGTCCAGGTGCAGCTGGGTCATCTCGACGGGTGTGTCCTTCATGCCACTTGCGTTGTGGCTGTTGTGGCTGGTGCTGTTGTGGCTCGTCGGGTGGATTGAGTTGGCCGCCGTGCTGCTGTTCGTAGGAGGGTACAAGAGCTCGACCATCGAGGCGGCTTGGGCCGTCAGCGGCGGCGTGAGCTGGAAGAGGTCGTCGTTCAGCGCCGACTTCTTGGCTGGCGCTGGCTTCTTCTTGGGCGCGGGTTGTTTCTGGTGCGCGTTGTTGTTGTTGTGCGCGTGCTTGCCCTTCTTTTCTTTTTGCTCGTAGTGTTGCTTGCAGAGCCAATTGCAGTACACGGGCTGCGTGCATTTGTCGTCCGAGCAAAACTTGAGCACCTTGTCCTTGGCCGTCAAGTTGTCCAAGTCGGTCTTTGGCAACCCTTTCTCGGCCGTGTCCTTCATGTGGAAGTGCGTGGTGCAGAGGCGGTCGCGCTGCGCGTTCTTCTCGCAGCCCGGGTGCGTGCAGCGGCGCAGCTCGCGCTGGAGACGCTGCAAAACGACGTCGAACGACTCGTTTGTCGACTGCTGCGCAAAGGCTTGGGCTTGCTTGATGAGCTCGTTGCCGTGGATGCGGCACAAGTGGTTACGCTGCGAGTGCTTGTTGCAGTTGGGGTAGCAGCACATGGTGTACGCGCTGTTGAGACGGCGCTTGTTGATCGCGTGCGGGAGCTGGCCCGTCGCCATCATGAGCTTCTCGTGGCCGCGGCAGTAGCCTCGCCCTTGGTCGTTCTTGAAGCAGCCGGTCGTGCGGCACACCGGGATGCTCTGCGAGCGCGCCGAGAGCGCTTCGTCGAGGCCGAGTTTGTGGTGCTCGTGCTTGGCACAGCGGGTGCCGTTCGTTGGCGCCTTCTCACGGCAGCCAGGAAAGCCACACGGAAACACGACCGCGTGGCGATTACAAAAAATACCAAAGCTCTGGACCACCTTGGCGCGGTTCCCGCATTCGTGGTACGAGCACGTTTGCCCCGAGAGGTCGGTGTCAATCGGCAGCGGCGGGCTGTCGCTGACTTGAACGGGCAGCGGGTTCTTGATCTTGGCGCGCTTTGGCGCCGGCGCCTTGGCCTTGGACGCTGCCTTGCGCTTTGGCTTGCCGTCCATGTGCTCGTCCATCACTACGTTCTTATTGCTGCAATACGATGGCGTGCGGCCAAATGCAAAGTGAAACGTCCGCGATGGCATACAAAACCCAAGAGTAGCATATGCCACCGTGTCACGCAAGCGCTTCACGCTGAGTGGCTATTAGGCCCGCGTATACAAACCGCAAGTGGATTTCCCCCCGGACACGAGTGGCCATGTATCGTGCCTTTCTTTTTTAAATCACACCCTTTCACTTGATGTTTGTATCGGGTTCTTTTTTACGACGCTGTCTCGTCTTGGCCTCGGGCCACGGTGCATCGCCGCCCAAAAGCGACGACTTTGCACTTGACGATGGCGATCTTCTTGCTTGCCGACGGACGCGGTAACGCGTGGCCGGCTTGGGACGTTGCCGTGTACGCGGCGGTGTCACGCGGCGTGTGGGATTGAAGCAGAGGAGGAGCGACGGCGGAGGCGGCACACGCCAGCGCGGGCGGCGAACCGAGCCGGCGCATGGGCCCGGACTTCTCTGCCCTTAACGCGCGCCAGTCCATGCGGTCGCCACGGGACGCCACTGTGCGACGTCGTCCGATCGGATACTGCTTTGACGCATGCAAGATACCCGTAGATGTAACGATACAACGCGGCTTCCTCGGACGTGTATCGTCTTGCGGTCCATCCTGCGTACGGTACACCGCGGACCGTCGTAGTACGGTGTACAGGCGTTTCAACGTAAAACGACCGCGACATTGCATGCGTCCGACGTTGCTCGACGCGATTGACCTCAAGGTGCATCGATAAGGATGTGCTGCAGATCGCCACCAATCTTGTCATATACACGTAGCCCGGCGAGGCGTATGCCGTCGACTGGGTCCGCGACGAGGACGTGCACGCGTGCGCGCTGTGCGCAACCGCATTTGGCTTCTTTGTGCGCCGCCACCACTGCCGCGTACGAGCTTGCGGCGTGCAGCAGCCGATGCAATGTTGTCGATCTAGGGTTGTGGTCACATCGTCTGCGCAGAGTGCGCCGTGGCCCGACGGGAGGTCTACGGGCTTCTTGGGCTTGAGCGCGTGTGTGACGCATGTTTGTCCAACGGCGTCTGGGTCGACCCTGTGGCCCGTCGGGCTCTCGAGAAGCTGGAGCAGGACGAGGACGGTAGCCAAGACGACGAGGCCTACAGCAGCGACGAGAGCGCTGACAGTGCGTCCAGCTGTGCGGACGAGAAATGGCGTGAGGCCGTGGACGAGGATGGCGTCTTCCTCCCGCTTTCGCAGTGGGAGTGTGAGGTCACACGAGTGGGAGGTGCCCGTACCGTACTGGCAAGGTGCGTCTTCGTAGCGTTGGTCACAGAGTGTGTCATGCAGGTCTGCAGTGAGATCGCACCCATTGAAGACATATCCAGCCTCGAGCCAGCGCTGCCACTGCGCATCAAGTCGATCGAAGCCTCCATGCAGCCCGACGCAGAACCAAGAATAGGTGACGCGATCGTCGTCGACAGCGCCCGACAGCCGAACTCAGAACCCGACCGACGCCACAACGTACCCAAGCAGCAAGCGGCGGCAGCAAATGACACTGGCCCGACTTGTCCGCCTGCGACGTACGCACCACGTGTAGCGATGCACGACGCCCTGTAAAATTTGAGCTAATTTTTGGCTAGGCGCGTCGCAGCCTCGCTTTGGTACACTGGAAATTTCGCACTGCACCACCATTCTGTGCTTAGAGGACGATGAATGATTGTATTCTTCTCGCGTAGGCGACGCAAGAATCGCCTCCTCGCTGCACTCGTGCTTGGCGTCGTCTGCTGCCGCCGAGCTCGCCCACCCTGGCACGCCCGCGTCGCCGTCGTCGCAGTTTACTGGTGGATGACGACTTCAGAAGACGATAGCTCGATGCCTCTCGTCGGCTAATTGCTCGAAAATGCATGTGCTGGGTTTGTTCGGCGTCGGTTGCTGTTGGCGGTGGCGGTTTTGAGCGTGCGTTGGTTGCCATTTCGAGAAGATCGCCATGGTCAACGCATCCAAGCTGCGTGCGCCCAGCGTGCTCGAGATTAAGCCGAGCACGCGAGGGACGCTGCACGTCCGTCGCCGGTCTGCCGACATTCCACTTCCCATTCAACCGTTTTTGCAGCCCGCCAAGCACCTCCGCAACCTCTCGCTGTCGTCGCCGCCCAAAAGCCTGAGCTACCAGGACCGCCAAGGCGCGCGCTGCGTGAGCTGTCGCCCGCACACACTCCCGCCCAATGCGATCACAAGCCCGCCCAATGCGATCACAAGTCCGCCCAACCCGCCAACGTCACGCCGGCGCCTCTCGAACGCAAGCTACCAAACACAGGACGACGACGATGCGATGCTGCACCTCTCGGCGCCGCTCGCTGAACGCAACGTACATCGTCCCCTGCTCTACCTATCGTCGTCATTCGTGGTGCTAGCCGCTCGAGTCGTACGACGTGACGTGGGTTCACGACTATGACGTGGCAGCGTGCATGGTGTGCCAGACATCGTTTGGCTTTTTCTTTCGCCGCCACCACTGCCGCGTACAGCGCACTCGAATCGAATGGAAGGAGTCATGAGTCGCGTAGAGCTGTGGGAACGTCGTGTGCTCGCACTGCGCCAAGTCCCGACGCCCTGTGTACGGTCTCCTCCACGCCCACCGCGTCTGTGACGAGTGCGTCGTCAACGGCGTCTGGACTGACCCCCGCGACGTGCGTGCGGGGCTTCAGCTGAAGCAAGACGCCGCGCGCAACGAACTCTTGCGCGTCAAGCTCGGTGCGTTGCTTATGATGGCCTATCCCTTATACAAGTGTAGAACTCGACAGTGTGCGGTCGCGCCTGCACGAGCTCGACGCGGCTTCTGCCACGGCATCGCCCCCAATCAGTGCGCCCCAAGTTCTAGAGGCGACGAGTGAAGCGCCACTTGTGGACGTTGCTTCAATCACTGCACCCCCAACTGCAGCGGTCGTCGAGCAAATAGAACCGACACTACCGTACGAAAGACCGTTGGTCGCGCAGGGACTAATGGCCTGCAGTGCCGTAGAGACCTTGGCGCTCGGAACGATTGAGATGTGCGTGCTCTTCATTACACTCACGGGGTATTATCGAACCATTAGCGACCTTCCGACGCCGCCGCTGCCTCTGCAAAGCTCCATGATCTTGCTGCGTGACCACGACGTGCTCTCGGGCGCCGTTGCGCGCTTCGTAAGAGACCCGACGGCGCTGGTATCTTACTCTATTTCCTGTCTAGACCACGCCGCCGACTTCGTCGTGCACGGGCGACTGCTGCTGCATTTCCTAAGAATTGAACGATGCAATTTGCTAAACTAATGGTGTATATTGTTGTCGTCGAGGACTATAATAGTAATATTTCCTAACAGTATGGGCTTCTAATGTACGGGGTCGTTTAATGGTACAGCATCGTCGTGCGCGGCCGCTTGGCGGACGACGGAAACACCCGCTCGTCGAGCAGTTGCTTCATCTCGTCCCGCGAGATGCGCGCGGTCGGGACAGGGTCGCGGTCCACGGACGCGTCAGCAACGCCGACAATCTCGGGAACGTCAGCAAACGTGACGCAGCGGCGCTTGCGCTTCTTCCGCGGGCGCTCGGTGGTGTTTTGAAGCCGATAGAAGGCGAGGAGGCACTCTTGGCGGTAGTACTCGGTGATGCACTCCTCGTGGTAGTCAGCGTACCGCGACGAAAACTTGGTGGCTGTCGGCTCTTGGAAGGCAATCGAGTACCGCGGCATCGACTCGTTCGAGGGGCACAGCATCATGATGTCGCTCGTCGGTGGCAAATTCGGAAATGGCAAAGTGAAGAGAGATTGAACCAGTCGATCGCGACATGCGCACCACGTGGGCGTGACACACGTCTTCGTTCCCAAGGTGTAGAATATCGCTGTCTGCGTTACGGACCCTTCGCTTGTTGCTCGCGACCGCCTGGGGACGGCGAGCGTGACGGCACCTAATGACAAGATGGGATAAAACGCGTTTGACGCGATTGTGTCCCACTCTTCCTCAAGTCAGAGCCCATTTCATTTACCGCTACCGTATCTCGATCTGTGCGGCTTTCTATCCTGGATGCGCTTTGGAATTAATATTTTTGTCTTGACATTGTGTGCAGTTATTTCATCTCTCGCGCCGTTCTTGTCGGTCGAACGAATGCGTGCGTAGGACAGGGGGTCGTGAATTTTATTACGCGAATGGGTTTTATTACCCACCGACTATGGGCGGCATTGCTCACGCGTGAGTCACTCTGCACATACACTGAGAAACCAAGCACTCGGCCGTCATCGGGCGTGAGCCAAGTGCGACGCTGAATTGCTCAAGGGGCGCAGGGTGTAGCTATTTGTTTCCTTGCGGTCAGCGCGAGCTCGTGCAAGGCGCGATGCGCGAGGTAATGGTTGCGGGGTATAGTCGGTGCCCTGTCCAACGGCACATCTTGTTCCAACCCGTTGGTTGCCGAGAACCAACGGATGCGTCGAATGCAGATGTCGATGCCGTAACAAGCAGCAATGTCGGATTTGCGGTCGCTGGACGTTGGCTTCGATGCCACGTATCTGACTGAGCCTATGACCGGTCATCGGTAATACCGTAGGCGAACGATAGAAGGGGCATTACAAGTCCAGTGCGTGGGCTTCTTTTCGAGCGGGTACGTCAAACGCAAGTGATTTGCGCTTGCATTCCATGACCTCGAGGAGTAGGATGATCGTGCAGTCGTTCGTTGCACGCTTGAGAAACGTCTTGGGCGCCATGCGCAGCGGCTCGTGCGCTTTCGTGACAGTTTAGCAGGGTGATTTGTTTTGGGCGTAGCGCTACGCCGGTATCTTTGGCATGCTTTGGTTGACGTTGATAGGACGTAATTGCGCTCTCCTACCCGTTTACAACACGACTAATACTCGTGTAATGGCTCTGCGCGTCTGAGTCGACGCACAATGCGTGCGTCAATGCGTATACCGGGTGTACTGCGCGTCTGAGTCGAACAGGGATCGTAGGACACTATGTCACGCGCCTTTCTTTGTATGAGTCTGGAACGAACTGTACTGCATTGTCGTAGCATTGACAGTTCGGATACATGTACAAAGCATGCGTCTGCTGCGTCACCGTGCGGTCGCCATGCCCACATGGGCTTGTACTTTTGAAAAAGCCGGGTTGTGCATCGTTGCCACCTTCTGGTGGCTGGGGCTGCGATGTTTTTTCTTTTCAGTGCGCTTCGGGTGTACCGCGGTATTCTCTGCAACTTGATGCAAGTTCTGGATGAATGTCCCGAATCACTTTCTCACGCGGTGCCAACTGCTCTCCCACCGCCGTCCATTTGAGGATCTGAGTCTACAACATCTGGTTGTATCCAAGTGTGGGTCGTTCCGCTCCAAACCTTTCACAATACATATATACTCTACAAACAGAGGTTATCCCAACGATTCGCTTTTACCAATTATTCATTTAGAAAGGTTATCAAATAAGCACCTGTCAAGATCTATATAATCCAACTAAACGCACGCCATTTACGCGCCGGCAAGACCAACGCCGTCAACTGGACCCCGCGCCGTTCTCCGTGACATCTGCAACACTTTCAACATTCGCACAAGGTCGGACCCTCCGCGAGACGAGCTGCATCGGTACTCTTCTCCACCATTCGGCTGCGTCACACCGCGGAATTGTAGCGTGTGAATAGCCTTTGAGCTGGTCGCATCCGTTTTCAGAGGTTTTCATAAATATATCCGAGCACCAATCCTTCGCAGTTCCGGTAAATCGCCCACTCGCCCAAGCAACATGTCCCGCAAGCAGAAGCGCAGCATCGTGCAGTCGCAGCACGACCTCGAGGTACGATGCTGATCCAACCGACGGCGGCGCACGCTCTACTTGCAGGTTCGCCGCGCCAAGGAGGCCAAGGAAAAGCTGCTCAAGAAGCGCGAACACGTACTACAAGCGATTGTATTATCGACGCTCATCGCTGCTTGTGCTAGCGCATCGCCAAGCAAAAGAAGACGGTCGAGAAGAAGGTGTCGTCCAAGGTCGCCCGCCGCATCAAGGCGCGCCAAGAAAAGGAAGGCGTCAAGGACGAGGACGAGAACGCCATGGACGAAGCGTAAATAGAAGCGCGCTTATCATCATCAACTAAGTACTAACAACCACATCAACAAGAACACCAACTACGATAGGACTACTCCATGCGCTCCAAGCACTTGGCCATATACGTGTCCATGTCTTGAATCTCTTCCAACGTATCCTAGGAGAATGCCATCGAAAATGGCGGCTTCAAGAACGTACCTTGATGACGGCGTGGACGAGGGTGGCCCACTCGGCATTGAGCAGCTACAATCGGCAATTAGAAATCAACAATGATCTAAGGACAACATAGCGGACGCAGAAGTACCTTGAGATGCTTTTCTTGCTTGCCAATGCCACGGAGGCACGCGGCGAGCGTCGCGGCGGAACTTCGATCGACCGCCGGTTTGCGCGGCTTCTCGGCCATGGGCGCCGCCTCGAAAAAGTGGGCACCACCGCGCTGGTCGTCGGCAGTGAGCTTGAGATCGTTCAAGATCAGAACGTTCTTGAGCGTTTGGGCGACGTACGGCCGGAGCAGTCGCATGTGGCTCACGGGGTTTTGACTGACGACGAGCTCCTCGGCGCGCGCCCCGAGGTGCGATATCCACTGCAGCTGGTCGAGCGTCGTGATCTGGTTGCAAGCAAGCTCGATGCGACGCAGTGCTGCAAACGCGCGAAGGTACCCGCTCTGGGCCACGGCGCTGACGACAACTGAAATCGGAATGTACTTGAAGACGATCGTGGTCACAATGTTGTGGATCTTGGGCGACTCGAGCGCTTCGAGCGCGTCGCCATAGATATACAGCGTCCGCGCTTCTTCCGACACTTCGACTTCGGAAAACCCAATCTGAATCGCGGGCGCCGGAGCTTTTGCTAGACTCGAGCACGACGCCGACGACGACGCGGGTCGTTGCCACGGGTCGATGCCGCCGTCTTGAGCGTCAAATCGCTCTTCCCACTTTTTCCGTACCGCCGTGATGGCACGGATACGCTGCGCCTCCTACGCCAGAGAGTTGAGAGTAGAGCAACGTGAGGTACATTACTTGGTTCTCTTCGCGCTGCTGCTCCCTTCGTTTCTCGGTGGCCCGTTGAGTCATGCTGAACGCGTCGCGCCGCTCGTCGTCCGTCACGACTTTGAGATCGAGGTTGCGCAACGACACAAAATTTTGGATGAGCAGCGGCCGGTACTCGGCGCTGTCACTGCTGTTGAAGAGGTTGCCGTCGAGCCGGAGCTCGGTCAGCGCCGTGAGCTACAGTTGGTTCCGTCCCAAGCTCGGATACGAAAAGGCAGTACCTGGAAGAGTGGGAGGATGCTCTCCTTCGTCTCGAGGCGGTTGTTGGAAAGGAAGAGGCGTTGGAGCGCGGGGAGTTTGCCCAGATGCGGTGAGATCTGTGCAATCGCGTTGCGGCGCAAGTTGAGTTCTGTGAGAAGCGACAAGCCGGCAATGTTTTCAAGGACACGGATTCGGTTGCCGGCGAGGTTGAGCACGCGTAGCTCGACGAGGCGGTCGAGTGCGCTGATGGTCTCAATCTCGTTGCTGAGGATACCAAATGAGGACCCGAGAGGCGTTGCAGGGCGGCACCTGTGGAGGTCGAGCACATCGAGCTTGACGAGGCAGTCGAGGTGCTGGATGCGCTTGAGTTTGTTCTTCCCGAGCATCAGAACGCGCAGATTCGGCACGACATGCAAGTGGTCGATCGACTACGAAAGGACTTGGTGACGCAAACATCCCTCGAGGTACTCGTACCTCGATCTGGTTGTTGTACAAGTCGAGGAAAATGAGGCTTGGGAGGCCGTGGAGGTTGTCAATGCTGCTGATAAGGTTGTTTTGGAGGTTGAGCAGCCGCAGCATGTGCTCGCCCTCGAGGAGCGGGATCACCTGTCATGACAATACCGTTGTCTCCACTGGAGAAGGCGGGACGCGGCGTGTACCTTGAGCGAACGCCGGTCGAGGTTGAGGCGCTCCGGGTCGCTCAGCCGCGCTTTTTGACTCCGATAAACGACAGGAACACCGGGAATGTCGGGCGTCTCGGCAAAGCAAATATCGGATTCGGTGGATTCGGTCTTCTCGGTCGACGGGACGAGCGCGTGGCCTTGCGACGAGGACGGTCGCATGTCTTGTTTGAACGGCGATTTGGTGGCTTCGAACGCCGTCGGCCGCAGCTGCTTGGGCGCCGGTTGCCGCACAAAGTCGGCGCACGGTTTGCCTGGCATCTACGCTCGCTCGCAAGATGTCCTGGGAATGTGACATGGCGTACGGTCGAGGCTGACGGGTGGAGCTTCTCGTGCGCCGCACTACACATTTTGTGGTGACGGGAGGTATGACGCTTATAGACGGTACCGCACGTAGCCTTTCAGCGACGAGAGCGACGGGTCGGACTCGCGGTTGTTCGAGTTAAGCTACCTCGTTGTAGTGAGTCTGCACCAACGAGTACGATACCTGTCCGGCGGTCGACGGGCGCTCCGGGAGGCTGGCCGCGAGCGGCTTGATCGGCGTTGGTTCGGGCGTCGCCTTGACGTCTTTCCACTAGGATTCCGCTCAACTGCTGTTGCATGTACAGCTCGTTCGACGTACGGATCGTGACGTGCTCTTGTCCGCGTTGAGCTTGCGCACCGAGGAGTGGACGCGGGCGGTCGTTGGCTGCTGTGACGGTTCGTTGTTGGTGCTCCACTTGGGCACTGCACCCAGATGCACACTCGCGTTGGCACTTCGCGGGGCCGCGCCTTGGGCGCGCTTGGTCGTACTTGCTTCTGCAGTTGCTATCAGCCAACAAGGTGCAGGCAGGGCAAATCGTACGCTTGACGTTCTCGAAAAAATCGGGAAAGTGCGTCTCTGCCAGCGCAACCTTGTCGTTGAGGCGTGCGACGACGCTGGGTGCCGCCTACGATGGTGGCATGAGCGCGCTGCCTGCATCACGCATGTACGTGGGGCTTGGTCGTGGCCGCGGGCGACCCACCAGACAGGCGCCGCGCCGTGATCTTGCTGAAGAGGCCAATGGCCTTGGCGTTCGACGCCGCCGATGCGCTTGGCGCGGCCAGCAAGACAGAGTTCGGCGTCCCTTGCATGGACCGCGGCCGAATCTTTCGGCGTCTGTTTCGGGCTTTATGTTGAGCCCGCTGCCACGTGACCCTTCGATCTGAAACCGTACCGGGTCTTCCTAGCCGACATACAAATCCAGAGTTGGGTGCCGACCGGCCACACGCCACATTTCCCATGAATCGCCTCGCACCGGCGCCGGTAGACCGCTCGAGCTTACCACATTAATGTCCTTAACATGGTCGCAGCCCAGCGTCTTCTCTTGTGCGATCGCCACCGCTGCATTGCGCTACGTTGAGTTGGTGGTTCTATTTCCGGCTTTTGACTTTATATAAAAGACACGTGCTTCAACATGCCGGTTACAAGACGACGCGTACGGCGACAATAAGATCGACCATGGCTCGCGTCGCTGCCATTGCGCGTTGGCTCGCGTCGCTCTGCTGCTGCCTAGCCGGCGTGGCAAGCACCACGTGCCCTGCGCCCAACGACACGTCAACGTGGATGGCGTATCCGTCAACCGACCAGCGGTTCACGCCCCGCGACGGTGCCAGCGACAGCTACCCCACCGAGCGCTCATGCTGCGTAGGCCATGCCAGCGCCGTCTTTCGCGGCAAGCTCTGGGTCATTGGCGGGCAGTCGGGGCCGTACACGACGCGGCATTTGATTCGCACGACGCGGCGGTCGGACATTTGGACGTCGGTGGACGGCGACGTGTGGTCGCAGGTCATTGACGAGTCGCCCTTTCCTCGTCGGTTTGGGCACTCGCTCACGGTCTTTCTGGAGCCGTCGCTGAGTGGCCAGCCGATTCTGGTGCTGCTCGGCGGCTACGTGCCAACGCCGGCCAACGACATTTGGTACTCGCTCGATGGCGGTGCGCTTTTGTACGACAACCTTGGCGTGACAGCTCTTGCGTCACCTAGTCGCGTGGACCCAAGTCAGCTATAACGTGCCGTGGGCACCTCGCGGATGGCACTGCGCGATGGCGCTCAATGGCATCTTCTACGTCATGGGCGGCAGTCCACTCAACAACGACGTGTGGTACACCAACTCGGTCGTGGGCGGTGGGCACGCGCTCGACGCATCGTGGCGTGACCCTAGAATGGTCCATGTAGGCAACTGGAAGAAGCTGTCGAGTGTGCCATGGAGTCCCCGCGCCGGCCACGCCTGCGTGACGCACTCAATTCGCAACGCCACGCTCGGCGATGCGTCCGCCCAATACGTCGGTGTTCTTCTCGGTGGCTGGGGCGCCGACACGGAGATGCTCAACGATGTCTACCGCCTTGACACTTCGCGTGCGACTCCTCCTACACTTTTCAGCACATACAATGCATCGTAGAGACGTGGGTGACAGCCACGGCAGCCGCGGAATGGCCGGTCCGCGCCTTCACGTCGCTCATCTCGCTCCACGCCAGCACACCGTCCGACTACCTCTTTGGCCCGCGTCTCTGGCTCCTGGGGGGCGGCCGCATTGGCCACGGCATCTGGCCCATGCACACGTACGCAGACGTATGGCAGAGCCGTGACGGGGGTAGTTTGCACATTTGCTTTTTACGCAAATGACGAGTCGTGGCTAGTTTCCTGGCTTCCGATCAGCTCGGATGCGCTCGGCGAGTCGACGGCCGGCTGGTGCCAGGTGCTCATCGACGGCGCGTACACCTGCCTCGGCAAGTGGGGCCACACGGGTAGCGTGTTCAACGTGTTGCAGCATATGATGTGACATGCGCTCTAGCGCTGGTGACGAACCGCAGCATTCCCAACGTCAACGTCTGCGGCTTCAACTGCCGGTCCGAGTCGAACGTCACGAACCTCAACGGCAGCGTGATCCCGCAGTGCGATCCTAAAGCGACGCCGTCTGGCGCGACGATCTCGACGACCATTGTCAACGGCATCTACCACATGAGCTCGTCGTTCGCCGACGGCTGCGGCGTCTGCGCAACCGCGCGCTACTACCCGGTGACGACGCTCCCGGCCATCGTCGTCCTCGGCGGGTCCACGGGCGGTGACAAGGTGGCCGACGTCTTTCGTTCGACCGACTTTTGTGCGAGCTTGGCGCTAGCATTGCTCGTGTCGGCTCATGTGGCGTGTCTAGTTTTGTGTGAAAAGAACGGCCTCGTGTGCAGTAGCCAAGGCTCGTGCGTCACGGGCGGCGTCTGCATGTGCGACCCGCTCTGGGGTGGCGAGTACTGCGACCAGCTCCTTCCGCCCAGTGCAGGGCAGTACCGTTCGCCGTCGGCTCTACTTGTTGCCGCTGTGTCCGTCCTCTCCATGGTCACGTCATAAGCGCCCAACATGTACGAGTGCATGGTTGACCGTTGATTGTCAGCAAAGGGTGGTGTCGTCGCGAGGCGGACGCGAATTCTGAAGCCCCTGCAAAGAGGCACAGCTAAAGGGCAAAGTACAACGGTAGCAGCAGTACCATAGCAATGGCATGGCTGTCGCCATACTAGTACTAGTACCGCGGGAAAGAAGAGCAAGGAAGATCGCGATGTGTATTATCCGGATGCTCCTTGCTTGTCCGGATAAAACGACTTGGTGGTGGCGTGCACTTTCTATCGAGCATTGACAACATGGCTCGTGGCGGCAACAACAAGCGCATCATTGGGCTCCTCGTCGGCGCGGGTGGCCTCCTCTCGTTCTCGATGCCCTTCCTCATCGTGCAGAGCAAGAAGGACCAGAACACGATGAGCATGGAAGGCCCGCTCTCGACGTCGCAGATCCGCCGCGGCGTGTACATGAACACAGGCTCCAAGGACATTGGCCGCGACCCGGACTGGGACCTGACGACCAACTCGTACAAGGGTACACGCTTACATATGACAATAAGCTCGGCTAAGTTCTTGGCTGCGATTAGGCCGGCGCACGGCGTACCCGCCCCGCGACGAGGCCAGTACGACTGACGCCTAGACAACGCGTTGTTGCTGTACACTAACGTATTGACTACACTACAACTGGTCTTTGCCGTACAAGGCGTGGGCGGGCGCCTCGACTCCACGCGCATAGAGCCGACCCAAGATGGCATTTTCAATCGCTTGCATCTACGGCGGGCGTCGTCGTATGAGCGATACGATTGGATAGCTCGTCGTCGTTGTACCGTCAGGTTGAGCATGGACTCGCCGCTCTTGTCGAGCTGGTCGGTGCGAACCGTGAGCATCCCTGCACAATGCCGCGTGAGAAAGATTACGCGATGGCGAGCAAAAGTACCGTTCGAGTTGCCAAAGAGCACATCGGTCGAGTAGCGGTCGCCGACCATGATGAGCTCGTGCGGTGCCACTTGGAGTGCCGACGTCAACGCTTCGATGCCGTTAGGTTTCTAAGAACATATGAGGCTTGAGAATAGACACGGATCGCAAGCGCAGACCTTGGTGCCGTGGCGCAGCACCTTCATGCGCAAACTGTCCTCGATCGCGCTGGCTTCGTTAAACGCCGGTGCATCTTCGCTCGAGCCCGCCGAGTTGGAGAAAATGAGCACACAGTCATAGCCAAAGACCGATTGGCAGTCGTTCACGGCATCCTACGTGGTGCTTGCGTCACCGATATTCGAGTCGAGATGCTGCACCTGCACACGCGGAACAATCTCGCGCTTGTACGGCACGGTGAGCGTATTGTCCTTATCGAACACGACGCCCTTGAAGCCGAGCGCGTGGAGCTTGGCGAACGGGATGTCATTGATGTCTACACCGGCACATGACCAGCTGCTATGGTAGACGAGAACGTACCCTTGACCGAGAGGTGGGGTACGAGCAGCTTGGGGGACTTGAGCACTGCCGAGACGAACTGCGTCACGCCCGACACGTTGAGGCCTTTCACCATGGCGAGTTTGCACTTTTCAGGCCAGCGCCCGCCCGCTGCATGCCGATTGGCTCATTCTAGCCAATCTCGAGCGGGCGTGGCGATCTACCAAAACAAGAACCGAGTGTTTCCCACAGCTAGAGTGCGGTATCCCAACGACGAAACCTTGGCTACGACCATTGATATGTGCTTGTAGGTTGAACGTTTAAAAGACTATAAGTAGGCATCGACGTTGGACGCGTCACGGGTACGCCTCGTCGTCCGACCCGTAGGCGTCAATATTAGAGTTGTCATGGTCGTCGTTCTCGACGGCACTTGCGACGTCGACCTCGTCCGACGCGGGGCCGTCGTTGTCCACCACTGGCATATCGTCGTTGGCCTGAGGTCGGGCATTCTCGAGCGCCTTGGCGTCGCGATGCACTTTGCGCCGGAACGAGCGCATGCCAAAGGCGACGCCAACGTTGAACGCCGCGTTGAGGCCGACGTAGACGCCAATGGTCACGTTGGTCGACTGCGGTCCTTTCTCAAGAAAGACAAAGCTAAAGGCCACGAGGTAGTAGACGTAGCGGATCGCGACGGACGGCCAGAGGACGCTGTTCATACACATCTTTTCGACCTTTGTCGGCACGGTCGGGCGGTCAATGTGCTTGTGCTTCTTGCGCACGCAGAGCCAGAGGCCAATGAGAAACGAGCACATGGTCACGTTGAAGCCATCGAGAAGCACAAAGCCGACGTACACGAGCGAGACGTCGCCGTACCACGCCATGTAGAAGCCAAGCACGAGCAGCAAGAGCAGCGTGTAGCCAGCGCCCGCGCGGCTCATCGCAAACATGATGCAGCGGTTGGACATGTGGTCCTTTGTCGCGCGGAGCGTCGCGCAGACGTACGAGATGTACAGCACCGTGTTGTCGACGCACGACATGAGGAGCGCGCCGAGGACGCCAAAGGTCACGGGCGACCCGTCGAACGGGTACGTCACATACAGGAGCAGCACGTCGCCAAAGAAGGCGACGACGCCACCGATGGTGGCCATGATGAGGCACGGCCCCCACATGACGAGGTCGACCATGCCGTCTTTCTATTTCTGCGGCACGGTAGCCGTTATTACGGATGACCACCTTGCAGGTCCAAACAAAGACTCGATCCACAGCGTCCAATCCAAAGCCAAGACGATGAGACAACAAACGTGGTGTACAAGGTGTCTATCTATTACAGCACGTCGTCATGGCGACGCAGCGCACATGGCTCGTATGCCAGCCTCGGCCGCCTTGATGATGTGTACCCACTGATGCTGTACGTGGCGTTCAAAGGCTCTTTGCTTGGCGTCATGCGTGGGCAACTCGTGTAGCGACAGCGCGGTCGACCACACGTCATCTTCCAACGGCAGTGCAACCCCGTCTTTGGTGTGGAGCTGCTCGGCCGTATAGTAGTTTTGATATAAAATGACGCCCGGCGCGAGCTGCGTCACGACAATCCTAGAAGACGAAGGTCGTCGTCGCAGCCATAGAGCGAGGGAGTGTAGTACCAGGCTTGGGCGTCGCTTATGTACTTGCCGACAGGGTACTTCTCGTCTTCGAGGATGTTTTGACCCACGATGATGGACCGGAGCCCAGGTTCTGTAAACTGGCGCCGGAGAAAGTGCAGTGGGTTGGCCGACCACTCTTGCGTCCGGCTGTACCGCCCCGAGTCGTTCAGAAACTAAGAACGTATTTGTCCAAAGCACAGCACGCAGCCGTCGTCGTACCTGCATATCGAGGTCTTCCTTGACAATATTGGCGACCGAGACCCGGTCGCTGATGTACATGCGGTGCAAGGCACGTGTGATGCTCTCCAAGCTCGTGTGCATGATGGTCTGGTGGCGCTGGAAGAGCCGGTAGCGTCCCGCGTCGTCCCACGAGATGTGCAAGTCCATGTAGTCCGCGTGGTGCATTGCATCGAGTGGTGCAGTCGGAAAGGCACACTCATCGAGGACGGCGTTGGTGTGGTGCAGCATGTGGTTGGTCATCCATTCAAAGCCGAGGCGGCGCGACTCGTCGCTCTTGAAGAGGCAAATGTTGCGCCACGTGGTAGCATTCGCGTTCGGGAAGCGCTGGACGCTCGACATGGCCGAGACCCACGACGTCATGGCGCGGAGGAGCTCGCGGTGCTTTTGCAGCTTGGTTTTCAAGCTCGCGTTGGTCGCTTGCGACGCGTCGGCGGCGTCGCGGAGCGCCATGGCCACATCGCGCCACGGGAGTTGACAGTCTTTTCGCGATGTTCCGTGTTTCTTGGCCGTTTGGAGGCGGGCAATGTGCGCTTGGAGCTCGGCCGCCTCTTTTTGCAAGTGCTGCAGCTCGAGCACTTTAGACCGGCGGTAGTCGCGGATGCGCTGGCGGTGGAGCTTGCGCCGGAGATACTCGGGGTCGGCGCTGCGCTCGAGCTCGTCCTTGACGTCGTAGAGGATCTCGCGGCTCGAGTAGGCCGCGAGCTCGGACGCACTCTCGTCGTCGTTGATGGTCACGAAGCGCATCCGAGAAAGGGCAAAGTGGACTGGCACCTTGGAGCATTTTTAATTTAATTTAAATAGAATGTGCCATGTGGCATACAAAGAGCAAGATATGGTGTATGTGGCGGCATTGTATTTTTGTTGAATTTCAATAAAATTGAGTTGACGGTGCCAGCTCCATCATCATCTTCATCTTCCGGTGATCAAAATGGCGTCGTGGCAACCCTCGATGTCTCGACCATCGACTTGCACAGCATATTCCTGGGTGGCAACGGACGATGAAGCATAACCGAACGGCTGGCAGACGAAACATGGGCATGTCTAGAGTCGAGTAGCGCAATCGCAGGCAAAGGCTCCAGGATCCAAGTAGCCGTGCGGGAGTACCACCATGCCTGAATTGCAACCGAGTGCGGAGCTCCAGCGTGCGTACATGCTGTCCCTATCTAAACTTAAACGTTGTCACTGTTATCGCACTTATTAGCCAATGCACGCAGAACCCATTGCGTGTACCCGCGAATACGCCCAATTGCTCTGTTGACGCTGCTGATGTCCTCCAAGCAATGAGACGACCAGTGCGGCGAGGCTCCTGCAGCTCGTCCCGCGAGATGCTTGCAAAGAGAGGCACAAACATGGTGATATTACTACTGCGTAGTAGAATCAAGGAGCTCATGCAGCCACATTGACTTCATAAGACTGATGCACATTGAGCCCACCACCGGAAACGAGTGATCGCAGTTATGCAAGCTTTGGATCTTTGCCGCAGTATCGTTTGAAAGCCCCGCACTCACTGTTCCTACTCGTACACTTGTAGTTTGCTGATACGAGAGCACGCGACGCTGAATTCTCTTCTTCTTCCATTCTGCGCCCAGCTTTTTGGCGTCTCAGTACCACTGAGCAGCTCACTCTGTCACTTGGCGAGCACACAAGCCCATGTAGGCTCCACCAACACCCTCCCAGATGCCTAACACCTCATGGAGTATCAAAAGACGAAGCTTGATATTGCATTCCCATTGCATCACCAGGGCGACGATTTGCTGCTTGCTTTTGCCAATCCTCCGCGCGTGAGTTCCCGCCAAATACACTAATTGAAACAATTTTGATCGGGGTCGGTATGAACCTGTGCATGCTCTGCACATCTGCCTCTAGTTCAAGACAATACGCTACTGCACTCGCGTTTTGGGGAAGGCGTACCGAAGTATTCCCATGCAACGCCGCGTCCACGGTCAACGCATCGCCAACGCATGAAATAGTGTGATCACTATTTCATTGGAAATAAATCGCATCGTTTTGGCCAATGGCATCGCGCCAAGATAACTGGCCACGGGACTTTGTTATGTGGTTGGAGTCTGCCTCGGGTTTCTATTGCTTTTTTTGCTTCATCAAACCATGGCCGCCAACCTCAACATCTCCAAGAAGCGCAAGTTCGTCGCTGACGGTGTCTTCTTCGCCGAACTCAACGAGCTCCTCCAGCGCGAACTCGCTGAGGATGGTTACTCGGGCGTCGAAGTCCGCGTCACGCCGGTCCGCACGGAAGTCATCATCCGCGCCACGCGCACGCAGGAAGTCCTCGGCGAGAAGGGCCAGCGCATCCGCGAATTGACCTCGGTCGTCCAGAAGCGTTTCAACTTCGCCGACGGCGCCGTCGAGCTCTACGCCGAGCGCGTCGCCAACCGTGGCCTCTGCGCCCAGGCCCAGGCCGAGTCGCTTAAGTTCAAGCTCCTCGGCGGCCTCGCCGTCCGCCGCGCCGCCATGGGTGTCCTCCGCTTCGTCATGGAGTCGGGCGCCAAGGGCTGCGAAGTCATTGTCTCGGGCAAGCTGCGTGCCCAGCGTGCCAAGGCCATGAAGTTCAAGGAGGGCTACATGGTCAAGACCGGTAACGCCAACCTCGAGTACGTCGACACGGCCGTCCGCCACGTCCTCATGCGCCAGGGTGTGCTCGGTGTCAAGGTCAACATCATGTTGCCGCACGACCCCACGGGCCGCATGGGCCCCAAGCGCCAGTTGGACGATGTCGTCACCATCTTGGAACCCAAGGAGGAAGTCTACCGCCCGTACGTCGAGCCCACGCCCGCCGAGACGTTCGCTGCCCAGCAGTAAACGACTCCATAAGGACGTTAAGACACGAAGCAAAAAAGGCTTGTTGGTTGCTATGTTTCACTCTTGACTCTTCCGCCACTCGCTACTTCAGAGAGCTTTAGTATCGCTACATATGCATGTCTGCAGCTTTATCTGCGGGAAGAAGGTAGTTGAGTTGGCAAAGGGACGTCGTCTCTGGTACGTCCAAACCTCCAGTCTCTCAGTTGCACGCAAAATTGCTCGCATTCGTCGGGTCGGGCGCGTCCTTGTAGCTCGTAGGTGGCACATACTCCTGGCGATCCACGGCTGACTGCAGGATACTACCGGTAGGACCCCTGGTCACCCAGGGGGGTCAAGGCTTACCCTAGGGTAGACCCGCCATGATGGCCGCCCCCCGCCCCTCATACATCCCTGTTTGTAGATTGCCCCTAGGGTACGAGACCCCAGCCCAGCCCCCAGACCCCTATGACCGGATATGTACCGGATAACTGCCGGATAAAACAGATGACCTTCACTCATGAGTGATGGTCATCGGTGTGTCACACCGCTTGAGGAAATGCTCAATTGCGAGGAGAAAGACGTCTTCTATCGCCACAACGAAGTGGCGTTCGGGTACAATATCCTATGCAAGCATTATACCCAACGTTTTGTCTCCAACACAGCAGCATACAATGCTCTGGAAGTGTCCCGGGGGTCATGCGCCACCCTAGGGTAGGGTCAGGATAGGCCCAGACCCCCACCCTCAGAGCTCTTTGGGACCCTAGGGTAGGCCCTCCGACCCCAAGGCCCCCCGAGGTTTTGCCCAGGCTTTTGTAACAGATACATGGGTGACCGGGGGTCCTCTACCGGTGCATCAAGTGGGTTTCACGCCGTCGATGACTATATCTCAATCCCAACTCGCCTCAACTTGGTTGAATTTGGTTGAATTCGGTTGTCGACCTCGATCGGGACATGACAATGGCTCGTATTTTGCGTGATCCACAACGGCGCAGGCAATATAAAGTATATTATGAGGTGGCATACACAACGATTTACTTGAGGTTGGCGTACTTGGACTTCTTGCCCTTGGCCGGCGCGCCCTTCTTGAACTTCTTGGCCTTGCTGTCGTCCTTGGCGTCGGCGCTCTCGTCGGCCTCGCGCTTCTTGGCCATCTTCTTGGTGTTCTTGACCGAGACGCCCTTGGCCGTCGGGTCCTTCTTCTCGTCGAGGGCCGCGGCCCAGTCAGCGTCGTCACCGCGCACCGCGTACTGGCCCAAGTTGAGCGTGTCGAGGAGCTCCTTCTGCTTGAGCTTCTTGAGCGCCTGGTCCTTCGCGTCCGCGAGGTCCTCCTCGAGCGTCAGCGTCGTGGGGGCCATGGCTGCGACCGCAGTCGGCGCCGCGATCGTCTCTTCGACCTCGGCCTCGAGGATGCCGTTGAAGGCGGTGGCAAACTTGCGCACGCTCTTGTTGAAGAGCGCGAGGAGCTGGTTCGAGGGCACGTTGAGCTCCGAGACAAGCGTGTCGACGCTTTGGTGCTGGAGGCCGATGCTCATGAGGATCGCGCGCTGGAGGTACGAGAGCGTCGTGTCCGGGAGGCGGTTGAGGAAGTAGAGGCGCGCGACCGACGGGATCAAGTCGACAATCATGTGGTAGTCGACCATGTTCTTGGCGTAGCTCTGGAGGCGCTTGATGTCGAACGGCGTCAGCGACACTTGGAGATCGTTGGACGAGATCAAGCCGGACGACACACGCAGCAAGTTGGCAGTCTCGTCCGTCGTCTTGGTCTTGGCGTCCGAGAGGAGGCTGAGCGCCAACGTCGGCGGAAGCGTCCGGAACTCGTACGAGAGGAGCGCCATGAAGCGCTTGCGCGCATCGCCGACAAACTCGTCGAGCCAGCCGGTCGACGGCGACGCCGGGAGGTCGTCGCACTTGAGCGCGTTGAGCATGATCGCCGTGTGCTCGCCCGTGAGCGCGTTCGCGGTCTGGCGAATGTATACGGAGCGGAAGCCCGCGCGCGACCAAAACGTGTAGAGCGGCAGCGTCAAGCCAAACGACGTGCCAAACCAGTGGAGACGCTCGGCCGGGCGATCCGTGAGCGGAAGGAGGAGCGGCGGCAGCGCCTTGCGGGGCTTGACCTTTTCTTTCAGGAGGTTGCCTTCGTCGTCCGAGTCGTTGTCGTCGTCCTTCTTCTTGGACTTCTTCGTCTCGGCTTCGTCGTCGGAACCGTCGAGGTCGCCGCTCGCGAGCTCGCCCTGGTAGTACTTGGTGAGGAGCTCGATCGCGCGCGAGCCGTAGCCCATGTTGGTGACATCCGGGTGCGTCGCGATGCGCACGACGCGGGCGCCCGAGAGACCTGCGAATTCGTTGTCCTGGAACTGCTGCGCGACCGTCCACGGGATCAAATCGCCGCTCGCGCGCTGGCCGCGCGAGAGCTGGGCGGCCACCGACTCTTTCGAGATCTCGCCTTCGAGCGCGATTTGCACGACGCAGAGCACGTCCGGGAGCTGCCCGGCGTTGCCCTGGCCCTCGGCTTGGGGCCCGAGCAGCACGAAAATGTGGTGCGCCGGCGCGTCCGAGAGCAGCTGGAGGTCGTTCGGCTGGTTCTTGTAGTGCGACGCGACGTAGAGCGACATGAGGCGCTGCAGAAAGTTCTCCGAGAGCTTGTGGTACGAGAAGAGCGAGTCGCGGTCGACGTAGTACAGCTCGCACTCACGCGGGTGCGGCGTGCCGCCCATGATGCGCTGGGGCGTGCTGCCGCAGTCGAGGCAGAGCAAGTTGTTGAGCCATTTTTCGACCGCGTCGTTCTGCGCATACCGGATCGGAATGTCGAGCGTGACTTCGCGCAGGACGCGGCCACCACCGGCGGCGGTCTGCGGCGCGGCCATGTGCTGATGGGCGGCCGCGCTCGCGGCCTGCCAGCGCTCTTCGTGGAGCTTGCGCTCGCCCTTGCGCGTCTTGTTGTCGCCATGGATCGACGACATGGCGTGCTGCGCGGCCATGCCCGCCGAGCCCTGCTGCTCGCGGAGCTTCTGAATGAGCTTGAGCGAGAGCGACCGACCAGTGCCCTCGTAGCCGTTGATCGTCGACGACATAAAGACCAGGTACGGGCCGAGGAGGTTCTTGACGACCGGGAGCGGGATCGCAGCCGCCTCGTCGATCGCGAGGAGCTCGGCCTGCGCGAGCTTTTCGTGGTGGTGCGGCTGGATGTACTGGATCGTCTGGCGGTGCTCGCGGAAGATGTTGACGCGAACGACCGCGCGGTTGAACTCGGGGTTGGTACTCTGGATGATCTCGTAGTCCAAGTGCTCCTTGTACTTGAGCGCGTCAAAGCCCTTGAAGACAAAGTCAAAGACCGTGCCGAGGTTTTCGGGCGACGGCGCCGTCACAAAGATGTTGCTATAGCCGTACGCAACGGCCGCGGCGAGCGACATGCCGAGCGCCGCCGACTTGCCGCGACCACGACCGGCGGTCAGCGTCACGGTCGAGCGCAGCGTCTTTTCGGAAATGGCTTCGGCGAACGTGAGAATCGCCTTGGCCTGATCGAGCGTCTTGGCCTGCGCGACGAGCGACCCGACGGGCTGCGTGTCCTTGAGCGACTCCTTGAGGTCCGCGAGCTCGCGCATGTCGGGCGTGAGTTCGTCGTCGACCGGCGGCAGCGCTTCAATGTTGCGCGCGTGCTTGGAGATCGGGAGCACGTTGAGCTCGTCGTCGAGGACGAGGCACTTGTCGCAGCCCGAGAGCGAGAGAATGAAGCGCTCGTTGAAGCGCGCGACGACGTCTTGGTGGGCTTCCGTGCGGAAGCGCGAGTGGACGTCCATCGACATGGTGTAGAGCTTCTTGAGCGACGACATGGTGCGGAGGAGGAGCACGACGACGCCGCCGCCCTCGACGGTCTCGATCGTGCGCGCGAGGATGTTGGGCGTGACGGCCTCAAAGTCCTGGAGCACGCACATGCCGTACGTCTGGCCAAGGATCTTTTGCGTCTCCTTGTAGTAGCACCACCGAATGTCCGTGGACGAGATGAAGAGCTCGAACGGGTCCTCCGTGTTGCTGTCGTAGAGACCACGCGACATTTGCTTCTTGATCTGCTTCATGCGCTTCTGCTTGTGCGTCGAGAACCCGAGCTCCTTCTTGTAGCACCACAGCACTTTCGGGCGGGCCTTGACCACGGTCTTGGAGAGGATGTAGTGGAGGTTCACGACCTGGTCCTTGCCATGGTCACCGACGAGCACGATGAAGCTGCGGTGGTTCGTCTTGACGCAGTTCTCGAGCAGAGTACGGACGCGCGCGTCCACCTTCTTCTTGACCATGATGATCTTAGTCGGCAAATGGCAGGTTCAACCACCAACCAAGCGCCACGACAGACTAAGTGCGTTTACGTTCCGATTAAGTGCGGTATCTTGTGGCTGGTCGCGTTGGCGCCAAGCCGACGACAGGACGCTGTGGCGAGGCTGCGACGCCGAGGTGCGAGCGCACGAGCGACGAGAGGCACCAGTAGTATCGTTATTTTAGGTAGTATAAGTTCTAGGCTGTAGATTCATACCGGGTCATGTGCAAAATGAGCAAAGTGCAAAGTGAAGGGAGGCGGTCTTGCAAGGTGGCGACCGACAACAGCATCTCGAATGGCAGCGGCAGACCCTTCTGTACTAGTACTAGAAAAGACTGGAGGGTGCAGTAGTGAAGGCACATGCACGGTTGCACGTGTAGCTCTGCTTGTGTAGGTTCGAGGATTCTGCCGTTGGCGGTAGTTGAGGGTTGGTGGTTGACCACCGCCCGCGTAGTGCCTCTGCTGAAGAACCCGACTCGCCCATCATTCTTGAGTAGTCTGTAGCTGAAGCCTTTGTGCGCACGGCAGAGCATTGGCCTTCGCCCCACGCGTCATGGGCGTCCAGGGAAGGAAGTTCCGTGGAACTAGGCAAGGGAATTCTATGTGATATCCGGTAACATCTTGATTGATCCGGATGCGCTCAGTAACGGTGGCACGTTGGAGCGAAATGTGGAGCGTGCGCCTGCGGTCGCCGGCCAAGAGCGCAGTGCTACGGATCGATAGCGCCAGCTCGTTCCAGGTCTTCCGAGGTACGACGCCACGTAGCTCCTTGCTAGCCATGGGCTCATACGAGCGGGCAGAGCAAGCGCTTAACGCGCTGGGCCTCGCGGTCTCCGATGGCTACACGTGTACGTCGAACTCTCCTGCATGGGCATGATGAACACTCCTTGGCTAGTCAAAGGTGGCTTTCCGCCCAAGGAACTGCATGTCGAGGACGATGCGTCCATGACAAGCGTCGTCCAGAACAACGACACGGTGCTCATCGAGCCAGCTCCCGCGGCGCCGCGGCCCGGGCCTGCAACGCGGAGCACGACCCCAAATACCCCAAAAACAACCTCGAAATCGACTCCAAAGACGCCCCCTGCTCCGCCACGACGTACGACGACCGCTGCTGCGAAGAAGGCGAAGCGGGTGCCAAAGCCCAAGTTTACGGGCCAGGGCCATGTCCTCGGGTCCACCGGACAGGACGTAGCAGAGAGCGATGCGCCTGCAGCGCCGTCACCTCTGCTCAAACGCCGCAAGATGATCCAGCTCGGGAGCAAAGAAGACGTGGGCGACAAGCTCGTCCACGCCGTGAGCAGCCATGGCGGGTCGTCGACAACCGATAAATTTTTGCGGTCGGCGACAAAGTCGGCCGTCAATCACCAGTACGAGATGACGCTGGCAAACGCACGGCTCCACGCAGCGCTCGTGGGCAATTACTCGATGCAGACGCTAGCGCCCAACGCGCGAGGCGTTGCGCAGATGCGTGTTCGGTTCCTCGAGCGTGCGCGTACGTGGCGTGACGAGCAACTCGACCTCTTGCAGCCCGCCGAGCTCACGTCCATCGTCAAGTACGTGCTCCTCTCGGGCGGCGAGACGGGCCGCGAGATGCTCAAGCCCTTCAACATGGCCCAGTGCTCGCCACGGTACCGTGCAACGAGGTGTCACGCCTCTTAGGCTCACGTAGTGTCTTCTGGAGCCTTGCGCGGCTCAGTGACGGCGACGTGGCCGCAGCGCTGGAAACGCTGCTTCCGAGCGAAGATTGGTCGTTCCTGGGCTTGCGAACGCGGTAAGCTTAGGACGATGGAACCCACCGACCAGTGGATAATGATCCTGCGAACGGTAGCACGCTGAGTGCCAAGGCGCTCGAGGCGCAGGTGCACAAACCGGTTTGATTATCGCAGGCTGAGTACTCTTGTCTGTAGACCCACTCGCAGTATTATCGCACCGAAGTGCCTGACGAAGAGCCTCCGCTGCCGACGGCAGATGACACCGACGCGACAGTCGTCAGCGAGATTGAGACTCCTCGTGTCGACCGAGCAAGCATGCGGAGTGTCGCGGCCAAGGCAGCGCTGGCGCGGCTCCGAGCTGCAGCGCCCGTCGCACCCATGCGAGTTGCAAAGAACGACGACAGTGCTGCGGAGGATGCTGGCGATGACGGCGACGTCACAACGGTCGTCTGCGATGCCTGCCAAAAGGCCCGGATTGTTGCCGCCGACAAGAGCCAGCTGGTCGGACTGGACGACAGTGGTGACTGGACGTGCGCACGCGTAGACTGTCGAAGAGATGACCATTTTCGTGCTCATGTATCGCTGTAGCTTGCCGCCATCGGTCGAGGCGACGGCTGTGCCATGGTCGACGACGAAGTGCTTTCCATCGTCGTGGACGCAACGATTGGCACGTGTCTACTCCAGATCGGCGTGCGTACACGCGCTGAGCTTGCGAGCGCGGCAGCCGAAACCCTCTTTTCGTCGTGGCGAACGGCGTGCCGTGGCCACCTCATGGACTTGGACCGTCTCGAGCACTTCATTGAGCAGGTAGAAACCATCGAGCTTGCCAGTGTCGCTGCAGAGTGTCCTAATTTGATGTGGTAGGCGCGAGACGAAGAGCTCGATGCGGTGGTGGGCGAGATTGTGGCCGACAGTAACGTGTACGATGCGCTTGTGGCGGCCAAACTCGCGACGCCCCACGACTTGATGCTGACGCCGGCGGATGTCATCCAACGTGACGTGCACTCGATGCTACGAGAAGGAGCGTCGATGCTGTCGCTCGACACGATCCAGAAATGGAAGGTCGCGTGTGCGTCGGCCCTCGAGCAGCACCCGTGGCTCGACGACTGGCGCAGTATTTGAGTTACCAACCTCGGGTTTTGAGTTTGATGCAGCGTCATGCTTTCTTCTGGCCGAATACTGGACGACTTCAATGTCATCAGGGAGTCGTGCGTCAAGAAGGCACATTGGGTGCGTAGAAGGAGTCGAGCTGCGGGACATTATACCTCGTAGAGGTTTGCAGGTCCAATCCACGGGGGCCATGCCCAGGCAATTATTACCGTATCCGGAATTCCTACCGTATGTCCGGATAATACGAACTAGGGCCGCGGCCGTCTGCTTTGGTTCAAACGCGACAAAACCCAAAATATTATTCTAATAAAATGACAGCTCCCACGATATAGGACCTCTCGCTCCTTGGAATTGCTCTGTTGAAATGTTGTCTGCATCAATTCGGTTACTATGTCGAGGGAAGATTAGGTATTCTCGCGACTGGCGACGCTTTCGATTACCCCACAGCGAGTTGTCGAGTCAACATCCATGCCAGTCTGTGTGATGCCATCGGGAACGCATCCTTGTGACGCATGTCTACCAAGGACATCCTCGACCATCTCCCTCCTGAAGGCCAGCATGTCGATGCCATTGTAGGCACAGAACTTAGCGTGTGGGCAGGAAAGGAAACGAGCACGGTCCTGCCCCTACGCGGTGCTCTGATACTTGCTCCGATACTAATCTGAGCGTGTTCCGAAGGGGCGTGCCCCCTCCTAATATCGGATTTTCTCATCAACGTTCGCGAGCCATCGCGAAAAGGACTTTGGCACATCCTCGCGAAGCCCATATTCTTTCAGCGAGCATGGAAGGAACTGCTCAGTACCCACGAGCATTCATGTCCACGCTAGGAACTTGCTTCCTGCATGACCACATACATTGTGTACAACGTCGAATCTTCAATCGTTCACGTAATCCAGGGCGCGCCGCATCCACAGTCTCCTGCTCGGCTGTATTCGACTAACTAGCTTAGTGATTAGTACATCGTCAAAGACACTATCGTCCATTTCCTTGACGACAACTCGAGCAGCGTGCAAGGTGACGACGATCTTCGTGAGTTTCTTCTGCGTCCTGATTGGCTGCCGCCATGCTTTTCGTCACAGGTCGGCGGATCATGACACGGGATTTTGGCCAATCGACGGCCGCGTGAAAAATCCGGTACGGATACTGCTATCCGGATCGAAGAGGATCTCACGGTTGCGCTTGGCATTTGCGAATTCGCCTTCGACCCCTCACCTTCTTCAGCATGGCTCTCTCGGACGTTGGTCTCTACGGCTTGGCCGTCATGGGCCAGAACTTTGCGCTCAACATGGCGTCGCACGGCTTCTCGGTCTCGGTCTGCAACCGGTCGCCGGACAAAGTCGACACGACGGTCCAGCGCGCCAAGGACGAGGGCAACCTCCCGCTCGTCGGCCACAAGGACGTCAAGGACTTCGTGCTCTCGATCGCGCGCCCGCGCAAGATCATCCTCCTCGTCATGGCCGGCAAGCCTGTCGATGACACGATCGCCGCTATCTCGCAGCACTGCGAAGAAGGCGACATCATTGTCGACGGCGGCAACGAGTGGTACCCCAACTCGCTCCGCCGCGCCAAGGAGCTCGAGCCGAAGGGCATCCACTTTGTCGGCATGGGCATTTCGGGCGGCGAAGAAGGCGCCCGCAAGGGCCCGTCGCTCATGCCCGGCGGCCCGCGCGCGGCCTTTGATGCGCTCGAGCCGATCCTCGTCAAGTGCGCGGCCCAGGTCGACGATGGTGCGTGCACGACGTACCTCGGCGAAATCGGCTCGGGCAACTACGTCAAGATGGTCCACAACGGTATCGAGTATGGTGACATGCAGTTGATCGCCGAGGCGTACGATGTCTTGAAGATCGCCGGTGGCTTGACCAACGCCGAGCTCGGCCAGGTCTTCACCGAGTGGAACTCGGGCGAGCTCGAGTCGTACTTGATTGAAATCACGGCCGCCATCTTCAAGAAGAAGGACGACCTTGCCGGTGCCAACAAGGACGACTACCTCGTCGATAAGATCTTGGACAAGACGGGCATGAAGGGCACGGGCCGCTGGGTCGTGCAGGAAGCCGCCGAGCGCTCGGTGGCCGCCCCCACTATCACGGCGTCGCTCGATGCTCGCTACCTCAGCGGCCTCAAGGAGCAGCGCGTGGTCGCCTCCAAGATCCTCAACGGCCCCACGGAGATCCCGTCGGTCGACAAGCAGCAGCTCATTGACGATGTGCGCCAGGCGCTGTACGCGTCCAAGATCTGCAGCTACGCGCAGGGCCTCAACTTGATCCGTGAAGCCGGTGTCCAGAACGGCTGGAAGATCGACTTGGGCGAGTGCGCCCGCATCTGGAAGGGCGGCTGCATCATCCGCGCGGCGTTCCTCGACCGCATCAAGGCCGCGTACATCAAGGACCCGTCGCTCGACAGCCTCTTGATCGACGCCGACTTTGCCAACGAGCTCAACGCCCGCCACTTTTCGTGGCGCCGCGTCGTCTCGCTCGCGGTCGCCAGCGGCATCCCGACGCCCAGCTTTTCGGGCTCGCTCAGCTACTTTGACATGTACCGCCGCGCGAACCTCCCGGCCAACTTGACGCAGGCGCAGCGCGACTTCTTCGGCGGCCACAGCTACAACCGCACGGACCGCGAAGGCGTCTTCCACTGCGAGTGGACGGATGCCCACCACAGCATTGGCAACGTCGCCGAGCGCAACCGCGGTAACTTGTAAATACAAGCGTCCGATTCTATGTACACATTCTCCTCCTCCTTCTTCTTCGTGATGTGAACGGTGGACGCAATGCACGGACGAGGCCAGACGATCGGGAAATCCTTCTCCCACGCCCATGTCTCCTGCTTGTTGATTCCCGCATTGTAGTGTGTGCTGGTACACATAGCCTTCCCGTATCATGTCTGCGAGTGGTGCCAGCTACTGCGATAGCATCAAGGGTGCAACGGCGCAGCCCTCCATGACTGTCGCGGCCGTGCTGCGGGTGTTTGCGGGCGTCTCACATGTTGCGAGCTCCAGCCAGCCGTCGACGACCGAGATGACGTTTGCGAAGAGCAGCTGCATGCGCTGTAGCTCCATTATCATCTCTGTGTGCCCCCAAATCGCCAGCAGTTGCCACAGTTTGTAGCATTGGAGTTCGTGAGCCAGAGAAGGACCAGCAATGTCGGCAAAGGGTGAGCCGTGCGTGTATCAATGTATCACTTCTCGCTGGCAAAATCTGCCAGCGGGTCCACTCGGCCCAAGGCTCGTCGTCCTCGTGTGCAGATTGCGAGAAGATCGGTCGCCCCACGCCTATCATTCGCTCGAACCAGCCAATCACAACGCAAGCTGGCGAATGAAGGGGCAGAGCGACGTGGGGCAGCCGAGCAGCACGCTCGCAGACTCGTTGGAGCAGCTCGCCGTGTTGGCAGCTGCGGATGCAGTCGCCCAGTGCGGCACCGACATCCCGTGGTACAGACCCACGTACGCAGTAGAGACCGGCTCCAGAGGGCCCGAGGTCGTCGCGTACACGTCGATCTCTGCCATGGACGCCTACGCGCACAAGTCGGTGGAAGAACTGCGCTTTGAGGACTACCTCAAGCGCACCGACGTGAAGGCGGCACGGGCTCAGGCCGCGATCGTGCCGCCACCGCCCGAGAAGGGGCCATCGACGAGTTCACCCACGCCTGCCGGTGGGCCTCAACCGGTTACGGGTACCCCCACATCGTTCGGCTCGTTTGGGGCCGCTCCATCCAACACCACGTTTGAGGCGGCCAGCGCAACTACGAAATATGCTCCATCAGCCAGCACTTTTTTGTTTGGCGCTGCCCAAGGCGATACCTCTCGAGCCCCCAATACGACCTTTGGCTCTGCAAAGCCGCCGTCGGCGGCGCAGTCGTCTGGTTTCTCGTTTGGTAGCCCAGCTCCAACCGGCACGACGTCTGGGTTCTCGTTTGGTGCACCACC